CGTATTACATGAAATCATTAATATTACAAAACTGTAAATAACTCTTAACAAAATGTCTACACGATTAATAAAAATTTGCATAATTTCAAATTCAAATTACTACTACATTTTACCCATACAACGAAAATGTCAAACTCGATAAAACTTATGAAAGTTAATGACAGTGTTAGAAAACTAACAATCGAGCTAGTCAATTTTAACGCATAGAATTCATCATCCGTGAATTCTTGATGTGATGTGTGAAGCACGCAAATATTGTACATTTTAAACTAAAACCTGTAATATCTTTTTGTTTTCCTGAATTGAGCAATTATTATAAATCAGTAAATTTTTATTGCGAAACGTAGTATGACACTTATATATTTTATACTTGCATAATTTTTTTTTTGCATTTTCTGATACCACTGCGAGTTGCCGTTCAAACTTGTGATAAAATATTATACAAGGAAAAACAAATTGGTTTAAATATTATACAATTTAAAACAAAATGTCTGTATTCATTAATGAAATTTCAACTAAGTTTTTTTTTTTTTTTTAGCACATTGAAGATCATTTAAATCGATAGTAACAACAACATGATTCTTTAATTTTCTCTGTCCATCGATATCAGCGCTGGTTTCAACTATACAGTAGTCAATCATGTATAGTTAACCGGGCAATAATAAACTAAAATTAAAAAGAGTAAAAATGATACTCAATTTGAACAGCCAACTAGTATTCGTACTTCATTTTAAAAAAGCAAAATCGTACATTAACATTTAAACTAAGTATACAGGTACACTCATAATAATATTGTAACATAGGTATAGTAGACCGGAGGTATTTTAGTGATATTTGGGTCGAATCACTCTAAAGCTGCTTTCATCTAAAAACTAATTAATAATCATACTGTTACTTTATAATATTATTACGACAGTTACCAAAGTTGGACTTGGCCAAATGCCAAAATATCTGAAACAAATTAAAAATAATTTGTATGAATAACATTTTAAAAAGTTTTATTCTCGTACACAAAATAATTATTGTTAGTTTTCTATTCAGTTAGAAATACCTAATATATATATATGTATATATTTTTTTGTTTATTTATATTTATTTATTTAATTATTCATTCGTTGAATAAAACGTATCAAGTTAAAGAAAGGCGATTCCGTTGGATTACACTTACTCAATATTATTTTACTATTAATTTTCCCTATCCATGCTCCCATAATAATACTGATCCGCATACATTCACGTTCATATTTTGCTATACTCGAGATTTATTTAGGCGCGGAGCTAGAACTGTATTAATAATAAATAATAATTAATACATTCTAACTTCCACAATATTATGATAATAATACGAGATACGTACTTGTTTCTTGTAGGTATTAATATGTATTATTTACTTAATTAGAACTATGTAACAAGATAATTTCAATGATATTAATTAAAGATAAGTGCTACAAGAGTATAGTGAGACCGACTATGTTGTATGGTCGGTAGACAAAAAAAAAAAAATAGAACAGAGAATGAGTGTAGCAGAGAAAATAATGCTTAATGGAGTGACGAGAGAAGATAGGATAAGGAATAAGTACATACACAAGGTAGCATAGGTGTGACTTCAATGTAGACAAAATGAGAGAAAATAGAATGAAATGGTTTAGACATGTTACGAGGAGAAAAAATCGGAAGCAGTAAGAATTATAATGAAAATAAACGTAGGAAGAAAGATAGAAAAAGGAAGAGCGAAAAATAGGTGGTTGAATGCGATTGAGAACGATATGAGGACGGCGGGTGTATAAAAAAACCACGCGGGGAATCGATTCAAGGGTAATAGTTTCGGGTGAGGGTGACCGATCCCAAATACCCGGGATAATGGCAAATGAAAAGAAGACTGAATTAGGGCTATTTTTATCATTTACGGCATCCTATGAATACTAATTTGTTACTATTTATTGTAGGTATAACGTTAATGCTGTACGCGGTAGATAATAGATTATTATTGTGTAACGGTATTATGGTAGGTTAGGTTTGGTTCAGATTTCACGATAATCCCGTAGAACTATCAATAATCTCGATGTCCCAATATCGATTGTCAATGTGAAAAAAAAAAAAAAACCATAACATTATTATAACAATATAATTATAACGCCTCTTATCACCCTCGTAAGCTATATTGTTTTTAGGTGTTATACTAAGATAATTACTATGCATACAAAATTAACTCGCGTTCTATTGTACATTGTTATAATCATATATAATCCGTATTAAACGTGTGAAACCAAACGTGTGATATATTATTATAGACGCATTACACTGCACGTCTATATGGCTGGTAAATATATATATATATACGGTTCTTCGGGATTTCATCAAAATATAATATTATAATCAAGTACGCAATACATAGAATCCTTCGGTGTAACCTATACAACTTACACATTCTATTAGCTCTTTAAAAAGGGCAAAAGTATAATTGAACATATGTAACTAATCCGCAGTATACAAAATATAAATACATTTTACAAACTTACAAAAAACCATTATATTATGAATTTTAATAAATTGTTGGTTAATTTATGGATAAACCAACAATATTTAAACAATCGTATTGATCAATTTTAATTAAATCTGTGTATGCTACTTGATTGTTGCTCGTACCTATTATCATAGGTAGGTATCGTCAAAACAATAAAATAATATAATATTATATACACTACTATATACCAAAACTTGGCATTGTAATTATTTAGTTAAAAACAATTCACCATCACTGATAAATAATAATAATAATTATTACAATAATAAAAGTAAAACAATAATTGTTACCTAATAATTTAATTTTTAGTGGAATTTATTTTATTTCGTTTCAAGCAACAGAATAAAGAATACAAATTATAATTGTAAATTATTAATATGGAGAGTATTTATTTTTAGATTGTTGTGAAAGTAACATGAGATACCTTTTTTTTCTTCAGTATATGTTTGTAAATGTATGGTTATGATCATTACGTATATAACGGGTATACTAAATAAAGAAATGCGTACCTAATAATATTATTGGACACTTGCTGAATATCCAAACCATTTGTGATACTGCTATATTGTGATTATTCTGAAAAATGTTCTAAATTAGACATAAAATCACTCAAAACGAGATCAATTTGAGGCACTGAGTTTGTACCTAAGGATTCTAATTAACTTACTAAAGTAGATATGCTACTGAAATCAAAAGTAAAATATAATGAACTACAAAAGTTAAGTATTGTCAATAAAAATATTGTTTATAAAAAAAGAGAGATTTGAAAAAATAAAAAAAGAATACTACTTTTTTAGAAATTAAATTTTTGTATTCAGGGACGATAATATAATTTTTATTCGCATATTAATTTATTAATTTGAAAAAATGGGTTAACTGACAAAATTCTGCCTGTCAGATGTCCAGATAGTGCTAACCGAATATTGCAAAAACAAGCCTAAATGTATTATAAAATAATAATATAAGAAGTTGCTGCCATTTTAATATTAATATAGTAGCTCACCATAAATAAATTTAAAAATTTGGCTGCAAATTTACTAAGTACCTACTCTGAAAAAAAACATTTCAATTTAATATTAATATTTGAACAAATAAAAGTTGAATTATTTGATATAATAGTAGTATAATATTTTAGATTTTTAGTGGAACGAGAAATGTATTGTTTTTACAATGATGTTTATTTTTTTTCTGTCAACAACTTTTCTACCAACAATTTTGCTCATTTTTTCTGAAAGGAAATCTGACTGATGTTGTAATTTAGTGAGGTTATTTTTTTTTATTTTTTTTCCCCAATAAATGGGAAAAACATGGTAAAATCTGAGAAAACCGGGAAACAACGTAGGAAAAACAGGGAATTAGGTATAATATTATCAAATATTATTAAAGAAAATATAAAATGCATGAGTAATTACTTTACCATAACATTACATATATGTATATCATTAACAAAGCAAGACTATAAACCTCACTCCTCTCAAAAACATCTTTTCATTAGCAATGATTAATCTTTGCGTACAGATATATATTTAATTTCCCCCTACTACCTTCCCAATTTCTTACCTACAACAGTGACCCAGGATGATTATTAATGTCAGTGGCGTGGCAAAGGAGGTGATCGAGAGGCAACCACATTTGACTTTATTTAAGGGGTATATGTATATGCCTACCTATATGACGATTTTTAAGAAAGTGACAAAAACTCAAGTGTTATAAACTTCATGTATATTTAATGTATATCCAATGGGTACGTCATGATCGGTCGTTCGGTAGGTAGTTCGCCACTGATTATTATGCATATTTGTTCAAAAAAAATGCATTTTAGTGGTGTTTTAGGCTAAGGACAGTAAAAAAAAAAATACATATATTTATTGAAAACTGGTATCGCAACATTTTGTGTACAGCGAATAAACTATTAGTATTACATCCATAGATGCGTTTTAATCTCGGTTAATCAATTTTTCGGTTGCGGTATAAATGCCAGAGTTTAATCAATTCGATAATTATTATAATCAGTACGTACCTAATATTAAAAAAAAGGAAGATAATAATTTTAACAATTTTTTCGAGTTTCATGCATTTTAATTATTCTAAGTAATTCGATTGAGGTATTATTCAATATTTTAATTAACTAAAATTTAAATTTAAAAAAGAAAAAAAAAAAAAAACGTCAAAGTGATACTTACTTTGAAAAGTACCATATACTCGCGAAACCTTTACAAAGTGAACATTATATTACAATATCGATTTAGAACCTTTTTAAAATATTGACACATTGTTTTAGAATTTGTCCTACCGGAACTAATGCGCGCGGTATTAAATAAATAAGTGTATGCCGAATAAAAAACACCCACTCACACACACACACACACACACACACACAAAATTAACAATTGATCGTATACCTCGAATTAAATTTGTAATTATTCAATCAATCGGTACGCAGTATTATATTCAAACAAAAAATTATTTGCATGCGTTATTCTTTGTTATAATCGTCTACAAGCAAATAGCACGTTTTAATCAAATCGTCAAACTCCTGATTCGTGTCCTCATAATCGTCTGGGCTACCAGCGCACTCCGCAGACATACCCGACATATTGTCGCTGTCTAATTTGAAGTTGTTTAGAACTATATTGACATGGCTGGTCTGCGAATTCACAATGGGCGACATCATTACGCTTTGTTTGTGCTTTAAGTTATCCAATTGTATTTTCAAATTATGAACGTTTTCAGCTTCCGTTTTATACGCTTCTCTCATTTCTGCCAATTTACCGTTTAATTCTACAATGAGTTGTTTTTTCAAGTAAATTTCGTTCAATAATCGTTTCGTCTCTGTGCGGGTTTTTTCAATTTTCTCCGTCAATAGTTTGTGATTTTCGTCCATATTTTTATTAATTCCGTTTAATTTACAATGCAATTTACTAAAATTCGCGTTTAGCAGTTCTTTTTGATGCTCCAATTCTTCTAATTCTTGTTTACTCTTTTTGTATTTCTTTTCCAAATCTCTTCTTTCTTCTTCAACGTTTAATTTCTCTGTTCGTAATTGAACAATAAAATTCTCCGATTCAACATTTTTTTCGTCTATCTTCTGTTTTATAATTTCAATTTGTTTGTTACATGACTCTAACACTTCCGTCAGCTTTTTATTTTGATCTTTTTGTAGGCGTATAGCTTCATTCGTTTCTTTAGCGTATTTTTCCCCTATTTCTATTGTTTTTTTCATTTTATCTAAATTTATTATGTGTTGCAAATTATCTTCTTTTTGTATAATATCGTCAAAGTTTGGTTTCAGTTTACAAATTTCTTCTTTTTCGTCGGTTTTTGTGACTATCTTTTGTTCCTTTTTTGTGAGATCTTCAGGATTGTTTTCTAAACACATTATGTGTTGCAAATTATCTTCTTTTTGTGTAAAATCGTCTAAATTTGGTTTCGGTTTACAAATTTCCTCTTTTACATTGGTTTTTGTGACTAATTTTTGTTCCTTTTTTGTGAGATCTTCAGATTTGTTTTCTGAACCCATTATATGATTCTGATTTCGATTATTTGAACGCATTTCGTTTTCATTTATTTCGTTTATCCATTTTTCCAATATATTTATATTTTTTACCAATAATTTATTTTCTTCGTCAAGTTCATTAAAATTACTGCAGTCCTTGGAAGATTCGCTATTAGTAACCGAATCTTCAGTTACAGCATTAAAACACACTTCAAAGTTTTTTATCGTATCTATATCGTTGTTTTTACTTTGAAATTCATCACACAGGTCAGCATCAAACTTGTTGAGCTGATTATTTAACGATTTGGAATTTTTGATATCCTCCATAAATGTAGTTGCACTAATTAGTGTCTTTTAATATTTTTCTTTTTTTTTTCAATATCTTTCAATATCTACTGTAGCTATATTTTAAATCGAAACTTATGTTTTTTTACTGCTCTGTTGTTCGTTTATAAAATTATATAAAAAAAAAATTGTTTAAAATTATTCATTATTTTTGTTTTCTAGTTTGTATGATTTACATCGTTGGTATAGTGATCACTAAACTGCATAAAAGTAATATTTCCCATATTTTTTTTTTTTTTATTGGATTTTTATAAAGATTGTAACCTCAAAACTCATTCATGGTACCCACGGTTTCATCGATTAATTACCGAGTAACGGGCGTACGCAGGAGGACTTCTGGAGATTCGGATCACTCATTTCCCGAAATATAAGTACACTATGATTTGTGTATATTTAAAAAAAGGTTGATAGTGCTGATAGGTGTACCACTGCAGTTATGGATAGAAATTCGGGAAGGTAGGATACATAAAGTTATTTGATTAATGGCTGAACGCAAAGGTAAATCGTTTTTTCTGCACGTTTTTTGCCGGTATTTTCCCGACTGTTGATAAAAACTGCAAATCAAAAAATCCGCACATTTCGACGCGCCGACTATGGATCCGAAACGCCGCGGAAAAGTCTCGCGTGTCGGTGTTTATCGATTGGAGAGAGGTTCCCAGTAGAAAAATTTTGCGCAGACACGAAAAACAAACGCCGCAGTAAACCGAATGCGTTCCACTTGCCGCTCGTAATCCGAAAACTGTGCGCAGCTATAAACCGCTGTTGTCCGGGATTCGTATACTGCCATAGCGGTCCGGCGCGGTTATTAATCGGTGAAACAATATTGACACTGTACGGCGAGGGGGGAGGGGGGGAAGGAAGGGGAAGGGGACTGGAGGAACGGGGTTCGGCGCGACAGTTACGCATGGGAAACTGTCAAACCGCGCGGTGACACCCTGTATAGTGTATAATGTTGCGGCGAACGCGCGTTACACGCCGGCGAATATGATTATATTTATAGCGGACCGCTAAACTCGCCGGCGGACGGCGCATAACGCGTGATAATAGAAGATGACGGCGGCGGCGGCGGCGGCGGCGAGGGTTATTTGCGAAATTTAATAATCACGCGCGCGCGTTCCGAGGTCACCGCGCGCGGTGGTGTTTCACCGGATAAAATCCGACATGACAACGCGCGTTATTATATTTTTATACCGTGACCTCTGCAATATACGATGATAATATTACAACGACGTTTTCTGACCACCGCTTGTTTTCCAGACGCGAAAAATTAAAAAAGCTGTCCCGGGATAACGGGGATAACGGGCGCGACCGCTGTCGTAGGCGGGAAGTTGGGAAAGCAGGATGCAGAAGGCAATTTAAATGTACTTAAACGATAAACCGCCGCTAACGGGAAACCGTTTCTGAGCGCAGTTCAGTTGATAGTGATGCTTTGTCAACAATATAATATATGTATATATATATATATATATGTCATGTTATCGTGAAATAATTAAATAGGCATTACATATTTTCTTTAATAATATTTTTTTTATTATTGTACCGATTTCCCGTTTTTCAACATTTGCTGGAAAACTCTTGGGAAAATCGAAAAACGACCTTTTTAAAGTACCTACCTAGTCAGATTTTCTTTCAGAAAAAGTACTATCATTGTAAATCGGAGCGAAATCGCTGGTAGAAAAGTTGTTCCCCAAAAAAAAAAAAGCTGAAATGTTGTTCATTTAATTCCTACATTTCGTACATATTCTCGTTTTTTCTCAGTTTTTTTTTTTGGTTTTTCATATTCGATGAAAAAACTCCTGAGAAAATCGAAAACTGACCTCCTAAAAGTACAACTACAAGAAAATGTCCTTTCAGAAAAATGTCTACATGATGTAGACTACATCGGAGTAAGCTTTCTGATAGAAAAAATGTTCACATAGAATAAAAAAGAAATCTTTGTAAAACCAATAAACTCTTCACTACACTCACAATTTTAAACGAAACCGTTTTTCGGACGCATCGTGTATGCAATAATACGTATTATGTACGTACTCAATATAATATTAGGCGTCGAGCGATAGTTAAAAAATCAAATTATTTTAGAGCACCGAGTGTCCCCTTGACAGAGAATATAGTATAACGACATACCACTAGTATCGAAGAAACGAGATTTCAACCATTTACTATTTAAAACTCGATATCTTTCGTTTTCGTAAATTGTTTGAAATAGTTTTTTAATTTACAAAGATAATCTGTTGGATCGTTTTTGTTTTCGTTAATTTTATAAAACATGTATACTTAATACTTATAGATAATAAACATAATAACAATAACAAAAATTGTGTATACATACAATTTAATTCATATAACATAAACTTTCTCTCCGATACCCTCCACCGAAATAAATTATTACGTCTTTATAATCAATGCGCGTACATACGTCAACGGAGTGATTCTTTTTTATCGCGAACTTAACGTTGAAAAAAAAAAAGTTACATAAATAATCGTTTTATACTATTTGTCATTTATGTTACCTGCGAAATTGTTTTTTGTTGCACGGGGCTTTACAAGTTTTGTAATTATTTAAATCATGCAAATGGCGTTGCCGTCCTGTGCCTGAGTTTAATCTTTCTCTCTATATCATTACAACCCAAACCTCTCGGAATCTATACTACTACAACGTATATGGCCTGTTTTCGTGTCTTCTTCCAATCGACCACTTAGATTATCTTAGTTTATCGTAGAAAAATAAGAAAACAAAAAATGGTTTGGATATAAATTTAACTGGGATTAATAACTAATCACAATTTATTGTAAAACATCAGAATCATGTACGTTTATTTTCCCCTTGACGTTTCTTCTTTGGTCATTATCTCCTAATACGGCTCTTATCCAAAATTTAATTTTTTTCTTCTAAAATAGCTCAATGTTAACAGTGGTGAGTTGGAAAAAAATTCGTAAGCAGGCCATATATAAGGTGGGTATTGTTGGTTTGTAAAGGTTTCAGCGGTATAGGCACGAGTTCTTGCAAGAGCACAGACACGGGATCATTTAGTAAAAAGAAAGATAATGAGGACGGGTACAGCCACTGATATAGGTGGAAAGTCGGAAAGATAGGATACAGACAGGAATTTATGTATATATGTAAGCAACGATAAACTATTACTTACAAAAAAACGATTCTGACCGGAGTTCAGTTAATAGTAATACTTTGTCAACAATATATATGCCATATTAAAGTAAAATAATTAAATAGGCTCTTTATATTTTCTTTAATAATATTTGTTTAATGCCGTACCGATTTCCCAATGTTTTATCCTGGTTTTTCGCATTTTCTAGAAAAACTCCTGAGAAATCGAAAAATGACATCTCTAAAGTACCACCCTAGTAAAATTTTCTTTTAAAAACATTGCTATCATAAAAAGTTGGAGTGAAATTGCTGGTAGAAAAGTTGTTTACAGAAAAAAATAAGACCGTAATATATTTTAACTAATATTTACATTTCTTGTATATTTTCCCGTTTTTTTTTTCGGTTTTTCGCATTTAATGAGAAAAAACTCCTGAGAAAATCGAAAAAACCATAAGCTTCTTCGCTCCACTCAGAATCTAAAATGTTTTCAATCGTATTATGTACAATGTTTTCAAAATGTTACCCTCATTCCGTAAAAATGTATACCATTTTGTGTTATTCGATTTCGGATGATCTTTCCAATGACCACCGAGCTGGATCTAAAATTATTGCGAAAGTACAGCAAAAATGCTTTCTCGCACTGGCCGAAAATATCGTATCTCAGAAGAAGTAACTGAAGAATGATTATAATAATACGGATACAGCAATTACTATCGCAAACAACAACCTCAAGAAAGTTATGAGTAAATTAAGTATCAACCCCACATGTTGTTAATTAACGTTGTCACATAAGGGGTAGTTATGCTAACGCAGTCTCCCCCCCCCACGCAACGGTTCAAACCTAACATAAGTTACTACAGTCAGTACAATACTCCAGTCAGGTACTTATCTACAAAACATTTCGATTATGTCCGCCTCTCAGCTTTCTACAATATAAAACTTTCACGTCCTATTGCTTCCTCCTGCGTCTTCCCGCGTCGTACTCAGTCTACCCAAAGGTTTTTTCCCTATTTCGGAGTTCTGTTCCAGCACTGCCCACAGCAGTGGGTTTTGGCTTATCCATGCGCGGTCAGCGCCGTATTCGTCATTTTTCCACGATCTCTAAAATATTATTATCTCCCAACATTGTCTGTCATATATAAACAACTCTCTGTTTTTCCTCCGGCTCCGCCTCGGAATAAGATATACAAAAGTACAGGTGGGTAGAAAAACGTAGATTATGAACACACAGGAGAGGTTGGGGCTTTTCCTTTATGAGCCGCAGCGCTACCTGTCGTCGATAAACACTAACGAAAACGCAAATATCAAAATTATAACGAGCTGTCTGGTCACCCGTTACACGTAGATAATGAAAACCGTTGGCACGTGTAATCGTGATTCACGGCTACCGTCGTTGATAATAATCACGATAATTTATACGCACAGATAGTGTGGGCTCAAAACGGTATTACTCCCTGTACCCCGCGCACAGTAATTTTTCTGCGCTATCCATTACCCGTCCAAAGATAACATTCCGCGATATTTGTGCTCCGGATAGCGCAACGGTCCGCGATTTCCGCGGCGACAGAGTTTCAGATCATTAACGGGCCAACATTTGTTTTCTCTTGTTTGTCTGTCTACCGCGTGTTATAACAAAAAAAAAAAAAAGGCGGTCCGCATTTTCGCGTGCGCGAATCGAAAAACGTTCAAATCGAAACGCGCGTGTTTGTGCAAACAACGAAATGTATAACGACCGGGGGGACAGTGGTTTTCGGTATCACCGGCGGAATGCGGCCGGCGCGCCGGGAAAAACGAAGCGCGACGCCGTCACAATCGCCCTGTATGCCCTGTTCAACACTTTTACCGCCTGTCGGCCAACGACTGTTGTCTACGCGGCTACGTTTACAAACACTCTCGACGGTAATGATAATAATAATAATAATAATAACAATACGTCCGTCGGTGCGCGCGTACGTAGGACGTGCCGTTGCGTCTTGCGTGTTATTATTTGTTGCGCGCGTTGTTTATCTCGGGGTCGCGCGCGCCGGCGATAAAGGTCGCCGGCGAAACCGAACGCGCCGATAAGGCGATGATAAGCGGCCGGGATAAGAACCGTTTCCGTCCGCTCGTCGGCCGCGAGTGTCGCTGCAACAGCCGCGGACGTCGACGGCGAACCACCAGCGTGATTGCACGCAATATCAGAACATTGTTACACGCGCGCGCGCGCGCAATGGAACAGGTAACCGCCGCCGGTGACAACACGTGAATTTTCCGCGGGTCTCCGAAAAAACCGAACGAGAACCCAATAAAAACGAGTAAGTAAAATCGTACAACCACCGTCACCCCCCCCCCCCCCCCCCCCCGCCACCGGTCGCACGCGTTATACACCGCGCTGCGGCCGCCGACCGTGGCCAATATAAAGTGCCGTGACGAGCCGTTTTTGTGATCTCGCCGCGTTTGTTTGTTCGCAGTGGCCGCGGAAAACCAGCAAGCCCAAGACCGGCCGCACCGCCGCCGTTACCGGGACGGACTGTTCGCGTGCGTGTCCTTTGCGCTGACCGTCGTCTCCACGCCGGTGTTTTGCGCCTGTTACGTGGGTAAGTCGCCGGCCTTTGGCGCCTCCCGACCACCCGCTCCTGACAAACCTTTTCGCATCCCGACTTTCGTACGGGAGAACGCAACAACAACAGCATTTTCGACCATATCCAGTGTGACGGGAACGTGAATCTCGGTACCCCCCCGTCCGCCTCGTTTTCTTTGAGTTTTTCGATTCAATCCGACGAGCGACCGGACGCGTCCCCTTAATTACCGAGGGCCGTACCGATTTTCAAAAACGCCGGGTCCCGCTTATCGTGTAATAGTTAGTCCCGTTTGTGTCGCTTGTTTCGTTGTTTTTTTTTTTCAATATCGAGTGTACAATAGCGAGAAAAACGTTTTACTAAAATGTGTTTTTCGGTCAGTCAAAAAGACTCCGATTTTTTTCGATCAGTACACGTTAAAAGACGCGGAACGTCCACCCGGTGCGGACACTTTACGCGAACGTTTTTTTTTTTTTTTTTAAGATTCATAAGAGATTTTCCATTCCGACAGCGTCGGTTTATTTTTCACGTTTCCTTGGCCGTGCAACAAAAACAAAAACAAGACGAATAACTATACTATTATACAGCCTCATAACATACCGTACCACTTTACCGGGCTCCGATTAGAGTCGTTTTTTTTTTTTTTTTTTCATTGCAATCGGAGCTTACCGGCGCTCTCGCCGTATACAACTAAAATATCGTCGTCGAACCTTCGCCCGGTTTTTCGCTCAAAACAGTGGCCTACTCACGGTGCAAACCGTGTCCCAGGGCTCATACCTGCAATGTGTCCTTTCGAAATTTATTGATATTTATTTCCGTACCGCGATATGAATAATTCTATACGTTCATTGATACCGTACACAAACAGAGTGTTATGCAATCCGCGGTCTACAAAAACAATAAATGCTATGTCGTTCATTATCACACTTCGCAACCTTTTATACCCACGTATTGATTATTTATTATGTGCCGGGCATTATTTTTGTTTTCCGTACAGGGAACGGATTTTTCATTTTAATTTCACGTGATTTAAATAACGGAACGGTTTCAACGGACCAATACGTTTCGTTATATTTCGTAAAAAAATTTGGGTACATAAATTTTAGATATAGTTAGTTTGATTCCTAGTAGAAAAAGAAGAAGTAATTAGATCGGCAGTTTTCTCGAAAAACACTTTTTTGAAAAGTAAAACAGCTCAGATTTTTTCACGCAGTACCTTTTAAAACGCGTAATTTCCGGCCGGTGGTATAATTTATCCGAAACATTTATCGATAGGTTCAACATTTCGCTTTGTAGGTTTTTTTTGTTATCTGGATTACCTTGCGATAAAGGAAAAAAAACACGATTAATACTATTCCACCCAGAATAGTTTTTCGCTGTCAATGATTTACCTACCTCAATTGTATGTTGTATCTTGCATTAATGTGTGATCAGCGCCCAAGATTTATGTCCTAGGAGCTCGTCTCTGTGGGATAAGGGGGGGAGACAATCGTTCAAAATGCAGTATTTTTAATTTGTTATCTCATGTGGAGAGAAAACGTGCATTTAAAAACGAGATTTAACCAATACTTGGCAAGTTCACCAATTTTTAACTACCTTGTTAAAAGAGTTATTCTAAAACAAAATGGGCAGGTGTCTAAAATAAGTTAAAATTGTTTATTAAAAGAAATAACCGACATAATTTCTTACATTCTATTTTTTTTTTTTCTTAACTACATAGTCTAGCTAAACTTTTATTATTGTAATCGATCTCCGGCATCTATACATACAGTGTCGATGGCCATGGCCGCGTACACGTAGTATTCATCAGGACAATAGAAGGTCGAAATTACCATTTTTCGCCGTCCTTTAAGTCAGCTGCTCGCCACAAGCGGCGGTTTGGCGTTCAGTATGATTTGATTTGATTTGATTTATTTTTATTTTACCAAACCCGGTCCCGTTTAATTTAAAAAATTATCGGCTTTACGGGACGGGGAGAAAATGTTTATTGTCGTCTTAAGGTTCCGATTTTTCGGTTTATCGATTCGCGTATACAACGCAATAGGTAGTAATATTAAAGCGCGTCGCGTCCCGACGAAACGACGACGGCCGCGCGAGTTTTTACGGTCCCCGCGGCGGTAGTATGGGTGTAAAATCGGGATTTTTCACCGCCCTTAGACAACAACCCTTCAAAATTCCACCCTTTCCGACTTTTGCACACACACATCACCCACAGGATGTCTGTAATTTAATATCGCCGTTGCATCGGTTTTCGTGGCGCCGCCCTAACGCCAAAGCCAAACTCGCTTATTATCTATATGTACACGGGTAAGTGTGTAAGTAGGGATACCGTCAATAGCAACGGATTCCATTCAACAACAATATCGATTAAATATATTTGAGTGTATTTTTTTTTTTTTAAAGTTGATACCTCTCACTAGTATAGATAAGTGGTCGGAGGTGAACAGTTGAGAATACATAGGATTTACACGGGTTTAATTTCGTTTATACACTGCGCGCGCGACGATCAATCGCTGCCAACGGAAAACGATCCTAAGCGGAATATAGTATTAGTCGTGTTTTCCCTTGTCGCCAAGGGAACCCGGATATTGGCTAGAATTAAAAAAATACACCTAGTGGATAAACCGCTAATAATTTCGTAATAAATTAATGTCGCCATACATGCAGAAATTCCGCAATTCCGTGTGTAAACCAAACACTGGAAAATTCCAAAAATAACCTCTCCAAAAAGGTGGGATATATTTTTCAAACTTTTTTTAAAAAAAAAATAGAAAGAAAAAAAATTATAATCACTTGCACACACACTTAAATCCGCTGCAATTAATTTTTAACTGTAAGTGAAATATCGGTTGAGTATCCGTATCCGTAATATGTGTTCATATATCAAAAGTTCAAAGTATAGGTATACTACCAATCTTATCTTAAACTTTGTCGAATAAAACTTTTTTGCCGTTGTAAGCGTTCTCTGTGAAAATAAAGTAAACTCACCACGGTAAATCGCGTTACTCATAATTTAAAATCATTAACATTTACAATAAATTACACTCGACTTATAGAGTTTTGGAGCGGTGAATGGGGAAATTGTTCATTATTAAAATTCTGTGAAATTTTACTCGACTTGTTTATCGACTTTGTACAAACAAAAATTTAAATCGAAACCCTACACAAACTTGATTTAGCAATATATTTTTGATAAAACTGAAACAATTTAATCGAACATATAAGATAAGGTTTGGTGGAAATTAAATATAACTAATTTTTACTCGATGAACTCTTTTATTCCGAGTAACACGATTTTGTGTGCGTGCGTCTGTAAACAATTTTCTATCAGAAATGTTACTCCAAACAAAAACGTTATAGGAAATTTTTTGTGGTATTTTTGATCTAGTTGGTGTGGTGAAGAGGTCATTTTATGATTTTCCTTATAGTTTTCTTAACAGTTGGAAAAAACTGGAAATATTGTATGCATAATTTTTGATTTCCAGGTTACCTTGGCAACAAAGGGAAAAAATACGACTACTAATCCTCCGTTCAAAATCGTTTTTTGTTAACAATGGTTTATTATTACATTATACAGACACAAATTAAATTACTCTACACTAAGTATACCCTCTATTCCGCACTTTCCTCCTAAACACTCAGCAATATCAATTTTCTCAACCCGTTTTCCGGGAAAATAATATTAACTTCAATAGGTAAAAAACGTACATTATACAGAGTGCCAGGGTAGTTAACATAACGTAAGACACTAGCTCATTATCTCGGAAACTATTATAACTCACGGAATTTGTTTTTCAAAACATTTAAAAAATAAGTAGCTTTAAAACGTCACAATACTCTTTTTTTTTTGTCACCCTTATTTTAAGGGGTTTTACTTTTGAAACTGAAAAAATAAGTAGCTCTAAAATGTAGTATTTCAGTTATTTTTTGTCGCTTTTATTTTAAGGAGTGAAATTTACTACCTATACTATGAATTTCAAAATGGCAACTTATAATAAAAATTCCATAAATAGAGTGAGTATTAGTTTGAAATAGTTATAGGTGGATGGAAATCAAAAAATATATCAACACCGAAATGTATTTAAAATAATAATCCGTCTATTTATTATAAGTTACCATTTTAAAATCAAAAATATAGGTAGTAATTTCATTCCTTAAAATAAGAACAAAAAAAAATAACTGAAATTCTACATTTTTGAGCTACTTATTTTTTAAACGTTTTAAAAAAACATATTCCTTAAAAGTTATAATACGTTTCGAGACAATTAGTGTCTTACGTTATGTCGATCACCCTGTACACTGCACGATAGCGTAGATAGGTATCTAATATTATAGTAAATTCAGTATGTTATTTATCGACTTGACGACAATTTATCCGTAAACTTGTAAGAGAGACAGAGAGAGAGAGATATAGAGAGAAATACTTTGATAACACTACAAAACACGAAAATATATCTGGTTTATGAAATTTCCGTAGATCGAATTCAGGTGGCCGCAATAATGTAATAAACATATAATAATATTATTATTATTATTATTGTTATCATTTATCCCCGGCGGGTTTCGCTGATATTTTATCAAATAAAACTCCTCGCGTGGGTTGCCTATGGTTAGGTATACGTTGAGCCACTGTCATGTGCTGGAAGCGAAAACACAACAGTATAGAAATAGGTATATCTAGGTATACATACATACACAAACAATATTTTTAATAAAAAAAAAAAACGTACGTACCGTGATGAGTCGTATACGCGTTATTGCTTTTCGCGTTCGAGCACAAATTCTCGGGAAAAAAATAAAACATATTCGGTTTCCGAATCGTGTTTCTGTTATTATTATTATTATTGGTATTATTAGCATTTTTCGCAAGCCGTTCGAAAATGTGTTCCCGACACGAAAATCACGTGCACCCATCTGAATATCAAAGACTACTGTAGAATAAAAAAAAAAAAATGAATAATAATAATTTTAGATAAAAAAAATAATCTTGTTTCGATCTTATCTATTCGCGCGGTTATAATAATGGTATAGATATAGTTGCTAAATAATATTATTGAATGCTAAACAATATTATACTCGTACATTATAAAAAATTCGATATTGTAATTAACGTTCACAACAATATCGCTACAGTATATTTTATACGTTTGCACGTCGCATACGCCTCGTGAAAAATGGCTGTGTGCAGTAACCGAACCCCTCCACTATTCAAACTTTTTCAGGAAACAAACAAACAGAAAAAGAAAAAGTTTTGTCTAAAACATTAGACCCGGATGCAATAAGTTCAGTTTGACCCGATTCGATTTTTATAATTTTTTCGAGCTATTTATACATCATAAATATCTAGGGTTTTATTAAATCGCGTGATAATAACTTCCATTATCGTATTTGTCACGTTATTGCACACAAGATACGAGAATGATCATTTATCCGACAGAATAATAATCAAAACGCGAATTTCGCCACAGGAGTGAAGCCTTGTACGTATTGCACGAATCCCTTCGTTTTTACAGATTCATTATAGATAATTCGAATATTTAACTCGCGGCGTATATAATATAATAAATTAATTTATTAAATTTAAAAAAAAAAAAGTATACAACAATAATCCGATTGAAATCACCGATGACGTTACACGAAGACGCGTATTAGATGCTCTTTTCGAACCCTTAATCGAATTTTCCCATAGCTTGGTTTTGATATAAAAATCACAAATAAATACTGCAATTATTATCGTTGTTCGTATTATATACTATTGGATTACTTATCACTTTATTTGTATTTGTGATATCGAAAAATAAAGGCTGATATACTGCTGGGAGTGTACCGCTGTTTTATGAGGGCATAATAAAGGATGTGTAATTCAATGTATATCTGTACGCAACGATAAACCATTGCAACTAACGAAAAACGATTCTGAACAGAGTATTATTAATCGTAATTTTTCCCTTGTTGATAAGGGAACCCAGAATTAACAAAAATGTCCGGTTTTCCCCAATTGATTAGGGAAACTGCAAGGAAAATCAAATAATATCGCCCCTCCGTGTACCGACTAGATGAAATATTCTACAAGAAAGTTCTCATAAACATTTGGATTAGCGTAAGATTTTCGGTGGAAAAGTGGTTTTTAGACACGCATTCGCTAAAAAAAACATATAGTAAAACCAATGCATTCCTGTCGGTACGCTCAGAATTCATAATTGAAACAATAACCATTGCGCAATGCTAATTGTTTTTATTTGTTCTGTGAAAATTTGGTTTCTTAAATCTTATGAAAATATTATTGAGACGCGTCCTACTAATAAAAAAAAACAAACTAGACACCTCTGGTTATCCAACAAATTATACGAGCCGTCCCCTCCCGCCAGATTTTGTTTCGTTTTATAATTTCAATATTTATGTTTTACGCGTTTTCAGCTACGTCAGTCGGCCGGTTCGTATTGTTGCGACTTTTGAAATCGATGTATCCGGACTTGGAGTTCATAAAGTCGGTGTCGATTCGGTCGGCAATGGATACGCCGAGCAATACAGGGTACATTGTGGTATTACTTAAAGTCAACGGAGATTTTGACATAGATTTAATAAAACACACAATTCAGGTGCATTCATTGTGTTTTTACATTTTACTAGGTTATATAACATTAGTATAATATAGTTTTATAAGAAAATGTCGAGTTAACGAAAAAAATAAATGAAAATAAACTCGTAGGCCGAACCGTGCTAGTAAGAAATTAAAATATATACATATGTCGGTAAAAACTGAATTTACCATTTTTAAAATCGAATATTATATTTTTCAAATCAAATTATTTACTATACCTGCGTCAAAAACAAGGGTGTGTCACCGACACACTCTCTCGGAAAAAAACAAATTAATATTTTAACGTGTTTCGAAATTGTCGATTTTTACACGCCTACTCCTTTAAAAACTAAAATAAATTAAATTCTATGTAAAAAAAAAAAAAAAATAAATTGTTTATATTTTTGGAACGAAAACTAAATTGTATTTTATTTTTTATTTTTTTTGAACCGCGGGTCAGGTGTAAGGTTTGAATTCAGGATATTTCATACGACTATATACTACATTATGGTAGATAGACACGTGCCCATCAAACGCCTTGCCGGCGTAACTTGCAAATTTAAAACCTAACCGATGACGGATTCTGCGGAAAACGATTTTTGTTTTAACCCGATTATTGTTTAGACAGATATAGTGGACAAATACGACCGGATAACTGGACGTCTGTGTTTCCCACACCTTCGGTGTTCCCTGACGAAAAAATGGCTCCGGTACGCGTGGACCAAACCCTCGGACTTCTCCATCGACGACCACGTGATCGGTTTGTCGTCCGACGAAGCGGTAGCCGAAAACGACATCACGGTGAGTACCTAGGTATATACCCCGTCGATGATACATAATATAACATTAGTCATCGCCAAATAAGAGATACTTATTTCCAAAGTGGTTTTTTTTTTTTTTTTTTTTATCGGGAAACGCAAAAATTTAACTATACAACTCAATTTTGGTTTGACCTAGTATTTATTTACGGTCGCAAATTGATGTTTTGAATTTTTCGTAAAATTATCAATTCGATTGCCGTATAAATCGATAACCGTTAACGAAACTAGACAATTTTATTAAATGATAAATGTCAAAAAATATTCTAGATAATGGCAGCTCGTTACTCTACGAGTTAGGTTATCGATCGTGACCCACTCGTACCTGAAAAAACCGAAATCGAATGTGTCCGAAATCTAACGGTGGATAAAAACCGCTTGTCGGTGATAAAAATAAAATCACTATGTACGAATCGTTATGAATTATTGGTCCTTGACGATTCGGTAATCGTAAAACTTTGCCGTAACCAAAAACCGTCAACGCGTTAATCGCTAACTAGATAGACGGTACGTATTTGTACTTCGTGGCGATAAAAAAATATTAGAATCATTAATTATCGACGAAAATTGTGTTTTTGTTGATTCTGGTGTTTACGCAAACGTATAGTAGGTAACGTTTGAATTTAAAAAAAAAAACAATCGCGGACCAAACATTTTAATACAGATATTGCGCGTGTATACGATTATTGTTTGTTCGACGCTCGAACGTCAAATTTATTTACAATAAACACGGTGAACTATTAGTAGGTGTTATTCAATGTTTGTTTAACGAAATATTTATCATTATTGAACCATCGTGTTTATCAAATTGTGCGGTGCGACGAGACGAAAAGCACAAAGAAACCTAATATATGTAAACAATTAGTATTCTTTCTTGATTATTGTCAGCGTGTGACAGTAAAATAAAATCACCGATTCTTACGGTAAACGAAAAAGAAAATTTCAAAACGCGTTCGTCCTGTTGAATCGACGGAAGTAGAGTATATTAAATCTAAAGCACATATACCTATATCTATACGCAATGTGTACGAGATACGATCATAGAGCAAAACGGTACTCAGTATGAAAGTTTTTCTAAAACTTTTAATCTGCAGACGTTAAAAGTTCATCGCGGAATTCAAACGCTAATTCCTTTTTTCGTCTACTCTCTGTCGCTTTATTCACCCTTTAAGACTACGTTTAACGAGATGAATAAAAAAGCACCTATATAGATATAGGTTTATAAACCTATAATGACGGTTTATACAGTTTAAACAATTTTCCTCCCCGGATACCGCAGAAACAATAACTTCTCGACCATTCTACATGGTTGACAGAAAAACCGAAATCGAACTCGCTGCTCAAAGTCTCGGCAAAATCTTCTCGTAAATAAAAATATAATCGCAATAACCCGTCTTCTTCTGTTCTACTAGACCATGCCGTGAACCCACCGTAACTTACCATCTACCCCCGCAATATCTCACCATTGCAGGGTGTCATTTTTAACACAGTCTTAGCTAAAAAGAAATTCTGTTCGCGACAGGCTACATGGTCCGCCCACATCGCTCTTCTTCGAGCGATATATCTAACTAAAAATAATCACCGTGTATATGAAACAATGTTATTGTTGGCGCGTAACAATTCCTATAAATGCAATGAGTTACATCTGACTGTATACATGGTGATTCTGTTATCACGATCTAGCAATTTTCTCGGAGGATTTTTAAATCAATTAGATTTCTGTTTTTCTTTTTTTCCACAATCGTTATTAAGGTTTTTCGTTAAGCCGTATTTTAACATCATTTTTAAATTGTCACCGTTGCTCCCAATAGATAATTTAAATGGGTATTGACATTTAATTTTCAAATGGCAAACAACTCCCCCTTCCATTTTAACGCGGGCTTAAAAAAATAATATTTTCGTATACGTAACACTCACTATAATATTCGATATACTATTTATTAACGGTGAAACCGTTCAAAACTGCTAGAACCGAGCAGTAGAGTATGGCAATAATTATCGTTATAATGGTAAATAAAATAATCGCCCTGTACTGTTTTTATTGATATCTTAGAATGTTCCAAGCGAGAGTTTAGAGTTCAGCGTTGACGTTGAACCGAACAATAAACAAATACAATAATACAAAATGATTACAAATGCATACAAATATTATTAGATACAGTTATTGCACAATACGGGAACAATATTATTATTTTTTTCCGTATAAAAATTATATTAGCAATGACTCATGAGTAATGCTTAACGAACAATACAATTATTATTCAGCAATTAGCAATAGCTAATGAGCATGACTTGTGACTCATTAGATACCTACGCTATAAGCCTGTATTTATAGTGATGTTACAAACTGTCCAAATATCAAATTGAATGTTGTGAATAATATCGAACCGGACGAATCAAAAATCAATAACCCATCTTATCAATTCGTCATAATTTATTTCGATTCATTTGTATTACGTATTATAAGCTCTCATTCGTCGTCGCAATAGCTTAATAGCTCTTCAAAACTTTTAATACAGTCAACACGACACTCTTTAACGGCACGTCTCGGCGTCTTCTCAATCCATATTGCCCGATTCCTCCGAGTCTGGTTTAATTTCGTCCGGCCAACAATATCCGGATGTTCCGCCTTGATATTTCGCCTGCAATTGGTCACCGTCATATTCGTCTACAACCGCTTTGATTCCGTTTTCCTTCTTCCTGCACACTGCACGCCCGAACCGTTTGTACAGTCTCTGTCCTTTGATACAATTTGTCACGCGCGCGGTAATTTTATTGTTGTCTCACGAAGCTCCTTATCGTTTCTTTTGTCAGGGCAATACACTAATGTGATATATTGTAACATAGGACGTTAGTTTACATAATTTACATATTGTAGGTTTCTGAACAACTAGACGTTCGGCGTTGTTTTCGGACCTTTCGAGTTTTTTACCTTCTCTAAAGGTCGGTTCGGAATAAAAAAAAAAAAAAAATTGCGAATCCGCGGGCTCTGGTTACGAGCCTGCAAGGCGTTCGGTATCAAACTCGACAGGAGTCGTATGAACAATATTACGTAACAGAAATGTTCGACCTGCGCGAACACAAACACTATTGTGTTCGTACTCACGTCATGATTATAACGAAAACAAAATTGATTGGTCGCCTGTACACAGAAAAGCGGAAAATTTCGGGAAAACGTCATTCGTTACCCAGCTATTACAATAATAACGGCGTCATTAAGTCGCACTCACACGTGCAGACGCCGGCGGCTCGTTAGGTTTTGAGGTGCCTATACATTTGCCCCCGAACAAGAAGTAATTTTTCGTCGATCAATCGTCGTCGTCGTCGTTCGTACCGAACGACGGATCGCGATATTTTTTTTTTTGTTTTCCTGCCCCCATTACGGAGTGGCTGGTGCGTATTAGAGGCTATTTTGCCAGTGGATTTTGCCGCGGGAACGAAATTCGTGTCGTGTCGTATGACCAATTATTATCGTTATTAAACAGGGGAGGAAAAAAACCGTCATTTCTATGTTTTCTTGCGGCACAACGCGCGCAATTACTATGTGTGCAAACGCCACGCCCGTCGTCACCGCCAACGATCAATATTGTATTAATTACATCACATCATCGCAGTTATCGTTCGTTTGGAAATCGCCAACTACGAGTTCCAGAGGCTAGGACACGTCGGGGATTTTACAGTCGAATTTCCCCAGCACCTCCGAAAATGGAAACCATTGCGCTATAAATGGAAGCTGAAGTTCATTTTGTACAGTTTTCAACGCGGTCAAATGAAATTTTGAAAATTTTCCTGAATTACACGCCTAATGGCATAATTATTGCCGAATGGTCTGACCTGAGTATGGAGTTCTAAATAGCTCAATTCGTGTACAATTATAAATGACTTATGCCTTTACGCCAAACAAAATGTCTCCAGGAAAGCCCGCTCTACAAACGTGCTAAGTTCTCGGTTTTCTATCATATACGTTATGAAAAAAAAAAAACTCCTACATATTGCATTCAAACGTCATTGGACCTACTATAAAATGTTTTTAACCGTTTTATACTCATTTTAAACAATCGATTCAAGAAATTTTAACGGGAAACCTGATTTTTGAAATTCTGAGTGAAGCAAGGAATGTATTGGTTTTATTATGTTTTTTTTTCGTATTCTCTTTCAAAAACCTTACTCTAATCAAAAACATTCATAATATAATGAACTTTCTTGTAGCTGTTTTATCTAGTTGATGCGTTGAGATTTATATTTTATTTTTCTTGTAGTTTTCTTAATAAAAAATTGATAAAACTAGTAACATTAGATACCTATATAATTTATGTTAATTTCTCGGTTACCTTGACAACAAAAGGGAAAAAAGGACTAAAAATACTCTGCCCAAAATCCTTTTTTGTTAGTAATGGTTTATCGTCATTTACAGATAAAAACTAAATGATAAATGAATCTAGGATAAAATCCCGGCCCAAAATGCCGTCCATAAAAAATCCTGCCAAAAAAAAACAAACAAAAATAATGAAGATGAAACAAACTACAAAGTAAAAATCTTTTCTTGATAACTTTTCCGTCACACTTTACCAGGCATAGTTTGACCAGTTTTGACCTGATCTAAACTGGCGAATAGTGTTTTCAAACTTTTCAAAGTGAATTTCAAAGATACACGTTTTAAATTTAATGAACGAGCGTGTTTCAAAATTTGTTTTGGGCATTAACTTATTTTTATTTTTACTATAATATATTTATAAAAAATGTAACACTTGAAGGAAAGGGACTAAGGATAAGTAGAAGTAAAATACAGAATATATAGAGTACGAATTTAAAGAAACAGGACAAGACAGCTAACAAAAATAGTCGGTTACGTAATAAAAGAGGTTAAGAATTTGAGTACCTAAGATCTTTTTTACAAAAAGACAGTGGTTTTGACGAGGATGTGAAACATAGTATTAGGTACAGTGCAATGGAGAGAAACGTCAGGTGTTTTATATAACAAGAGAATTTCAATGAGACTTAAAGGTAAGTTCTACAAAAGTATAGTGAAACCAAATGTGTTGTATGTACGTTGAAGTGTTGAATGGTATAAACAGCTAAAATAAAACAAAAAATGAGTGTAGCAGAGAAAATAATGCTTAGACAGATAAATGGAGTAACGAGAGAAAATAGGATAAGGAAATAATATATAAGTGGAATCTTCGATAGTAGACAAAATGAAAGAAAATAGATTAAAATGGTTTTGGCAGTCATTTCAGTGGTGGATTTAAAAGGGAGTGAAGAAAGCAGTTACTTCCCTCTTGAGCCTAGATTTTTTTGAATGGCTCAAAAAATGGAAACGTTGAAATCTGCTTTCAGAATTCGTATAACTTCTTTAAACCAAACGGTGCATACGTTGTAAATAGAACACTTCTTAGTTACAATTAAGAATGAATGAAACTATAAAATAATTCTTATTGAATTAATTCAATACTGTGTGATATAAACAAGTAGATAGGTCATTATTCTCAATGAAAATAAAATGTTGAGTAGTGTTGAGATAGGTAGATGCATAACTAAACAAAACGTGCAATCTAAATTCAGTCCCCCTTCCCTTGGAGACTGATAAAAAACCACACCTGTATCACGGTAAGAGAGGAATCAGAAGCATTTATAATGAATTGTAATGGAATTAAACGTAGGATGAAAGACAAGAAGAGGAAGACCGTGGTTGGATACGATTGAGAATGATATGAGGACATTCGATGACAAACAGTGTATATGAGGAAGGAGATCGGATCAAGTGAAAATTTATGTCGTAAGTGGCCGATTCCAAATAGCTGGGATGAAGAACACGGAGAAGAAGATATTTTATCAAGAGTCCATTTGTGACCTTTGTCATTTTATTCGTTATAATAAAAATCAAAAATATAAAATTGCGGGCCTTATTTTTATGGACCTTGTCATTTACTAATTTTTAGATTCAGGGCGTTGAGAGGGTATTTATTGGGTTTTATTTTAAAAATTTATTTGAAATTCGCTATCAACCCTATAAAAAAAATACACTTGATTTGTAGTTTGTTTCAACCTCTTTATTTAAATTTTTTTTTTTCTTTCGGCAGGATTTTGTCCGACACCAAATTAAATTACTCGTCCCTTCCAACTTCCATCCTGAAATAACACATCCGTCTGCTGTATCAGCTTTTTTTCTTCATAAAATTGTTTTTTTTTAGCAATACGTAAACGATATAATCGCCAACGTCATACCGGCCGAACTGCCCCAGTGGCAGATCACGGTCATCCCGGTACAGGGGAACCAGAACGCGTTTTACCTGTTGGTCCGGATACACCATCTGTACTCATCCGAGGACGGCGTCGGGTTGAGCGATCTGCTGATGCTCCGGCCAGACGACGGTGGTGCCGGCGAGGAGCACATGTCCTCGTCGTCGTCGTCGTCGTCGTCATCGTCGTCGTCGTTATCGACGAATGGGCAGTACGCGGACGCTGACAGCATACAGAACATCCTGTCTACCGTGTACCAGGCGCCCACCGCGTTGCCCAGGCTCGGCCAACACCTGTCCGAGATCTGCGCGAACACGTGGAACGAACTGGTGTCCACGTACGACCCGTTGGAGAACCCCAAGGTGTTCAAGCGCCGGCCGAACGTATTCATATTCGGCACAATGATGGTGATCGTGACCGCGTCCGCGGCCAAGAACAAGAAGACGTCAGTGTTCCGGCGGAATTTCGCCCACCGGTTTGGCCGCGAGCTCGTCCGCCGCAACATCCGTTTCCGGTACATGTGCAAGAGCTTGATCAACACGTTCCATCCGGCCGTGTGGACGTCGTTCGGCTGGTGGTTGACGGTCAACTGCGTACTCCGGTTGCCCATCACCGTGCTCCTCGTGATCCGGAACACGTCTACGTACGTATACTGGACATACGTGCTACTGTACTCCGTGTCCGAGCTGGTGTACCTGGCCCGGTTGATATACCACGCGCCGAGCACCGTCATCCGGGAACTGGTGTTGCCGTTCTTCGGCGGATCGGAGAGTAGCGCGGGCCCGGCACCGGCGGTCGGCGGCAACAAGTGCGTCGCCTGGTCCCGGCCCATCGACCTGGACACGGTCGGCACCGTACACGATAACACGGGCGCGGCCACGTGCGAAATCCAACTGGCCATGCTGGCCGCCGTCCTGCGCGAATATTTCGCCGACAGCGGCGTGCATTTCCCGGCCGGCACCGTGATGACCACCACGAGATTCGTTTCCAAGGCCAATCTGTTCCAACTAAACAACCGGCACGTCGTCACGTACGGTCTCCTGGCGCTCCCGCTCCCGATGGACGCCGACATCGGTGACCCCATTTACTGTCTGCACATGATGCAAGAGTGTCTGCAGGAAGCCATCAGTGGCCAGACGGCACTGTACATCGCGTCCATGTGGCAGATCGACCACAGCCTGGCCACGTCGTTCCTGCCCTCACCGTTGGTCAGTTACGGGCTCGAGTTCCTGTCCAAAAAATACCCATTGTCCGTCACTTACGTCGAGGAACACAAGTCGGATCGGAAAAAACGTCGGCTCTTGTGGGGCCAAGAGGTGGACGCAATCGTTTACTGCAGACCGCCGCAGGCCAACGTCTGTAAGTGTTCCTAAATACCTAAAAACATCTACTAACCGGACCTAACCTAACCTTACCGATTACTCTAATTATTGATGAGTTTATCTACGGTTTATCGGCAACAAACAGTGTGTGAACATAAAACGTGTGCATTTCATTTTTGACTTTAGTAAACAATGCAAACAATTTTTGATTCGGAACGTAGCGATGATTTTTATTTTTTTCTGTGAACGACTTACTTTTCTACTAGAAATTTCGCTCCGATATTTCATAAATATGCAACTCTTTTTCTGAAAGGCAGTTTGATCTACTTGAGATGGTATTTTTCGAATTTCCAACGGGGTTTCATAATAATTGAGAAAAACCGGAAACGGGACAACTCACGAAAATAGGTAGGTACCAAATGCTTTTATTATTTTCAATTTTGTTTTTTTTTTTTTTTTTTTGTTGTAATTCAGGTAAAAACATTCGTAAACTTGAAATTTTAACAGAAAACCTTTTTTAGGCGTACCAACATTTTCAAACCATTTGCGCTATTTTTAAGCTAATTATAGACATTTTAATTTTGCTAGTTTTTTGCGTGTTAGAATTGTTAGACTAAACAGAAATACATGAAAATTTAATAGATGGTTCATTATAAGTCATTCTTTGTGATCAAAAACAAAATTTAGTATTTAATTTTTTTTTTTATGTAAGTGTAGGAATTTTTACAAAAGTCATAAATATAAAAAATGTATACCCGAACTTCGCTTCAAATCGTTTTTCATTGTCAATGGCTTATTGTTGTATTCATTCATATATATAATATACTAAATTCCCTTCTATATCTTACCTTCCCAACTTCTCACCTATAACAGTGGCCTATCCATCGTGCTAAGTATGTCCTTTTTTTTAAATTCTATCCTTACGTCTTACCTATAACAGTATGTCAGTCTTTTTTTTATTTAAATGTTACAGTAAGAACACATTTAGTTTTGAAGTACGGAAACATCTGATCTCAAATAATACAAATGAAAGTATAGTAACAATAATACAAATAAAATAATACAATCAATTTTGAAAAAATAATTTAACAAATATTTTCAATTTGGCACCTTCACTTTAAATTTTACAGTAAATTTATTTTTATAGACATATGTAATTACAATTTTACTTTGATTCTTTTCTAATGAATTTTTGATGAATGTAAATATCTTTGCGGCTACGAAATTTAATTCATTTTTGCTATAAAAAATTGTTATATTCAATTCTAGCCAAATCATGGACATACATTTTGTTTCAGGTATGTCGTTATCGCTAATCAACTATGGAGGACAATTGAGACTAGCAGTAATGGCCGACACAACACTAGCAAACTCGTGCAACGAAATCGTATCCAAGTACGAAGGAAATATCCAACAGTTTATATCGGCTGCAGAAAATTATGCCAAAATTATCAACACTTCAGATTAGGCTATAGTACTTAATTTTACAAGTTTGATATGTGAATTAAATTTGTATCGTTTACGCGATGAAATAATCCATTTTATTATTGTGAAACATCTATTTTTTTTCATTTAAATGAGAATCAATTAAATTAATATTAGGCATCTATAAATTAATATAATATGTACAATTAAATCAAAATACTTAAATTTAATAACAGTCATTAATTTTTTTTAAAGTAATCTGATATTTTACGCTTTACTCTTTTTTTCACATTAATATCTTCTCTGTCTCTTTTTAGAGTACTCAATGGTCCGATAACACTTGACTTTTCTACGGACTGGAAATCTTTTTGGGAATCTTTCAGTTGTAACCAACTATTTTTCTGTTGTTTAATACACTTTGTACGCTCTTCATCATTTCTTAATCTAAATTGGTTTACAGACAAAAACTTGACGTCTTGGAATTCTTGTTTGTCCATATTGTCTTTGGATTCTATTATACAATTAATAGTACTTAATTTTGAATCATCTTCGTGTTTTTCTGGAGTTGACTCAATTATGTTCAAACTCGAACTGGTCACTACCGCTTTCAATGGTATCGGCTGTTTAGAATTATTTATAATATTAATACTACCTGATTGAGAATTTTTTTCAAGTTTTTCGGGAGTTGACTTGATTATGTTTTGATTCGAACAGTCCAGTACTGTTTCAGGCAAAATCGATCGAATACAACTATTCATCATATCAATATTATTTGGTTTCAAATTGTCATCAACTTTTTCCGGAGTTGCCTCAATTATACTTGGACTTGAATTGGTCGTTACCTCTTCAAGAGTAATTGGTTGATTATAATTATTAGTATCTACTTGGGTTGATTTTTCCTCAGAATGGCATTTCTAAAAACAACATAACCAATGTATATGGTTTACCATAAACGATAAAATGTATGTTGAATGTAATTTTACGCACCAACCTGTGCATCATTGTTTATAACAGCATTATAAATATATTCATACAGTCCAACATTAGGATGGGTCAAAAAGTACATATTGTATTTAATAAGTATCTTACAAATTTCACCTGTAAAAAAAATGTAATTATCACACAAATATACGAATCTGATAGCATAATAAACTAACCAACTGTGAGATTTTGATTTTTCAAAAATGTGTGCATATCATGAATTGATTCTTTCAACGTAGTATCACCAAATGTAAAGTAAGCAACATCTCGATTGGCTTGAGCGGCACTCAAAAATTGTAATAATGATTTTAAGTGGCAATCGCCCTGAAAAGCGCCACAACCCCAATTTCCTGTTGCAATTGCAACATTCGAACAATCCGTATTTTGTCCCCAGGAAAATCCAGCATACCCCTATGCATAATTTAAAAAAAAAATCATTAATTTAAAATCAAAAAAATCAAAATAAGTTCTTACTTTGTTTAGTTCTCGTTTTAAACTCTTTGGAGTAAATTGAACTTTAGGATCTCTGTAATAAATTGCATCAATCGCCACAACAGTACAATGGCGACGATTATTATTATCAACAGGAGTAATATCTACATGAACACCATCCCACTCAAAGGAATCAGCATATCCGCTGTAATTACTGAATCTTTGCACACCTAAAGATTGATTACATAAAATGTTTAATAAAAAAATAAAAATTTAAAATACACTTCAACCTGTTATCACAATTGCTTCAGTAGCTAACATTTGTTGTGAAAATAACTGAGATACCAAAAGTTCAGGACATATTAAAAAACGGATTTCTTCTTGTACACAGCCATGACCAAGAACACCACCACCGATAAATCTAGAAACGAACATAAAGGTCATTCTATACTGTGCCTATAAATTAAATCCTTTTACACTTACACTACACTTACTTGTTTGCAAAATCTATTTGAAACATACCATCACCGTCGTCTTCTATTGTTCCAGCAGATGTTATATACAAATTTGTCAACTGTTTATTTGACTTTAACCAAAACGGCAGCATATTATCAGGTAAATATCTCCTGGAATATGTCACAATACCACTAAGATCTGAAAAAATCAAATACTTTGAGTCTACAATGATCAATTAATAACAAATTCAAATAAAACTCAATATATCTCAGGGTATTTTTCCAATCACATACCTATGATCTATTTGACGTAACATAAAAAATAATCATTTATTTTTGGTTTTGATTAGAATTAATTTACTCACCAGAATCATCAGTAGTGACTTTTTTGAAATAACAAATTATGCATTTTAACTTTTCAAACAAACAGTTATGAGATGAACTCAATACTCTTAACTGAAACAATCTGTTAACAAAAAGAAATTAAACTATAAATATATTACAACTGATTTTTTATAAATATTTTTTTTTATACTTACTCATGAAAATTTATCTGTGGGTATGACGAATATTCGGAATGTAAAGTACTAACATTCCGATGTGGAAAAGTGCATAAAAAAGCATTTGCCAATAGACAAGCAATTTGCATTTGAGTAAATGATATCGAATGACTTGAATTTTGTTTCAATAAAGGTATTGGTGAAGTTATTAATTTAGGTAATTTTAATGCTAATTCAATGATTTTTGGTAATAAATTGTTAAAAAATGAATCAGTTTCTTCTTCACTCAAACACTGCAAAAAAAAAATATTTATTTTTACTTTGAATCTGTCAATAGATTACCTATATCTAATAATAAATTTGATTTGGATTGCTCATAATATGCTTTGATGTTTATATGCCATCCTACAGTTCTCTAACACAATTCAATAGCTAATTATTTATAAGTTCCTTGTACCAGGGTACAAGATTACAGTTTTCAGTTACCTAAGCCATCAAAATAACTTGACATACGATCAAGTAATTAGTACTAAGAGTATAGAAGGGACACTCAAAGTGTCAACTGCCATTAAACCGACATCAGAATGAACACATAGTTTTAGTATAATGTCATTTAATCGGTGTTAAATCATTAAAATAACACAACAAGCTATTAGAAAATTGAAAAATAGTATCAGCAGCCTAAATCAGTGGTTTTTAACTGGGTGCCACGGTACACTGGGCATTCACTAGGTGTGCCATGGTTTTTTGAAATTTGTTTTCCTTAAATTGGGATAAATCACCGGTTACGGTGATCTACTTGATAAGTATGAAGTTGTAACACTTTTAATTATGACTCATCAATTTTGTTACTAGTTCTAATTTTGTGCAAAAAAATTAAACAATGACAAAAAAAAGGTTACAGTGTGCCATGAAAATGTGAAAAGTGAAGTGTGCCGGGGTCAAAAAGTTTGAAAACCAATGGCCTAGAGTCGGTTTTGTAGCCACTTAATGTATGTCTGACATTGGTTATCTACCATCACCTGACCTCAATCTGAAAATCCACCTTTTCTGTGATCCTAGTACCAAATTTCAGTTTTAATTAAACTATTAAAATACATCTTTTAGATTCTGAACAGAATGAGGAATATATTGGTTTTACAAAGATGTATAATTTTTTTTTTTATCTATTAACAACTTTTCTATCAGAAATAATTTTGCTCAAATTTTTAAGTGTAGTACTTTTTCTGAAAGTAAATTTGGACTGGAGTGGTACTTTAGGAAGGTAATTTTTTTGAATTTCCTAAAGGTTTTCATAATAATAGGGAAAACTGGGAAAAAAACGTAAGAAAAATAAACAATTTAAAAAATGTATTATTTTCAAATCATAAATAACGGCCATTCAAAACATGTAAAACCGAACTTCACTCAGAATCATTTTTTGTTAGCAATAATTAATTGTTGCATACAGATAAACATTAAATTTCCCCTGTACCTTTCTAATTTCTCACTTACAACCCATCCATCAAGCAAAATATGTTCGTTTGTTTATTTTTTTTAAGACTATTATCAATAACATAAAAACGTTCAATTTCTTACCAGGAACATGTAACATTTTAGTTTTATTTAGCCCAGTTAGGAAACCCAAAATTGTATCAGTTAAATTATTTTAATGAATAAGAGAGTATATTACTTCATTGAAAAATGAATGTAGTAAATGGAATCGCCATCTCTCCTTATATTTAAGGTTATACAATAAAATAGCTTTTTCTAATTCTTCACTAGATGTTATTGGTCTCGTTAAAGCGTTGTTTATAATATCCCAACGCCTTTTTCTACAGTTCTAGAACGTTAAAAATCAGAAAAGTTTTTTTTTGACATTAGAATAACAAACTACAGAAATACAAACATTATCTTTATCAATGAGTGAATTATGTTTTGAACATGGCATTTTCACATGGTTATGATCCCAGCAATCATGATATTCTTTAGGATATGGTTCTGGTACAATGTTAGTGTTGATTGGAGTCTATAAAAAATATTTCATTTATATTAAACTATAGGAATAATTGTACAATATTATGAAACTTACTCTAAACATTAATGTATGTTGTGGACTGTGTTTAAGTAATGGGAACAATGTTTTATTAAAACTTCTAGGCAGCATACTTTTATCAATTCCTTTCCAATTTGTAAAACAGTCTTGACTTTCATCTGAAATATTTTCTCTATATATTCTCTAGTTTAAACTAGAATAAACAATATATTCAATATTGTAATTGTTATTATTAATACAGATGTAATTATATTTAGACAATTAAATTGTTTATTATGTAGGTAATTATAGATTAACTTTTATACAATTCCTATGTGTTTAAAATTTTCAAAAACATTAAAACTCAAAAGATTAATTTAAAAATTGAACAACATATATTTAGTGATAAAAAAAAAAAAATGAATAACAAATTTACAAACGTCTAGAACAAGTAAAACAAATATTACCTTTGTCAATTAAAATTTACAAAAGAAACAAATATAAATATTTAATAATAAACAAAGTAGAGGCCTGTAGAAAATAAATTAAAAAAATTAAGAAATTATTTGAATTTAGACATTAATAAACAGGAAGTATTGTCTCACCACTTTCCATAGTTGAAAAATATAATATCCTTATATCTTTCTAAATCGTAAATAAAAACAATACTTATTCGAAATGATAAAACATTTAATTAGTATTCCTAATTAAATTAGTTTATTTTGTATTTCTATGTAGTAACTACTACGTACTGTACATTTGACGTTTAATTGCTAATGAGTTATCATGGCATTTAGCCATATGAGTTATGAAAATTGAAATCGTACATCACCGTGATCACACAAATAATATTATATTCAAAAAACATGAATGAACTGATAATGATAACGATAAATTGATAAACCGTAGTGGTAATAAACAGACAGTGTTGTCAAAAAAACGTCACGTAAGATCATCAATTTGTCGTCCTGGGTCAATCTGGGAATACGTTTCCAAAATGGCTGCGAAAAATCTTGGCGGTCGATTTTTATTTTATATAAATTCGTTTTGATGTAACGAAAATGTATACTGGCAAAGGCATTATTATGATTTGGAATGGCGATTATTTACTTCTACGGTTTACACAATTTCGGTAAAAAGTCTGAACATCGTCGGGAAAAAATGTCCGATAAAACATGTGTTTCGAGAACATCCTTATGTTTTCCAGGGATGATAACGGAAACACTAACCAATGGCAAGGTGCGGTTGGTGATAAAAAAAAAAAAAAACAAAACAAACTTGGGAGTACCAAATCTGTGTCCTGTGACATTTTCACGCCTAATATATTTTATTCAAACGAATTGTCGGATCGATTGGTTTTCGTCATGTAATAAAGCAGTAATCGCGTATTTTAATCATTCAAAACTCCGTTTTAATTCGAATCGGAGGTCGGTGTCGAATATCGGTTGCGACTCTTAAGGAATTATTATGGCGTCTGTTGACGATAACTCGGTACCGCTTGGCGACGATACTCTAGACATCACCGAAGGATTGAAACAGTTGAGCGTCGCTAGAGCTCAAATTAATTCGTTGAGGTGAGTAGTTGTAGTAATCTCGGTGCTGTACTTGGTGGACGGTACCCGCCGTATACCTTCTGAACATTTCGAATAAACTCCGTATACGTACCGGTAATTTCTAATAAACTCCGTATACATTCGGGATGAGGCCGTATGCTCTCCAGTTATTGTGAAATCGCGAAAAATTATACACAATTATTTATTGTTATTGCGATTTTTGGTTGATTACAAAAACTAATACCTGCCAAAGACGATTCAAATCGATACTGTAAAACAAACAATTTGGCTATTTAAAAATATACGTTTTACGGCAATGTACTGTAAATTAGACAATCGACAATCAAAATAACATTTCGAGCTCTGATCTATGTACTTAATGTAAAAATAGAATCCGTCGCCGCCGCCGTGTGACGTGTATATTCACGGTATATTGGGTACTTCCTTCGTTTGTCATCTTGTCTTGTATGCTATACACCCTGCTTATAGTATATTTATTTTTTTTCAACGACTTCACTGAGTAATTTTAGTGTTGTATAAAATCCTGCGTGTTCAATGCCTATGTATATATATATATATATATATTTGTTTTATGCATATTAATATTTATAGAAAACAGAACGAATCGTTGAAAAAACAGTTGAACGAAAGTAATGTAAACGTTTCGGATGAACCTGTAGGGGCGGCTGCTCAAATTCAGGAAAAAATAGAACTGACCGTTATAGGCACGATTAAAACGAAATTCAAGGAACGCAGATGTGTACCGAGACAACCTGGCCTCTGTCCGTTAGCCCAAGCTCGCCTTACTATCTCAAACTCTGTGTTTACAAATCCCAATCATGCTCTCGAAGGCCTTGGCGATTTCTCGCATATGTGGTAATAATTATTAATTGAAATACATTTCGTTCATTTTATGTTGAAACATTAAATTTTAAATGTAATTAAATATTTCAGGATTTTATTTCATTTTCATAAGAACGAAACTACACATGTTCATGCCAAAGTATCGCCGCCGAGATTAAACGGTTTGCGGACTGGTGTACTCGGCACTCGATCTCCGCACAGACCCTCGCCTATTGGTTTGTCTTTGGTGCAAATTGATAAAGTGGAAGGTGGAATTATTGTTACTTATTGATATATATATATATATATTGATATATTGTATTTGTTTAGTATACAAATTCTAAATAATTGGTTTGATTGTTGACATTTTAGGCAACTCTGTTTATTTTTCTGGCGTTGATATGATAGATGGTACTCCAGTGTTTGATATTAAACCGTACATCCCTCACTACGATGCACCTGTTTCACTGAGAACTAATCAACATGTTACATTGTTTGATAATGGCTCGCATCAATTACTTTTGGATCCTTTGACAGCTGACCGAGAAGCACCAGACGGAGAGGAAACAGATGCTTACGATCATAATATGCCTCTTTCCCCACTCCACACAAGGGTACAATTTTTTACAAGTTATTATAGTGTTGTAATCATATTATTTTATGTGTATAATATATATATTTTGAAATAGGTTAGAGTTCCTTTATGGATTACTGAAACGGCAACAAATCAACTTGATGTGCAGTTCTCATCGAGGGCTCGAGAATTTTTAGATAGATTGGAGACTAATGATATTGAAACAACTATAGTGAGCGTTTTAAAAGAAGATCCTCGGTCTGTATATGTCCGTGAGCGTTATAGCAATCAATTTTACACGTTTTTAATTGGAGGCTATCATGTGAGTTGCAAGTTTGATGACAGTAGACATATAATAAGTGTATACAGAATATCACTCGTTGACAATTTGGATAACGTAGAAAATCAAGATGGTGCCCATTACTTGTCTGTAGTTTAATAACTATTTTTATCATTATGTTCCTTATTTAACACTATTTTACAAAATAGTGATTATAGTATAGCACTAATTCCAAAGCTATAAGTTTTTTTTAAATATAATTTTTGAACTATAAATTATTCATTAACTTTAGTAATTTAATGTAAATTTTTCAGCTGTTATCATTCTTAAGTTTGAATTAGACTATGCAATCTCTTTTTTTTACATTTATTCCCTTAGTAAATATTGAACTAATCGTACCTAAAATAAGACTATTGAAAATTAAGTTATAAGAGATTGTTGTGCTGAAATTTTGCATTAGCAATTTAAATATTGTCTATAGGTCATAGGCAAATGTCGATGTAAGACTTAAGTTAACCAGATGATCCAACAGATTGCTTAAAAGTCAAACCTAACACAATCATAATTATTTGCAATATTTTACATCAATATTCATATTTATTTTTTCAATCTTAACTATCTGGTCAGCATATTTGTTAGTCATAATTCAGTAAAGTATACATGTTAACATAAAAGTTTACCTCCTGAAGTTATTTATGAAAATGTAGTTATGTGTGATAATTATTGTTGATAAGTCATGAATTAAACATATTTGTATGTGTAGATTTTTATTAGAAAAATCTCCAATTATTGATCTCCAAAAATAATAATGGGCACCTCTGATGTATTAGGCTAAGTGATGTACGTATTATACATATGTTTTTTTGATGTTTTAGAAGTTTTCCAAAGAATACATGTAATTTTTTTTTTTTAGTGTGTATTTTTGTGTTAAAAATAATGAAATTAATCGTTTTATTAATTTCTTCTTCTTTCCATCTTTTCCTTTACATTATGAAAGTTAATTATAAATTATATTAGATAAATAAATACATATACTTAGCACAATTACATGTTTATAAGACTTTTTTTTTAATTTGATAATCTTTTATCAAGTTATGTGTACATAGAATTATTGCGATTTTAATATAATTATATTATTTATAATATAATATATTTTTAAACAAACACAATCATGTATTGTGAATTCAATAGTTCAATAATAAATAAATAAATACAAATCAGATTATAGTTATATTGTCTTTAATGAATTTCATAATAATACAATACAAATAAAAAACCTTACAAACAAACACTAATTCTACTATCAAAATACCGTTCCTCTTATAATCGAGTACAAAAAACTGGTATACATTAAAAGGAAAAACTTCAATCAAAATGATTATATTATTAACTTTAAAAAACACACACATTGTTTGACAATTTTTTGTCAAACACAATATTTTATTATAGTAAAATATCTTGCACACAACACTAAACTCAAAACAAAGCTTATAAGAAAAACCTTATGAGAATATGAGAAAATCATTATAATAAGTATATATATTTGTAACATTTTAAAAAAATTGCCAACACATACTACATTTACGGTCCTAGTTTTTAATTTTATAGATCAATAAACTATACCATTTCCGTTATGTAAGGGTACCAAACATAGTTTTCTGAACAAAATATTCTTTGTAATATTTGTGTAATTGAACAAATTTTTAAAATCCAAATTCTATTTTAATAAAACTGGAGATATCTCTTATATTATAATTTGATTTTTTTATTTTGTTTGTATACAATAACTATATTATACTGTAAGGTTTGTGAATATTATTCATATGAAAATCAGATTCATCAAACTGAGTCAAAATATTATCATCTTAACACGAGCAGTAAACCAGAAAGCAATAAAATTTCCTTATCCATTACACTTATTATTATAATGTAAATAAATAATATGCTTTTAATTGGATTAATATATTATTGACTTAAAAATTCAGATTAACACACTGAAACATATAACAAACGAAATAATATGTCAAGACATTAAAAAAAAGATTGCTAAATATTATTTGTGTTTTAAAGAAAGAACATTTAATAATATCTAATTCAAATTTTTTAAATAAAGGAATAATGAAAAAATTGGGCAATTGACTAGCATTACAGGATTGTTATAAACTTCAAATCTTAATGAATAAAACTAAAATTGTCTAAATATAAGAAAACATTCAAATGGAAATTTCATAAAATAATATATAAAATTGAAACAGTAGAGTCTTTTGTGTAAAGATAGGTTCTTTTTTGATTCCTACGTTTAGTAACTAATGGAAACTGCAAAAACAAGACAATTAAATTGTTTAAAAATTACTCATTAAGAATATTTGTGTGTTAAATATTATGAGTGTTTTAAAATAATTGTTTATGAAGACAACTTTTACTTAATCAACCCCTGTGTGCTCTCCATCTTACATATTTAAGTAAAATATGAGATTGTGTCAAATTGCAATTTAAAAAAGCTTTTATACTCGCTCAAAAATTAATATACCGAGAAAAATACCAAAGTCTTGTACAGATAATGTTTTTATCTTTATGTTTGATAATAGACCAATTTACTCAAATATTAAAACTAACAAAACAGATATCATCTTTGGTGAATGAAAATTATCTATGTCTTATGTCATAAGACGGAGACAGCACATGCAGGTGTAGGGTCCACTTAAATTCATAAATTTTAAAAATATTGGCGATATTTACTTTAGATATTTTACTAAACACTGAATACTGAAATAAATTTTTGATTTTAAGATTATAAAAAAAAAAAAGGCATTATTTATCCTACTCAATCACTGTTCACCTTGGCACATTTTTGTGTAATGGCATATTACTGTTTACTTTTTATGTAAGCATCATGTTTGGCTTCCAGATTTGTTACAATTAAATATTCAATCTCAAGCCCTGTCTCCGAATCTGCAGTGCTCAGTGTTATATCTTCTATGCCATCTCTAGATACCAACTTGACATTGTGTTTCCTGGTAGATAGTAAGTTGCCGATAACAAGCTAAAAATATTAAATAATAATAATTGTGTGTTAAAAATAACATGATAATTTAAACTAACTTGATGTTTGTATTTAGCAAGCGCCGATTTGCATTTCTCAAGTAAAATTTCGGCATCAGTTTCCAACTTGAATGATATAATATAAGCGTTCGGAGACCAAATATGAGTTACAGCTGGTAACACCTTAGGTACTAAACGCAAAGCAATTAACGGAGGTCCATCGTTAGATTGATGTTTATGTTCTTTCTACACAAAAAAAGTATATACATTTAAAAAATAATTTGAAATTATTCCATAAATAATCTTTAAAAATTAAACTAACACGCATAACAGTTAATTATAACATATTTGCTTTATCAATAAACATAGGAGTGAAAACATCAAATATATTATAATGTTAATAATTTAACACATCAAACTGTTTTTTTTGTCTAACATAGTAAACACATAAGCAGAATCAAGAGTTGTTTCCTATTTTTAATATCACAGTAAAATTACATTACCTATTATACAATTTTCAAGGTATACTTTGATATTTGGATTCTAAACCAAGTTAGGACATTTAAAATATAAGAAATTAAAGAAATCCTTAAAAAATAGAATCAATGTGAAAATATAGATAATGATCTTATTTTTAAAATAAAAAATTGTTTTCATTAATTCTAAAATGAAAGATTCTTTTGCATTTATTACTGATATTATACACTTGTATAATATACAATATACTGTTCAGGCACATTGCCTATATAACTGCAGCCAAAAAAACCAGACAACTAAGTAAAATCATTGATATACATGTAATTAATTTCAAGTTTGTCTGGTGAACAACCCATTGTTCAGTTGTTTAGACAACATACTTCATGTAATAATATCATAAATATGAATGTGAAATATTGTTAACAAACATCGATATATATCCACTTAAAAAAAAAATTTAACATATAATACCTTAATATTATTAATTATAAATACAACCAGTTATTAAATTATCTAATTAATAATTCTTAAATACCAGTAATTAATATAAAACTAAAATACTACCATTTCACTAGGTGGTATGTAAAAATCAGAAACGGCAGCAGCAAAGTACAGCATACAATACTTAGTGTCCAAAAGCATGCAACAGCCTCTCACCAACCACATATACTCAATCAATGTAGTGAAAGAAATTGACAATAATCTATTAGCTTCTTTAGCGTCTTTAAACTTCTTCAACACTGGATAAAGTGTATCAAATTCAGATTGCTTCACTGCAAAATAAATTGACATTATTAATACATGGTTACAAAAAAAATGTATGTACAACTACTTGCTTTGTATTGATTTGTTGTCCACAATCTCGAATTTATCCAACAATGAATTATTGAAATGACGAACAAATGGCTCCAACGAATTTGAACTAAAATTATAAATTTAAAATAAGTTTTCAAAAACTGTGTAAAAGACAATTTTATACTTTTTATTTTTAGATTGAATTTCAATGAAAACAAATAGAACTCACCGGTAAAGAAAAATAACACAATATCCACACTGAAGAAAGTATTCGGCAGAAGCCGAACCTCTAGTCCCAACACTAAAATTGTCAACAAAACGAACAGTATTATGTTCAATTGGCACAGTAGTTCCTCCAGACTAAAAATAAATTGAATTATTGATGTTAAAAATTGTTAGTAAGTACATTCAAATATTGATACTTTAAATGTTTTAACAGCTTGACAATTTTATATCCATTACATAAAATCAAGTGCATATATTTTAAATTCTGACGTTAGCAAAGGAGTTATTACTTCATTAGTATCACAATATTATATATTAATTTTTTACTTTTTATTCTCTCATTAATTAACAATATTATTAAAGTTACAATAGAGTTAGATATTAATTTTTAGTCCATATAACTTGGAACTAATTACTATTATTATTTCAATTTGCATAAAATTTAGTACATACAAAGTGTACAACAATAAATAAAATACATTTAAAATTATAGATATCATAAAATATAACATAGAAATTTAATGGGTTAAAATATATAAGTTAACAAATTATTTACATTAGTAATTAACACTGAGACCTATCTACTGATTAGATTCAAATTTTATTTATGTAAAAGAATATACTTTCATTTTAAACGATAAAATTAAATTATTTAATTACTATATCAAAAAAATAATATCTGTATGATGAAATAATTGATAATATACCAGTAAATATTATTTTTTATGCATGTCATTAAATAAAACAAATAAATTGTCTAAAGAATTATGAAGTTATATAAATGAGAATTGTATTGTAGTTGAATGCAGGCCACAGCTGCATAGTTTTGAAATGTGTATAAATTATCAGACTATAAACACAAGTATACTACAAATAAATCAACTGGTGGCATACGAACAACAGAAGGTCAAGGTGACTGAAGGGGCTAACCCCTCACCAATGTACTTCTGTATTACAAGTGATTGTCATAAAAAAAATTTTTTTGATACCTAGTTATTGTTTATTTCTATTGATTTTATGTAGTCATCTTTTTGAAAATGTTATACCACTGATTTCATCATTGATTTATAATACATATTTCAATTAATGAAATAAATAATTATTTGTAATAATCAAATTCACTGAAATCAAACTTTTTTCAATTTATATTATATATTATGAAATTGAATTAAAGGAATGCCTTAATTTTTAATACAGAGATGATAATCTACGTAAAAAACTGTAACATATAGATCAAGTGGGGAAGCAATGTAAAAATAATAATAATAATGTTCAAAGAAAGATGTTCCCAAGCTTCCAGGGTATATTCCACTATATAAAATTAAATCTAGACTCATCAATATTATAACTGTTGAATACACTACCACTTTTTTTTTTTTTTTATTAAATAATTTGATATCACCGATCAACAATACAAAGTACATAATTAAATTTTATAATTAATAAATTTAAATATTTTTTTATTAACATTTAAATCATACTTACTGTTACGAAAACAATTTTTTCATTTTCATGGCTGCACACAAAATTCTCTACTTCACAAATGGTTGGTTCGTGGGTTGACGGGGAGGGATGTGTGTCGTAAAATGATTCCCAATCCATATCTAAAGTATAAATAAATAATGTTTATTCCAAAGAGTACAGACGGTTAAATTAATTTCAAACAATGAGCGGTATATATACAATATTTGCTTAATATGATTCACAATGACAGTTTTTCAATAAATTGAAGTAGCTATGTAATGGGAAATAATATTAAACAAGTATAACTTGTTTGAAATATTGTATAGTGGCCCTGAACTATAATAATGATCTAGTTTAAAATCCCAACCTTCCTGGTCATATAAGTTTTCACAGTAAACCTAGAAATATTTGTTGACAAACAAGTGACTCCCAAGCATTCACTAAAAATTGGTGAATTGTCATTTATTTATGATTTAGTAAATAATAATAAGAATGAAAAAATGTCAATAATATTTTGTTTTAGGAAATGTAGGAAGGCTTAAAGCGGGAAATCAATAATTTTTGGGCTTGGTTACCTACTTACCTACAATAATATGTTTAATTCATGTTACAGATTTTTTTTGAATTAAAAGACAGGTTTAAAAGAACGAAAGAGGATGACGGAACGGGAGGATCTAGATATGTAGTTAATTGGTCAGTGGGTATAATCAAAAGAAGTAGTTTTTCAGGTATTCGAATAGACAGTGGAAAGGGCGGAGGGAGTTGTCGGGAGGACGGCGTCCGGCTCGAAACAGTATTAGACGGCCCGTCGCATTTTCGAAAACGAGTTTACACTCGGGAAGGACATACTTACCGGTCGTCTGTAATTTATTATTTACCTACTCAATGAAGACGTCGAACCAGAACGAAATAATTAGCAACTAAGTAGATGAACGGTAAGGCGAAACGGCGAACACGACAACAGGTGAACAACAGCTACGTACGGTCTGTCAGAGCACTCGGAGTTGAATGTATGGCTGGGCTTTTATCGTCACGGCGGTGGCTGGCAGGGTAGTAATTGTACCGGCGACAGAATCGATTTTTACACTTCCCACCCGCCGTCGACCATCGACCGGCCGGTTGCTAGGCAGCATTGGCGGCGGCGCTGTAGGGACCGGCAGCTCAGATAAAGCAGCGCCGTCTCGGCCTCTCGAGGCTGAAGCATAGACAGTCGTCAAGAAATTAGATATTAGAATATTATCTAATCCGGGAAGTTCGGAACACCGCCGTTTGGAACGTGATTCGGTGTGTGATTTGATAAGGATACGCCGGCGCCGTGGTAACGTCATGATAACGCGACCACTTTTACGTAACCGCGGTGTGGGGTCTTTGGTGTCGAGTGGTATTATTATTTTAACCACGAAATAAGATTCCGATTACGCAATAACACGTTTATTATTATCTAGCCCCGTGCTATTTACACTGTTATCAGACCCGGTACGCCGACCAACGGGATCGAGGTATTGGTGCGCGGATCGGGTCCGATTGGCCGTCGTCGGATGGCCGAGATACCGAGTCAGAAACGCTGCCGCGTGATAACGGGTTGTGACGAGACGGCCGCGAAGGCGAACCGCGAACACCACTCGCGCGCGGCTTACCGCTGTGTGCGCGTTCACAAAATCACAACACAGTACACACCACCGTCGGGAAAAAAAAAAAAAACCTTATACCTGCCTGCCTATCTACCTACACCGCGGTCCGCGGCTGCCACACTACGATCCACGGGAATATAGGTAGCCAGGTACGCGACGGTGAAAAGGAACGCAGCGGTTGCAGACACGCGACCCGCCGGACCGACCACGGCGACTATTGCCGTGTACCGCACCGATTAGTTACCGGCGCGACGTCGGCAGCTGTTGAACGTGTTGGACGTACGTGTTGAGCGCGTGTGTGCCCGCAATAATATTGTTGTGACGTCGTGTGACCGGCAACGACCGATCGGCCCGCTGGACTAGGTATTTGGTAAGCCGGCCGAGTGTCGACCAGTCACGCAATAATAGACATACATAGTATAGTTACTGGTTAGTTGCCCGCCGGCGTTCCGACCGCGGAGATAACCATCGTCAGCCGAGCGTCACGTCACGGCGAGATGACATTGCAGGCCATCAGGTACGAGAACGGCACGTTAGAAGTGTTGGACCAACTGCTGTTGCCCAAAGAATCAAAGTACATACCCATTTTAGGCGTCGAAGACGGATGGAAGGTCATCAACAAGATGCAAGTACGTCGCTCTGGTTTGGTACCTCGTACACGTCCCCCCCTGCTGTGGTCCGACACACCGTGTAAGTTTCCCTGACCATTTTTTTTTTCAATGTGTCATCCTAGGTCCGTACGCACTCCGCTGCTGCGTGTCAGGCTAGTTTTTTTCGACAACACCATTCACCCTGTACCAACCTGTCCATCCGATAGTCTAATCGTTATCATCACAACTTTTGAATTTATTTTGCACATAGAAATTTCCTTGAAAATGTAATGTACCCATATACACTAATCAAGCTTAAAAGGAACACTTATTTGATTATCACCATACAATTGTTGAGCAAACCATATGTTCACATGCTCATTAAATTATTATATCCCACAGTGCTAACAAAAAATATTTATACACCCAGGTATTAAATAATCTACACATTATTAATATTATAGGTTTATGTTCCAAGTTGTTTGATTTTAATTAAAAAATGAACAAACTATTTGACTAGCTTATCTATGCATCAAATTGCTCTTTCTAAATTAATGTTTTCAGATATTAGTCACCACGTTATTTACATATTATTATGTGTTATACATTTAAATACTTGCAAAGTACCCACAATAGTTTGTAAAAAAATACTAAATAATTAACTTAATTTATCATATTTAGATAGGTGCTTAAAAATAAAATATAGATTTATAATACTTTCCTTTTCAAATAATAAGTACCTATTTAAATTTAAAAATATAAATAATATGTATACCGAATTTGTAGTATATGTAGGGTAGTTAGATTAACAGAAAACATATTTTTTTATCTTTTTAACATCATCAGTCATGTTGAGGCACCAATTTTTTTTTTTTTACTAATTATCAAACTTTATATTTATTTTGGAAATATTATATTCTTGGTTTTTTTTTTCTGCAGCAAGATTACAAGAATATACCTACCTATATTATAAATAAATAATTGAATAATCAAACACGCATAGGTATAAATGTTTTATCATAATTGCTACTTAATGACCTATAGCTTTATTTATACTTTAAGCCTTCCCTGTCTTAAAAATAAATGCCATATGTACATTGTAGTACGATTATTAACATGTGGTTAATTCATATTAGATAAAAGCAAATTTATGATTTTGTAATACAAATTGAAAAAAAAAATAAGCATATCCAAATAATATAATTCTGAATATAATCATATGAACAATGGTCATAAATTTAATAGTGCTTATCGTACATCTTATCATTTTATAAATAGAATTAATTTAATGTATTACATTTAATGAACATAATAATGCATATCATAATGTAGCAAACATAAAATATATAGTAAAATATGTATATTGTTTTATTATATATCTAACTAATTGTTAAATAATTATTTAAAATATAGATACTTATTTCACTAAACACTATATAAAATGAATGCACTTAAACACTAAATTACCTACCAAAATGTATGTTTCCTGTAGGTGGGTATATAATATATTATAAGAAATAAAATGCCCTCAGTTCATGTGGTGGTATTAATATTTAAAGACCATAAGAATTGTTGTATTTTTATTTTTTATGAATTTTGATCCCCTCTTAATTATTCAGTCCTCATTCTTCAAAACTTGATCAAATGAATAATTTATTTCCCTTTCATATTATCACATATTTTGTTATTATCCCTTCATTATAATACACTTTTAAGTTATTTCATATTTGGGAATCATATTAATTGTCAAACTGTAATAGTTATTGCATGTAATTAATAATGTTATTTATTACCAATTATCATAGATCAAATGATATTAGGTAACAATTATAATTGGGTGTACTATATTTATATTATAATATAATTATCTATAATACAATTTTCTTTATCGCTTTATTGTATTTTAGGTAAGAGGCGCTCCAGCCATTGCCATAGTTGGGTGTTTAAGTTTAGCTGTAGAAATATCAAAAGAAGAATTTGAAAAGAAAAAAGCCCTTCGGCGAGAAGTTGAAGGCAAACTGAATTATTTAATATCTGCTCGGCCGACTGCTGTAAATATGAAACAGGCTGCAGACCATTTAATATCTTATATAAATTCTTTGGATAATGATGAATCAATTTCAGCACAAGAAATGCAAGCAAGGTATATTTCTAAGATGGAAAATTTAATTGTAGTAAAGTTAAATAAAAAAAATTAATGAATGTTTAAGGTTTGTCGCAGCTATAGAAGCAATGTTAGAAAAAGATATATCAGATAATAGATCAATAGGAGAATTTGGAGCTAAAGCAATTTTAAACAGTGTTATGGATGGTGAACAAGTTCGTATTTTAACACACTGCAACACTGGTTCATTAGCTACTGCATATTTTGGTACAGCATTGGGTGTTGTACGTTGTCTACATTCTGCTTCAAGACTGGGTAAGATGTTTGTTGCTGAAGTTTTAGATTGCTTAATACAGATGTATATCAGTTAAATTGTTGATTGATAATTTTTCAGAAAATTGTTATTTTACGGAAACCAGGCCCTACAATCAAGGTGCTAGGTTGACTGCCTACGAATTAATTCATGATAAAATACCATCAACCCTTGTTTGTGATAGTACTGTTGCCTATTTAATGAAGACTGCTCAGATTAGTGCTGTTGTTGTTGGTGCCGATAGGGTCGCATCAAATGGAGATACAGCTAATAAAATTGGAACTTATCAAGTTAGTATTTTGAATAATTTAAATTTATTTTTAGAAAAAGTGTCTTTATAATTTGTTTAACTAAAATTGTTAATAATAATATAAATTAACCGATACATATTTTTAAATAGATTGCTGTTGTAGCCAAACATCATGAGGTTCCGTTTTATGTAGCTGCTCCTTTAACTTCAATTGATTTTAGTGTAAACACTGGTGATAATATTGTGATCGAGGAGAGACCACAAATCGAAATGACACATATAAATAATTTGAGAATAGCATCTCCAGGTAACACAAATTGTAAACATAGTATGTACCTATATAAATATTATTTTATTCAATGGCACAAAGGGTAGTTCATTAACAATGCCGAATTGAATGTGTTCTTTCTTTGAAATTTAAGAATTTTCTAGTTGATTTTGCTGAGTATGCAACAGAATTCCTACTTAATTTCATTGATTTAAGTTGAGATTTAATTTAATTTAATCTCAGAGACATGAAAGAATTCAAAGTTGTAAAGATTGGGTGATCGATTCTGGTCTTTAATTACAATCATCCAATGGAATTAAATTATAAAAGATTTTGGTTTAGTTATTGTACTACAATTTGTTGTACACATGTCTAGTACACCATAACCACAAATTGTAAAATATGACAACAAATCAATATAGAATATATCTAATCGGTAAAGTCAGCAGATGATATTTATAATAAGATCAGGGTCATTAACTCATTAGTATAAAATAGAAGGCATATAATTCAAAACTGCTGATGTTAATGAAACACCCTAGTAGTTGATTTGATGAAGGGCTTAAAGGATAGTATTTTACTTAAGTAATTACACATAATATATTAAGTAGTTATATTTTATTTACTATTTATAAATACAAATTTAATAATAGTTATGAAAAAAAAAAAGGTACTTGTAAAGAAATATGTAATTTTAAGGCTATTTTCGCCCTCGATCAATTATAAGATAACCAACCAACTGTGGTCAGTTGTCAGACATAAACTCAGTTTAAAAATCAGATAAACAACTTTGTGTTGGTGAAAGCGGCCCTTAAATAAAGCAAAGCTGTATAGGTTTCAAATTTATTATGACCGGTTTCAGTAAAAATCCATCATCAGGAAATAAAATAGCATAAATTTATAAATTGAGTGAACAAAATACAAACATAGTTAAAAGAATATCAAACAAAAATATTACTATTTTATATTCCTTTGATTTTTAGTTTTTTTGGTAGTGATTTTTAGTCAAATCTGGCCATAATAAATCTAACTATGTGTCTGATAAATTATATTGTTGACAGCTTTGTGTTTTCTCATGTCAAATCATGTGATTACATGATATGATAATATAACCAAAAGATTTTTTGGTTATATTGTTTATTTATACATTTCTCAGAAACTTGTATTTATACACATCACTGTTTTGTGTATATTATATATTCATTAGTAATTGTGATAATCACTTATTAATTAGATTTCACTTTTTGTACCAATTTAAAGTACATTATCTATTATGTAGATACAAAGAACCAAACATAATTTCTTGACAAGTAAAATGTTATTCCTTAGATTCTAGTATTGTTTGTGATTCTATTTTAGATGTAATTACATTTTCTATTACAATAAAGTCCTGATAATTCAAACTTTATTCAGATTATCAAGGTTAAAAATTAAAAATCATATATTTATATATATGTATTAAATTCAATTTTTCATTGATTAAAAAATATAACAGGTACCAAACTTTTTACAAGATATTTAAAAAAAATTACACAAAATTATTATGACCTATATGAAACTGAATCTTTGAGAAAAAAACACGTTTTAGATTATTTCAACCACACTGTATACATTACTAAACAATTTAATTTATAGTTTTTACATATCATATACTATAATTGTTTTATTCTGTAAAAAAAACCATTTCATTATGTTTTATAATATCGTGATTCTGAAAATGAATTTTAAATTATTGAAATATATAACATGAAAAATTTTAATTTATTAATTTTTGATTAAACTAATAAATGTTTCAGAAAAAAAAACTTAAATATAGGTATAATAAAATACATACAATGTATATTATAATTTTAATGGTGTAATGTGAATTTAAATTAAAAATTGTTTGATAAGGATAAGAACTAAATTAACAAAATACTTATTAAACATACATTAAAACAATGTAATTATTCACAGAAGAAAAAAAACAGATAATACTAGGTAGTGTAAATAAATGATTTTAAAATTACAAATATTATGCAATATTATTAAGAGTGTTTTGTACATGGTTTTTGTTTTTGTTTTTTTTTTTTTAATCTTATCGGGTAATATCTGTCGTAATGTTTATTTGCTCTATTAACTATATTTTTTATTTGTATTAATTACTAATAATATTGAGTATTAAAAATATTATAATCCTATAGCTAAACTTAATTAGAACTTGATACAAGTAAATAAAACCACATTCAAATGTTATACACAGTGGCATAAACACACGTAAAGTATCCAGAGGTAAAATATTTTTGTACGCCCCCAATAATAGAAAATAGAAATTATTCTCTTTTTACCAAAACATTGTTGTGACATTTTTGACTATGTTTTTATGGTTTCTCTGTTTTTTTTTTGGAAAAGATGGACCCGACCATACCTTATCCCATTAAAAATATTTTAAATTTAAATTTATAAAAATATTAAATAATGTATATAATAATTGTTTGGTATGGTCATGAATTAAATAGGTATACTATGTATATTTAATGATTATATCAGCTTTGCCAGTTTATCACTACAGGTGACACATGAATTGCAGTTAATTAAATTAGCATGAACAACTATTAGACCTGCTTTACGTGCACATTTAAATTTTAACCATAATTTGAGTCCATATCACACATGTAAGCTCTCAGAAAAAAATATAGCCCTAAGACAACTGCCTCGGATAACCACGTGGTTGTACACAAATTTTAAAAATATTTCTTAGTACAAACTAATTATTTATTGTCAGAGTGTAATATAGGTTTCAAATATTTTATATTTAGTTATAAACCAGCATATTAATTTAATGTGAAAACTATATTTGAACAGGTGTAACTTGTTGGAATCCTGCATTTGATGTGACCCCTGCTCGACTGATAACGGGGATAATCACTGAAAAGGGAGTTTTCCGACCATCTGAACTATCCACGCTCCAGTCACAAATGCAAGATCGTAAAAACTCGCTTCCCCAACTATAATACATACTTACCTAAATGTTATTTAATTGCACAAATTGAATCGTACAATTTTTTTTATGAAAAAAAAAATAAGGCTATATTTTTTTTATATTCTATGTACGCGAAAGCTACATTCCTAAGCCAACAACAACAATTATTATTTATGTGTATATTTATTAATCATAACATTATTGTCTGTTGTGTACTTAAAATATTATATATGAAAACAAAAAATTCCTTGGACGAAGAAAACATAAGTACATTGAGAATAGACCAATTACTTATATATTTTTAATTTAGTCAAGTATAGTTGTGAATTGTGATACAAAGTTATAATACTATTTTTGTAATTTAAATGAATTCTTTTTTTATGGGGTCTAAATTATTTTTGTTGTAAGGAATATGTACCTATTTAATTATAAAAAGCATTATACAAAAAAAGTCATCTTCAAAATATTCTCATAATGAGGTTTTGAAAAAAAAAAAAAATATATATATATAATATGATATACAAAATTAATGAACCTAATCATTACATTTTCATCATAAAAAAATAAAAAATAAAATTTTGTATTTTTATTAAATTTATATTAATTTTTAAATAATCAGTATTTATATTACTGATCATTACTGTTCTCAAAATAATTATTTTGAAGTTGATTAAAACGCATGTAAAATTACCTATTGTTAACTTTACAAGCCTGTGTCCAACAAAATGTTATTTTGAAGTTTCTCACTATAATAGTATGTACTTATGGCATTTTCATTAGTCCATCATGTTAAGTTATATACATTTTGCCCGATTATACAATACATTGTGTACATAAAAATAATGTTACGTTCGGGGTATCTATTTACCAAACTGAAACTTCTTTGTAAAACTGTATGTAGCATAAAGTACCTACATAATAATATTTTAAGGCGCATTTATTAATATTATCAAATTATTTTATTATATTTTTGAATCGAATTTGTCGGCGGTCTGTTTTGATAACCCTACTGTTGTTCGCCCGTTTCGCATTTAAAACAAAGCCCGTGTACCTACCCAACAGGTATAACGTTATAATATTATGTGCATCGAATTACTAATTATAAAAAAATGTTTACATAAAACAAAACAAAATGTATAAACAAAACAGTACGTGTACATTATTGTTAACGATAACGTCGTGAGTGAAATATCCATAATGGCTCCGGTCGGTGTGTGTGTGTGTGTGTGTGTGTACGCGACAGAAACGGCCGTGACCTTGACGGCGAAAATCCGTCCGGGAAGGCTGGGGAAACGGTGATGGAAAAAATAATATTATGTTTGCGAAGACGTTTACGACAAACAATAATAATGATTCGCAGCAGGGAAAGGAAAAAAAAAAAATGCCCTCGCAATAATTTTAAACGGCTTCGTCTCTAGCGGGCCCGTCCGAGGCGTGAGAACGGGGAGAAGACCGGGCCCGTGATTATTACGGTTTTACACCCGGGAGCGCGCGTTTTGTTTTTGGCCCCTCCCCTCTCCCCGGTCCATCTAAATATAGACCGGGAGTAATTTTTTTTTTTTTTGTTCTACGCGCATGCCGCCGGACGCGCCATCGCCGCGCCGGAATCGGCCAACTCGCCCGAGAGACTGGTCGGACACGGGAAAACTCATTGTTCCGATTCGCACGGATCGACTTGCCGATACTCAATCGTCGCGTGTCCCCAGCAGCCGCAATCGCGCGCGCGTGTCAGTCGCGGACAACGATTCGTTTTCACATATTTCGTTTTTCGTCCCGGGCGTGTGCTGTTCGTACGGCGACACGGTAGGCACGCCGTTAATATCGTATCCGTAAACAATACGGTTTTTTTTTACCCGCCCCGCGTTTCAAACGGTTCAAAAATAAAATGGGCAGCGTCGAAGAAATCTACGAGACCGAAGTGCACCGCAAAATCACGCGGCGTACGAGCTTCAAAATACAAGAGGTACATATACTTAACCTGTGCACGGTAATATTTCGTAACGTTCGGTTTTATAGTAGATGGCGAATTTCCGAATTTCTTCTCGGCCGCGTAAAAATAATTTCATACGTGCCCGCGGAACTCGACGAGACACGAATCGTTTTTATTTTTAGTCGAACCGCGTGAACGCGATGGAAAAAAAAACAACGTCGCCCGTATCCGACTGCAGATACGTTTTTTTTTTTTTTTTCGATCGTTTTGTTTCTTTTTTTCGCGTCTCAAAACAATAATGTTATAATATATATTATTGTTGTTTCTTTGTTTTTTTTCTCTGTTCATTTGTTCGAGACTATACGGATACATTAACGTTGTTATTATTGCGCACTGTGCAATGTCGGTGTTGTACACAATAAATCGGGGGAGGGACGGCGAGAGAGAAACCGTGCCGTACTGTGTAGGAAGTGAGAAAATTGAATGGAAAATATTTTAAACGTTTTCGAGGTCGCACGGAACGAACAGAATAAACGCAAGGCGACACTTCATCTTGTCGCGGGCCCCCGCGGTCGTCTCATCCCCGGCGTAACGGAATCCGTTGTGGAGGACAATGTTTTTATTATACACTGCAATGTCCGTAATATTATTGTAATTTTTTATATTAATGCGAATCAATAAAAAAACGTCTACACTTTTGGTGTGTAGAATACATACGCGCGCAAAGTATAATATATTAATGATGGGAATCCGAAAACCCGGATTTTCACAAGAAAACAACAATTTAAACCACTTAAAAATCATATAAGTGTTAAACATCTTTACGGCATGAAGCTGTGCGCCTAAGTGACATATTTTTTATGAAAATATAAAAATAAAACACAATACCAACAAATTACGCTGCTTTTGAATGTCGGATTTGTTGAAATCCGAAAGTGTTTTATAGTTAAAGTTGGGAGTTTTTTTTTTTTTTTTAGAATTTCTCTCCAAACATTTAACTCAGGTACACAGCTTTGTATTGTAATAATATTTAATGTTTATACGGTTTTCAAGGGGGGCTTAAAAGCGGTTTTTTTTTTTTTTTTTTTGAAAATCCGGATTTTCGGATTCCTATCGCTATGTACATTATATACAGACGGTACGGTTGAATAAGGTGCCGTATCCGAGGGGCGGTTCGACCTTCCACGTTTCTCCCGAAATATCTCGAACAAAAACTATTGTTTTCCGGACGAACGGTTAGAACTACTTGTTGGTGTTTGTAACGAAAATAACGGGCGATTTGAAAACCCCTCGCGAAAAAAATTCGCTTTGGCTACGGCCTCGCTACGGCCGGTGTATTTATAGTTTTTAACGGCTCTCCGTAGATCATCGTGATCAGGGGCGTATTTTACATTTTTTTTTTTTTCTGTTAGCTTTATTATTTATACGAATATAGAGTTTTCAAATTAGAATTTATTTACTTTTGAGTCGGAAAAATCAAAAGAGTGTGTGTCCGCAGTAGGTATCCGCAAGTCAATAAAACAAAAACAAATCTTTAACAATGGATGAATATCCGTAATAAAAACGAAACCTATCCGAACCACTTTAATATCAAGAAGGTTCTTGTTCTCCTTATTCTCGGAATAGTACAACTGAACTAATAATTCTAATTACAATAATATGTCATTTTTAAGGCTGATGGTTTTAGCTGCCCTTAGCACGCGTTGTACGATCCACGTAACGGAATATTTCGAAATTCAATACCCATGTCCCTCCTTGAAAAATCCCAAACACGCCACTGATCGTGATATTATATTTTATACACTATGTAAATAAACGCCCAATCGTTTGTTTTTTTCAACAGTCAAAGCTTTCGATTTTTGTCATCCGCGGTTGTTTTAACAACATAACAATATTGTAACAATGTCGTTGTTATTATGTGGGTAGTTTTCGTAAGATTTTCAATAAACATTTTGCTGTCTTTTTGTGTCGCAATGGCGTGAAGACTACGCAGCCTACCAAACGAAAAAAAAATTGATAAAACGCCTCGTAGGGCGTAAATATTTGTAGGGACGACGACAATAATTTTTATTAGAACGGGTTTCTTCGATGTGTTTTTTTTCTCTCCAAATATTAACTATAATTTTTTCCAAAACAAAAAAAATGCCGACCGTCAACCATCAATTTTGATTTATATCTGCGCGCAACGATAAACCGTCGCTAAACGAAAAACGATTCTGATCAGAATATCGATTCGTTCGTTCCATTTCCCTTGGCGAAAAATGTCCAGTTTTTCACACTTGTATCGGGATAATTACAAGGGAAATCCGATCTCCGATGAAAATAATATGTCTGTCGAAAGTTCGCCAATGGAAACGTCTCGTAATTTTTTATCGCAAAACGAGTTTAATTCGGTGTCATTTTACCTTTGCGTGGCATAATATTGGCAATAATTATTGTACACGACGAAAGAATAATCGATTTTTAGCTACGGTGTAAATTTTAGAGACTCTTTACCATATAATTTCGGTACACATAACCTACGCCGTCTTTTTAGATTCTGAACGCATCGAGGAATGTGATGGTTTAACAATAATATTTATTATTGTTATTATTTTTTTTTTTTTTCTGTAAACGAATTTTCTACCAGAAATTTTGCTCCGATTTTCAGGTGTAGCACTTTTTCTGCAAGAAAATCCAACTGGGGTGGTGCCCAGGTCGATTTTCCCAGGGGTTTTCGTGTAATAAACGGGAAAATGTGCGAAATGCGTCCATTATCAATATTTACGGCCTTTCGAAACGCGTGCGTTAAACCGTACCTCTCTTGGCTCGGAATCGCTTTTTGTTGACTTTAATGACTAACCGTCGCGCGCGCGTTGAATTTCTCCCGTGCCCTTTCCCAACTCGTCGACCACCAACAGTGGTCCGTCGTGCGAAGTATATACGTTTTGTTCCCCCCCCGAAATTGCATATTCGTTCGGCGCGCGAATCGGCGGCTGTGTACGGGTTGGTGTCCGCGTACCTGTTAACAATAATTATTTATTCAATCCAGTTGCACCGCGAGCCGAACGCGCAACGCCGTAATCGCCGAACGTAATTTGCCGGTAATTCATTCGTCTGTTCCTGCACATTGTATCATTGTACGGAGTGCGTCGGCCGCGTGTTGTCGCGGTGACGTCTCGTTGTACGGCGCACGCGCGCCGGCGTATCTAATCGTGTCGTGATAAGGGCGTCCGTAACGATTACGGTGTCGTAATAACAGGCCGCTCGCCGATGGATTAGAATTGATGTTTTCGACCGATGAGGACCTAATTGAATTTGTTTACGGCCGCTTGTTGTTGCGCGCGCGAAAAGCGATCCGAATTAATTATTGCGCGGGTTTTCTTCTTCCGCGACGGTCTGCGTCGTCGCCGGCTGTGCTTATCGTGTGGGCGTGGGCATCACGTAACGCGCAATAAATAATTAGTAATTAAACCGCGATCGGTGTTCCGTGTTTCGGTCGTCCGGACCGAAACGCAAAGTTCGATTCGACGGCGGCGCGGACCTTTTGAAGAGTGTAATTTTTTTTTTTTTTTCCTGGAGGGGGTTAGGAGAACCTCCTAAAACGAATTGCAACTAAGCACTAGAAAGAAAAAAAGAAAGAGGTGACGGGTGCAGCCGCTGTTGTAGGTGGGAAGATAAGAAAGTAGGACACGTTAAGGTTATTCAATTTTTCTATCTGTAAGCACCGATAAACACCATGTGTGAACTGAATTTTTCTGGTAGACAATTTGTTCACAGAGAGAAAAAAAAAAGAATTAAAATACGCCGTATGTAGTACAATCAATACGTAGATCGCTCCGCTCCGCTTTTCTTCCTCGGAAATCTTGTATTATGTATGTGTTAATCAATAAATTATTTGTGCAAGTAAAATCTTGTATATAGTCTGTAGTCTGTGGGGGGGGGGGGGCGAGTCCCCCGGGCCCCCTTTCTGGATCCGCTATTGCTTTGAAACAATTGAAATCTATATTAGAGAGGTTATCGCGGTTACAATTCCCGTTCTCACCGTCTCAAAATATAACGGCACCCATCATCATTTTATTTAGTACAATCTAAATTGCGGACAAGTTACGAGGGAATTCTCGACCTATTGAATAATGTAGGTGTATAATCGGCTGTTTTGGACCCGGATTTTAAATTCGCATACTTTATCGTGATTGAGTATTGTTAACTTTGTCCATTCCCGTTTGTTGATTTGATTTGTACAGACAAAGTACTGCCTATACCTACCCACACACGATTACACGATGTTCACAACAAAACACGCCAAACTCGTATTCTCAATCACAGACACGCGTTGTAACAAAATATCGTATGGCCGATATCTTTAGAAAAAAAAAAATCCCCCCCACGCTACCGAGTATAAAAAAATAATGACGTATATAGTTCTGACAAAACAGAAACGCCGGAAGTCGTTTTAATGAATGTTTTATATCAACTGGCGCGAGTCGTTTTGGCTACTTGGCTATTGCACATTATTGACGTGCTAGTTTTAGATTCGGAACGTAGCGGGCGATCTATTGGTTTTACTATGATGAGTTTTTTTTTTTTTTTTTATTAGATTCGGAGCGTAACGATGTATAGACTATAGCACCTTTTCTGAAAGGTAATTTTCTCTCGTTGTTGTGTTGGGGACGTCGTTTTTTTGATTTTCAAAATAATTGGAGAAATCCCGAAAGAAATCTATAGGTAAAACGGCAAATATTCACGGCGCGCCGCGCCGTTACCGTTTTCATTGTGTTATACTTGTGTTTTCTACCAGAAATATTTCTCCAACCGAAAGATGACAAGAGATGATCGATTTCGTTCATTTTAACACATAACCGCTTATGAAGAAAATCGTTTTTTTTTTTTGATACCTAATGTATTTATAAGTAAATAATTAGGAAAAACCAAAAAAGACGAAATGTATGATTTTTTTTCAAATTACATTATAACGATTTTATTATTTTTAATTTTAAAGGCTTATATATTTTTCCGCCATAAATATTACTCCAATAGAAAAACATCACGAATTTTTTCTCGTCCAATTTATAATATAGTTGATGATCAAGATGATCGTTTTTTGATTATCTTTGTAGCTGTTTTAATAATTGATCAAAACCGGAAATAGGTAGAAGGAACGAGACAATTTAAAAAAATAATTCTTTTATTATTTAAAATTGTATGTAATTCAGTTTCAAACATCTACAGGGACTTAAAATGTTGACAGAAATCTTATGTTTACTTTTTCCAGACGTAACAAAACTTTCAGAACATTTGAGCTATTGTTGAACTATTTATAGACATTTTCATTTTGCGAGTTTTTTACGTAATTTTTATTTGATAGTTACTCTATAAATAAATTGTTAGACTTAACAGGAACGTTTAAAAATTTGATAGGAGGTTCATTATAAGTTGTACTTTGTGGTAAAAAAAAATATTAAGTTTTATGTAGTTTTTTTTTTATAATAATTTTAATATTAAATTTTGAAGAAAATCGTAAATATTACGGCCTTTCAAAACGTGTATAAGCGAACTTCGCTCCGAATCGTTTTTCGTTATCAATGGTTTATCGTTGATTACGGGTATACATTAAATAACTTTATGTATCTCATTTTTCCCACTACACACCTACAATATTGGCCGCACCCGTCCTCAATATCAGCTCTTTTTTTATATTTTAAAATTATCCTAATTAATAGTTGAAAAAAACCATGATCGATTGCCCTGAATATTCGATACAATCATAGATGATAGTGATGATACACCTTGTTTATACATAGGTTAGGTAGCTAATCTAAATCTATAAATTCAATGTACATTATTATGATAGTACCAATTAGGTTATCAATTAGGAATTCGCGATTTGATTGCCCGAAACGATAAAGACTGGGTGTGTTCGTTTTTCATCAATAATGTGTTTTTTTTTTTCCACATCAAATATAAATACTTGTAATATAATAGATAAGTATACAATATGTTTTATACCTAATCTGCCGACTATATCACGATAATTTCCGAAAGGAAATCCGTTTAATTTCACATATATTATCAACTGTCATAAAACTGTGGAAGCTATTATACTTTCCGTACGAAAATCGTGGTTCAAAAAAAATAAACAAGTGGGTGCATTGGCATCACCCACTATAATATTGATGCCCTCCGCTATGCTCTAGATTTTTTTTATTTATTTTTCGATCTATCTATAGACGGAACATTAAATGTAGACGGCTATTTAGATTATAATAATATATTATGCAGTTATTTTTCGAATTTTCTCGCCTAGCTTTCGAAAAAAAAATAAAATAAAAAATACTGTAACTATATACCTACCGGAAAACTGCAGTGAACTTCTTTTATATGGGACACGCCGTACAAATGTTTTTAATTAAACCAAACTGTATTAATTATTATATATATTATTATAGTTTGGAGAGAATGTCTACTTCAATTTATTATCAGAATTTAGGAATTATATGCCTACCTACCTAACTTAAAATTCCTTGCAATAGGCGTATAATAATTTTTAAGACAGAACTGTATAAATATAGATAAAATGTATGATACATAGAGTTATATAATTTGTATCTACAGGTACGCGCCGATAAATCATTGCTAACGAAATACAATTCTGAGCAAAGTTTCGGTTACATATGTTCGGGAATTATTTTTTGCTGCCACTATTACGATTTTCGTCAAAATTTGTGCTTAAAAATAAAAAAAAAATACTTCATTACGATTAACTTGTTTTGACCACTAAGTTCAATTGATAATGAATCTCGTATTAAACTATCAAGGATTTCGGTTCGGCCAAAACAATTGTGTATAAACACATAAAACTCAATAATGTCGAATGCTAATGGATAACTCAAAAATCACCAGGGTGTTAGAAACTTTACCACGTCTAACGATTTTACAAAACAATTGAAAATTATGAAACCGTTAAGCCCGTAAACTTTCCAGTTTTTCAGTTTCCAGTTTACGTTCTTTCTCTGGGTTTTCCAATTGTTAGGAAACCTACGGGGTAAAAAATGACATTGTACAACTAGACAACATTTTCTTCCAGAAAACATGTTACACTTGAAAATCGGAGTAAGATATTTGGTAGAAAAGTCGTTTACAGGCAGAGAAAAACAGCGCATATAGGAAAACCAGGAACGTATTAGTGGTTCACCAGCTTCAGAGCTTCTAAAATTGATTAACAGATTCAAACGAAATTCGCGGCGGCGGCGGTCCACATTTTTGCTGTCGGTCAATTTCTGCAGCCGATTTTACGTCTACGTCTATATATACGCACCTTCCTAGAGAGTTTTCGTTATGAGTAATTCGTTTTTTAACGTCTAGGTATTTCGGAAAATATTTCTGTAGGTGGAGTTGCGCGTACGGTGGAATAAACGCACGGCGGTATGTACCTACGGTGGTAAATTGTCGGTGTGACCTGAATTTCAGGAAGAAAAATATAAATAATATCACAGTATAGTAACGTACCGTATCATTTCGCGGCACGACGATTATAACGAAAAAAAAAAAAGAACGAAAAAAAAACTCTATTGTATTATACAGGGTGCGGAGATTTGCCGCGAATTCAAACGATTCGACGACGATTGTGCGGTACCTACCGCGTAAAACGATATCGGCTGTTACATTGCCCGGCGCAGTACAATCGCCGTAGTCGCCCCGGCATTTATTTTCGTAACTGGTCTTGTCGCGGTGCGATTCGACGGCGTGCACGCGCACAGTTCGTTGTTGTAAGACCGCAGTAGGGCCCGGTTAGAGAAAAAAACAAACCCCGCCGAATGAACCCGAGACCCCCGTCCGATTATAGCGGCCGCCGCCCTCAGCTGATGACCCCCGGTCCGTGCGCCTCGCCGGCCGCATTATTACTGTTGTTGTTGTAACGATGTTGTTATTGTACGGCGGGTTATCGCCGATCGCCGCGGCTTATCGACGGGCTCGGCTCCCGTCCCGTGATACACTCCGTACCCGTTCACCGCGGGCCGCCTGCCCGCGTACCTGTACAATTATATATATATGTGTGTGTTTAAGTACGCGGTTGTAGCGGACGGATAGTTTTAATTGCGTTTGAAAACGTCTTAGCGACAGTGAGTAAAACGTTTGGCCGGGGCCCGTATAGAAAATATAAGAATATCAACAGTTCTTGGCACCTGACAAAAAGCGCGCGCGTACGTGTGTGTTTGTGTGTGTGTGTGTGTATATATATATATATACATACATACATACATACATACGGAAAAAAAAAAACCCGTTCGCGTTTAGCCGATCCAAAGGAATGCGCGCGCGTGACACACGTCGTCGTCGTCGTCGTACCCATACTTCGCGCCCGATTTGTCACGCGTGCCTTTGGCCCGCGCCGAAAAAAACGTCGCAGTTGATCGTATCGCAACGTTTCCCGGCGCCGACGGCCGTTTTTCCGACACACGCGTTTCTCGAATACATTAAAATATTGTTACTATTAAAATTCCACCGTCCTACGTTTCCGCAGCGTTTCCCGACGTTTTTATAGACGGCTCGGCGAAACTTTTCGACCGATCCACCGCGACAAACGGCCTCGTCCGGATTCGTGTAATTTAATTCCGGCCACGATCGAACGCTGATCTATTTAAACCGTGTGATGCGGACGGACGTCCGTTATAGCGAGGCTAAGATACCCAGTACAACATGGTGGAAAAAAAAATATAATATCATGACACCACGGTGGATAAGCTTATTGTTGACAGCGCGAGTTCTTCGATACCTATACCAATTTAATGCTATTTTATCTCCTGAATTCTCATTTCGTTTAGGGGGGGGGGCAGTCAGTTGTTTGAAAAACAGGTGTTGAAGAAGGATTACAAAACAGTACGTGCCTATACGGATAAGTGCATAGGGCCACTGAACATTTTACAATTATCTCCGTGTATAGGTGGACGTTGGTCGTTGGATTTCTATTCCTTCGAAATAGTTACCTGCGCGTGTCTGTTTATGGTCTTCGGCGTTTACTGCGATTTACATTTGCACCGCGGCGGCATGATAATATTATAAATAGAAGTGTTTATTTGATGTTAAACAACCCGTGGGATTAAGTTTTTCTCGCGTGTTTGGCAAATGCGTTTTTATTGTACCCTGTACAGAGTGGTCTATGCAGTCGTCGTTTCTCCTGTACAGTTTTGTTTTTCATAACGTTTTTTTCATACTAATATATAATATTATTATCATTGCATTTATAGCGCGGACGATGAGAAAATAGATTTCTACTACTAATAATTATATGGTTTTATATTAACTGTTGTTAACTATTACCATTATTATATCGTTGTATTGCCACTATTGATGGTGAGAAAAGTTGGGAAGGTAGTTTGTAGAGCGGAATTTAATTTATATCTGTACGCAACGATTAACCATTTCTAACGAAAAACGACTCGGAGCAAAGTTTCTATTATTCACGTACGTAAATTTTCCCCGGTTATTCCCAATTATGATGAAAACCGCTCGGAAAATCAAAAAAAAAATGGCCTTCCTAAAATACCGCTCAGATAAAATTTTCTTTCAGACTGGAACAAGAAATCTGGTAAAAAAATTGTTCATAGATAAAAAAAAAAACATCAATGTAAAACCAATATATTCCTCGTTACGCTCCGAATCTAAACAAAAACCGATACTCATGCTAATCCCGGTGTGCCACTGTTGCAGCAGTTGGAAAGATAGAATACATAAAAATATTTAATTTATATCCGTTAAAAACTAAACAAAACTAGAAAATGTCAAACGCCGATAAATAGCTCAGAGATCGTCAGAATGTCTTTTTCATTTTACCGCGTTATAAAACGCTAATATAAATATTATCTGCGAATATTTCAGATCTCTACGATTTTTTCAAACCAAATTATAACAAAAGATCAAAACCGAAAATAGCCAATCGTTATAATCACGGTGAAAAAGAAAACACCGATGATTAATCGCTGGACGTATCACGCAGGCGCACAGAATTATTTTAATATATCATTATATTGACTATTGACTTTTAAGGAACTATTTACCATAGATACGCCGTCTATGGTTGTAGATTGTTGTATGGTTGTCTAACGATAATAATATTGATATATTGTAATCGTATAGAGTTGTAATCGGAATTTGAAATAGTATGTGAAAAAAACCGCCATTCTGCAGCGCTATCTACTTACCTATAATAAAAATCTACTTTAACTGATTACGCAACCGTGTCGTCGATCGTAACTTATAAAACCGAAAGATGGCGCTCGATTATCCTTATCTCTTTGTGTTCACAGTTTTTTGAAAAAAGAACATTCGGGTTCCACTTTATCACAGTACGTTTGGCAACCATACTATTTTTAACTCGAATAAAGAAACTTTTAAAGTCGAGTTCGTTTATTAAAAGTCAATATTGTTGAAATAAATTGCATTTAATTTATGTAGGTACAATGCGCATGTGAATTTCGTGTCCGGTAATAAACCTTCTGTGTGTTTACGGTGAAAATAAATTATTGACGTTTAGGTTGGGTTATAGTAGTTAGTTTTTTTTTTTTTATTTTATCAACGTATACGAATATGTGACGTTGCTCGAATATTTCGTGGTTAAAATGGGTTAAAATAAATATAGTCTTCTTTCGAAGGGGGACTATAATTATCGAAAATTGAGTTGAAAACTAAACCAAATTTTCAGGAAACCCATCATGGAAACTGCAGTACTTACAAAATGTTTTTTTCTCATACACATTTGTTATAACAAATGTTATACTAATAAAGTTTAAAAATAAACGACATAACCTCCCTCAAATATTAACCTATGCCATATGCTTGCTCAGTAAAAATAAAGTAAAACAGAGTCTGATTACGTATAAACTAATAGATATTAAAGAATTTAGTTTTAATAAACGTATAGGTGATTCGATTTGTTAATATTTCAATAAAAATGTCTCAGTAATGACTAAAGCGTCCCTTTGGACTTCAAAGATTTAAACTCAAGGGAATTGATAATTTTACTTTAAATAAGATGAGTGAATCCATCCTTCTATTTTAACCACTATCTACATGAGTTGCCTAATCATAAACCTTATAACTATATTATGAATATAACCATAAATAAAGGAAATATAGACGAAAAGTTGAATGACGATGTACAATAGTTTTATCTTTGTTGATTTTTGGTTGCATTGAATATACTCGTACTAATACCTTACCAGTTTACCGAGCTCCGCTAATAATTGTTTTTTTGATTTCAATGATGTATATTGTTTCTTTCAGTGTTATTACACTGCATGCCATATAATATACCTTACAAACTTCCCACCTACAACAGGGCCCCATGTTGCAAAATATGTCCGGCTTTTTTTATTCGGTATTAAATCTTTGGGATTCTGAGAGGAGACAAGAGAGCGCTATAACTTTCACAAATATACTGTGACGTTTGCTTTTTAATACTCGTAAAAATTTTTCCGGTAATAAACATGCTCGAAAAGTTGTATACAGTAATTTTGTATAAAATACTAAAAATAAAATGTTTATAGGTAGGTAGTTAATCACTTTGTAGTAAGGTCATTTTCTAATAGATAATTTCCCAGTTCAACGGCCCGACACTTATTGCGAAAAACTGAAAAAAAAATAGTGGGCAGAATCGTAAACTAGCGTTTAAATTTAAATACTAACTGAAACGCAACTATATTATTTTATTTTAGTAGGATTAAGAGTGTCGAAATCACCAGTAAAAACTACGTTCTATGAGTACTTTGTACAATATAAGTATGTAACAGATCTCCATCTATATTTTAGATTTTGAGCGAAAAATCTATATTAGTTTTACTATCTATGATATATGTTTTTTATTCTGCCAGTTGATAACTTTTTACCAGAAATCTTCAGTCAGTGAAATGAGTATTCTTTTTTTAGCATTTTGGATCTAGTTGGTGAATTGTGGAAGTCTGTTTTTGATTTTCCTTATCAGTCGGCCACTCTTACTATTTGGGCTTTCTAACTTTAAGGGTTTTCTACCTTCTCAACTTCCCACCTACAACAGTAGCACACTTATCAGCAATATCAGCTCTCTCCTTTTTTTCGAAATATTATGTATTTTGGTTCTTTATTGGCTAATATATTGTATACGTTTAACTAAGTGGCTATAAAAACACTTTTTATAGTTAAATTAATATTATAGACGTCACCTGTGGGAAAATGTATGTTTAGAACACATTGTTAAAGGATGTATATTTAATTTACCTATTGAAAATTTACAAACGGGAACGGGCAATTCAGAAGATAGCTCCTCTGCTTCACGCGGCGCGGTTTGTCCGTAAACAATTTAACCTAACCTATTATATCTTACTACAATATGTTTTTGTTTTGTTAGCAAAAAATCTCTAAAATTTCTAAACCGACTTTGATGAAAAAAAATTAGTTATATTTCCGATGATGGTATGGATCGAATGAAAAGAGATTCATCAAAATCGGTTTAGTAGTTCTCTAAATTTGCTAATAGTGAACGTTTCCTCTTTATATAATAGTTGTATATAATTTTTTTTTTTTTTTAAACGGTTTTTTAAAAAAATAAAGACAATACAATTTTTATGTATAAAATTTTCGAATTCGCATAGTAAAAAGTAAATTTGTTTTTAGATTTTGATCGGAGTAAGGAGTGTATTTATTTTATAATGCTGTTTATTTTTTGTTTTTCGGAAACAACTTTTTTATCGGAAATTTTGTTCCGATTTTCAAGTGTAGCACCTTTTCCAAAAGAAAATTATCTTTAAAATGAAAGGAGGGCATGTTTTAATTTTCTCAGGGGTTTTCATTTTACATTGGAAAAACCATAAGAAAAACGGGAAACTTTACTGAATTTATTATTTTCTAATCGTAAATATTACGACCTTTCAAAACATGTATTTATAACCGAACTCAGCTTAGAATCGTTTTCGATAACAATGATTAATCGTTGCGTACAGATGTACATTCAATTCCCCTCTATCTTCCCCACTTCTCACCTACAACAGCGACCCACCCATCGTGCGAACTATGTCCTTATCTTTTATATATGCCTTTTTGCAGGTCCCAACAGTTTTTATGCAAATTTGATTTATTTAGAAGGGGGCGTTTTTCGCGAATCAACATTATAAATAAATTACAACGGTTGCATTACGAAATATATATTAATGTAGTATTTATAGGTTCATTTTCGTAAATACCTATGATACCTATGCATGGGTCACATTATATAATATTTTATCAATGACGTTTAATTTTCGTGAAATCGATTTTTAATTCCCTATTGTAAACTGCATGTATAATAAAACTTGAACGATTTACAATTTTTGTTATTATTATTGTTCGTGTGATGGTGACCGTGGTTACTTTAATCACTTCAATAATAATCAACAAAATTTTAAAATCGATGAAACATCGTTTTGTTTGTTTTTCAATATGCGTGCGGTTTACACGCTAATTAAGAAACGCCGCAATGATGTGTTTACAATTTAACACAACATTATTTTATATGCGTGTTCGCCTGACATGTTTATACAGTTTTGCACCGCAATTAAATTTGTAAACGTTTCGCGCGTAAATTTATAGGTATATACGAATCACAATGTTGCATGAAATTTTGTCCGCGCAAAATAATTTTTACTATTCGTTATAATTATTAATAATTACAATACTGTTTTTTTTAACGTTGACATCGGTTAAACGACAATTGATGTTCACGTTTTATTATTCTCTATCGCTAATAGTTCTTTTAAGCTCCCTGTATGTTCTAATTCCGACGATTTCCATTGTTTACTTCACGAAAGGTGTTCTACAGAACACATTTCTATAGTATAGAACATGCATATAGCCTATAGGCATTCCCCCTGTTTTGTCTTCTATTTTTCCTTCTATTGTTGTGGTTATCCAAGGGCCATTCCTAATAATTAAGTGTCTGATTCACGTTTTTCTTCTTAGTTTCAGCGTATTCCACATTGATTTCTGAGTATGCACTTACAAAAAACCATCATTAACCCTCCAACGCCATACTTCAAACGATTTTATTTTGACTTTCAGTGTACATGGTGATTGGTTTATCACGAATCAGATTAGATTTTTAATTTACTCGTACATTATATATTATACAGTGAGTTTTGCCAAATAACACATTTCTGATTATATATTTTTTTTTTTGTTTTACAACCGGGACATTGGTTTATTAATGAAATGTTTCTCCAACCTTGTCTACCCATAGCAACTTTCATCAGTTCATTGTGGAATCCTATAACTAAATAATACACGATCTGTTTCATATAAAACTGTCTTGGCTTTCCTCTTCCTGGTTTCCCTTGAATTTTGTACTCAATTATAGATATTACCCATTATTCCTTGGTAGATATCCTATCCATTTCCTTCTTTCATTCCTTGATTGTTGTTCATTGTTAACCTTCTTTCGTGTATTTTATGATACGCATCTTTATTTAACATTCATTCTGTGCAGAAAATTTTTAACGCCCTTCTCCAACACCTAGTTTCGAATGTTTTTATTCTTCTTCTGTCAACTTTCTGTTAACCATGATTCGTGAATAATTTTAGACTCGGAGCGTAGCAATTGGCTCTACAATAATAATTTTTTTTTTCTTTCTGAAAGGTAATTTGCTCTCGTTAGTGTATTGGGGAAGTAATATTTGATTTTCTAGGGGATTTTGGAAATAATTAGAAAAGACCCGAAAGAAAAGTATAAGTATAACGGAAAGTATTTACGGTGCTCCGCAGCGTTACCGTTTTCATTGATTTGAATTATTGTTCACGATGTTTTTTACCAGAAATATTGCTTTAATCGAAAAATGACAAGACATTAATGTTTTTTCTTTTAATTTACAACTACTAACGAAGAAAGTCGATTTTATATCCGAAATAGTTTTCGTAATAATTGGGAAAAATCAAAAAATTACGAAAAATACGATTTCTTTTTTGAATACACGAATTCATTATTAAAAAATTTTTACGGCAAATAATTTGGCCACTTAAGCGGAATACCATATTATAATGACTATAATATAAAAGTGTTAAAATCAGTTTTAATTTTTTTTTTTCTTTAACAATCATGTTATATTATAAACAAAGTACTTTACTGCTGTTAGAACTCGTTCCACATTTAACTTTCTATTTAAAAATCACAATATAATTTTAATGTTCTTATTATTCAGCATAAACCGCGAAGTTAGATAATCGTATGGTAAACAGAGATCGCAAACATTATTATTGCATTTTTTGAACGATAATTTAGTCGGCTGAAGACCACAATTGTTCGTACGGGTAATGGGTCGAAACCGCTTTGATGTTACCGACCTACCTAAATAATATATGATATTTAAATTTAAAGTTATACCTATATTAACGTCATTGGCATGTATCGCATTTCGACCACGGCTATCTAATCCATCTATAGATAACCGTAATTTCAACACACCTCTATACTACCTATTATAGTGCATACGATATGTATTGCGTCCGTGTGTTTTTTCAGTAACGTTTAGTAAATTAGTATATTATTACGAATTTGCATACAATAATGTCTATAATATCTATGATCTCGTATATTATTGTTGTTTAGACAGGTATTTTTTAATGGAATCGCAACCGTGATGGACAAAACTAATAGGATACCTAGATAAATAATACACAAAATACGACGATCATTTTACATTTCGTTTGTATTATTGTTTTACTATGATATAGTAATTTTCATTGTTTGTTTGTTTGTTTGTATTTTTTTTTTTTTTTGCTGACCGATTTCGACCAGAAAAGGCTTGTTGCTCAAATTATCGATGTCGGGGGTGGTTTCTGCAGATATAGACGATTTTTGTCTAGTTAGTAGTACGATTGGTTCGTTAGTGAAGTCGGTTTTTTTAAAGTTCTTTTCACTTTTCTTAATAATAACGTTGTAAAAAAGAGAAAATTAATGGGACACCGAGTTTTGAAAAAAATCGATTTTGTTTTTTAAAATTGTTCAATGTAATTGAATTGAGCAAGAAATCGTCGTTAAACATTTGAAAATTCACCATAGAATACTTACAACTGGGTTGTTTTCTATTAGAACGTGGTTTATTTTTAAAAATTTCACGACTTCGATTTTTTAAATTAGGTAATGGTTTTTAACCATTTTAAACTTGAAGTTCTTTTTTCCGGTTTTAATTAAACGAAATTATTATGGCCGCATATAAACGCTCTAAAATTTGAAACAAGATTAATAATGTCATTGCTTTTGAATATTATTCTAAACTTCATGTTTGTCTGGTATCATTATTTTGTGTCTTGAGTATTTATCAAGCGATTTTATAATTCTTGTAGTTTTCGTATTAATATATATGTTATTTATATTGTGTACATATATTAATAGTATTGTCTTTACGAATGGTTATTTCGAACAAACCGCTTACAAATCGTGTAAATTATAAATGTGTCATAATTTATGAAATGCCCAATACGCACAGCATCTACGAAACAAAATATTATATTTAGAGCACGAATAACGAAATCGCGGCGATGTCGTTGAACTAATTATAATTAATTTCCGACGGCGTTATTTTTACAGTCCTAAATAGTGTATACGCCTAATGGACGGGTGATTAATTCGGAGGGCTGTTATTATACGCGTACAGGAGACTCGCTGCCAATTTTTTACGGTCGATTTCGAATAATGAAATTAATTTCCTTGTGCGCGATTATTAATCCATATTAACGGCGTTTCCTATGTGCTATACAATAACAAGACAAGACCGCGGGGAAACGCTGCTGCAGCTACCCGGATAAAAAAACCACGGTGGCGGTCGTCGTGCCGCCGTGGTCAATCATTTTCTCGATAACAGCAGAGAAAATATCTGCGCGAGTCCGCCGGTAATAATTTACAAAAAGATTTATTATTTTCGCTCGTCTTGTGTGGCACTATATTATGCATATAATTATTATATATTAAGTTTTATTGTTAAATATCTGCGGTGGCTGTACGACGATGTGTGGGGTATCGCATCAGTCGTAATAACATGTACAATTTACTGTCTACACGAAGAATACGTTGAATTGGGACAAGGTCGAGAAATGTGTCATATCATAAATCGGGAACTTACAAGATAACGGAGATACATTTACGTATAATATTTATATAGATACGCTGTTACAGTGTTCGTCAAAGAGTGCGTTTTTTAAGCATACCAGTGTATTGTATAAATGAGTAACGTTATTGTTTTTAAAACGTCGGATATAAACGATGTTTTCATTTTTTTTGTTTTTCGTCTATCAGCGGTGAGATAAACTCATATAATATTATATTACGCAGTGGCGTATTTACGGAAGGGGTGTACAGGTTTCCCCCAGAGACACACAGGCACACAGTTATTCTACAATGTTAATGGGCTTGGTATAATTTAGGTTTTGGACTTGGTCGTCTGAATTGTGTTAATACGCCCCTTTCCCTCACCATAAAAAAAAAAAAAAAACGAGTCATAAATACGCCATTTATATCATGTGTGATTCTACAAAAAATTATTATTTGACCAACCCGTCCATTTATCGATAAAAAAAACCGCCTGAAATAAAATAAATCGTACTAATTCAATTTGTCTTTTATCGCCCTTCACAAAAATACATTTAAGTTAAGTCACCTGGTTCTACTCTCGATGTTTAATTATTCCGCACCCACCGGTGAGTATTTAAACTCACAACTACTATCGCACAACCATCCACTGGGTCTAGATATCATTAAAATAATATATCTATTTATACTTTTAAAATATTATTTATCCTTTATCCAAATTTTTTTATATTATACATACTTTTTATTTATATATAATGCAATATATACTTTAATCTCAAATTCAAAATTTCTTTTAAAATATATATATAATGAATGTTGCGTGTAATATATTATATGTAAATATAATTTAAATTACTAAATGGGTTATGCAGAATATACTTAACTTACACTTATTTTAAATATGTATTTACAAAGTAACGCGTTTTCTTGCTATAACCATATAATATACTAAAATATTCTGCAGCATTTAAATTTAAATATTTATCTTAATAGGTCCACATACACAACATTTCTTCGGAAAATAAATAGGTGTTATATATATATTTAAATTATTTCATAATTTTTAAAATCAATAAAAAAAATGAACTTTTTATGCGTTTTCGTAATACTAAAAAAATAATTAACGATCTTAGAAATGTAGAATACATATTAAAAGAGGCCTCTTTAATGATTAAATAAATAATTACTTATTAGAATTTACAATGATACCACGAAACATCTGGAAACCATTAAACAATTTCTATATAATTATAAACTGTTTAAATGTTTTTGTCGTTATGCCTTTTATGATAAACCATTGAAGATAGATATTTTTGGAATTATGCTTATATTTTAAATTTTTAAGCTATTTTTATAAGCGTTTTCGATTTTTTTTTTTGATTTTCTATTTGGTTATATGTGGACAAAATTGTTGTTTTGGTTAATGAGAATTTTTTTTTTATGTAGTACCTCAAAAGTTGAGAAATCTCTGCCCAGTAGTACTTTATTTGAAACATTTATCGATATTTTCAACAATTTGCCCATAAGGTTTTTTTTTTTTTTGTCATTGTTCGATTTTCGTTGATTTCTGGGTTCCTTTGACAACAATGGAATAAACACGATCAGTATGAAGGCCCACTTTTTGTTTATCAATTTCTGTGTAAAATGTAACGAGTACATTGAACATTCAATAAATACATCTCGTTGACAATTATATTTGCCAAAGGGGCGAATGAAATTCCTGCGGGGGGTATTTGCTCACTGGAGTATACCTGGATTTAACCCTAAACACGATCAGTGTTACTACTTTGTGATACTATCGTTTTTTTTGTTTTCAATGATTTATCGTTACATATACAGTAAGTGCCTGTCACAGGTAACCTGTGTAAATTAAATTACCCCGTACATTATATCTTACCCACAACGGTGGCCTACCCGCAAGCAGTACCAACTTGGAAAAAAAATATCTGCGTCGGAATAACTCATCGCTCTTCCTGGTCTGCGAATAGACAATAGTAATAATAATAATAATAATAATACTATGTTTTCGCGGATAATACCTATACGTTTCCAAGACGTTAAAAATCAAACAAATTTTGAATAATTATTATAAAATAAAATATACTGTTTTGTTATTTATACGCATAGGTTCCGCGAGAGTTGCTCTCCGCAGTAATATACAATAACATATTATTATATATTATCCGCGTGATGTTATTCGTACAATATATAGTATACGTGTAGGTACAATGACGTCCGCACTATATAATATAAGCTAATAATCGTTCCCATCGGTCCGTCATCGTTAATAAGATAGTTTTTGTTTTTCATCTCGTTTCTTTTTCTCTTCTGCAGCCGTACGACTCTTGGCAACCTTCTATAATTATCCGGTTGACAGCGGCATGGCCCGACGCGATGACCGAACCGAAACATTTATGCCGCCGCTCGTTATATATACATATTATACTATTTTTCTTATTTTATAATTATAAATATTATATCTTTCTGTTTTTTCCGATGGAGGGGAACACTCCGATTCGGCATACGGATACTGTAAAAACGGTCGTTTTCAATCCGTTAGTCAGTTGGTGTGCGTCGCCGTTCCACGAGACATTTTTCACAAGTACAATTACATAAGAAAATCTCGCGTGAAAACACAATATCTCGTAATCAATAGTAATTCGCAATCTGTGACCCGTCTGCAGGTTTACACGCCGAACCCCCGCCTATTACGCGCTGCTAATCCGAGATAAAACGGCCAGAAAATGGGCATAACGGAACAGTATTATCACGAATGGAAGGTTAGTTTCCACATTTAAATGTATATAAACATACTTATATATGTACATGAAAAATTCCAATAACTCTAATAGTTGTCGATAGAAACGCGACATTTTCGATTTTAAATCGCGCCGTTAGAATTTACACTGTATCGGTTTAATAGGCGCCTACTTCAGATATTGGTGTTTTGTTTATCGATTGCTACAACACACGTGAAATAATCGGTTAAAGTGTTTGAATTTTTTTTCACGGCCAAATTCAATGCCCTATTATCATATTCTATATAATGTTTGACCAACGACCTATTGCAGTTCACAACATTATTTTTCAGAATAGTCTCATATAATCGCTTCCGTCCGTTCGCACAACAAATATTACAGTGCAATGTAATATACATGTAATTATATACATTACATCATCATTAACGAGACATCGCGGTATAATCACAACTCTAATATTTTGTTTGTTAGGAAATTGTTTTTTTTTTTTTTATCTAAATTGTTGTTTTAACATAGTTACCTATTTATTTATTAGACTATAGATGTTTTTTTTCACACAAACTCAATTACGCAATTGATACCTATTTATGTACTTTAGGTATACGTATAATTACACTATAATATATCATACTTGTTAATAATATAGCGTGCAATATAATTGGCCGCAATAAAATACCTACAGTAATATTGTGTTTCATTAAGTATTGAATTATCTATTAGGTACCATAAACATCATGAGGCCGTCTCGGTTGAATTTCTCGTTTCTTATTTCTAAAAGGCGGCGTAGCGTTATTTTTATATTTGCGTTAAACAAACCAAAAAAGGGCCTTTTGAAGTCGATCACACAGATAAGAAGCGTATACGACCACGTTTTGAAGGCATTACCGAGTTGGTGTTATTAGAAATATGAATTATTAAAAAGTTGCAGTTAAATGTGAAATATGATTATTTGTACTTTCGAAATCGAGTTGAATACATTTTAAAGACAATAAAGTTGTAAGACGTCGATGAAGTAATGTCTTCAAAATCACGTTATACGCAAACTATAATATATTAATAGATGTTTATCAGTCTCTAAACCCGATTTCAAAATGTCTTTTCGTTAATTTTATTTAGGAAAATACATATATTCAACATTATCCGTCAAAAAGACAAATGCAATGTAATGTCGGTTTTTTAACAGTTCCCTATTATTAATTTAAATTTATAATATTATTATTTAAACATATAACTTGTTTGTACTTGTTAGTATAAGTAAGTACGTGAACGAGCGAGTGAGCGAATTATAGTGAATACGGGTTTAACTTCTAACTTTGCTTAATACATTTTAAGATTGTGATAATCGAAAAGTGAATGGATGTATTTGTATATTTAAAACTTTTGACGCGTAAATTATTTATTTTATAATTATTATAATTATTACAACGCAATAAATGATAATGGATTTTCACAGTAAAGTTATTACCGAAAAAATAAAACAAATTCATAGTACCTATAAGGCTATAACACAAATGCTATTATAGTCTGATTATTTTATGTTATAGCTACCTTAAAAAAACATTCCTAATCTTTCTCCAAAAAATTTCTTATATGTTGTTTTTTAAATATAAAATAATTTGGTTAGGCACGTGCTCTAATTTTATTTGTTTACAATTTTAAAAGATGTGACATTTTCTCCCGGTAGTACTTTATTAGAACAACTTATCAAAACTGTTTAGGAGTGCATCCCCTAAGTCCTTTTTCTGCTGTATAATTTTTCTTTGCTTTCTGAATTAAAACCCTGGCAAGTGGCAATAACGTGTTTTTACGACTAACACTATTCCGCTCAAAATCGTTTTTTCATTTGAAATGATTTATTCGTATCGTTGCATATACAGTATATAAACTAAATTACCCTGTATATATCTTACCTCCTCAACTAATCAAGTCCAACAGTGACCTATTAACTTTTTAAATATTAAAAAAAACAAAAATTCGGTTCATTATAAACTTGTATTTATCGGTAAAATGAAAACAAATAAATAAATTTCCTCCCCCGCTCTCATATACGTAGATTATTACGTAGATTTTTCAAACTGAGTTTTAGTTTAATAATAAAGAGTATTATTAAAAGTTCAATATATTATTTCCAAATCAAATCCTACTCGATGGATACGTGTGGTAAATGAGGACGATTAAAAATAAACCCCGTAGTATATAATAGACACGACCCAAATATCAATGTAAACATTTTGCATTATATTACGCGTGCGCGATGCGGTTTTGTTTGTATATACATATACGATAAATTAATTCTAAACTCCCGACCGTCGTCTCGTACGCCTACTTATCGCAAAAATTTTAGATATTAATATGTTATTTAAATTTACGGAATTGTAGATAATATTTTGTTGTTTTTCTTCCAGGTTTTTAATCGAAAAAAACGACAAAAATCGTTTGAATAATGTTTTAAAATTAGTATTTTCATAACGGTTTAAACGGCGAATTTGTGTATATTACAATTTGTACATGGGTTAGGCGATTTTGTACACGACATTTCGTTAATATTTATTATTTCCTGGGAAATAAGTGTCACAGCGGCGATCCGTAATAATAACGGTAATAACACTGCATCAGCGAGTTACAAAACATATTTATTATAATCTAGGCGCCGTTTGAAAATAATTATTAAAATACTGTACCTAAACTACGGCTTCGCGAATTCTATTCGAAGGTCGTTTATGGCTTTATTTTTAGTAGAAAACGATTTTGCCGACAACCCACCCACTTGATTAAATATAAAAAATTCCAAAATAAATTCTGCGCGTTAATTTTCAAACTAAAATTAACATTTAAGCGCGTATAATAATAGCGAAAACAAAAAAAATTTTTAAAAAATGACGAAAATTCTAATATTTGCAAACATCGATCACTCGTGTTGACCTTGTTGTCGTTATGCGAAATTCGCAACGAAATTAATAGGGTCAATAGAAAATTATATAATCAGTTGTTAGAAACATATTGTTTTGGTACTATTTTTATACATACACGTATTATACACGATCGAAGAAAACATTTAAAATTATGATCATTAGTGGCGCGTACAACTGTAGTACAACTGGTAAATTGAAGGTCAATATGTGTATACATATTTTTTAAATTCTTTTACAAAAAATTGGCTAACCGAAAATAATATACGGAAAAAAAACAACATACATCTTAATAAACTATTATTATAATATTACCTTCGAGTGTTACGAATAAAGACGAAATTCCTTTTAACTTAATTGTGGGTCGTGTATAGAAGTGAATAAAATATTATTCATGCTATAATATTAATAATAATAATAATAAAGATTTTTATCCTTAAGTTTTCAATATCAGTATGAGATAAAATAAATCTTTGATGCATTGAAAAAATACAAAATAAAACTGTAACTCTGCTGTTAAATTATCCATACCTAATGTAAGATGTCCAGGGAAGTTCCATCGACTGAAAACGGCCAACATGTTTTCCAGACGAAAAAATAACATATCACCTATACATCTATACCTATACCGTTATAAAACCACCGTTAAAATGACTTTGTCGTTTTAATCTATAAAACCGATGATTAACAATTGCTAATAGAAAATGATTCTGAGCAGAGTTCGGTTACTCATGTATGGAAATTTTGTGATTTTCGTCTAAATTTAAACCATAATAACAATAAAAAAAACGTTACATTTTACAATTTTTGTTTTTTTGTTACTACGTACAAATTATGATGAGCTTCGTGATAAATTTTCAAGGATCTCTGCTGAGGCACAACAATTTTATTCTATTTTATTATATAAATTGTTCAAAATGTACAGAATATTTTGAATACTGTATCATGTTTGAATAGTCATAAGTAATTTATATAGGTATTCTATAATAATCTTAGATTCTACGATTGTTATTAACCTAATTAAAAAGAAAATCGAAAATAAGTGAAACCGTTAAGTACCTAAATTGTTTCATTTTGCGAAGATTTTTCAAATTGTTAGAAAAAATTATAAGGAAAATCAAAAAAATTATCTACTCTATGCACCAACTAGACGAAATTTGCTACTAGAAACCATCCATAAAGTCGATGTTCGGAGCAAGGTTTACATGAGAAAAGTGATTCGTATCTAGATAAAAAAGCACACATTCACTCAGAATCTAAAAATAATTTAAACGAATTGTACTTGATCATTAAATTTGTATCAGTTTTATTCGATTAAGTTAACTTTCTGAATTAATTCGTTAAATAAATTAAACGCAAGCGGCAAGTAAGTATCCACTTACACTGTATCCAACTTAAACATGCAGATGTCACAGGTACTTACTATAATATACTTACTATGTCTTACTGAAAAAATGATTATACAATTTCGTATATTTTAACGTTTTCTATAATGGCTATTCCGAAATAACTATATACCACATTATAAACGCTATCGGGTGGAAGAAAATTTAGAGATTATTAAACACGAGGTTTTAAACCTGCCAAACATTCTGGCACGTGATCAAAGTTCTATTATGGTGACGCGGAACAAAATTTCGACGAGCGCGGGTTTATCTTTATCTTAGGTACATATGCCGCATAGAAATCGGATAAAAGAATATATTATTATGATATATAATAGCTATAATATTATATTATAAAAAATTATTATTATCATTATTTTTTTTTTTAATCTTTTATATAATTTTCAAAAAATATATCTTCTCACTGTTCATACATAATAGTAAATGCACATCAAAAAAATAATAATAATAAAATATTATATAGGTACTTGACATATTTAACTACCTACGAGATTTTACCTACCGCGCGACAACATGATCAATTGGTTTTTTTCCCTAAGTCATCACTCATCACTATATTATGTATTTAAACGCACACACTACTCCGCCGTAATTTAATTTTAATTTCCGTAAGAAAATTATAATTTACTATTTAGACACCTATCCTAATTTACAGGTACACTAATAAAATTAACCAAATATTGTATTATATATTCCCTAAGAGATATTCATTCCATTATTATATTTATGCATATTATTGTATGGCTTTCGATGAAAAAAACGATCGCTGAAAACTAAATGTACCTATATTATAATTTGTGTAAATATTTGTAAATTTAAATCAAAACGAATGTGTACTATATGTATAGGAATTGGAATTTGTTAAAAAGAATACATATACATTTCAACAACATTTCAGAAGAAACAAAATACTATTTTTCTCTTAATAAATTTGCTATTTGTATATCATACACATAGGTCCCTTTTAACATAATATTATGAATATTTCACATTTAATTCTATACAGACAAGATGATTTAACATAAAACGATGTGTTTATATAAGAAGATAATTTATTTACCGTAAAACTATTTTGGTCAAATATATTACTTAGGTTCGTTTGAACATATTTCCATTCCTAGAATCTGGGTGCCCGTTATTTTTGAAGTTGAAAATTTTGGAAAATGCCGACCGGAAATTTGTTCAAATATGTGCATCTAAAAATACGGCCCTTATAACTTTAGCTTTATTGAACCGCATTAACAGCGTGCACTTAAAGTTCAAAGTTTAATGAAAATGTGAAAAATTTTGTTTTTTTATACATACTTCCTTAAATATTAGTATTACGAAAATTTCTATTGTGTTTGTATTGTAGAACTGATAATTTACTAAAAAAATGATCAGTTTATACTTTTTTCTGAAGTTAACCATCTTGCGCCAAAATTAAAAAACCTATATACCGTTTGTCGTAATTTATGAAAATTGCTTGGGTTTAATGCTTTGCGATTTTCCATTAATAATATGCAGATATCAAAAAATCCTATGCAGCATAACTTGTTATGTTTATTTCCAAAAAAAAGACGAACATATCTCGCACGATGGGTGGGCTACTTTTATAGGTGATAAGTTGGAAAGGTAGAATATAGAGGAGAATTTAATTTATATATATCTGTACGCAACGATTGCTAAAGAAAAAAGGTTCGGAACGAAGTACATGAATGTAAATTGTCCGTATTTCCTACGTTTTCTTTCGGTTTTTCTCAATTATTATGAAAACCGCTTAGAAAATAAAAAATTACACGTATAAAGCACAAATATAATTTTCTTTCAGTAAAGATGCTACACTTGATAAATTAGAACAAGATATTTGATAGAAAAGTTGTACGCAGAAAAAAATAAGTAATAATAAACATAATTGTAAAACCAATACATTCCACGCCATGCTCCGAATCTAAAAAAAAAAAACAAATAGGTATTTTTATAATTTTTAATAGACAAATTTTCCTTGTAAAATAAGAAAATAAAAAGTTTCGCACAATACTGTACTACTATTTCTAACTGAGTGATCCGCTCGATACTCGAACATATCGACGATGATTTGATCAAAATTGTGTGGCCAATAAATTAATTTTGTGAGCTACGCTGTATTCACGCAAACGAGAAACAGAACATATAATATTATATAGTCTCATAAAGAATTCATCTAAAAAGTATTTCTTTTTTTACGAGTACGTCTTGTATATTATTCGATCGCATCACATTGACGATTATGGGAATTTCATATCTGGTTCTAATTCGAGAGAGATATATTTAAAATTGTACACAACTAACTCCAGCTGCCAATTAATATGTGTACACGGCTTTAGTATGTATCGTGTTGTATATTACTCTTGATTTTATATCTTTTTCCTACGCGTTTGTGCGGTTAATGTATTTGAGCGTTCGAAATTAATTTAAATTGATATAATTTTGTATAGACGCGCGTATGCATTTTACATTTTTATAGATCGAGGTTTAAAGAAGAAAAACCGCGTGTAGAAAGTGAATTTTATATTTTTTTTTTTCCAAACCACTTTGAAACAATAATATCCGCAAAAAAACTAGACGGCTACATTATACCGGCCAGTAGTTAAATTTCTGCAGTCGCAATTTTTTTTCGCGAATTGTATTTTTAGATTAATGAATCTAGGCTTTATAGTGTATAATAATATTTAAGTAACTAGGTACTGCAGACCTACTCCCTTATTCCGAATTGGCAAGATTCTATCGTTTCGTGTACGCACTTCCGAACGCGCGTATAACAGTTCGGTTTTACTACGGGTCATTTACACAAGAGTTTTATGTGCGCTTGTATAGGAAGCTGCCCACTAATTGGACCTCTTTTCCTGTTGGACAACCGGGGGAAAAAAAAAATATATTAAAAATAACTCTTTATTTTATTATTTATACATATAATTTTTTTCGTGCACGTCCGAACTTTTCCGGGCGCTAACCCAGCAAGCGACGACGGGCTTGGCTATACATATATGTGTATACGCAAGCACAAACCGTAACGCGCGGCAACATAATGTCGTTTTCATTCGAACAATCGATCTTATCTGCCAAACTGTATGTATACCTAGTAATTTTCTTTCTTAATTCGCAATTATATCTCTTGACAATATTAAATTTCAATATCCAATATAAAATTCAATGAAGTTATAGATTATTATAATATGGATTCTCGTTAGATAATTGTAGGTATCGCAAATAGTTCGCTGTGTAGCACCGTTGTTTAATTGGCAACACCGTTTTGTGTAAAATATTGCAATACATTAATATGATATTGTCGGTTTGATCATAAAGTCTTCAGAAAACTTTACAATTGAATGTTTAATAACAAAACGCGTATCTGACGAATTGATCTACCTATCTCGTATGTATCTAAATTTTAATTCAGTTTAAGAAAACGATATAATATGTCGTGTTGCCACTATGAAATCTTGCAGTGAGTCGAGAAAAATAGGTACGTGGTATTGGTTATTAAGCAACAAAATATAGTATATGCGATAAATTACCTACAAAAAAAATATCACTTTTTGTTGATTTTTCTGTAGAGTTGTAAAATAGTACTCAAAGGGCTAACAGTAAGCTGTCAGGGGCTTCTGTACGCTATCGAAATGGCTTTAAATAATCCAATAGGTATTGCATTAGGTTATTTTGGGAGCCAGTAACATGTTGTCTAAGACTGCAGTAGGTGACATAGGCTATCGGTAGGCCGTAATAGTGAGGTCATTTTCAAAGAAAAGTATTGACGATAGAAAGTAATAAGCTGGGACGGGTACGCTGTGTAACTCTTAGGGACTGTAGAATGAATATTTGCTAGACTGTTTTTATCGTGTAATCCAACCCTGATAGTATTATGTAGGTACTACAAGATGTGATTTCTATTTTTACATGTTTCTTTGATCAAGTTCCTTTTGATAAACCTTTATTTACTATATATATATACAGATGTGCATTTTTAGGCATGGAAAAAAAGACGTGCGGTGTTGTCAAGTTTCCCAAAATTTGTATGTATTATGTATATAATATATATTAAATTATATTGGTAAATTTCCAATTTAGAATTATTTACTGTACTAGTCTAAATAAATGGCCGGGAAGAAACTCATTTTACCAACGGGTGCTATCCTTTATAATCGTTCATTTCTGCCTTGGAATTACTATAAGGAAAATCATATAAAATTGTTTGTATTTTGACTTAACGAATTTCTTCGATTTTATTGTCATATCTGAATAATATTTTGTAATAAGAAGTCTCCAGACGATATTAATGAAACACAAAGAAAAAAATGTCTATTATTCTTTTCTTTTTTTTTTCAGAAAATGTGAAATTCGTTTAACTCGATAATAAAGTAAATAATATGTATAACCCACTAAAACTTAAAAAAAAAAAACTATGTTACCAATAATTATTATCATCTGCCATCACAACATGTCGTGTATTTTTATCCATTATTTTTGCGGAATAAACGCGCACTAATACTTAAGTAAAAATAATAATAATAATCGAAAGGCACTTCCCATTTTTGTTAAACTATTTTAAAAAAAAAAAACCTTAAAATGCGTTCAGGAAAAAAATGGAACATTTATTTATTCAAATTTATATTATTTGTGATACAATACATTACGTATAATTAATAATTGTACTTTCGTGACACCTATACAAACTTTTTTTTCAATATATAAATAATACAAACGCAACGGGAATACATTATGTTGAAACATTTTCAACATGTATGTTAATCTTGTTTACTTTGTATAGTTTATATGTGGAAAACTATTCATGAAACGCGTAGGTATTACTCACCATTTTGTTTTAATTCGAAATACACGATCATTAAAAATATTAATTTTTTGAATATTGTACTTAAAATTTATATCTATTTTTGTTTTATTGTATACGTATCGGTACATGATATGTAAAAAGTCAAGTATTCGCAGCGAATACTAGCAGACTGCACAGTATTTTCAATCAGATCAAATTGTGATCATTTTTTTTTTTATCTTCACAGTATATTGCCGAAAATAAAAAAGTCCTTTTGCATCGATGCAGACCAATTATAGTGCTTTGGACGGTAGCCATAAATTCGCACTCGACAATGGTTGACGTATATTTCGTTTGCCAACGTTGCCAAAAACACGATAAAGCAGACACGTGTTTACATTATATATTATACGGTTTTTTTTTTTGACGTCAATAAAATTTAAAAAACTCGATTATTTCAAAATTATAATAATAATAAATACGAATTCGATCGTGCAAAAATAATAATAGGAGAGGCTTTATAACTTTATAAGTAAAATTATCGTTTACGGAACATATATCTAAACATAATAATCAATTAATCTAGCATAATTAAGGAAAATGCGCGTGTGTATTATATGAAGAAAACAAAAAGATATTCGTAAATCGTTATTAATGGACTTTAGACTTTCTTTCTTCTTCGTTGGCTATATCAAAACACAAAATTTAATTATAAACTATGTATTCAACATTGAAAATATAATTGAAGATTAGAGACGCTACAGAGGCTTAACCTCTACAGAAATCATCCAAATTCCCCTACAACTATTGGATATTTCCGGTGTGTATTTTATATATAACAAGCCAAATTTAAAAATACTTATTATTCTAGCACCCTCTTTCCATCGAAAAAAGGTATCGAATCTTCACTTAATATGATTGAACATTTATTACTGATAAAATAATGATCTTTATGCGTTATATTATTGAACTAATTTCACAACAATTATGTATTTCGGCCTTTTATAATATATCAGTTGCAAATACAGTGGGGCATGGTGAACTAAAAATATGTAAACGAGCTTAAGAGAAAAATGGAGTGATCATTCTTCAATACTGTGTTTTTAGGGTTTTAAATATACTCACATACTCACCACTCTACTGTGTATAGTAATATTTTTCTTGGATTTTATTGTAGGTATATAATTTGCATATACCTAATATGTTTAGTCCTTCCCCATTGAAAAATCCTAAGTATACCAACTGCTCAAATGTACATATTAATTTTTTGTGGACGTTTCTTATGTAACAGTTTATACATCTAATTTAACGATTCCTTAGCCGATGCAATAAATATACAAATACATTCAAAAGGTTATGAGTAAATTAAACAATATAAATATTTTGCTTTATTATTCATTATCTATTCGACACGGTTTATTTTATGGGCACGCGACGACGTGATGATTAAAAAAAAAGGTACAATATTATTATAATATAAATTATAATAGATAAAAAAAGTAGTATGTGTGAATAGGTTATATGGAGGGCGTTGTCCCGAAAAACTTTATAGAAACCCGAGGTCACGAGTGCAGCAACTGCAGCTGTAAGAAGAAGTCCATCAAATAAACTTTTTTGTGAATCACGACGACCGTGTTGTTTTTTTTTTCTATAAAGTATACGTGAACAAAAATATCGTCTCCTCGAAACAATCACCCGGTCGTTAACCGAACGCATGCTCAGTAGATTCCTATATTATATCCAAGGAGTTGTATATAGGCAATTTTAACGATATTTTGAATCTTAAATAAACTCGAAAATATTCAAAATCGATAGTCAAAATAGATGAATTCACAAGTATAGAGCCACGTGCTACAAGTATTTGTTCAAAAATATATACGCGCAAAACAGAAAAAAAGTATGGGTTCTTTAAAATAATTAAATTGTACAGAGATACATAATATTATTTGCATTTGCATTAACCAACAATTAAATAAACAGATCGATATCATAAGATTTAAAATGCAGGATTTTGATTTTTTTCAATCTCTGTATGTACTGGGTAGATATTTTTCCAAAAACGCGTACGCGGGTCCTTTTAAAATATACTTATTGTCTAAAATCGTTTAAAAAAAGTTCTTCCGACTTTTTTCGTATAAACATATGACGTTTTTGTTACTGAAAATTATCAACACGAATGGGAGATAGACAACCAAATTATCGACAGGGAAAATATACCGACAAATTTTTCACCGAAAATAAAGACTTTCATTTTAAATTATGTATGTTATATATAATTGTACGAGTATACATTGGAGTCGGTAAATTGCGTTCCCAAAAAAAGGTCATAGTTATTAGACTATGCAAATTGCGACCTGGGTATATTTAGCGGCTGTTTCTGGCAAAAATAATTTCAAACTCAGGAATTAGAATTGTTTTGTAGGAGGTAGATTGAATTGATGAAAATTGGGTCGAATTTAAATAGAGGATGTTTTTTAGCTTTGTACACCTCTACAGACTTCTCAGACGATGTAAGAGGGATGCGGATGAAAATGTGCGTATGCGTAGTGTTAATAGCAAGGATTTGCTTAAATTTTAAACTTTCAACCCTCGCTCCTACCATTTTTAAAATCAAATTTCATCGTTTTTCTGAAAGTTATATAATAATCAATAATTATATTATTGTATAGTATTTGATTATTTATTGTTTTGCAAACATAATTTCTAATATACAAAATAGCGGGGTGGGAGAGGGAATTCGACTCTAGTGACGGAACTTTGCTGCACACGGGTGTTTTCCATTTTTTAAAATATTGCCTGTACAGCACGTTTAACGTGTGTTTTCGAATATTATATTAAAATTACCGTCGATGAATAAACTAATATATAATATAATAATAGCTAGCTATTGTATATTTACCGCAAAAAACAGCAAATGTCATTGTCGCCCGCGCACCAGAGTCCGGCCTACAGTGTTTATTATAATAATATTAGCGTAATAATCGGTTTCATTTTGGATACGGCCTATAAACCCGATACTATATAATAGATTCTCCTCCCATGTTTTATAATTTACAATAATATACAGAGTGATTAACATAACGTAAGACACTCATTAATAGTCTGAAAGTATTAAGTCTTTTCGAGATGTTTTTTTTTTTAGAAAATTTAAGAAACAAGCGGTTCTAAACTCGAGACGGAAATTTTTAAAACCGTAATTTGTTTGAACTAAAACTAAAATTTATTTATAGAATTTTTAATACAGGTTGCCATATGTGAAACTCAAAAATGTATATATAGTGATGCTCCCCCCCCCCACGGATATACAAGAGTGACGAGAAACAACGGTATTATAACACACGTTATAGCTGCTCGTTTACTTGAATTTTATTAACACACAGATTCCGAAAAAATATTCAAATGCTTTTCGGGATAATGAGTATCTTACGCTTTACGGTGATCACTCTGTATATATTTATATTATACCTATGTATGACTGCACAGCCACGCGCGTGCGTTGTCCTCGACACGGGCTTGTCTATTAATTTATTATTCGTGTATCTCGTCGACCGGAAGCGGTAAAAAAATAACGATAATAATAATAAAAAATTAGCTTTCGTCAAAATGACCGCGGCCTACCCGCACGTCCGCCGCCGCTGTTATTTACATATTATAGGTAAGTATCTATTTATTTAAACGGTCGAAAAACGGGACGTATAATAATTTACAAAACGGTTTTGGTCCGACGATTCGCCATTGACATCCATATTATTATCACGTCGTATAAAATAATGATATAACGTATATCTATCATTTATAACGGTCAGCGTTGATATCTGTATCGGGGGGTTTTTTTACGTGTTTTTATATCGTTTAATACCGCGCAAATAAAAGAAAAAAAATCTCTTCCTATGGGAACGTAATTTATTTTATAGCGACAAGTACTACCGAAAGAATCTGCGTAATATTTTATTAGGTTTTATACTGAATATTGGGAAAATTCGTACACCTCGTATAATAATATTACATCTAGTCGAATGGAAATATTCGGGTCTCCGTATCGTTTCAGATATCGGTCTTGACAACTAACCGTAGTTAATCACACACGTGTTTTGATTGTAACTTAAATGGGTTTATATGGTGACGATAGTAAAAAATTTTAAAAAAACTCTTCGCGGTTAATATGGTTTTAAGTACGAATTAAAAAAAAATATATATAAATATATATATATCGACCATCAGTAGATTTGTGCGAAACGTAGTTGTGAAACATTTTCATTAAAAATAAATAGTGCGAATAATATCGAAGAAAGTTCCCTCGTAGACGATCACGAAAAATATATTGAAACCACGCTAGACTCTGGATAAACAAGCATTATAATAAATTCATTGAAATCATTTCGTGTATGTTATCTGTAGACCAATAGACCTATAGACCAGATGTGGCCTTTTAATAGAGATCTACTAAGAATAAATAGATATATATTTTTTTTTTCAATGATCGATTTCCATAAAATACTGTATAATTATTATTAAATAATGCTTTTCATCACACTTGAATTTAGTTGACTCTAGTACAATATGAATTATTATAAATTAAATTTATCAGACGACAGACATAACATTGCCAGCATAAATATTGTTGAATAATACTTGATAAACAGACAGCAATTAATATAATATTCAAATTATCGGCGTTTTTTATTTTTCTATTTCTTGTACGAAAATTAATTTCTAACTAAGAGAGATCGACATTGAAATCGACCGTTTGGCCGTTTCAGTTATCCAGACTATCCGGGAACCAACTCGTAGACATCTCTACCGAATAGTCACTATCAAACAGTTCGACAGTCGAAAATTGATTAGGTTATTCAGGAATTTCGATCGTCTAAAAACTATTTGGCAGATGTAAAATATAGAAGATACCTATTCGGTTATTACTATATTCGGCGAGTATAATTTTTATCGATTATTGGTTATTTTTACTTAATGTGATTATGAGTGCCAAGCTAAGTGTCATTAAACGTCTAGGGTATTTTTTTTTTCTTTGCAAATCATTTTATTTCGTTGCAAACAAGGAGTAAACAATTATTATCACTAAAAGGTTATGTACGAGCACGACTATACATATTTACTACAACCAAGCAAAGATAAAACTGTTAAAAGCAGTGAACAGTATATAACAATTGTTATTAGCGACACGGTGTCTGATAAAAACTATTCGACAGTCGATACTACTACCGACTGTTCGATAGTTTGAGTACGATATATTTCAAACTGTTCGACTGCATCGACTATATAATCAGTGGCGTAGCAAGCGGGTAGGTCTGGTAACCATGGGCCTATCCACTTTTCTCCAAAAATTAACACAATTTTAAAATCAAAAATTTGTATTGGTAGTCTTTTTTATTCAAACATTTATATTATTTTATCTGGCCTACTCAGAAAATTATTACAATAGCTACGTCTCTGTATACGGTAGTTTCCATCATTAGAATATTCAGGAACGAACACAATAATATAATGATATACCTATGTTTTTATTATTATAACGAGCACCGTCGTCATCGTTGTCGTCATCGAAATCGCTTTCACCGCATGCGGTCGTCTCCGTTTGCCTTTTCGTTTTGCGAAATTATAACATGAGACTTTGATACCGACGATGAAAACGGTTATTCGTGCAGCCCGGTGGTTATAGCAGTAAAAACTAAAAAGTACAGTATCGGTCCGTTTTTTCCCTGTTGTCGACCACCAGCTGTGGATCATTATTATTGATGGCTTCCCGATATAATATTATTATATACATTGTTGACGCAACGCGCTCGCGATATCATATCGTGTCTCACGATTCGACCCATATTTTCGCATAATATAATATAAAGACAAAAGAGTGCATAGATTTTTTTTTATATCGTTATTTTATTAGCATGGTCGGTATTGTCTACATAAAAAGAAAAAAACCGTTTTTGCCGTTCCGGTCTCGGCGTTATTATGATTCACCGAGTCGTGTACGTTATTATTTATTATTATAAAATATGGACGCGTATATCATTACCGCGTAGTAACGTCGCATTTACATAATAGAATTTCGTTATTGGCGATCATTTCGCATGTGTTTGATAATAATTACGACACGTGGATATATTTATCGTAACATTTGCGTATTTGTAAATATTATAGGTAAATAATCGTTTATCAAGAATTCAATCTATTTACGGTAAGGGTATACCCAATTGTCAGAAAAATGATAAAGTATTAGGGGTTATCAACATTTTCAAATGCATTTTTTCATAATTCTATAGTTTTGTCTGATCGAAAAAATAGCTTTTTTTCATTATTTTAGGACTTATAATTTTTTTTTAATTTACCTAGTTTAAAAAGATTAGTTTTGGCGTGAATTCAAATGTGTCTTACCAAACATGGGGTATACTAAGATTACCATACTGATAAGGACGTGTTAATAACGTTATCAATCGGAGATGCATGATAAGACGTGATTTCAGTCACAGTGGTAACCCACTACAGAGTCCTGCTTGTTGATTTTTACAAACTTTTAACAATCGTTAATAAAAGTGTTAACAGTTCTTATCAAACAATTCGATTACTTTAAATTTGTATTCTAGGAGCCTGCGTACTTTTTTTTTATAAAGAGGCTAACATTTTACAGGGCACATTGAACTTTAATTTTTGATGCTGCAACCAAAATCCACAAACAAATTTTAAAAAATAGTAAAAATTGATCATACTCAAACTCTAATTACAACAGTAAGAAATATAATTTTAAAAATTCAATTTCAATGCATTACGTAAGAAACCTTCATCTTTCCAACGAAAAAAAAATATCGAAAACGGCCCATTCGACCGGGCAGGAAAATTAATCCTGTAAAGCATGTTAGACAAAACAATAAGCTGTGCGTAATTCCCTTAATCAGTGATCAAATCAAATACTATATAATTCTGCTCAAAAAACCTGACAACTCTTGTGTTTAACAAAACTATGGTAAAAAAAACAAACAAGATAACTCAAGATAACATTTTAGACTATAACTTATAAAATGTTTTCGTCTTGAAGAAACGGTATAAATTAAATCAAGTATAAAGTTAAACTTTTTTTTGTCTTGATCTATTGTAGCTAAATTAATTTTGATATTAAGGACAGACCAAGGTGGCCGATCCCGAATTGATTAAAAGAGAAGCGAAAAGAAATAATATAAAAGAATTTGGTAATCACTGAGGAAATTCATATTTTATAATCAGTGTATCACAGTGTTCTCTAAGAGATATCTAATTTTCTCATTTATAAAAGAAAACTCGCTCGACTCGCGATCTTTAAATCGCCCGTCAAAAGAAATCTTCAATATTTGTAGATAACTCAGTCGTTATTGTTGTCGATTTGCTATTGAACTGTTTCAGTTGGGCTTTCACAGACATTTGTCAGAATACGAGTTTGTAGTACGAGTATACTGACTTCGACTCATTTTGTTAACTATCTAAGCCTGAAATATACAATCAAGTTATCGTTTAATACTATACATACTACTTATATTGCGTTACACCTATAGGTATAGTCATGTCAGATGTTCAACTTTCAAACATTCATGTAGTCAAAATCGTTCAATAACAAGGAAACGTCGCGGTCGTGGCGAGAGAAAAGTATTAATAATTAACATTGAAATAGTCGCAGCCGAGAACTCAGCTATCATATTATTATCATTAATTAAACAGTGTACGGTCTTGTCTCCAACTGCGGTATACAATATTAATAAAAAGTTAATATAAATTACATAGTAATAAAATATCAATTCTTTGTCCAAGGCTAGCGAGCAGTCGCTATGTAGTAAAAAATCGTGTCGCGTTAACCTGTAGGTCATAATACATAAAAGACAGTTGCGTGTATCATAAAGATGTATAATAGGTAATTATCATTAAACACTATATCTAGCTATGTTATGTACTGTGGTTCCGGGCCGTTGCGTTTTTTAAGAATTTCCGAAAAAAAAAAAAAAAAAAAAAAAAAAACAGTCGCATGGAAGAAAGAATGGGTTTCCGGAACCCATCGTCGTGTCTTCGAGCGAACAATAAGCCAGAGTTTTGAAGCGAGTGTTTCATTTTTGTCTACTAGCGTGAGAATGGAAGTAAATTATGTACAAAAAAAAAAAAAAAAACCATAATAATAATAACAATAATAATAACCAACACATTAGTTTTGCTTGTATGTGCCCCTCGTTTACTTGTGAATATGATTAGGGTGCAGTGCGTCTGTGTGTGTGTGTGTGTGCGATAATGAAGGTTTTAAACTAGAGAGAGACTTTCAAAAGAACAAGAATTGGTTTAGACGTCACACCATTTACGTTACCAACACGAGTGAGAAAATACGTTCGACTACACCTACAAATAACGATTTCTACATGCAAACAGGCAAAAGCTATTATAGATATTACGATTTTCCGTCTATTTTAAAAATACGATACCAAACTACCGTACAAACTTCAATATTTTTGTTGTTTCCGTGTATAACGGAATAGGTAAGACTAGGTTTCTCTTCTCTCGGAAAATACTTTTTCGGAGGTAGAAAACTTTTTTTTTATACATTCTTAAATGATATGCGAATGGATTTTCCGCCTGTTGGTTTATTTATTTGAAATATTTTTCTATAGATTCCCAATAGTAATTCTAAAAATATAAATAAAAAAAACTGAACACAATAAAATTTTTGTTGATTTTTGAATCAACTTGCAGTGGGTAACGCGATCGATACTTATTTCAGAATCGCTTTTTTTTTTATTGCAATGATTTATCTTTTCATTCGGTACCCGTATAATAACTAAATTATATACCCTACGTCGTCCTATATTGGCTATATCGGCTATTATATTCAATTGCCCGCCCACAACAATGACCTACGTCGGTCGGTTTTTTTCGCGTAATTTCATCATACCCTCCATTTGTACTAAAATGAAAAAATAATTGTATTCAAGTGTATATATTCTACAAAAAACAATACATTGTATTATACGTTAGTATAGTGCGACGCGTATAATTTGTATATAAAGGTCGATAAAACGGTTTTTTGTGCACTGTAAAATGTCAATAACATGTTATAATAATAATACGTAAATACTAAATACACTATAATTATATAATGTATTACACGTGCGAAAAACGGGCGAATTATATTATTCTTCTATGACACAATGGACTTTTTTTCCCCGTGTGTTTTTGACGGTTTCGTTGTTCGGTTTCTAAATCGGGACTGGGGGTAACGCGGCTTTATAGGTACTACTTATTATAATTTTAAAAAATCCGCAACACGTGGATTATTATAATTATTTATTATTATTATTATTATCATTTCCGACGAACAGAGTGGCCGCGTGCGCAGCGCTGTTTATATATTTGTCACGGTGTCGTTAAAAAAAACCTGTGTAAATAATTCTTTGTGCTGAAATGTTCAACGCATTTTACGAGTGTATAAAATATACAAACGTTGTGCAACGTCTTTCGACGACGCCGTCCCGTCGGTCACCGAAAACAGTATACCAGTGTGCATTTGAAAAATATTTAATTTATCATTAAAAAATCGTCCTCTTAAAAATATCATCGGTCACTAGAAATTCCGCAAAAGTCAATCGAATTAAAATATAAGTATAATATACCGTTTACCTACGCTTGAAAATAACTGTTTAGTCAAAAATTATTTTACTATTATAAATTTATAATAAATCTAAGTAAACGTCACAGTTATAGTAAAAAAAGTTATTATTTTTCACGCCTTAAAGGATGTAGATTTTTCGCTTGACAGTACTTTATAAGACGAATATTTCGAAATTCTCTACGTTTTTTCCGAAAAAATTTTTTTTGCTGGTTATTTTAAAACACTTTTTCGGTCAGTAAAAATGTTCCGATTTTTCACGTCGTGCTTTAAAACATGCGAAATATCCGATCAGTGTGATTTTATTTGAAACATATCGACATTTTAGAAATGTTACTCCGCGTTTTGTTGATTTCTGAGTTACCTTTTCAACAAAAGAAAAACATGACTGATACTACTCTGCTCAGAACCGTTTTCCGTTTGCATTATTTTAACGTTACTAACTAAATCACTAATTACTTTGTATTTATAATACTTTTCCAATCTGTCACTACTGTAGCATACCCATAGTATGAAGTATGTACAATTTTTTTTTTTTTAATTAGGAGTTATTAATAAAGTGAAAACAATAAGAATTAGGTAACGATGATGAATAAACGTCAAAAAAAATATACGGTTTTCATCATAAAACAGTAAACACTGGTTCGTTTAAAAAATGTTAAAAATATGGGCCGAACCAAAAACTGCATATTTGTCTCGTGGTACAAGTGCTGTTTACATTAGGATTTTAAAAATACTATACTTAAGTAAATGTTTTTTTTTTCGTCGAGCGTTTGGTCACGGTTTTATTTTATAATATTTTTGTATTTTGTCAACACGTCCGGCAATTATTTTTTCAAGTGCGCCAATGCCCACGAGAAAAAAAAAGTACTTCCATTTCTAAGTATACATACGTAAGTCGCGTGACTAACGTAATCATATAATAGTGATGGCATAGACACGAGTTAATTTTATTAAACAATTCGGCGCGTTCTAGAATTTCAGACGAGAATGCCGGCTTTAAAGTCTATATAGAAGCATTTCGTGTCCACAAACGTAATTCCGATTTATTTTAATTTTGTTTATACGCTTTTTAAAATTTTATTGGCTCCGGAACACGGTCTCCGTTATTTATAAAAAAAAAAACCTGTAGGCCATTTTTCTTTGAGGTTTATAGACATTCAGCTCCCCCCCCCCCCGTCTCAAAAAAATATTACATAATATTTACTGAGAAAATTTCCTCGTATTTTGTACACGTTTCAATGATGATTTTATGGAGGGGACGATTCTACTACCGACCCTTTGGGCCGTGACTTTTTACGCGAATCGCGATTATTGTTTATCATATACACACCCCGTATCCCGTTGAAAATTCCCGGACACTCCATCACTATCTCTGATAATAATCAAAAAAATAATACGCGTGTATTGGCAGTAATCCTGATGTCTCTCGGACGTGTCCGTAGACGAGACGAAATTCGGTTTTCGCCGGCCGGCCCGTACGATGTGCGCTTATATACGCTTTTAGCTCGGAGCCGTTGAAATAAAAGCGTGTATCGTATAGAGTTTAGTGTTTTATACACTTTGTATGTGTGTGTATATATATATATATATTTATGTATAAAAAAAATATACTACGCACGCATAGGTCATCCGTCGGTTTTATAAATAGCTGACGCGCGCGATATGCTCGTATACGGCTTCCGGGACCTGCGCGCCAGGAACACGAACGAGAGAGGGACGCGATATTATTATAGAAAAAAAAAAAAAAACTAAATAATATTATTATTGTCGCTTCGGAGTCTGCAGAAGAATATTCGTATTTATTCGAATCTCGCGCGCGCGCGCGCGTGTGTGTGTATATCGTATAATATTGATATTAGTATTAACGCGAATCTTCATTGATTTGGCGAATCAATACGGGTTTTATAAGTATACCATAACTCTTCGGAACTAACAAAATATCAGTACGGGAATACTCGAATAACTCCTCGACAAACCCACGAGAGGATCACAAAATAATATACCATTTTGAAAATTACAAATTTAAAACCGATAATCCTAACAGCGACCGACGTATTAACCGGGAAACAATAATTTTTACATAATCTGTAACTATCTCTCGACTGTCTTTTAGTACCTACTACAATATCTACTTGTACATAGTGGGATTTATTACAAAAATTGAATTACGTATATTGCATAACCGACGGCCATTTATCAAATATCGATACCGAAAATGTTGATTTTACATAACAATATCGATTCCGAATTTATCAATATTATTCGAAAGATCTTTCCTATTAATTCCCTATAGTTTATAATTACGTTTTACATCGATTTTAAACGAACTATGAATACGTAATGTGATGTTTTTTACGTAAAAAAAAATAATTTCGAATATTGTTTGTTTTCGGAGATTTTGAGAATTCCTCCTAACTGCAGCGTGTAAACGCGTCGGGCGATACAAATAATAATATTATTATTATTCTTCGTACATGAAAAATTATGATAATATTTTCATTATTATCATACCGAGTTTTGAGCAGAACTCGCGACGTTTTACTCGATTAGTCAACAAAGTAAAAATATAAAAATCACATTCGTGCGTTAGGAATTTTTTTCTTTAGGTACTTCGTGAAAACTCGTAGGCGGTTCTTCTGTCACGTCGTGTCGTGTACCATCCATCACAAACTATAAAGTCGGGTGTTTTATAATAACGGAAATAGAAAAGCATAACGGGAAGATATCCTTCTGCTTAAAATAGAAACGACTACAGTCAGAAAATAAACGTTTTTTTTTAATTAGGTACCTTTGTATCGTAGTTATTTTACAGATCGTCTACTCTCGACAATTCGACGTTTTGAATTACCTACGAACATCTTTGAATTTCCGAGTGTTCGAATAACTTGCTATGTGGTTCAAATCGCTGCGAGGGCAAACAATCGTCTTCTTCTTTTTCTTGCTTTTATCCCGGTTATTTGGAGTCGGACACTCTCGTCCTAAACTTCCACAAACTTCAAATTGACCCGTTTGTTCCATTTAAATAGGTATACTAAAAATCATAGGCTCAACCATGTAAAAAAGTAACGACCTAAACGATTTGTTATGACGTATACGAATTATCGCGATTTAGTGAGACGTGATTATATCACTGATTTACTATACGTTTTGACAGTGTTTGGTTAAACCGCAAACACGACTTCATGATTTTATGATTGTTCCTGGCTTGTATTCATCCAACGAAAAGTATCAATGATTTTGGCAAAAATGAGGAAACACTTGGAAACACTTAGTCTCTTAAAAATAATATGTTTACACTTTCGGCTTAAACGTTGGTTTATCTTTTCGCGTCGTACAGTATGTTTACATTTCGTACAACAAATTTCATTTTTACTTTTTAAACACGTAACCCGTTCACTTTGAAAAAAAAAGTATCTACTCGCAACGAAACAATAACATACCTTCCGAGAAACATATAGTTCACCGCTCGTATCCACCGTAATAACTCCTCTACCGGCTAGGCCATATAATATTATTCGTGCACATAAACACAATTCCCATTATAGCGCATCGTCGTACAGTAATCGCAGTGTAATATTATTATAATCCGAAAGCCGAAACCTGTTTTAGCCACGGTGCCTATATATATAAAAAATACAAAATTTTATTGTATCGCCGCCGCCGTCGTTAAAGGCGATTTCTTCGACATTCCTCCCATCAGCCGCCGTCACAATCGTCTTCTTTTTGACCGAATACGGTGCGCGAACGGCTGTGCGTGTTGCACTTTCGCCGAGCCGTGTTACGCCGAATGCGCGAACGTAAAAAACGATAAGTCATTTCACATAAGTAATGACCACGAGGTAGTAGGCATTGCAATCGCAGTAAACATGTCCCTTTTCCCGTGTAATATACAGGGCGATGTGTAAGACAAAAATTATGTTTTTAATTCGTTTTTTAGAAAATTTAAGAAATAAATATTTCTGAAATAGTAGACATAAATATTATTTTTTGTCACTCTTGATTTAGTGGACGTAACCGCTTGGTATATTTAATATCTACTTTTTATTTTCAAATAGTAACCTATTTTATAAAAAAAAAAAAAATCCATAAATTGATGAAGGTTCAATTTAAATAAGTTTTGTACAATTTTAATTTCCGTCAACCCGTTGTCGAGTGGTCGAGGTATAATATTCCATTATTAAGTTTACCGTTTTGTCGATAGGGGAAGAGTAGCGGAACATTATTCGAACCCCGCGCGCCGGGCCGTTACACGAATGATACCCCGCTATTCTTTCACTGCCCAAACTTAAAACAGATTGACGGTCAATAAAAATGCCAACACCAAAATTTAACTGGTAATAAAATACTTTCCGAGTTAAGGAGTGCCTTGGGTTAATGATGATCGCTATGTATATTCGCTATTCCAAAATCATCGGTCTACTATCGCGTATTAATCCGTTACCAATATGGCAATCTGTACTATTGTTACCAATAACGATATTACAACTGGCGTACCTACGCATACTCGTTAGATAAGGTATTAAAGTCTTCGCGGCGAGCCGGACGAATGTCTTGCGGTTTTTTTCGGCGATCTAATCGATTTTTTTTTATTGTAATTAATTTATATGTAATTCGTGAATAGAATATTGGAAATTTCACCAACGACGTTGTCGGTTCACAATAATACCGTTTAGTAAACCGATCGATGAAATGTGCAATTACTGCACTTGTACAATATAATCATAATATTATGTGCCTATACTTTTATAATATATACGACTAGGTATTTGGTACTAGAATATAGTTATAATATTTTATTTGCCGCAAAAATAGTTTGCCTAACCCACTGAATCACAATTTCGATAAAATATTTTAGCAGAGAGATTTGATTTTACATCGTCCTGAAGTTGAACCGAAAATCAAGCGTCGACCGCCGTTTAGTTATTGAATTCTGGGGGAAAAATTAACTTATATTATATTCGTGTCTTCGGGATACAAAGCTATATTTCTGTCAAATGTCATCGGTTTAGCGATTAAGCTGTAAAACTAACGAAACAAACGCATTTTCTCATTTATAATACTAGTGGTTTATTATCGCGCCAACCATAAGTAAACATGTAGGCTTTGGTATTTATATAAATATATTATTTTTAATAAGATAATAGTGATAGTTTAAATAGTTTACGTCATATTATATAAGTTTAGCGGTTAATTTTACTTTGTTTAGCTGTATACTTTGGTACCTATACCAGTTTAAAATTAACTTTATCGTCGTCGTTGATACTTAATTAATAAAATATACTTTCCATCATTAGATATACCGACAAAAATATCAACCGGGACTTAATATTAATTACGTATTAGTTATTTTTTTGATATTTTATATTGCTAGGCTATAGGTAACTGTTATAGCACGTATAACTCGTATGATAATTATTCATGTTTCTATATTCTCATAGTATTGTTTGAATCTAACGTATGTTTTAGTTAATTTCTTTTTTTCTTATATAATTATTTTAATTTCCCTTAAATATTTTACAACGTATAGAAGTGTAGTACCTACCATATAATAATTATATCTAATTCCATTATAATTTAGGTACAGCGTTGTTTTCTTTGAATAATATAAAATAACATATTATATTATTTTATTGTGTCGATCATTCGTTTTAATCATTTTCATACGCGTAGTACAATGGCGTTTTTATTTTCTCACAATTTTAATTTTCGAATAAACAACACAACTCGACGTTTTCGTTTACAATAAAAAAAGGAAAAAAAGAAAAGCAGATTACCTATTACTGCTTTCGCTGCTGCCGAACAAGTGTATAGGTACATACGAACAACCTTGAAAGTCCTTCACTTATACATCTGCAGTAATAATCGATACCGACAAAATTATACATCCGGTATAATATATTGTGTCAGAAAGTAGATCAACGGTATATGTTATAATAATAATATTTTCTATTAGTCGTTTGATTCTGTATTGTTTTCCGTAATTTTTTTTTTGTTTTTACATTCTGAACGTAACGAGAAACGTATTGGTTTTATACTGTTTTTCTTCTTTCTTTCTTTTTATGTCTGTAAACAACTTTTCTATCAGAAATCTTACTCCGACTAAAAACTTTATAGGAATTGTTTTGTGAAATTGTTGATCTAGTTGCTGCATTGAGGAGATCGTTTTTTTGATTTTTCTCGTAGTCTTCTTAATAAATAAGAAAAACGTACTATTAAAACAAATTACTTTATATATATACCCTTAATAACTGTCCTATTAAAACATTGGCAACACCCATTAGCAGTATCGGTTTTTTTGTCGTGTGTATATAACATACTGACTCCGCTTTTTACAATATAATTTAAAAACAAACGTTATTCGGATGAAACAATCAAATAAATACCCCAAAAATTGTATTTCAACAATTTCAAAAAGTAAAGTTATCTATAGTTAAAAATTATTTTTCTGAAATCTTCGATATTATTGCTGCAATAAATATTATATTTGTTCAGAGCTTGTATAGTATAATATACGAATAACTAATTCGATATTATGTATTATTAAAATATCAACAAAATACATAATTTATGTGTTTGAGTGTTTTATATTTCAAAATATATATTATGAGTTAAAATGTTCGTTACACATATAGATAAACAAAATATTTGTACGCTAATTTTTGTAGTATTTACCTAATACTTAACAAAACTTATGTGACGTTAAAATTTAAGTACTATCAACAATATAGGTAGAGAATATAGATGAGAAAAGGTACTTATAGATTTTAGATTATTACTATCGCGTATATAGGAAATAGGAATAATAAACAATTGTTGAAAACTAACCTCACATTTACTTTAAAAAAAAAATAAAATAAAAAATCGATCACGTTTTTCGTATACCTATGTCTATACCGACTGCGTATTTACAGACCCTATCAAAGTTCGATCCAAACGGTATATTAACTGGAAGGTTTTCATCGACCAGGTTGTAGCTTTTGGGTTTACATTTTGGAAATTAATTTCTTATGGAACATTATCTGGTTTGGTCCAATAAGTTGGTAATATTTTATAAATTTCCCAAAACTTCTTACAACTCCAGAAACCAATTCTATTACGATTCGGCTTCGGACGTACTCTAACATGATCTGTAAATACGAATACCGGCTATACCTAACTATATAGAGTTCACTCCACTGCAGAATTATTACTAATATAACTAATATTGCGCATCTAATAAAAATAAAAACATGTTAATATTTTACATATAAATAGGTAGGTTTTGTTTTATGTTAATTATGTTTATATTTATTTATTTTTTTTGCAAAAATAATAATATAGGTACTATCAATGTTTTGACGTTGAATAATAAAAAAAAATATATATAAGTATATTGTTTATAGTTGTTGGGTTTTTTTTCTACATTTCTTAATAAAACGTCTTTGAATGATGATTGGCAGTAAAATAAATTATATTATATCTCTGTGATGTTTATTTCCTTTATACAATAAAAAAAAATTATGAACTCTGTTATGACGTTATACCAATGTTTTAAAATTAAAATTTTTTTTACAAACAAATAAAAATGTTTTTTACTTAATTTGAAAGTCGAGTGTTAAATTGATTATTATAATATATTGGTTATTTGTGTCAGTATATTTTATATGTACAAATACGTGCTAAAACGTTAAAAACAAAAATAACGATTCGTATATATATATATATATGTAAAACTAAAACCATACAGTGTATAGTTTACTAAAATAGTAAACTGTGATATGTATAGGAATTTTCAATAGGAGGAGACGTATAGTGATTAAAAATATAAATGACGAATAAATCGTAGATTTTTATATATTAAGTTATGCATAAACCGACAATGAAAAACAAGCCAATTTGTATAGGATTTCCAATTCGGCGATTTTTTTCACATATACAGTACATTATGTTGCATACGGGAAAAATGAAAAAACCATCGAAATTCGTAATTTTTTCTAATTCTCAATGTTTAAATTATTCATCTTAACTTTTTCTCTCGGGTAACTGCAGCATTTTATATATCCAGACATAATTATTATAATCTATTTACTTGCAATCAATCAAAAGTTCAAACGCTATTTAAACACTCCGTTATGGCATATGTGTATTATAATATTATTGTGTTTTACACGCATTAAAACTTTATGTTTTACAAAGTTTTTACGTTTTTTTATAATTGTTTTTATATATTTATTGCTACGATTATGCGTTTATATTACGTACACTGCAAGTTTAAACGAATTCTCTGGATGAAATTATAATAATCATAATTAATGGTAATCCATCGTATATTTCATATGTACGAGTATATATATGTCGTATATGAAAAAAAATAAAAAATAAATTGTTTTTAGTTTTTTTCCTCGAAATTAATTAGTGTGGAATAAACATACTTTGGACCGAGCTCAAGATTTTACAGTTTTACCCGCTGTCGCACGGTACACCTATAAAATATAATAATAACGCGTACGCGTAAAATATGCATAAGATGAAAAATGATTTTGACATAAGAAAAAATAAACGCTCGTTAGAAAAGCCTTGAACGTTCGTAAACGCCGATGTGTCGGTAGGTACATAAAATACGAGTGTATATTATAACATGACGAGGCCCGAGATGAGAACACAAAGAACAAGAACCGAAAACGCACACTCCATAATAATATCAACCAATATATTATTATACATACGTACAATATTATCACGATATAACACGGGTCGTACGAAAATAATAAAATAATGGTATATCATTATAAGAGGACGCATGTGTGCTGTCTCATCAGTCCAACTAAAGGGCGATGTAGCAAATTCTACCTTACGCGATCTGCGTAGAACTCGTTTAATATTGGTTCTAGAGTAAAAGCATCGATTCTAAAATCAAAACAGGACAATATTCCGGAGGGCAAGAGTGCAAGACGATGCATTAATTTTAGATTCTGAGCGGAGCTAGGAATCTATTGGTTTTACAATGGTTATTTTGTTTTATGTGAACACTTTTTTAAAAACTTTCTTTTTTTTAACCATCAAATTTACTCCGATTATCAATTATAGCACTTTTTCTGAAAGGAAATGTTCTCTGGGTGGTACTATAAACAGTTCACTTTTTGAAATTCTCATTAATATTCGAGATAATGAGGGAAACCTGGTTTTTTAGGTTAAACAACATTGAAAGATTAAAAATAAGGTTCTCATTGGAAACCATTTTTATTTATTTTTTGTTATTTTAATCTTTTTTGAAACAATCATCGTTGTCATGGAAACGCAAATTGTACTCATTTTTCTATAATATGACACATACTATATTGTTGACAAAGCATCACTATTATCAACTGAACTCTGTTTAGAATCGTTTTTTCGTTAACAATGGTTTATCGTTTCTTACAGATATACATTAAATTTCCGTCTGTATCCTATCTTCCCAACTTTAACAATGGTTGCACCCACGTGCGAAGTATGTCCGTCTTTTTTTTTTTTAATTCATTTTATAATATGATGTCACAGTCATTTAAAAACGATGTATTAGGTTTTATTCTTAAACGATGCATTGAATGTTATAACCGAAATAATAATTAGAATAATAGGAAAAGCACATCGTTTGCCCTCCTAAATACTGTCTTCTTTTAATTTTATTGTACTTGCTTTTAATCTGAAACCAAAATTATGCGAGTTCTACGCAGATTGCGTAAGGTAGATTTTGCTATATGACCCGTTAGCTGGACTGAGACAGCACATCATGCGGGTATAGCGTCCTCTTAACATTTTGCGGCTTTAAAACATACTTACGCAGACGACACAGAAGACAGAACTCGCTTAATTTTGGTTCTACGATAAAAGTAACTATTAAAAAACGAATAGAAGACAATATTCTGGAGGGCAAGACGATGCGTTTTTTTCCATTTTTCCTAGTATAACGCCTCGATTTACCGCCTAGAAATAACGATTATTTTAACATTTTTATATTACTGCAACTTTAAAAAAATGAATTACCTATTTAAAAAAAAAACTCATCGTTTTGCTTTCCGGAATTTGTCTTCTTTGAGTTTCATAAGAGATGATTTAAATCTCTGAAACCAGAACTAAGCAAGTTCTGTGTCGACTGCGTGGACGTGTTTTCAACACTGAAAATCGCCGGTATAACGTCATCTTTAAATTTTTAGCACGTGAATTTCGTTTACGCTTTTAACTAACATTTTTCTTTTTATATAATATATCGTATGGTGCAGATTGTAGGTTGGTACCTATGTTATGAAACTATTAGAATTGATATATTAACAAAAGTCGATATTTTTTATACCCACTTTATTTTCACTTTTTTCGAATTCTTTATCGAATAAGAGTTATACCCCTCGTAACCCGTATAGTGTACACACACAATATATGACTATATAATTGATAATAGTTGTAGGTTAGGCGGTGTTTGCGAATACCGCCTAATTATGTACAGGTATTAGGCACCTACCTACTTATATAGGCATTCATTTATTACATAGTTTCTGATATATGGGTAATAAAAGTACAATACGCATTTGCTCATTGGTATTTATTTCATTACGCAGATACTTACTTATTAAATATTTATTTTACGTAATAATAATAATACGTTCAATACGTTTGTCATTTTTATATATAGATACCTATATTTACGTACGCTTATTAGATAGGAATTAATACAGTAGGTAGGTATAATATCGTATACCTATAGTTATTTTATAATATTTCCTCGTCGGTCGTTGTGTAAACGATCAGAAACATTCAGATTTTAATAATTATTTTAACTTCAACAATCGCGATTCAAATTATACATCGAAGACGAATACTTTTGTGATGAAAATCTACCTCCTTTAACGTCGCCAACACAACCATAACGGACACTTATGGCATAATACAAACCACAAATTTGTTGGTAGCTCGTTGGATTACTTCCCCAAGTTTTGTAATAATCCGGAGTTTGTAATCCGGATTGTACTGATCGCCTGGTTACATTTTGGTCAACCAGGTCAGTATCTGGTGTTTGGATTAACCAGGATTAAGTGATGCTTAAATAACTTTAAATAACTTTCAATAGGCGTTATGTTATATATAAATGAGACAAATGATATTTTTTCCATATTCAAACGATTTATTTTATAATCGAGCTATACTCTATCCAAAAATTTGGCATAGTAATCAGTATAGGATTTTTTTTGTAACGTTTACGGTTTTCGCACGAAATGACGTCTTCGTGGCCTTTTATGCGTTCGCCCCAGCGAATTGACGGTGGATTCGATATGTGGTTCCCTTTTGAAAATTTAACAATTTTCACCTTTTCAACTCCCCCCACCCCTCAACTTCCGTCCACTTTAACTAAAACCGTCACAGGGTCCGGACTCTGTCCTCTACTTATTGACATTTTGAGATCGTTTTCGAGATTATCGGTGAATGCAGAGAAATCGGATTTGCATCAGCTCATTCCATTCGAAATTGTTCCCATTATCATACAAAATATTTGATTTAAACAATACGATTGGAGTTTACGTGATGGGCATAGTCGATTGAGCTCTCCGCGAATCAGCGTATTCGTTTGATTATGGAATGGGTACTAAATATTATTCGATATGTCCTCGAATTAAATATCACTCAACAGCCACTGGTCGTACGATCATATGCTTATAAACTCGTCTACCCGTTTGACTCGTAATGCCTATGCGCGGCGAGAGAGTATCGAACGACGCGACGGTCGTGCAACTGTTGCGGGAGGTGGGTTAACATCTCGGGGAAAATAAATAAAAACACGGTAAATTTGAATGAAGAAGTAGCGGCTGATAATACCGGTGTGTAGTGGAGAACATTACCGTTTGGTATAAATTTCGCGGGACTATTGCGGTCTGCGGACGGTGACGCGGACGGCCGGACACGGCGGAACTATCAACCGTATAGTGTATGCATACCGCGGTTACCGTAACCGTAGTCGACGACGGATATCTACGTGAAAACGCGCGTAGTTCGGTGTACGCGATAGTATTATTTATTATTATTATTATTATTATTGTATAGGCATAAGACACTTTGTTATATATGTAGGTACGTAGGTGTATAAACAATAATAATATACGCGATCTCGACCACCGGTTCGATTTCTCGTTCGCCGTAGCCCGTCCCCTCCGTTCGCCGCCAGTTAGTGGCGGTTACCGTGGCGTAGTGTTACCTCCTCCCACCGGGTTACCGCCACCGTCAAATGATGTCACTTGATAACAATTTCCCACTTCTCCGCACGTCACGGTCCTCCAGTCACCTCCGGTAACCCGTCTGAGTGTGATTACGTATCGTATAATAATCGTTCGGTTCGCCGCTGTTGCGAAAAAATTCTTAAACACTCAACGACTACAGTTTCGCACGGACACTCGCGGGCATCGTACATTGATCGTTAGGTGCCGTAGGTAGGTAGCTAACGTTCGGTTTAAATATTACAATAATAATACATGTATTTTTTGTGTCGCGAGCTCTGAGCCGCCGCCGGTTTAACGGCTGGATTCCGTGCATCGAGAGTATTGATTTTTTTTTTCCTGGCGCAAGGGTGTGGACGGCCCTTTTGAACGGCTTCCCGCACACCCGTCTGAGTACCTACTAGTACCAGATCGGGTTCGGGACGTCCGTCTTGCCGGTCGTTTTGCGTAATACACCCAAAACACAGTTGTTTTTATCCATTTGTTTTCCTGTTAACTTTTTTTTTTTTTAAACTTGTTTGTTTTTGTTGCCTCTTTAGACGTCGTCGAAAAAGACCACTACCATGACGACCGCGCCGGCCAAGCTTTACGGCAAGAACTTGAGCGAGTACGACGACCTCGACGTTGACCAACTGCTGTCTCAGTTGTCACCTGAAGAGATCAGCATTTTGGCCAAAGAAGTCGATCCCGACGTAAGTACCCATATTACACCACAGTGCAACATTATCATTTATACCCGTATAATAGTACTTACACCAGTGTCAAAACGTTTGCTCATTCTAAACTGTTTATTTGTCATAATGATACATCCCTTTACAACTTGTCACAAAGTGTGTGTGACGATATAATTTCCTTTATTGACACCTGCAATCTGTGACCGTTATTAATTACATTTTCCGTGCCAAATAAGGTATATGTAGGTATACTTATTAGAAAATTAAACGTCTACTTCGCTTTACTTATGTGTATGTATCTATTTTGATAATCAAACATTTTTAATTTGAAAAAGTATAGGTGGTTGAGTAGGAATTTTCAAATTGTGATAAATATATTTGTAAATAGGTATATTAATTTACCTATATACACTTCACTTCTATTTAGACTTACACAAATTTTCAATACATATTTTATTTATTGAATGTTTATAAATGTACAACTTTCTATTTTAAGGCTTGCAAAATAATTCAGATTCATAATATACCTATATTATAATACTTATAATTAAAAACTAGATTTATGTTCTCTTATGATCCACAAAACAGTGCTTTAAAACATCAAAGAATCCCTGAAAAAAACACTTACAAATATTTAAAAAAGCAAAAATGAAAAATGCTTTTATTCAGTGATTTTTTAACATTTAAAACTCCTTTTTGTAGATTATAAGAGAGTATAAATCCGATCTCTGCTTATAATATAATATATCCATCAATATGTATATGTAACTAGGATCATAACTATAGATAACTATAGATCTATAATTTGTTCAAATTTAAATTTAATTTCTGCAATTGTTTTTTTAGGACAACTTATTACCACCTTCAGAGCGCTGCAGTTATGAATGTAACAAAGAAGCCACCGGACCATTAAATAGAAAAAAATTAATTGAACATATTAACAAACAAGCACTTGAGACGCCGGATCTTCCAGAACTCAAACCATATGTTGCTGGAACTATCCGAGGAAAAAAAGTAAGATTCAATATGCATTGTAACTGGATTAGAAATAAGTGAACATTATTTGTATTTATCTTATATCTTTTCTAAACTATCTCCGTCTATTTTCTCTTAATTTTTCTGCTATCAAATCCAAACCTAAGCTACTTCTTATGTACTCAACCCTTATCCTATCTTCTCTTAACACTCCACTCATCCACCTAAGTGTTGTCATCTCTGCTACATCTCTGTTCTATTTTTCTGTCTACTGCCTAACATTCCAAATCATATAATATATATTCGAGTCTTACAACACTTTTGCAGAACTTAGTTTAAGTGGAATTTCCTTGTCACATGAAACACAAAACACCTGATACTTCTCTCCACTTTATTCGACCACACGTAATTCTATAATTCAAATGTTCATGAAAGCCACCGTTCTTTTGTACAAAGGACCCAGGGTACTTAAAATTCTTAATCTCATATATAACTGTTGCTCAAAAATATAGTATTAGTCATTTATTAAGTATAATTTGTTAGAAAAAATTATACAGATGATTCCGAGAAATAATATTGTTAAACCTACTCTCCAATGGTTCTATACAAATTTTTTATTCAATATTATATTTTATATAATTAATAATTCACATTGATTCAATAAAAGAAATACATATTTATAAAATATAATAATAGGTTATATTATGTCTATTTAATAAATTTCAATGTCTTCAATATAAACTTATTAACCTAGTGAGTTACATATAAAATCAAAAATTGATTATAATTATTTTCTGTTTTAAATTTAGTGAGAGATTTATTGTGATAAAATAGCAATGTTAAAGATAAGTTGTACTAGCCTACTATAATACATAATTATAATTGTAAATTATATAGTTTTGGTAATTTGCCCATAAAAATTATACATTTATCCTTCAGCTTTTTATTGGTATTTTTGTTTATTTGAAAATATTGTGAAATTGTTATGTTTTATAAACAAAATTAATTACCTACACATTGAAATGACCTTAGGGAGTTTTTTTGCCTCTTTAAACTGTTATATATTTTTACACATTGATTATACAATGGTTTTTTAAATTAATTTTGCTATAGTGGATTGCACCTGAGACTAACGGTAAAACTGAACACGAAGATAAAATTGCCATTGATATTGATGATGAGTATGGTGATGCATTGGATGGTGCTTCGCAAGAAGAAATAATAGATTTAGCTGGTACATATACTTTTATAATAAATTTATCTCTAAAAATAATATTTGTATAATTATGAATGAGTACATTTAAATTATAATTGCAGAAAAATGCTATTTTAGTTACCCAGCAATTATGTCTGTAACATACTTAAATCGTACAATCACATACATTCATACAATTTAATCGTGTTACATAAAAATGTATACACTTTTATCTGATTCAAATTGTGTTTTAATTGGATACAATTGTGATTTTAGCTATACTTGGATTTCATTCAATGATGAATCAAGATCAGTACCACGCTTCACTATTAAATAAAGGTCAACCAGTAGGCTTAGGATGGGATGGTGTAACTAAAGCTACACAGCCTAAGGTTTACCCTCCAGAGCCACCTAACCAAACAGATCCTGAAGACAGTATCAAAAGAGTACGCGATGATGATCCCAAGCTTCTTGATCTCAATTGGAACAATATTAAAGTATGCATATTAATATTTTTAAAAATGCTACAGTAATCATGAGCATTGTTTTCCATGATCTACAAATGAATCATTTTTGTTGTAGAATATATCTGATGAAAAGTTTGAAAATCTTTTCATTGCCTTAGTCGAGAATACTCATTTAGAAACATTAAGTTTGGTAAACGTTGGACTCACAGATCGGTTGGCAGGCAAACTGGCTGAAGCATTAGAAAAAAATTGCACGTTGCGTGTTTGCAAGTAAGATCATCAAATATTATATTATTATATACATGATTAATTTTTATTTGTGGTAATTTAGTAGAATAAATACAAATATATAATAATAATAAAAAATAAAATAATAAATTGACTATACTTATGTATGATGATTATAGCGTGGAAACCAACTTCATAACTCCCATAGGAATTGTTCATTTGATCAAAAGTTTATTAAAGCAAAGATCCCTAGAAGAATTTCGTGCCACTAATCAGGTAAATTAAAAAAATTGAATCGTCCAAAATAATGTACCAAGAGTTTCAATCCTATCTTAAATTTGTAGAGGTCCCAAGTATTGGGAAACAAGATTGAAATGGAAATTACTAAATTGATTGAACAAAATCCAACTATTCTTAGACTTGGTTTGCATTTGGAGTACAATGACGCTCGTCATCGTATTGCATCTCATTTACAGCACAATATTGACAGGAGTAAGTTCATTTTATATTTTTGTAGATTAAAATATAATTTTTGTAATAATACAATGTTATTATTGTTTAAATTAATTTAATAACATATTTTTAAGATATTTTTATTGATATTTAGGATTGTTCAAATCTCAAAGGTCTAGTAATAATAAGGAATTAATAAATAATATTCTATGTTTATTGTTTAGTTATATTTTTCTCTGATTATTATTCACAGTTGAAAGTTTAATTATTTAAATTAAATTTTAATATTAAAAATATAATAACCATTAAAGAGCAAATTTTTAAAGCTTTTAATTTAATATTAAAATGGAAATATTATTATTTATTTCTTTGTGGTTTTTTTTTAATAATACAATTATAAACTACCTACTATTTTATTTTTTTCTAGTTATTTTTGATATTTGATAAATTGTTAATTAATGTGATGCACATATTTTAAATGTATTGTTTTTTGTTTCAATAATGAATACTTGTTTAAAATATCAATAAACCATTTTAAGGTAAACAATTCGACTTACTGGACCTTTGAAATAACAGAAGTATAATTATTTTAGATTATAACTTAGAATTTAATTGTTACGTGCCACATTCGTCCATTTCTAGCTAGGTATTAAGTTGCAGTAGAGCCTAATGTGTTGTTGACATCTTGTATCCAGGTATGATGTCCAATGGTGTTTTATCAAGTTCCTTGTTCCTTTGTTAATTTATGTGTTTGTTGTTTATTATATTTGAAATCCTAAGAAGTTAATGATTAATGTAGCGGCATGGTTTCTACACAAATTGTCAAAATGTCCATATTTTTTTAAAAATATTCATTAATGATCATCATGATCATTCAAAATATTTATTTCTTTGTTTTATTTGTGATTTTGTTTGCAACTGTTTATCAAATATTGCCAATCATCAGACAACCGTCTTGGCGTTCAAGCTAAATTCAAATTGGCTGAAACTAGACGTGATAATGAATCGGGTTTTGAAATTGTATCAGCTGAATAATAGCATTTGTATGTTTCCATTATTGTTCAGTTTATGTTTTAATAATGTATATATATTTTTGTTTTGAAAGTTAGTTTACTACTTCTATTTTAACCATACATTCCGGTTATATATTCCGTGCATCCATTTAATAATATTTAATATATTCTGTATTTCTGTTTCATATCCTTTAAATACTGAGTGATATAATTCCTTAAAATACAAGTTTGATTGTGAAAATGTATGTTACCCCTTAGAGAATTTAAACCCACATAATTTTTTTTCTAATAAATTAAATTTCAACTTGAAGAATGATGTTTGCTCATTTACATAAATACACATCTCAAAATTGAACTCAAATTTAACCATACACATTCTATAATATTTTTACAAGTGTTTTTTTTCTTTTTTTTTTTATCAATAACAATTAGTTTAATAATTTGTATTTTTGTTTATTTTTCGACTTCAGTAAGAAAAGATACGCCGTTGAAAATGAAATTTAGGTTCTTTAGAAAAATACCCCAGAGAGCCCTCAAGAACTTGCTCAAATAAATAATCGGCGGATTACATTATTGAGGTCTTGACATTTTGTTGTTGTTGTTACTGTTGTTTAATATTAGGAATAGCATGAAATTATCAGCTCTTAATTAGATTTATAACTTAATAATATAATGTAATATTTTTGCAAATCGCATTTAATATTTAATGAAATCGTGTTTCTTAAGTTTGACTTAATATATTAACCAAAAATTAATATTTTACTGATCAAATTTTTAAAATTGTATTAATTTTAATTTTACAGAATTATCCTTAATGCTCAATAATTAGACTAAATCTTAACGTGTGCCAATTAAATTAATTTTAATTAATGCAAAGATTTTTTTATTGAATACATTCACTAAATATTCACACAACTTTTTTTTTTTGTAAAGTAAATTAAAGTAAAAATTACAACAATTCTGAATTTGTATAATTGTCTTTTTTAAATGCTGTATTTATTTATTCTAATTTATAATACATAATCATAATAATTTTTGAGATTAAAAAATTATTTAAATTATATAAATTAGTTAATTTACCAATTTAATGCAAATTAATTTAATTTTGCTTAAATTATCTAAAATGTCTTGATTTTAAATAGTTTACATTTAGTTAATGTGATTATTAAAAATTACAAGTTTGATGTACTTAACTAAACTAACACTTTTGTCATTATAGGGTGTCTTTTAATGATTTACCAATTGCTTAACCCCAATGTTAGCATATATGTTTACATTTTGTTTTTGTTTTTTTTTTTTTTTTATAAATAATTAATTTTTCCCATCCAAATTTTTTTTCTTTAGCTCTAAAAATATGAATGTGTAAGTTGGCCAACAGATTAAAATAGTCTAGACTACACTGTTCTTAATTGTTTATATATTTAGATTTACGGTGATCAATTAAACATCCAGTACCTAAAATAAATAACATGTTGTATGCGATTGAAATATTTCCCCCTCTTTTTGCAATTAGTAAATTCTTTTGAATTACTCTGTTATGTAGTGTGATATTTAATACTGTTGAAATAAAATCTGCAATGTATTTTTCAAATGAATAATATTAATTTTCAACTGTTACTTATATTTTGTGATAATTTATTACAATGAGAATGTTTGATACTAATAATGTTTAATGATAAGATTATAAATAACACGCATGATGTTTATAACAGTGTTTTGTTTTTTAAATAATATTCACTTGAATTTTAGCATGAAGACTGAACGAAATCATTGTGTTGAAACTTAACATTGTGTTTTCATTCAGACTGTGTATTACCAAGAGCCATTGAACATTTTGGTGATTGGTAATAGTGCAAAATGTTTGTGTAAACCATAATCTGAATTTGGTTTTTTGGTGTTTTTTCTCTTTTGCAGTACGCCAGAGTCGTGTGGGCGCAAACTCCGCATAAATTACATATTTTGGCTACGTACACTATTTAGGTATATTATACCTTAAATTAATAATATTGAAAACGAACGAGAACACTTCGTATATTATCTATGCTAATGCTTTTATATATTGTATATGTATATAAAATGCTTTAATTTTGCTTTAATTGCGCATGTAACAAATGTCTATACTTTACACTGGTGTTTATTTAAAATATTGGTAAAATTCCAAAGTATTGATTGATTATTTATATCAATAATTATCATAGTATTTATTATTTTTATTTCTGTAGTTTTTAATAGCTTGTAAAATGTATTAATAACTTGAAAGTGGGTTTATATTTTTGTTTTAACCTAGCATGTCGTTTTATTGTCATGAAACACGATTTCATTTATAATTTTCCTCTAAATTATTATGTAAGTGTATATATTTTTTACCGATTGTGCTAAAAAACCATTAAATATTAAGAACATCCACATATTGCAAATTTCTTCTCTCACGGTACCCGTTCAATTTTAAATAATAATACATCTTGTGTATGTGATGTTTGGTTAATTATTATTATTTAACACTTTTATGGACAAATATTTAATTATAATAATAATAATAATATTTCGATTAATTTTTTTTTTTTAAAAACACTGTTACATTCATATTTTTTAAAAGTATTGTATGATATCAGCTAAGGGCATTAATGCATTTTTCTAGGATAAAACTTAAAGGTTGCGGAACTAGTATTATTTATTGAAGGGACTAACTGTTATTTAATATTTTAATTTACTCACCTTGCTCCCAATTTTAGCCTACCCAAATAATCATAGTTTTATTGTACGTCATTTATTGGTAAGTCCTTTAATGCTTTGATTTTTTAATTTTAATGGTCGATATAATATAATAATAATATTATAATGCTTTTTAAAATCATGTATTCTGTAGAGTTGCTGCTGCTCAATGTTGCTGCTATTAAAATAAAAAAATAAAAATGTATACTTATGGTGATGGTCAAATTATTATCAATAAATTTATGATATGTTTCTTATTTTTAATTGTATCCATTTTTATTTTTTACAGGCCGCTTACGCAGAACTGGTCACTTTGCGCGTACGTACACTGGCGGTTGGGTTGTACACAAAAAGGCTAAATAATGTTCGAGATTGTGCCTAGACCTTGGTCCTAGACTCTTTTATTTCATAAGTATTCAATTTTATTTAGGTACTATATTATTATTTATATAATGTATTGTTTTTTTTCTCTCCTCAATAATCGTTCAAAGCGATTTGTATATATAATATTTATGTTATGGTCTATCGCTGACATTTTCATATGCATTTAGTTATTAGTGAGTGTGTGTGACAATTTTATTGTATTAATTATGAGTTTAAACATGAAATTACGATAGTAATATTATACTTAATAATTTAAGTGAAGTTAAACAAATTTATTATATAAAAAGAAATTTTATCTTGTTAAATTGCACATTTTTTTTTTTTTTTTGTGCTAATTGTTTCATTGTTTTTAAAAAAATGATATATATTTTTTACTATTGAGTTGTTTATACAAAATTTCGTAGTATTTAGCGAGACTAATTATTAAAACAAATAGCGTAACCATTTTTTTTTTTTCGATTTTGTATTGCTAAACATTTATAGTTAATTTAATTATAATAATAATTATTATATTATATATATATTTTTACACCGATATACTATTTCACTTTTTAATTATACATAATTTAAAATGCCTTTTAAATTATAAACAATTTACACCAAATTTTGCCATACTATTTTTACAACAATAATTAATTAATAACAATGGTTTTATTGTACATAGCAATAGCAATATTATAATACAGCGATCATTTATTATATTCACATATTATGACATAAATATACAATAACGTATAACGCGATTCACTATTGTATTTAAATAGTTAATAATTTGCATAGTTACCTACCTATTTCTAACGTACGTGTGTATATTCATAGGTCATTTTTGAATCTACTGAAGAATAAATAGTAAAATGTTAAATGGTAAATCACACAATAAAAAATACCTAAAATGTATGTTAACTAATAATAAATATTTTCTGGGGTAATCAACTGTGTTAACTTATCAAGTGGCCAGGATTTAGATTTTACACAGTGAAATCAAAATAAATAACATTAATGAGCATAGCTTATATTCAAAATAAAGTATTTTATACTATTATCTACTAAAGTTCATTCATGATCTATAGATTCAAAAACTACCAAACTAATTAATACCAAATTTTGTACTCACAACAGCTCAGAAATAATTTATTCAAAATTCAATATCCTATTGGACGAAAAGAATATGAAAGAAAATACATTTTATTTAAATTTATGAATAACTACAAACTAGCAGTGATATGAATGAAGATGAAAGTAGAAAGTCACATAGAAACACGTTTTTATTTTTTTCTCTATACTAACATGGGTAAAACTGTGCGGAACAACTAGTAGATTATAAATAATATAAAAATGAACAATTGTTTAACTGTAATGAACAATGTTTAGATTCTGAGTGAAGCGAAGAAGCTTATGGTTTTACCAAGATGTTTATTTATTATTTTTTATTATTTGTGTGCAATTTTCCTACCAGAAGACTTGCTCAGATTTTTATGCGTAGCACTTTTTCTGAAAGGAAATCGGCGTGGGGAGATATTTTAACAATGTCAGTTTTTGATTGTCTCAATAGTTTTGCTAGCGAATGTGAAAAACCGGGAAAAATGTAGGAAAACTGGGAAAATCAGTACATTAAACAAATCTTATTAAAGAAAATATATAAAGCGTTTTTAATTATTTTACTATAAAATGACATATATACTGTTGAAAAAGCATCGCTGTCAACTGAACTCCGTTCAGAATCGTTTTTCGTAAGCAATGGTTTATCGTTGCTTACAGATATACATTAAATTACCGTCTGTATCCTACCTTCCAATTTCCTACCTACACCAGTGGTTGCGCCCATCCCCATTATCTTACCTTTCTTTTTTAGTTTTGAATAACTATTCAGACCTTCCAAATGAAGCTAAAGTAATGCAATTTTGCGTATGCATTACTTTAGTATCAAGGCTATACATTTTTGGAGTTGTGACATTCAATCCTTGTTGGTCCGCCCCTCGTGTATAAGTATAGTGTGTTTATTTTGTTTCTACGGTACTGTATAATATAAAATAGGCCGGGGAAATTCAACTCTATAGTGAAGATCTGCTGTTTACGGAAATTTTTTTATTTACTAAAAATGTCGAGCTTTTTAGATTAGGTAGGTATAGGTAATTTTCATAATATGGTGACATTTTATTCTCATTTTTCTCTTGATATTTATTTTGAAGTATGTATATTGAGGAAAAGTATTTCTTTACTAAAAGTATTTCGATTAATATACTTATATAAGTGTATTTAGAGGGAAAATTAGTAGCCATTTTGAATGTTCTGAGGAAATACTATATGGTAGGTGCCGCTACCTAAAACTCAGCCTAGATAAAACACAAGTATGTGCTTGTCATTTGAGGAATCGATCCGCCAGCCGTACTCTTTACGTCTACTAAGACGGAATGAAGCTAAACAAATACACAATATCTCGGGGTATGAATATAAATCCACTAATTCCGTCCTTTAAAACACTCGATCATAGTTTATGGTACTTTATTTTATTTTATACTGTTACTGTACTACGTAGGTACCTCTAATCATAATAATATACTAACTTCTGTTAATACTGTTAGGTATATTATGCGCCTGACATGAATAAAAAATATAGGTGTACCATGGATATTGACTATTCGTACTCAAAACGATTTTATGCAAGTAAGTAAAAACAATTCGTTTTACTATTAGTTATATTATGTATTTAAAAAGAAAGACGTCACATAATAATAATTTTCATCTGGGCGAATAAATTAAAACAAAATAAATAAATACGCTTCCTGTCTGTCCGCGTGTTCAGTGTCAAGACTTATTTAATTCATCAAGTTAATAATTATTATTGTTTTACCTTGTATTTTATCTATATTAAAAGTGTTAACAGTGTTAATAGTATGATGGTGATTCTTACTATCTTTTTAGAAATTATCTAGATAGTTAGGTTTAAGTATTTGTAGAAAAACTGAACATTTCAGTTATAAATTCAAAGGTACTAATAGGTACACCTATTAGGTACACTTATTAGGCTATAGTGATTTTAAATTAATTCAATTTTTAACTCCATGCTCTATTGTTCCCGATATTAGATCGTTTAAATATTTGTTGCCTTATCTACCACACAGGATTCGACAGTATATTCGATACATTTACCTCAAACACGTATCTTAGTTATAGTTTTGGAAAGTATCGATTATCAAATAATATCAATATAATATGGCGGTACTGAGATCAATGTACCCGAGTATCTAAATGTTTTTAAAGTGTACTTTTAATGTTTGTTTAAAGCATCTGAAAATAGCTGATTAGTTTCTTCTTGGTTTTTCGGAAAATACATTGTACAGTGAAAGTGACTGGTTAGTTTTGGATTTGTATACTTACGGACATAGAGAGAATTTCGAAAAACGTTCCATAAATAGCCACCGCATATTGTGTAAGATACTGCGTGCGTGAAAAATCGAATATTAACATTTTAAAATCAATGTGTCTAGAGCAAAGGTTCCCAGTGTATGGGCCACGATCCAAAAGTGGGTCTTGATCATATTTTTAGTGGGTCGCCTTATATTTTTAAATAATAATTTTTTTTAGATTCTGAATGAAGCGAGGAACGTATTAGTTTTAAATGAAAATGTAAGAAATGTAGGTATTAGTTTATAAAAAAAAAATATATATTACGGTAATTTTTTACCTGTGGACAACTTTTCTACCAGCAAATTGGATCTATACCTGCAAATGAGAGTATGCCACTGAACAAACTTCATGAATCATCCAGAAATGAAAAATAAACCAAAAAAAAAGGGTCATTGATATTGTTGAGGGTCGCCAAAATTTAAATTATTTCCAAAATGAGTCGCATCATAAAAATTCTGGAAACCTCTGGCCTAGAGTGTCGAATATTTAGATATTTCCTACTAATTTTGAATTATCTTGCTCATATTTGCCTGTATCTAGATCAGAGGTCCCCAAACTTTTTTCCCCCGTTAATCACCGCTTGCTAATTTGCTCCATTTTTCGTAGACCCTTTCCCTGATAGCATTTATGACCCCTATTTACATCTTATGCACGCCTAATTTTTTTTCAATGAAATTGTCCCCTTGCAGGTCAGAATGAACCCCTATAGACCCCCCTGGCAATTTTTGATAAATAATCGATAAATAATTTTACTTATTCGAGTCTCAACACTGAGTCGTGGACACGCCGCGAGGACTTTTGGCGGTCGACCACAACGGCGATTATAACGGAAATAAACGATCTTAGGTATGAAATATTTTTTTTTTTTTTTAAATAATAAAGTATTATTACAACAACGACATTATTACGCGATTATATTTTATTATCGTTGGAGTTGTTCCGGTTTGCATGACGTGACGGCCTGTTCAAGCGCTTCCATCTCGGCGCACGCCTGCAGTTCGTGCGCGGACGATGCGGACGTCTGCGCGGTCGGCGGCGGCGACAACACGCAACCGAAGTTTTGAGTCCCGGGGCCGCTACCGCCGGCCGCCGCAGCTGCAGCCGCCGCGGCCGCCGGGAAGTAACAATGAGGCGCGAACAGGGACGCGTAATGCTGGACCGGTTGGAAGTAACCGTGCCGGTGGGCGATCTTCAGCTTGGACGCCAGTTGCTTCTTCCATTTCGTCCGTCTGTTCTGGAACCACGTCTTTATCTGCACCTCGGTCAGGTTCAGCGCCTTGGACAGTTCCATGCGCTTGCTTACGCTCAAGTATTTGTCCGTCTGCGGAACAATAGTTCATTTTTTTATATGAGATTACGACACACCATGTGGATATGATATTATAATGTCGTAAACTCTTACATTTTTATAACGAGTAAAAACACTTTGGAGAGCGTACGAGACCGTTTTCGAGTGAATTCTGTAACGTTTTCGCGTCCACACACTTTAATATTTTTGGTTGAAAAAACCGTTAAAATTGCCTATACGAAACGCCGTTACATTGTCACGATGCCATTTCCCCCTCCTACCATCGTTCCTATTTTCTTTCTAATGGACAACTTAAAGACAATTTACGTACTCGTGTAACACAAACGTACATGCAGTCGAAATTGTTTTTAAATGGAAATTAACGATGACATTTTATTTCGTTTAATATTAACGTATGTATGACGTAGCAACAATATAATATAATACGAATTGTACTTTCGATAAAAATGAGACTAACGAGAATTAGTCTAAATAATAAATATTTAGAGAATCGTAAAACGCCAAAAATTTTGTTTTCATTGTTTTGTCGTCTACACATTTCATGACCGATCAAATCTAAAATCGATTTTAAAGGCATTGTGATCGGAGTGTTTAGAACGCGAGTGTTCGCAACGACGGTTTACTTCAATATATGTAAAAAACCTGATTGAATTTTTCTCTATTAAATCTTGTAAATTCGGATGGCTGATCTCGGTTTACTCACTTTGAATTCGGCTTCCAATCTTTCGAGTTGCTTCGCACTGTACGCTTGTCTGGGTTTTCGGTCCAATCCGGGTTTTCTGGACCTTCGACCGACCGTTTTCGGAGCTATACACATAAACAATGTTTTTTTAAAAAACTACCGTTAAAATAAAAACACGTTTACATTTTTTTTTTCTTTTACACATATTTTACATAATTCAACCAATTTACTATACTATATGCTATCGATATGCTATAAATCCAAACCCTCTGAACTAATTATACGAGTAATTATTGCATTTATTAGGTAATTTTTCCGGATTCTAAGAGTAGTCGATCCCATATCAACTTTATGAGGTATCAATTAAAATTCAAAATGCTGAAACAATGACCCTATGATGTTTTTGATTGGAGCAAGTATTCAAGTGCAAAACCTTCAGCACAATTGAAAATCGAAAAGGGTACCTGGTAATCTAGAAGATAGGTATAGACTGACCATAGAGACTTACCGCAGTCGCACGACCCACAGATTATGATATTATATTAAGTACTTTCCCGTAAATCTCTCCGCGGTCTTTTACCAATCTCGGCCTATTTTCAACAGTCAATTTAACCTCTTTTTTTTTTATCTAGAACGTCTCTACACGTTTTGTTTTGTTTTGTTTTCTATCCGATTTTTTCCTCGCCTAAAATTTGCGGGATACCTACCTAATTATGCAAGTTGTATGATGTAATTATTGACATTTGGCTAAAATTGGTAGAGAAACATTTCATTCAGACCTCTAGTTGGTACATTTCTATGCATGAACAATCAATTTAATCGATTCTAATGAATACAATATTTAGTCATATTATGTACGTAGGTATACGGTGATATATGGTATACAGAGTGTTTATTTTTATCATGAACCAGCAATTATCTTCGAGGATTTTAAGTGAATTTGATTTTTGTTTTTTCTAATCACTATGGAATCGTTTAAGCTTTATTTCAAAACCATTTTTAATTTTTTACCCCTAATCCATATACCTTAAATAAGTACATTCTTTTGATTTTCAAATAAGAACCCCCCCCCCCTTTTTGAACACAGCTTGTATAGAGAATATTTTTCTAAACATTTTGATATGCATACCACTAATATCAGAGTTACCGTTTATGAGTTATAACAGTTTAAAGTTAAGACCGGAAGAGTAGATAAGGATCATAGATAAGCAATTTATTACCCGAGTAGGGGTAAAAAATTAGAAATTGGTTAAACGGTTCAATAATAATTAGAAAAAACAGAAATAAACTCACTTAAAATCCTCTGAGATAATAACTGATTCATGATAAAAAAAATCACTCTGTATAATGATTTCCAACTATATCAGGTATGTAAATATAAAATCGGAATTTGTCTATAAATACCTCTAGGTATCAATGTAACAATGGAAGTTATTTACACGTTAATATTTGAAAAAAGATGTTCAACTTATAATAATACAAGTTTCATATAACTGCATAGTTTGTAATATGATAGACATAATAGATATTGAACATGTCGAATTTTGTGGTAGTGAAATTACGATTTGTGTACAGCATTATTTTCTGTTACCATTTGAAAAAAAAAAAACTGCTGCAGAATCACATCGAACGTTTGTCGAAGCTTACGGTGAGCATGGTCTTGAAAAGTCACAGTTCTTCGAGTGGTTTAAAAATTAAAATGAGGCGATTTTGACGTAAGAAACGAAGAACGTGGGAGACCAATGAAAATTGTGATTTATAGATATAAATTTGATATAATTTAAGATACTTGAGATATATATATAAATAATATTAATAATATATTAATATTATTATAATATAATTATATTATTAATATTATAATAATATAATTAATATTTTCGTTTTTAAATTTTAACTCGTTTCCACAGCCAGTACGAGAATCATACACTCGAGCCGACAGATTTTTAAAGATTTTATTTTCAATCTTGTACCGTTGCATAATTTTCCAGGTGGACATAAGTTCCGGGGTAATATTCTAGGAGAACCTACCTTTAGAATTAATTTATGCGGTGTAGTCACTGGAGGGGTTAAATAATTAAATAATTCAGTTGAATACTGTACCGCCTCCTCTCTATCAATAACAGTATCAACTGTACATTAGAATAGTACATTTTTGTTGGTGCATTGAACAGTGCCATGTCGTTTATTTTATTGACTTGCTCGTATAGTTGATGACAATATTGCTCTTTTCTGAAACCAACTCAAGGTCTCAGTAGAAATGTTAGATATTTCTGGGTAAACATAATGTCTATGGTCTCGATCACCAGAAGTTTCATTATTACGTACTAAGCGTGCTCTTTTAGCATTTGCCGTGTTGCGTCCTATATTGTCATAGATCTTTGTTAAGGCATGACTAAAACTCAAAAGGTTTTTAAAGACAGTTTACAGTTTTATTGCATAATATGGCACATAGATACCATAGATGCGTTTATGACCGACCTTTTAATTTTTCAATATAATATAATAATTAATTTCATCCGTGTTACTAAGGTAATCCAAATAAATAAATGATAATAATACCTAAAAACCGAATTTCGGCGGATGATTTTCAATAGGGTATTGATGTCAATAGCTATAAACCTTCCCCGAGACCGATCCATTAGTGTAAACCGCATTGAAATCTATTCTGCCGTTTCGGAGTTTATTCCGAACAAAAAACAGCGACTTCATTTTATATTATGCGTACAAAGAAATAAAAATTAAACACATTGTGAATACAGTGTTACGTTATTTATACATAAATCAATGTTTAGCTATAATTTATACGTGGCTTATATTTATTGTCTTATATTTTATATTCCGAGTGAAGCGAAGAAACGTATGGTTTTACAATGATGTTTATTTTTTTTTCTGTGGACAATTTTTCACCAGAAATCTTGCTCCGATTTATAAGTGTAGCACTTTTTCTGAAAGAAAATCTGACTGAAGAGGTACTTTAAGGAGATCATTTTTTGATTTTCTCAGGAGTTTTCATAACAAATGGGAAAAACTAGGAAAAAACGTAGGAAAATATATACGTACTTCGATGAAAGACTAACAATTTTTATTGTTTTGTACGATGATTGCCCAAGGTGAAACCAACAACCACGCACTTTAGCCAATAGCCAAACTTCATTTATTGCATTATAAATGGCTATTTCGAAGTTAACATACGTAAACACTTTCTAAATTAAACTCATTATTAATAATTAAACAATAGTTATTAATAATTCGAAAAATATCTATATAGGGTTCCTGTTTTTTTTTTTTCAGTAAAGTAAAAACTAAAGGGACATAATGATTGTTTTTTACTACATAAATTGTTAAAAATTGGTAAAAAAAAATTGTGTATAGTATAAAAATGTTCGTTGGCGTAAAATGTAATTGATTTATTTAGAAATTTTAAACTGTCATCCGCGCTAAATAAAATAATCCTGTTTCCCGCATGATTAACTAGTACAAATTAATTACCTTCATACGTTTTTATATTTTAAACCATACCATTAATACAATTATATTACCAGTCTGAAGTCTGAAAAATGTTAAGGAAGATATTGTTTTTGCAAAAAAAATCTTATAAGTAGTTTACGTATGCGTAAAAAGTATATAGGGATCATATTATACAGAATGATTCACTAAACGTTTTCACCCCATTTTTTCGGTTAAATTTTGTAGACATTCAAGTTCTGATTTTTGAAATTTTTAAGTGTGGTTAAAGCCGATATTTTCGAATACTTCGATTTTTCATAACATTTAAGGAGTATCCTGTGGCGATATCAACTTTGGTTTTTCAAATGAGAACCTATATTAAAAATTTCATAAATAGACAGAGTATTACTTTAAATAAATTTTGCTGTTAACATTTTTGATTTCCATCAACCCGTTTACGATATATTCTGATGTTTAATTTGGGTAAGGAGAGAATAGTGGAGCATAAATGAAACGTCGCTCGCCGTGCCGCCACATAAATGATACACATCACATAAATTTATTGTTTGACACGGAAAATAAAACAATTATAAACATTAATTCCAAAGCGTACATATAATATAAACGTATAGTGTTGTGTGCATGTGTATAACTTACAAAGGTGCAAACCTAAAGAAGCATGGGGGGGGGGCATTAATTATTCGAGTAGCAACTGGATCATCTAACAACGTATTTTACTAACATAATAGTTTTTTCTCGAATAGCACTATTTGGTTAGTAAAATATGCTCCGATTTTTTACATGCTGTACCTCGAAAGCATTCATGTTTCACCAGATAGTACTTTATTTGACATTGTTTTCAAAGTTCCTAATTTTATTAATATTTTTAAAAAAAATTGCTTAAATGTTTTTCACGCACAAAACCTTACACGGCGCAAAATTTTCGTCCGGTGGTACCTTACAGTAAAGTATCACCAGTCGTCCTTTATTGAACATTTTTTTGAAATTTATGCGCACACAACTTTTTTGATTTCATAAAAATGCTCAAAAATGTATGACGACAATTGTAATTTATTTTATGCATAGGTATACAAGTAGTTCTAAATCAATCAAAAAGTATCAAAAACTAATCAAAGTTCAAGTTTTCTCAGTAAATTTTTGGTATGGTAAATGTCAATAAAAACATTTTATTGAAAAGTAATTATAAAAATGGAAAAAAAATCTTCTTTAAATCACCCAAAAATGTTTGATGGCACGCAATACAAATAGTTCGGGAACTTTGTATGTGTGTATGTATGTATGTGTTATCATCATGTTACTAAACGACCTTCATATTGTAAGAGTCAAGACGTGTTATTTATTTATAGGTACCTACCTCATATTTTGTTGACAATAAAATTATATTATGGTTACACATTTTTTTTAAAAATATATCTGAAAATTATTTAATTTTGCGTAATTTTTGCTAAAATTCAGGGAGTACAAAACTGACATTTACGTACATAATAGTAATAAAGTAACTAATAAATAATAAAAAAAATCCAGAAAAAGTGTATTTAATAATAAATATGTATATTTATAATATTAATTGCTAGTAAGTAAAACGGCTTACAAAGACTACATGATCATTACGGAACGGATTTATATGCACTTTAAAATCCATAAAATACGTTTAAGAACGTCAAAAAGGCCTAAAAAATTCACTTAAAAATATTTAAAAGAACGATAAAGATAGAGGAGTTTAAAAGTCCCCCAAAGTAAAACCATTAAAGGTAGGACTAAAACCACTCTACTACTTTTACTTTTATTAAATATTTTGAAGTTCTATTTTAACGATTTAGAATATTTTTGCTGTTTTAAAGTGCATATAAATCCGTTTCCTAATGATTATTGATAGTATAGTAACAATTTTCGTGATCTCGTATACGCGTATTCACGTTTTCATCATTAATATATTTTGTGGTATCATAATCCACATTTATAAGCGGTGAATATCACTAGTACGAAAAATGATGAGAGATTTTTTTTTGGAAACCTGACCCGGTCACATATTAACAAACTGCACATAAAATAAAATATTACCCGACGTGGTTTTGCACAACAAATCAGGGTTTATTTTCGATATGTGGGGGTACAAAATGATAGTATTGCACTCCACAAAAGTTCAAGGGGTTGCAAGTGCAACCCTTGCACCCCCACCCGAGATTACGCCTATGGTTCGATATTTTACTATAATTCTTGAATGTCTGAAACCGGTTTAGATGTGTAGATGTGTGTAGTATCGTCACGTGACTAAACGACTCCAATATTGTAAGAGTCAAGACGTGATATTTATATACCTAGATACTTCATATTTTGTTAACAAAGAAAAAAAATTGAGTTTTGAGCTCCTATATTAACGTTTCAGAGTGCCAGAGCCGCAAACCTAGGCAGACATGAAGGGCAATTGTCCCCTCCCCCCCATTCATTTGGTAAGTGGGTGAGTAGGTAATTTCGGTCGGTGGTCATTTTTAGACTTAATAATAAATTACAGTCTTGTAGATACAAGGACATAAAAACATTTCGTTATGTAGAATGTATAGCACCGAAACGGTATACAAATAAGTGATAACAGAACAATTAATGTAATATTGACATATTGCAGTATAGTTGAAATTATTATAGGTAAAGCCTGCATCAACTACCGCGGTACGCCACACGACGGTGCCAATTTCCGAACGAGTTTATTTAAATTGTTCAATGATCACATGATATGTCGATACACATTTGTAAGAATAAATACAAGATTGATCGGTCAGACGTGAATCCAGAGTAGCGGTAGGTGACCCTCCCCTCCCATCATAACTAATCAAATGATGTTTAGTATTATTAATATTATTATATTATTATCATTATTATTATTACTATTTAATTGATTTGTTCTCTTTTTTCTAGCGTTTATTTTTATCGGTTTTTTTCGTCTATAGAGACTCTCGCCTATCAAAACAAGGATTTTATCTTTAGTGATAGACGATGCAGTACAATTTGTAAATATTTGTAATCATGTAAAATTGTAAAACGCAATTATACTGCTAAATAAATAAATCTTTATTATTATTATAATTATATTGTGATATGAGTCGTCATCGTCGTCATACATTCATGTGGGTATTCGTTGTTAATGATTTCCGAGTAAATAAATAAATAGTTAAATAAATAATTAAATAGTTAATAAATATTATATTATAAGAATGAAGTGAGGAATTTTTTTTTTTTCCAAGGGTGGATATTTTGGTAATTTATATTTCGTCCCCGCGTTATTCGTAAACGGTTCGCGCTTCTAAGTGTGTATAACGTACTTAAATCCAGTTGGCGAGTGGTTTCGTGGTCGAACGGAGTGCCTCTGCGGATGTACGGGTCAACTCTGTAAGACCCAACCTGGCATAAATTATACTAATATATTATATAGTATGTAATAAGTGTAGAAAAAAAAAAACGTAATGTTAATTTCAGTATAATAACGATCGTTCGACGGGTATCCGTTTGACTTTAGTGGGGTCAGCGGTTATTTTTTTTTTTTTTATACATTGTACTGAAAGTAAATAATATCAAGGTATTATGTATTTATGTATCAAAACGATAATGGGTATATTATAGAGGTGTGTTAGTAAAATAATATTAACAACGTCGAGCGCGCGTATTCGTGTTTCGCAAAGTTCAAAGAATTTGATGAACGTCTCAATACATTAATACAGAGGATATAATATGAGGTCGTGTGTGTGCCATCAAACTACGCTCGCGGGAAATTAAATAATTCCAATATTAAATAGCAATACTTATACACGTATACAACGTTTAAAATGTGTAATATACGAAATTGTATTTATAATTACGAATAATATAATGTACGAGAAATTCGAATAGAAACGCAACGATCACATATTTTAATTTTTAACGTTAAAATATAAACTCGATGGTGATTTCCACATTTTTTTGTAATTCCAAATTGTCAAATGACCAAAGTCAATTTTGTAAAATATCGTATCTAGTTGCATTGTTTGGTTTTCCAAACAGTTTTTATAAAAACTATAAAAAAAACTCGAAAAATGTAAAGAAAAAACGGACGAATTGACGAAAATTTAAGTCTCATTATTTTCGATTTTCTAAAAGAAAATTTTGTCTGATTGGTCCATAAGGAGTCAATGAGTTATATACGATCAAATTTTCGGACACACTTGTATTATTTATTTCGGTAATTTTGAAATACGTGGTGTTTTAGTACTAATAACGATATGTTTAGTGATTTTCTTCCTTTTTTTTTTGATTTGCAAGAACAACATGATTATGACGAATCTAGTAACAAATGTTCAAAGAACAAAAAAACTTCAAAATCTGAATTTTATTATAGTGATCCTATCATCATATTATTTATTATTAATATTATGTATGTGTGAGCAAAAAAATTGAAAATGTTTATTTTCATTTCACCAAAAGCCTAAATGCATTGAGATCGGATATATGAGTATCAATATTTTATAATATTATGACATTTTGTACGAGTATTACTTTCATTTATATCAAAAGTTTCTCTATAGAAGCCAACGGAAAAATTGAAATAGAATTATTATTATTATTCGTTCATACAAAGAAATCACTCGCATGTTACATTGATATCGTATAAGTATTTTTTTTGAATTATATTTGTCTGCATTGACAATACAATATAATATTAATCTCATTAATCTTCTTATTATTACTGGGAAAATGGGTATAAAAAAAAAACCGGATACTATTGACGACCATGCTACTGTTCCAGATGGAAAGTGTGGAACGTGTTAATATGCTGTAGAGTTATTTAATTTCAACGCAACGATCAATTATAAGTGAAAACCGAGCGAAGAGAGAAGAGAAGAAAGAGAGAGAGAGAGAGAGAGAGAACTTTCGAAGTTCAGTTAAACTTATTTTGAAATGTTATGATTTTTACGATTTTAATTTTACCCCCACGTCCTTTCCCTGAATTTTTGTCTGCATAATATTATGCGCCTAATCTTGTCCAGAGATGCCCAAAGGGAGGGTTTTCGATTTTACCCTTGCTACATTTTATACACACACCGCGTGTTCCTTAATTGCATCAGTGATGACAGTAGCGCACACACGATTTTTTTGGGGAGGAGTTTTGTTTATAACAATTTCCTAGAGAAGAGATAGCACATATTATATAAGTACAGTACTATCACTATTATTAATGAATAAAAGATTTTTGATGATATTAAATTTTATTTTATTCTGTAGTGTAAGTTGTTAACAGTAAAACATGATTTATAAAAATGTAATGAAAGAAGAAATTTCGGGAGGGGGGAGTTGAACTTCTAAACCCCCCTCTGTGTGTGCTACTGTGTTATCATGCCAGTGGTATCATCTCTGTTCCATTTTCAATCAGAAATCCCTGACAATACAGAATGTAATGGTCTTATTCATATCATCGTGATAAAAAGACCGACGGTTTGTTATCGTTTTTGTTACTAGTGCTATTGTATTTCGATAAAATCTGAGACGATTCCGTCACAAACGCCGAAAACGATGTTTCCTTATAACTTTAAGGCCGATGCCGTCACAAAATAAAAAGGAACCTGAGAACGGATAATATTCTCGACCCGGTCCGATGAGCGCACAGTGTCTATTTGTGACTTGTAATAAAACGGTAATAAATGAAAAAAAAAAACTTCTAGTTTTACACTTACCTTGAAGACCGAATAAATGGGACGGCGGTGTTTTGTTGGCTACCGCCGCGGCAGCCGCGGCCGCAAACCACCCGCTGTACAGTAACGACGAGTACGGGAAGTTGTGACCATTCAGTTCCCCAATGCTGTCTATAATATATATATATATATATATATATATGTATATATAACATATGTGTAAAATAAAAAAACAAACAAAAATTATTTCGTTAAATATTTTATAATTTTATCGTACATGAGTACATGATATAATTGAAGCGCGCCGGAGGAGCATTCCGTATTGTCGTCCACTCGATTCGTCGAAACGAACGAGTCGGATACGTTAGCACAAATAGAGGGACTCGGGGACTTTGGGGTTCAGCCTCCCGAATCGTGGTCTTATTGAGTAAGTACTTCACGCATGCATAATTGATACGATAATATAGTAATCAATATTATATTGGTGGCTTAGTAACAATGTAAATTATAATACAGTTAGAGCGCTAAACGTTTAGTGCAACTTCGTGCAATCCAGCGTTAAACCGATTACGTATTATCATTGGTACAGAGAAATGTGTAGTCAAGTCGAAGAAAATAATTTTGCTCCGAATTTTCAAGTGTAGAAGTTTTTCTAAAAGGAAATCTGACTGTGGTAATACTTTATGGAAATTATTTTTTGATTTTCCCAGGGGTTTTCATAATAAATGGGAAAAACGTAGGAATAACCGAACTCCGCTCAAAATCGTTTTTTGTTAGCAAAGATTAATCTTTGCGTACGGATAACATTATATCCCCTTTATATCCTAAGTTCCCAATTTTTCCCCTAAAACAGCGGCCTACCTATCGTGTGATGTATGTCCGTCTTTTTTTTTTTCTGAGTGCAATAATCGAAAAATGTGAGATGAAATTTAGTTCGGAAATTCGAAGGAAAAAAATCACTCCCCCGTGATTCTCGTCATAGGCTTGTCCCCGCAAGACGACCAAGTCCGGAAGTACGGAAGTTTTTTACCCTCATATGGATTTCGGCACCACTCACCGGCTCCGCGCAACGCCATTTCGTTCCGGTGCGATTTCCCGGGATCCGAGGCCTCGGGGCCGCAGGATTCGATGGCCGTCGCGTCAACGGCATTGCCGCCGCTGAATCGGCCCAGGATTCGGTCAATGGAGAACTTGTGATGGGCTTTGGTGCACGGTTCGTCAACGCTGCCGCTGCCGGACGATTCCGAGTGCCGGGACGGCGATGACTTGACTACCGGGCCTTCGTAACCGGTTACCGTCGTCGCGTACGGCAATTGCCCGTAAACGCCGCCGGGTGACAGGGCTCCATCCGAATCTGAGGAGGTATCCATCCTCGTATTCCGACGTCACTAGCTGCGAATTATAAGATTTTTAGGTTCTGAACGTAGTGAGGAATGTATTGGTTGTCAACGTTGGCATCTTGGTATGATGTGTTTTTTTTTTTTTTTTATTTTTCAATTATTTTTCTCTGTGAACAACATTTCTGCACCAGAAATCTTGTTCTGATTTTAAAACGTAGCATCTTTTCTGAAAGCGAGGAGGTAAAGTTCACATTTCATCGTTTTCGATTATGTTATTTATTTTTTTTTTTTTGTAAATCGGTTAATATTAAATTCGGAAACTGAAATTTTCATAGAAGTATTAGTCTTTTAACAAGGTTATATTTTAAAAACATTCGAAAACGATATACGAGCTTTTTACAGGCGTTTAAAATTGTCTTATTCTATTATTATTCGTTTTTATCTGGTCTTTTAAGTGGATAAAATGGTTTTGGTCAAAAATAAATGAAATTTAAAATTTCATACGAGGTTCATTATAAATTTAACCTAGTAATCATAAAAAAATGTTGATCATAATGTAGTAGATTTTTTATAGGCATTTTTATTTCAATTATTAAGTAATTGTTTAGCATAATAATAAAATATTCATTTTTTTCGTAATTGGCTATAATTTATTTAATGTTTGTTTTAAAATTTTCATATTAGTAGCTTGTATAGTGTTAGTATTTTTGATTGAACCTATCGATATGTGTAATTTTTGATGTTTTTATTATAAGCAAATTATAACAAGGTACGTGTTTTTATTTGCTATTGTTAACTTAAAATTATAAAATCGTCTTTTTATATAATTTATATTCGTTTATTTTTTGTTCAATTATTTCTATTCAGCTGTGTTGTTTTTAATTCATAACATCTGAGCAGAAATTTATATTTTATTTACTATTTTATTACATAAGATTATTTCTAAACTTTATATGGGTGAATTACATATACTATTCCTGTAAGTAGGTATCTAACATAAATAGTATATTTTTTTAGATTTGTTATTTTGCCATATAATAGTTGATGTTACTATTGATTTATTAACACCGACCACATGAGAAATTGTTTGATTAAAACGTTTATATGTGATATTATATTATGTCAAATTTTATGATTACACACAAAATCAACAATATTATGATATTTCTGGAAAAAATAGTCCACACCAAATTTATCACATGGGAGAAATTCGTTTTAAGTGATTGAAGTGGTTCCAGAAAATCTCGACTAAGCCCAAGTTGAATTTACAAAATTCGACTAAAATGAATTTTGAACGAAAAATGTGTACCTTGTCACGACATGCAATTCCGCGCATAAAAATAATAATTATCGTTACAGGTTGTTGCTAAAGTAACCCAAAAATCAACATAAATTATACGAACATTTTTACAGACATTTAGAAAACTACATGGAAAATTTGATTGAAGCAAAATTTGTTTACTGCAAATATAAACAAAACACTACATAGAAAACTAATACATTAGTTGCTTCACTTAAAATCTAAAATTTATTTGAAAACACGGGAGAAATGCAGTATAGATATAATTATTACGATATTTGTATGCATCATAGGACGAACTATATTACGGAGGTCGTGGAGACGGAGAAGATAACGTATTGACGAATATTGTATATTAACACTTTCTAGAAATAATACAATATTTTTGAAACGTACTAACGTTAGTCTTTAGTTATTTATGGCTATTTTAAATTATCAAATTATTAAAAATGTTTAAAACGCTCTGTCTTTGTTTAAGCTATGTATAGGCTTTTGATATTTTTGATTTTTTATTTCATTTTCATTCGGTTCTATACGGGTAAAATTGTTTTAGCCAATCTGAAATGTTTGAAAAAATGCTTTTAAAATTCAATTTTGTATAACAAACTTACCTGGACAAAAATAACAACGGCGAGGACCGACGATAAAAAAGATTATAAAAAACGTTCATGTACATACACACACGGATTTTTTTTTTCTTTAACGTGACTGCGTCGTTATTAACACGTATTATTTATGTTTCAATAACAATGTCACTTACAGACAAGTATATAATATTTGATCGAGAATAATACCTAAAATATATACGTGTAAAAAATGTAAGCACGGAAGCGGACCGGGGTCTGCAAAGTAACGATGAGGCGTGAACGGAACGGAACGCGAAAATGTGTTGCGAGTGAATCGCGTTAAACTGAACGGTTTTAAAGTTTATCCCTCGTTTATCCATTTTGGCCATTTTCCCGCCTACCCTTTATTGTGTCTTTCACCCCTCCCCCTACCGTACACCTCGCCCACAGCCTCCGCTCTCACAGGTCTTTTTACACCGCACCTCGTGTAAAAGTTCTCAACACCTTCGCCAGACTGCTGCTGCTCCACGGCGACGTGGTCTCCTGGGCAACCACGGCAGCGGGTTTAGACCGTTTTCGACAAATGGCCGTTTCCATTAAGGTCCAATAATCAGTTATACACGACCAAAAAGCTCTTCGTCTCTTTTGTTGTCCCTCCTCTTCCTCTTCCGCCTGCGTCCCCGGCCTGCCGGCGTCATGACCCTCACCACCCCCAGTCCCGCCGACCACCCCCGTCTGTTCCTATCCCATAACATTTATAATATTATATTATACACAATCCATTTACTACCTCCGTGATGCGTACAAACACCCCCTTACACACAATGCTTACACGTGATGCGCAGAAGCGCTCGCGTTTTGAAGGGCCGCGTTTAATATACGGGAAATGTTCTCAAAACACCTATTTCCCGGAGATATATATAGTACACTATGTTCACAACAATAATACTGGACGACCCGGACGTATACAGAGTGCTTGTCACGGTTACTACAATATAATACACAGACTCAAATCAAATCAGACACATAGACCCAACTAGAGGATTCAAGTGGATCTTTAGCATCCCTAAGTTTAAAATTAACACCCCCCAAAAAACCCAATCAGCTTTTTCATAGTAACGACTAAATATTCTATTTATGCATTTTATGATTAATGAGCAGAAAAAAATACAGGTTTCCTACAGACAATAATATATATGTGTATAAAAAGTAATATTAAAAATACGTTTTATACAATTATAAAAAAAAGCAGTAGTTGACTATTGTAAGAGTCATGTAAAAGAAATTTTGGGAGTACATCTCTCATGGGTCTTTAATGTGTCTATAATTTTAGCACCCCGAAAGTTGGTGGTCTAGTTGCACTTATGATCAGATAATCAACGAAATCTGAAATGAAATGTATACAAAAATTACTTAAAAAAAAATCGCTTGATCATTTAAAAAAAAAAAGGGTTCCAGAAAGCATATAACTCATAGAGTTACCTCACCTCTATAGTACAACTAGACAATTCAAATTCTTTGATTTCAGATTCTGAGTGAAACCAGGAATGTATTGGTTTTACAACGATGTTTATTTTTTCGTTTCTTTAAAACAAAATCATGTTTTTATTACCATCTCTGTGTTTTAAATGCATTTAAAATGGTTAAATGCAGAAAGGGGATATGTAAACCAATTTGAAATGGATACCAATGGTCATATTAAATTTTGGAAAATATCGAGATAATTAATTTTTAAAAATGTGGATAATAATGCGATTTATCCATTTGTACACTCAGCTGCTTCTCATCTTGTCTAGATAGATTTTTGTGCCTTCTGTAAACTTTAGAGTACATGTCTCCTTTCTCCAATATCAGTGATTAATAAATTAGTGATATCACTATTCACTGATTCTCTTACAAGGCTACAAACTCTATTTTAACTTTACGTTTTAAAACTAAGGGGGTATAAATAATAAATGATAAGGAAAAAAGGAGTCATAAAATAATAGGTGATAATTATTCTAGCTGAACAAAAACTGGGTAAAAAAATTAAATCCCGAAAATGTTTTCTGACTATAGTACTTTCTACACAACAATGACATCAAACTAATAGAATTTTAATAATTCCAAAATAATATTTTTAAACAAATTTAGATTTTAAATAATTATAACAATTTGTTTTTGGTAATGAATCAATAACACATTATGTTTTAAACTGGAATGTTGGAGGAAGAGACCGCTATTATCGGAAGGCCAAAACGGAGATGGATGGATAAAAGTAAGAAGGAATTATAGTAAATAATTATTTATAATAAGTCAACTAGGTATAGAGATAGTTGTTTGACAGTGAAGTGCCTCAATCGCCTCTAAATAAACTGAAAAAATTAGTTGTTAGACTTACGAATTTATTACATACTGTAAAAGAAATTTAGCTCGTTAGAAGCGACTAACAATATTAATAATGCAGCTACTTATTATTTTCCATAAAGTCTTGTAATTTAAAAAATAGTCAATGAAACAAAATGGGTATTCTAATGGTATCTCTCGTTTCGACACTGGATATCGTATGTAGAAAAAACTTTTTTTTTTCTTTCTTTAATCACTAAAAAATATATCTTTTTTTTCACTTTTAAAAATTTTTAAAATAGTCGTTTTGTAAAAAATATTATTCTAAATATTTTAATGTACCATACTTACATTCATATCTGATCAATAGTTTCTGAGTAATAGTAGTTTTAATTTTTAGAAAATTTGACGTGAAAACAATTAATTTTCAATATAGTAACACGTTACTCGATAAGGAATCACAATCAGCATCGTAATTTCTTATCTTTTATTGAAAGTTTAATTAAATTAAGAAATAAGGTTTTAAATTTTTCCCCTTTCTTAATGATTGGAATTTTTAAAGTCATTTCTTAGTGGGTTCTAGTCTCCACATCATAAAAAGAAATTACAGACCAAATTTCTTACTCATAGTCAGTTAGTCAGGACATATTATTTTATATAAACGTATTTACACGTTTTAGTTATAATTTTATTATATATAATCGGTTTTTTTTTATTTTCGGAAAATTAATAATTACATGGTACTCTACATTTGCACTAAATTTAAATTAGATAAAAAGTTGATACTAGGACGGGTGTGCTACTCACCACTGTTGTAGGTGGGAGGTTGGGAAGTGTCCCGTGCCCGGCGTTGCCCATGCTAATTTGTTTTATTATTTTTACCTTTATTTCCGTTTTGCTTTGTCTGTAACAGTATATTGGACTAAAAAATAGCTGGAAAGGGGGTAGTTCGTAGACTAAAAGTTTTCTATTGTATCATACATTTTTTTCATTCGAGTTACCATAGATACCCCACAACACAGGGACAAAACTATGTATCCACTTTAATAACTCTAAAATTATGATAACATAATATTAGATACTGTAGTGTTGTTACTTTATTAAAAAATACAAAAATTCAGAGATCAGATTTTACGTGTTTTCATTTTTCACTTTTCACCCAGCCTTACGGCGCATATATTTTTTTCCATTCATGTTATCAAGGTGGCTACCCAGCCTAATTCAAGACAATAATAGACCAGCAGACAGTCAGATAGACTCATTATTTTAAGCTGGTATAGTTGTTATGGTATTTTTATTTCTGTGTATCATTTATTTTTTTGTTTTTTTTCATTTTATCCGTGTTACTATGGTTATCTAAAATTCACCTATAAAATAATTTAATTTTTGTACTGAAAATATCTGAAAGCCTTTCATCTCTTTCAACTTTTATTTTCATGACAAAAAGTGATCAATGTTTTTTTCCAATATAACATCTATCTCTATACCGAAATTAATCAAAATCCGTTCTGTAGTTTTTGCGTAAAAGAGTAACAAACATCCATCCACCCATACATCCTCACAAATTGTTCATAATTATAATATTATTAGTAGATTCGAGTATAGATATTATGAAACTAATTTATAGCAAACTTTTCGTGGCATCAGTGATGTGTGTATGTGCAAACCTAACCTAACCTCTCTCCACTAGCTAAAAAATACAAAAACTGTGAGTGTTAAATTAGTAATTTTATCTTGAAATTATACATTTTAGCCAAATTACAACTAAATAAATTTGATTTATTGAATACAAATTGGCCCTAACTAGATCGGGCTTTTAAATTCTCGTTGTCGAATCAAGTATTTTTATATTCTAAATACATACAAAAAGCTCTCCTAGGATAATGGGGACGGGTGAAGCCACTGTTATAGGTGAAAAGTTGGAAAGGTAGTAGAAAGGAAATTTAATGTACATCTGTAAGCAACGATAAACCATTGCAAACGAAAAAACGATTCTGAATGGAGTTCGGTTGATAGTTTTACTTTATCAACAATATACATGTCATATTATGGTAAAATAATAAATATGCATTGTATATATTCTTTGTAATATCTGTTTAATATCGTACCTATTTTTTCATTTTTCCTACGTTTTTCCCTATGTTTTTCAAAATCAAAAAAAAAACCTCCTCATAGTACCTTTCCAGTCCAATTTCCTTTCAGAAAAAGTGCTATCATTGTAAATCTGAGCAAAATTGACAAGTAGACAAGTTGTTCACAGAAAAAAAATTAATAAACATCATTGTAAAACAATAAGCTTCTACACTCCACTCAAAATCTAAAATATTTTGCGATTTTACCACGACAGTGATTATTATTTATTAAATCCCCTACCGTTGAAAAATGTTCACTACATATAGCTTCACGAACAAAATGCTTTCTGTATCCTGTCTTAACCTCTTTGCGGGTACTGTTCAATTTTTAATAAACGAAATGCCCGAAATCGCTCTGTACATACCCGTGCCGGACGCGCAGTTTAAAGGGCTGGCGAGTGATGATGTTTTGCGGCGGAAAGGTGTTTGCGGCGAACATATTCTCGTATATATACCTATACATTTATACAATATACTCGGGCACTTTCCGCCCCGTCACTCCTGCGTAACGACCGTCATTGGCACTTAACAGGCATTTTAAAGGACCCGCTGGCTTGCTTCAGCCGCGGGGCTCGGGGGGTCGGGGGCAGAAACGCTTTCGTGTGGGTTATTTGTGGACAGGGACGGCGGCGCGCGCGAACAGGTAAAAACAGGTGTTTACGACACGTTTGTTTTCCACGGGCCGGACGATCGCGGCCTTTTGTCCGCCGCCGTTGGGCGTGTCCCCCCAGATAGCCACGCTCCGCCCTGCTGCCCATCGTCCCGCGTGCGCGCACTCGGAAGACGCGGTCCCGCAGGGGATGTAAAATATAATATAAAATACGGGACGCTCGGGTCGGACGGATAAATGAAACGCTACAACATATATACATATATATAAGTATAAAAATAAAGCGCGTGCTGTCACAACGCTATCAGATGTATAAGTATAAAATATAACAGTTATCTAAAATATTATTATATAATACAGCAAGGAGGCCCGTTTGATAAAAAAAAAAAAAAGAACGAATTACGATTCGAGAAAATACCTAAAGGACGAATAAAACATTGTTATCGATGGTCACGCGTGCCTACGTATCCAACATGATATGAAGAAATATTATAATTTTAATAAAGCCGCACATCTTCTCACTGACAACAGTGGTTGGACGACTGTTGTAGAGGAGAAGTGGACAAAGTCTAAAACAAAAGTATATTTAAATAGTATAAAATATACAAATGTATAAAATATATATATATATATATATATATATAATACTAGCTGTCCCGCCCGGTCTTACCCGTGCCAGTTTTTATTTTATTTTTTATCCACAGAACCACGTACAATTGACCATGGGAAAAATATTGGACGGTTATGTTTGAACCTGCAACATTTAATGTTTGACCTTATATCTTATTTATGGCCATTGAAAAATATAGTTTTACGGGGAATTGGCGCCGTTTAAACTGGAATGGTAGATTGGTTAGTATCATTGGTGTTCTACGATCCAAAACGTTTTCCCCAGCTCCACAGCCAGTACGAGAATCATACACTCGAGCCGACAGATTTTTAAAGATTTTATTTTCAATCTTGTACCGTTGCATAATTTTCCAGGTGGACATAAGTTCCGGGGTAATATTCTAGGAGAACCTACCTTTAGAATTAATTTATGCGGTGTAGTCACTGGAGGGGTTAAATAATTAAATAATTCAGTTGAATACTGTACCGCCTCCTCTCTATCAATAACAGTATCAACTGTACATTAGAATAGTACATTTTTGTTGGNTATAGTTGATGACAATATTGCTCTTTTCTGAAACCAACTCAAGGTCTCAGTAGAAATGTTAGATATTTCTGGGTAAACATAACGTCTATGGTCTCGATCACCAGAAGTTTCATTATTACGTACTAAGCGTGCTCTTTTAGCATTTGCCGTGTTGCGTCCTATATTGTCATAGATCTTTGTTAAGGCATGACTAAAACTCAAAAGGTTTTTAAAGACAGTTTACAGTTTTATTGCATAATATGGCACATAGATACCATAGATGCGTTTATGACCGACCTTTTAATTTTTCAATATAATATAATAATTAATTTCATCCGTGTTACTAAGGTAATCCAAATAAATAAATGATAATAATACCTAAAAACCGAATTTCGGGGGATGATTTTCAATAGGGTATTGATGTCAATAGCTATAAACCTTCCCCGAGGCTCGAATGAACCATTATTGAAAACCGTAATAAAATCCGTTGAGTATTTTTCGAGGTATGCGCGTACATACAAAAAAAAAAGCGTCTATTTTAAAATGCGCATAGTATGTAAAGACTCCGTCTGCTCATACTTCTATAGAATATGTAACGACTACGTTTATCCATAGAGTATAATAAAGACAACGTTTACAATAATAGTGCAACGGTATCGAGTTCAAATCTCAGATATTATTACAATTTTTTGACTTAGTTCGTAGACTTTTTAAAATTATTATTTTCTACAAATCTTTCCTTGAAAATTACGAACAAAACAAAAAAAGAATTATTCAAATCGGTCAAGTCGTTTTTGAGTTTTAGCGAGACTGACGGACAGCAATTCATTTTTATATACATAGAATACAGATTAGGATGCAGATTATAATGCAACTTGCATTTTTTCTGAATGTCCTAAAGCAGTTATTTCCAAACACAACATTTGTTTCATATATCAAAGAATTAAAATACGATACTTTTATTTTGTATTTTTAAACGCATTATAGATTTACCGATTGTACCAAATAAATACAATTCCGGCTACAATAAAGAAAACGATAAGCTATTTATTGAGTTGTTATGTAGTCGTATAGTACTGTTTGCGCTATTGTGCTTAGTAAATTTAAATACCTAATAAAAATGTTCTTTTTTCAAAGTTTAAAATAATTTTTAAAGCATTTTTAAATCTTTTTTCTTTATTTAAGTGCATTGAATTTTAATTTTTAAGTCATTTTTTTTGTTTTTTAGAGAATTTAAATTCACACCCTAATAATATTGTATAGGGTAATTTAGTTACATAAAATGTATCGCCATTTTTTGTCAGTTTTTTTTAAATTGTTTAAAAAATTAGTTGGGAATGTATAAAAATAAAAAAGTATATCAACTATAGCGCGTTGGACGAAAAATCCGCATATTTTTATGTGCAATGTGAACAATTCGTGGAAAAGTTTACCGACCAAAAAAGTGTTTTATGAGATCTAGGTGGTAAACTTTTGAGATTTTAACAACATAAATGGCAATATATGGCATAGAAAAATTTAAAAAATACCAAAAATCATCCTTGTAACTATAAAACTATTTAAATGATATAAAACTAATAAATTTCGCTTCACTTGGAGTTTAAAAAAACTTAAAATATCGAGATTATTGATACGAAACAGATAAATGTATTATTTTGATGATATCAATGTACAAATAGAAAATATAGATTTAAAAAAAAATATACGTATGTCTACCGGCACTTTATAGAGCTAGAGAAGTGGCTGAAGTAAATCAATTGATCAACGACGTTTTTGTTAGGCACACAGATAATTAGTATAACATGTTAATAATTTTCGTCTTTTTAGATTCTGAGTGGAGCGAAAAAGCTTATAATTTTACAAAGATATATTTTTTTTTTTATCTGTGAGCAACTTTTTTACCAAAATACTTGCTCGGATTTCTACGTGTAGTAACTTTACTGAAAGGAGATCGACATGGAAAGGTACTTTAAAGAGGTCATTTTTTGATTTTCTCAAGAGTTTTCTCATCAAATTTGAAAAACCGAAGATAAAACGGGAAAATATAAGAAATTTAGGTATTAATTAAAATATTACGGCCTTCTTTTTTTTTGTGAACAACTTTTCTATCAGCAATTTTGCTCCGACTTTTAATGATAACAATGTTTCTAAAATGAAATTTCACTAGAGAAGTATTTTAAAGAGGTGATTTTTCGATTTTCTCAGGAGTTTTTTAAACAAATATGAAAAACCTGGACAAAACATGGGAAAACCGGGAAAAACATAGGAAAATTTGGAAAATTAGTACAACATTAAATAGATATTATTGAAGAAAATACAGACCCTATTTATATAGCCTATAGCCTATTTAATTATTTTACTATAAAATGACATATAATGTTGAAAAAGCATCATTATCAACTGAACTTCGCTCAAAATCGTTTTTTCATTAGCAATGGTTTATTGTTGCTTACAGATGTACATTAAATTACCTATAACAGCGGCTATACTCGTCTCCATTATCCTCGTCAACGTCTTTTTTTTTTTAATTTTTCCTCCTATAAAATATGTTATTGTAAATAGGTCATTTTGTTTTCGCTCTTATGCATTTATTCTTTCGACGTGAACAGAGCCACGATGTTATTTGTAGTATCAATATGTTTGGGATTCTTCGGGCTAATATTTAATGGGCCTTAAATCGCATCGCTACAGTCACTATATCAATCTTTTCCCTTGTCCCTAGTTAAATCAATTTAGTTCTAAAACTATTTTGTTTGATGATGTTTTCATAACCTGCAAAAAAGACTTTTTCATCGGATAGTGGCCGGCGGACCGAACCACTGCACGCTATCCGATCAACACCAATATGGGCTGGCTATTAGCAATATGCCTCGAGTAATATTTGAAAAATTGGGAAAACAACTTTTCCTATACACTTTATAGCACACAGGTAAATAAAGTGTGTTTTGGTTCCTGACCAAAAGACCCTGGTAATATTTTATAACCAAAAACGTATACAGAGTGGGTGGAGAGGTTTTGGGTTTAACGATTTTTCATAGTTCGTAATATTCGACTTGTTTCGCTCACCGAAATTTCTGTGTACATACGTGTACTTACCTGTTTATAACGTCATGAAAAATGCTGCGTCGTCGCGGGCCTGTGCCCGAGAGTAGGAGACACGGTCCCGGCGAAAAACTACGCGGTGCCGCTACTGCGCCGGCGGCGGTGGTTATTAGTCAACGCGAACCGCGCAGGTGATGCTCAACGTGTTTATTCACACCGGCCTGCTGCGGATCGGCAGGACGGACGGTGTGATTAATCACGACACGTACCTATATAATAATAGCCGTTGTAATAACAACGATAATAATAAAACGGCCGTAATATCGTTGCGAGAGGGCACTTTAAAAGGGCTGCTCTATATTATATCGCATCTTCCGCCGCCGCGCCGGTGTAAAAGGTGTTGGTCGGTTGGTGATGCGGTTGCGTGTTTGCTAATTCATTAGTATATTATACTCGAAACTGAGAAAGAGAGAGAGAGAGAGAGAGAGAAAGAAATAGAGAGAAACAAAATACTCCATACACGACCGGTCGTCGTCGCTGCGTGCGACCCTCTCTTAAACGCGGTAGCTGTAAAAAAAAAAAATTAACCAAACCGCCACACCGCATTTTAAGTGCATGTCGTCGATATATTATATTATATACCCTGTTAAATATACATTATATTTACGGGGGAGAAACTCGCATTTACTCGTAACACCTTTCACCGGTTTTCGTCACGAATATAATATAAATTCGCTTGCCGCATCTCACTTTTCCCATTTTTGATCGCTGATCTCTTAAACACTTATCATATCGTTCGACGCAACTAAAAGTGTGATATTTCACTTTTTCCAACGTCTAATCTGATGTCTTGGGGCGAGTAGAGATACGACCATTTCCGTGAGCGATGCTGAAAATGATACGACATTGAATATAATATGTGATCTGAATTGAGATACGACCTTATTCGTCATAGCAGGTGATTAATGAAATTTCAACGAACGGTTTCTGCAGTTGGATCGCCGTCGGATCATAGATCCGATGACGATCCTATCTACGAATAGTTGCATATGACTATTAATATGACGTGTTTATGATGTGATTAAAACCTGCAGTTTCCTATGTTGAGAAAGTCGCTTTTAAAAAGTAATTCATTCTCGTTTCTCATCCTACTGCAATAAAGAAACTCATTTTTTTAAGCGTTTCTATCTTTATTGTTTTTATTTATACTTAATGTAAAATCCAAACTACTTTTATATATATATATATATGTATTCTTAATTTGAATGTACTTATAATTATTTGTCGTTATTCATTAGTGAACTTATGCAAATGTGTATTATAGCGTGTGACCAATTTAAAAAAAATTAACTAATACTTACGAACGTTCCCGTTCCTTATAAATAAGAACTCTTTCCCGTTCCTTGTTTCTTTATTTTATAAGTAATGCGTTCCTTTACATGTTTCATTCCTATAAAAGGAAATTGATTGCCACTAATTTCCCCTCCCCAAGTTGTGTATATTCCATTGAATACCATAGTAATAATAACTAATGGTTTTTACACTATTCGTAATGTTAATTAATGATTTTTTTTTTTTCTTCGGAAAATAGTGTGGCTTATAACTAGTATATTCTGTCACATGACCTATAATAAACATCTGTCCCTGACCTTTTTTAAATACGTATACATAATTTTAGGAACAATTTACTGTGTGCGAATTGTATGAATTAAAGTGCCTACCTACCTACTCACTTATAATGTACTCTTACAAAACGACATGTTATATATGTCAAAATCGAGCTATCGTAATACATTTATTCGATTGTGTTAATAATCAGATGCGCCACCCTACCTAATTATAAATCGAGTCATTCAGGTAGTCTCGTTTTTTTATTTGTTCTACCGTGCACATCGGTTGTTCCGCTGATAAAGTATAATCGATTTCATATATTTTATAGTTTTTGAGAACTGTCAATTAGACCTATTAATCTGGTTTGTAATAACAATTATAATAATAATATGGACGATAAGGAAAAATTGTTTGATGTCGTCATCTCCGGCGTGGGTGGCAAATTTCCCAAGTCTGAAAACATCGAACAACTTAAGATAAATTTAAATAATAAAGTTAATATGGTAACCGAAAACGATTGCAGATGGAATAAAGGTAAGTTCTCTATGAGTACTTAATACCTATATAATGCAGAATACAGAACTACATTAATTTACCAAGAAAAAACATATTTATTTTTATTTAATATTCCATTTATAAACTCTATAGGTGTCCATAATCGTAAATAGGTTAATCGGAAAACAAATGAAATTTAGTTTTTTCAATATTAGACGAATAAAAAAGAGTTTTTATATTGTTTTCATTAAAAAAAAAAAAGATGTCCAAGAATAAGGGGACGGGTGCAGTTATTGTTATAGATGATTTAATATAACGTAACGTAACCTGTAAGTATCAATAAACCATTGCTTATGAAAAAACGATTCTGAAAAAATTTAATTTGATAGTGATGCTTTGTCAACATTATATATCTAATTTTATAGTAAAATAATGAAATAGGCTTTCGATATTTTCTTTAATAATATTTGTTTAATGTTATACCGTTTTTCCCGGTTTTCCCAGGTTTTATCCCGATTTTTCACATTTGCTGGGAAAACTCCTGAGAAAATCAAAAAATAACCTCTCTAAAGTACCTCTCTAGTAAAATTTCCTTTTAGAAACATTGCTATCATTAATAGTTGAAGCAAAATTGCTGGTTGGAAAGTTGTGCACAGGAAAAAAAATAGTAATATTTTAGTAATATATTTCATATAATTTCCCGTTTTCTTTGTGGTTTTTCAAATTTTATGAGAAAACCCTTGATAATTATGAAAAATGATATCTTCAAAACACCTCTCCATACCGATTTCTTTTCCGAAAAGGTGCTACACTTGAAAATTGGCGCAAAATGTCTAGTAGAAAATTTGTTTACAGAAAAAAAATATGCATCACTGTAAAATCAATACATTCCTTGCTCCGTTCAGAATCTAAAATTATACTAAATTACAGATATTTATAAAATCTAAAATCGATATAACATAAAATCATATTATTCTAAACAACATAATTTATAAAGTAAACAAAATAATTTATTTTTTATACTTTGAGCACCAATAACTACGAAGCATTATTAATTTTACATATATGTAATTTTTTTCTCGAAAAACACTTTCAATTAGTAAAAGTGCTCTGACTTTTTCATATTTTAAATATTATATAGGTAATCAATTAATAATTATCTAAATAGGCCAATTAAAACAAAAATGATCACCAAACAATATAATTCTAGTTCAATTTAAATAATATTCGTATTATAATTTATAATATAAAATAATACAAAGTATAAAATCATATCGTTTTAGATGAATGGCCGGGAATTCCAGCTGCCACTGGAAAAGTCAGTGTACTGCAAAAATTAGATGATACTTTTATGGGTATTAATTCACGAATAGTAAAAGCAATGGATCCTTTGACCAGAGTTTTATTAGAAAGAGCTTACGAAGCGATAATCGATGCAGGTATTCAAAGTTCAAAACGAATAAAAAATATAATTTGTATGTGGTGTTAATTCCTTTTTTTTATCTAATCCCCCTGATGAGGACTGAATCCGAAACATTTATACGGATCTCAAACATCTGTATATACTGCTTCGTGTGTTAGTGACAGCGAAGCAATTGGATGCGATGAGAAATTAACTACACCATTTTGGCTTCTTGCACACGTCAGAGCACTTTTGGCGAATCGTGTTTCAAATTTACTCAACTTACAAGGACCAAGCTACACAATTGACTCGTCCTGGATCGGAGGTATAGAAATTTTAAAACAAGCTGCTGACGATATTGCTAAAGGCAGAGTCAAAGCAGTATTAGTTGGTGTTAGTAATATTATTTGGCATCCTGATATGGCAAAACATTGGATAGGACTGGAAAAACTTAGTGCTGACGGCATATGCAGATCATTTGATGAAAACGGTATACAAGACTGCGGTTATTAATTTCTTTTCTTTTTAAGTTTATAAACAAAATTATTTTATTTTTAGCTAATGGATATGGTCGGAGCGAAGGAGTTGTTGTACTACTCCTTCAAAGATCTACTGAAGCATTACGTTCCTATGGCAGTATAATACATGCTGACGCCAGAGTTTGTATGGAAAAATCAGTAAATTTTATACGGCCATCTGAGGATTCTTTCCGAGAATTTTTCAAATCATTCTACAAAGATTGTAAAGTATCCCCAGAAAGCATATCTTATTTAGAAGCTGATGGATCTGGTTGCAAAGTATTTATAAGCAACTTTAATGTAATAAAAGATAAATTACAAAAATTAAATGATTCTTAGTATTACGAGGAAAAAGAACTCAATGTATCATCAGAGATTTTCTGTGAAAATCAAAGGACCTCACCTTTACCAATTGGATCAATCAAAAGTAATTTAGGGCACACTGAGGGTGCGTCAAGTTTGGTATCTGTAGTGAAAGCATTAATAGCCTTAGATTCTGGAATAATTCCACCCAATATAAACTTCCAATCGCCAAATATGAAAATTGAAGGATTTAAAAAAAAAACTATGAAGGTACAATTGTATTTTTTTTATATAAAACAAATACATAAACTTATAAAAAAAAATTAATAGGTGGTAACTGAACCCACAAAATTAGAGGGGCCTATTGTTGCATTAACTACATTGGGCGTATCATCATCTATTGGTCATGTTCTACTTAAGCAAAATCCAAAAACTAAGGTATTTTCTCAACTAGGACCTAGTCAAAGATTAATTCTTTTATCAGGTAGAACAGAAAAAAGCATTTCTGAATCCATAGACAAAGTGAAAACATTACCAAGAGATGATGAATATTTGGGACTTGTTCAAAATGCTTTTAGTGATAATATTATGGGTCACTTTCACAGAGGTTTCGCATTACTCAACTCAGAAACTTCCCCTACATTTGGATTTCAAGTAAGCAATTAGTTTAAATTGAATGATATTTTATATTGTTGCAAACGTTATATATTTAATTAGGAAATGGGCGGAATAAATCGTCCTGTATGGTTTGTTTTTGGTGGTATGGGTTCACAATGGCCAGGTATGGCATCAGATTTAATGGAAATACCATGTTTTGCGGAAAGTGTTAAACGATGCGATACATATATTCGACCTATTGGCTTTAACATCATTGATATTATTACAAATCCAGATCCCAATATCCTTAAAAGTAAACCAGTAATTTCTTTTTTGGCAATAACTACTATACACGTGAGTATAAGTACACATATATTACTAAAATATTATAATTTTGACACTATTTTGAGTCTGTGTAAAATCTATATATTAAACAAATGTTAAAATTTTAAAAAATTAGTTTTAACTTGCATCATTTTTTTTATGATTTATTCGTGTTTTAAGATCGCATTCGTGGATTTATTGGCCAAACTTGGTATTCACCCAGATGGCATGTTTGGACATTCTTTAGGTGAAAATGGATGTGCTTATGCTGATGGATGTTTTAATACGTATGAGGCTCTTATGGCAGCTTATGCTAGAGGCAGTGTATCAGAATTTTTAAAGCCAGAGAAAGGCTTAATGGCAGCGGTAGGTAAGTGTAATTTTATAAAGCAATGTGTGTTCGAAATAATTTAAAACATTTGAACGTTTTAGGATTAAATTATAAAAACATACCAGATTTGCCATCTAGTATTGACATAGGATGTCATAATGCTGAAGAAAACGTAACTCTATCTGGTCCAGCTGAAGACATGGAAAACTACTTAGAAACTCTGAATAAAAGAAAAGTTTTTGTTAGACAAGTAAATTCTAATGGTATAGCATACCATTCAAGGATGGTCTTAAGACAAGCTGATTTTGTTCAGAAATTTATTGAAAAAGTAAATTAAATTAGATTAATTAGTACTATCACATTGTGTATATGCAGTATCGATTAATAGTTTAATTTATTCTTAGGCAGTTCCAAATCCAAAGAAACGATCTGCAAAATGGATATCAACTTCAATATCTGAAGACAATTGGAATGGTGATTTAGCACAATGGAGCTCTGGTCAATATCATGCAAATAATTTTAAAAGTACTGTTTATTTCGCTGAAGCTTGTAAAAAAGTTCCTAAAAATGTCATAGTCATAGAAATAGCTCCTCACGGTCTATTTCAAGGACTCTTAAAATCCAGTTTAGACAGTTCATGTAAAATTGTTTCTCTTGCAAAACGAGGAAGCAACAGTCCTCTGAAATATTTTCTTACTATACTCGGTGAACTCTATATCAGTGGCCTCCAACCGAATCTCAATGTCATTTATCCTCCACCAGCGTACCCTGTCTCAAGAGGTACTCCAAGTTTAGCCCCTCTTATATCATGGAATCACGAAGATACTTGGCCAATTAACACGCATTATGGCGCTGTAAGTGTTTTTATTTTTCAAATATGGTAAAGTGTAATTTTTTTACACATTATTTTGTGTACCTATCTATTTTTTTTCAGTTTAATTTAGACTATGTACAACTTTGTCTGCGCGATAAGTCATCAAGACATCTTTTAGGACATAAAGTTAATGAAGCAACTGTAGTACCACTGTCATTTTTCATCGTATGTTATAAAAAAAAAAAATAAATTAGCATTAAAATTATGTATTAAACTAAATTAATTATTTTAGACAGAAGTGCTGCGATCGTTCGAAAAAAATCAATCGGGCTCCACTGATAAATTATGCCAAACAGTGTTTGAAAATGTTTTTGTACATAAACCATTAATGGCTTCAGCTGAAGGTACTATTGTATACAACTATTAAATTTAACAAAAATATCATATTGACAATGAAATTCTCTATCATTAATTCAAATTCTTCAATAGTGTGACGAGACTGATTTTGTTGTAAAATTGGGGGAGTGTTAGGTGGTAGACGAAAAATAGAAGAAAAAGTGAGTGTAACAGAGGCAAAAATGCTTTAGTAGACGAGTGGAGTGACGGAAGAAGATTGGATAAAGGATGAAGAGATAAATAGTACTTAAGTAGCTTGGATTTATATTAATTATTGTTATTTTTTATGGTATCTTATAAGTTAAGCATGATATAAATGTATCAATTATTATTATCATAATTTATTTTAGAACCAAGTGGTTTTTATACACAAATACTTATCGGTTCTGGATTATTTGAAGTAATTGAAACCCAAAATATATTAGTATCAGGAATGATATACATGGCTGATACTAATCATCTAATCAGTCCAGAACCACCAGCAGATTGTGAAGTTAATATTGAAAATGAATGGATATCGGATAATGAAATATACAGAACATTTTCTGAAAATAATATTCATTTTTCAAATCCATATTGTACAATTCAGAAAATTCTAATTAATGAAAAAGGTATTGTACAAAAATTTAATTTAATACATTTTATCATACTTGCATTACTACATTGTTTTTAAGTTTTTAGGTTTTCTAGCAAATATAGTATGGAAAAATGATCTTAGTTTCAATATTAATTCAATGATGCAATTAAAAATGTTTGCTGACCTTCAATCAAACTATGAAACACCTTTACTTCCATCGTGGTTTAGGAGTTTAGTTATTGACAAAGAAAAAATGAAGAATATTTTTCAAGGATCGTTAGTTTACATTACTTTTGATACTCGAACTAACGTTATCAGAGGACCTGGAATAGAAATTGAAGTTTTAAAAACGTCCGTATTTCCAACAATTTGTCCACCACCTATAAACTTGAACATTCAAAAAGTTCAATTTGTAGATCAATCTAATCCCAAAACTAACGTAATTTAAATAGATATTTTTCTAGTCATATTAATATGATAACATTTTTAATTATTAATATTATAAATTTTAGAATTTTACTCAATTTGTAAGTCTATGCGTGCAACTTACTAAAAATACATCAAAAACACAGTCACCATCAAAATTGAAAACTAAATTAAAAATTAATAATGCTATATTCGTAGAACTTTTCCGAAAACTTTTTCAAGTGCAGCCATTTTTAAAGGTTAATTCATTTCTATTGTGTTACTAACTACACAAATAGCGTTAATTAACTCATACAACTAATGATTGTATTGTTTGTTCATTAGGCAGACGTTGAAGAATATCCAAATATCCAAATTACAGAGTTAACGTCAAATGATGTGCTACTATTAGTGACTGAAGATTTAAATGAGCAAATAAATAAAGATATTAAAAAATATCCAGGGAGGGTTTTCGTTTTAGTAAAAAATATGATGGTGGATGATAATTATACTGTAGTTATTCAGCAAGAAATCAATGGTGCCATTTATCGTTTGGTAACCCGAACAATAAAATTACCGAACAAGATTTTAGAAGTTACCACCAATAATTCATTATGGAAAGACAACATAGAACAAGGACTTAATTCATTCACTAATAATATTTCACCAATTGTTTTAATTAAAACCGAATCAGAAAGTCAGTTGCAAGTTGTACGAGAAATTGAAAATATCAAATCTTTAATTAGTTTTAGGTAAGTATAATGAATTTAAAATAGACAATTTATACATAATTTATATTTTCTATCATTTTCAGATATGTAATATTTTCCGAAGATTCACAGGTGTTTGATCTGACTAAAACATTTTTCAGAGAACAGCTATTTAAAGGATTACGACAAAATATATTGATTAATAATACCTGGGGTAGTTATAATGTACTTCCTTGTATAGACTTATCTAAAGAATCAAATGATCATAATTTACAACGATATATTAATACAAAGAGGTTTGTATAAAATTAATATTTAAGATTAGACATGTTAGATAAAAAAAATTAATTATTTGTTTTTAGTGAATTAACTATCAAGTTCATTGAATCTATAAAAGAAAACATTAAGGTACCTAAAACACGTTTATTAATATTTTAAATGTATATTAATATTTTAATATTTTAGTTATTAATTATAATATTATATTAAATATTACTACGTAATTTTATCTAAATGTTTTTAATAAAGGAAGAAGAAGTATGTACTCAATACTCAGGAATAGATAATGAAGGCAAAAATGTAATGGGCATTATGAAGTACAAAACCAAAAATAAGAGATTCGATATTGATAACATTTTTAAGTGGTATGTCAATTCCGAATGGACTTTGCAAGATGCGGCAAAATTACCATTAGCTTATTCAATGGTAAAATTAAATTTTTGTTTATTTATAACTAAATTTTAGTTACACAATAAAATGTTACAGGCATATTATTGTTTAGTCATCAAAGCTCGTGTTAGATCAGGAAATTCGATTCTTATACACAATGGATGCTCACAAGACAGTCAGGCATTTATTAGAGTTGCTTTAGAATTTAATTGTAAGGTCTACGTGACTACTTATAACAACGACCAATCTGACTTTCTAAAAAATTTATTTCCAAAGGTAATTAAGCCGCTGTTTAAGTAACACTAAAAATATTTAGTTAAATATGGAAAATGTTGAATCATTGAAATTTATAGTTAAACTTCGGCAACATACTTGATCTCAATAATAAAAAGTTTGAAATACAATTGATGAATTTAACAAAAGGAAAAGGATGTAACATAATTATAAACTCTATACCGACAGAATTCCTTTGGGCTTCACTTCGATGTATTAAAAAGTTTGGCACGTTTATACACATTGGGTCCCAAGATATCAATGTTCACACTCAAATTGGTAAGACTAGTTCAAATAAAAATATATTATATTAAATTGAATTATATTTATACTTGAAATTACTATCTTCTTTTATTATTATCAATAGGGATGTATATGTTTTTGAAAAATATCACGTTGTACGGTGTAAACAACTTTTTGCACGTGATCAATTCTTCTATCGAAACTAAAAATCATATTCAGAAGCTCGTCGAAAATGGTATTAAAGACAAAATAGTCAGTCCATTGCATAACGAAACATTAAAAACTGTTTCCTCATCTATTAAGTAAGATACAAATTTATAAAATTTAATTGCCTATATAAAATTGTTTTAATGTATTTTCAAAAAATAAATTTTCATGTAAATAGGGTCCATAGTTCGGAAAAAGAGTTAATATCGCTTGAAACAGATAGTTGTAAAGATCATAGTTTTGTAAAAAAAGACAATTCATACATCATTATTGGTTCTATGACAAATCTATGGGTTAAAACTGTAAAATGGCTTCTTCAACAAGACGCGAAAAAGTTGATATTTATTATTAGTGGCGGCAATTCGGGATTGCGGAAAAGCCAAACAGCAATATATTCGTTAATCCAAGAATATTGTGACGTATCGTTTATTATGACTTCGGCCGAAAGGTTTAATACTATTAATGAGGGCGAATCATTATTACGGGAATTCACATCTTTTTCAAAAATCGATGCAATATTTTGTGTGGAAATGGTAGGTTAAACGGATGTACGAGAGTTTATAAATACATTTTAATTTATCAATTAAAATTTATTAGAGTGACATGAAATTGAAAAACATCGATAACGCTAGTAGAAATGTTTTACCACACTTGAAACATTTCGTGTGTATACAAAGCGATGCGAATGGAATCTGCGAATCCAGGAGAAATACTAAAACTAATTGCGTTAACGTGCAATGTGACAAATCCATCCGAAAACCAGAAATCGTGTTTAAGTACATTAAAAACTTGATACAATCTGTAGAAGATTCGAAACCTATATCGGTAGTCGTTAGCAATCCATCGGTATCCGAATGTGGTTAGTTTATAAAACATTTTACGTTAAAAACATCGACAATATAATATTAAATTAAACATATTATTATGCCAACATAAAAAATAATTGCTTTCAGAAAAACTCAACTTTGAGTATTTACCTACAACCGCCGATGAATTACTCGATCTCTATACAAATTTACCAGAGTTCCCGCAGTTTGAAGAATGTGTATCCAAAGGTCTTCAGAACGTCGACAAGAATAGTTTACTACCGGTGTTCATTATTCCTGGATTGGGAGTTTCGAGAATTAATCCTCTAATTAATAAAATCATGCACCCGGTATTTTGTGCTAGATTTCCGTTCAAAGTTGATTCTGTTGAAAACGCAGCTCTCAGTTTACTATGGGTAAATAACTTTTATACTTCGCTATTATATAATATATGTCCTTATGACGGGTAGGTATAGTTAGGTATCTAAAATAATATGCACCTTTACAGCCTTTGAAAACAATCCAATCGGAAGGACCTTACACAATCGTTGGCGAAACGTGGGGCGGGACTACTGCAGTGGCACTAGCGAAAATAATTGAAGGATTCGGCGACACTGTAAATCTTTTGTTATTAGATGGCTGCCCCTCTGATAATGAAAAACGTCTAACACAGTTGGACAACATTGATTTCGAATTACTCAATGAAAATCCCGGAAAAAAGGTATACCATTTTTTAGTTAAATTGTGTGTCCTATAAAACTCATAACTAATATCTATTTAAATAAATTTAATATTTTTAGGAAGAAATAAATCGTTCGATAAATATGTTTATGGACAAATTAAACACATTAAAAGATTTCATTCCTAATAACACGCAATTAAAAGCCGACACCGTCATAGCTAGACCGTCAACTTCGGACATTTTGGATTCCTGTATAAATTTTGAAAAAGTATGTTTTTAGACAAATCGATGTAACCCATATAATTTACCTGTGTAAAATGTATTTTTAAAAACTATAATATTTAATTTTTTTTTCCTTATACAGAACCATTGTGGTAAATTAACAGTGCACATTTCTAACAAGACATCGTACATTGAATTTATTAATAGTCTAGAAGTCGCTACTATTATCAATGAAAATGCGTCGTTTAAGTGGTAGTACAATAAAATTATATATTATTTATTTTCGAAATAATTTGTACAATGTACTTGATAAATTATGTTTTTACAATTTACAAAAAACTTATAATTATATACAAATCCTAAAATATTTTAAAATAATATTAAATTTAATTACAATTTATAACTTAATGTTATGTATATAAAATAGCGAGAAATGTTGTATAATATTTATTATTTCATCCAACGAACGATGGTACATCTCTGAATTGGAACTCATGAGGAATCCACGGTTCTTGTAACGCTCTAGTAAGCCATCCATCTAAAGGTGTCAAATGTTTTTTTACCCAATCTACTTGAATTTTAGCTTTTTCCAGCCCGGTATTAATGATTTCGTCCACAGAAATAAAATGTCTTTTGTTCTTTTGATAAAACTCAATAGCCTATAAAGTGATTGCATAGTTACAGTCGTTAATTTAGAGTAATTTAGATATAAACAAAGAAATCTACTAACCATATTCAATCCATCTCCTGTTCTAAAATTACTAAATGAACTTTTAACGAAGTAATCCCATACTGTTTTCTCTAATCTAAAACAATGTCATAGTAATATAACAATATCGAATTTCTAATACTAAAAATATTTGTTTAAGCAAGTAATTAGTTTCAGTATATTATATATTTACTTAGTGCTCAGATATTCGAAGTTTTTCATCATGAATTTAAATATTGTATTGTGTCCTATGGGTACCGAATTCATGACTGTCAACATTGTTAACATATCTTCCTCCGAAAATTTGTGATCAGTACTCATTAATGTCAAATTCAACATTCTTTTACATATAAAAAAAAACCATATTTAATTAATGTAAAATTACTTGACTTTTAAATTCCACCCATCTTACCTGACAAATTTTGTTTCGTTTTTAGGACAACCAGCCAATGACCTAAATATAAACAACCTTTCTGTCTGAGACTTATTTTTTGGATAGTACATGATCCTGTGTAATCCGAATTCCCACTCATCTAGTGTTCCATATCCAAGAAGAGTGCATAAATAATTTTCCAAGAAACTGCAATGTTTGTCAATAAAAGTTTAAAAATGTATATTTTTAATTGAATTATGTGTAGGACTAATTAAAATAACGTACTATCTATCTTCGTCTAAATTCGAAGAATTAGTTCTCAATTGAACATCCCGAGCTTCGTTCAAACATGGTGGATGTCCAGTTTCGCATAACAATCGTTTAGCTTCCACTCGGAAATGTCCCTTCCAGCTAGATTCAGTGTGTTCTGGCTGTTCAAGTGCAGCGTTCACTGATTTTAACATCTTTTTTAAATATTTCTGTTGTGTATAAAAACAAAATGTCGATTTGAAATTGGTATTCAATTTATTGATAAATTTAAAACTAACGTCAAATTTGGGTGCCACCGGTGTTCCTTGCAACTTAACACGCAACCTTTTAGCCAGTCCAAAGTACACTTTCCAAACAGCTGGCTCTGGTTCTTGCTCGATAAATTTACTAGCATTGAAGGCGTACGCATAACACAATCTACCAGACAACGCTAATGTCAACGAATCATGCAATAACTGTTGACGAATGTTGACGGGAAACCGTTTATTATACTGAGCTATCATTTCCCAATTTTTTAAGTCGTAATTTACTATAAATGGCCCTGAAATATAATAATTTGATTAACTATTACTATTGTTCAATCAAATCAATTATTTAAACCAATATATATGTATGTGTGTGTGTATAATTTATATAAACTTATTGGTTTATCAAATTATTTTATTTGAAACTGTAAAAAAACTTACCTAAACTTCCTGGGTTCAAAAGTACAAATTGAGTTTTTGAAAAATTAAATGCCTTGAGTTCTATTTCCTGACTAGGTATCGGATCCAACCAACTTATATTTCGAACAGGTACGGTCAAATTACTTTGAGAAACTAGAATATTGGGAATCCACCATAAATAATTGGTAGTGTTTTTTGCCGGAATCGATACATCATCCTCGTCATCATTTAGTACAAATGGTTCCTATAGTTGACATCATAATATTAATTTCATTTCGTGATTTTGACATTAGTCAATACTGAATTAATTGTTATAAATACCTGCATAACTTGAGCTGTTGTATTCATATAATTTCTTCTAAATGTAACTACGGGTAGCCTATCAAATTGTATCCATGGTTTGACAATTTGTTCAATAGAATTAGGACCTTTTCCCTAAAATATTAATTTTTAGAATTTATTATCAAATTTTAAATGTATTTAATTTATCTATGAATACATAATATTTAGAGGATCTGAATCCTATTTAAAGAATGATTAAATAAAGGTACCTTTTCAAATATGTACTAAAAAAAAAAGCTCCAATTGTTTAAATTGGTCAGTTTATAAATATTATTAATATTAATTTTAACATACTTTGATTAATACATTTAAAAGATAGGCCCCATCAGTGAGTTTATTCCAAAAATCGTATTCAGTGTAAGCATGATATTCCCTTGAAGAAAAAAATAAATAATTAGCTTTGTTAATAAGTTTTAGAAGTTAAATCTAATTAAACCGATATAAATTAATCGTTTTCAAAAAAAAAAAAAAACATTTGTTTTTAACTAGAAAATGAATAATAAAATATATGATACTACAGAAATAAATTTAATTAATTTGACTCTATACACTCACTTGCTTGACATAAAATAACGGATTGTTTGTCGGAAAGAGTGAGGTCCGAATATATGTTCAAGCATGCCAAATACAAATCGAACTAAAAAATTATTTAATTTATTGTTTATACGATGTTTTAATTTGACTAATTTAATATTTACTCACGTTTGGTAGCGTTTAAATTTTCCATTTGTGACTTAATTTCTGCAAAACCCGGTTTGTCATAATCTAAATACATTCCATACATCTCACTTACATACGAATTGAACACCGGCTTCTCCAACTAAAATAAAAACCATTCGAATTCAATGTATTATTATCATTCCAATATATACCATTTATAGGTACGTTAAAATAGAATTTTACCTGCCACGCTATTTTATCGGCTAAAAATTTTGCTAACGCTTGAGTTATGATTGTCGGAAATATTGGTGTTGTAAGATGATTGGTCCACTGATTAGACAAGTGTTTAGCTAAATTATGAGCTACCCAAAATTCGTCGCGTTTTCTACAAAGGTCCATTTCTCTGAACATTTGCAAGCCCCAAGTATCGATAGGTTTATCGTTCGTGTAACCAGGGAGTGCCACTAAATTTATACTGGGTAATGGATACGGCCTCGCCATGTACTCTTCTATGCATTCCAAAACGACATGAATCATTCTTTGATTCGTAACCAAAGATCTTACAGCATCTTCTTTACCCCAAGCACTAATTTTAGTTCTTCTATTATCTATAAATAGATTTAAATAATCATAATTATTATTACGAATCCCATTCGTTTTTGTGCAGTGAAACTCACCGCCATTCGTCATCGGACGTCTTAAATCAGATTGAATCATTCCCAAAGAATTAACAGACATTGGTGGAGATTTAGAAAAATGATCTCGTACCCACACGCCTTCCGAAGTCCTGTAAATTGTTTACAAAAAAAAGTAAATTTATATTCAGATATTTTTTAATCTAATATTATGATTTAGGTAACAATAAACGTACACATTTGTCGTATCGACCAATGGCATAGTTGTCAGAACACGAAAATCTCCTTTATGTGCTACCGATAACTCAATCCACGCTTTTAAACTAGGTTGGTTAAAACAAGGAAATACATGGTGCGCTCCACCTCCTTTCAACAAATTCATAGCTACATACCACCTACAAAAAAAAATCATTTTAAAATAATATTCTTATTTGTTATTTCCACAACATAAGTAGTGCAAAGGGTATAAATGGGATACACATGGGTACACGTGTTCTTAAAAACTTACTTCTTTTGTTGGGAATGTCTCGATCCCAAGTAAGTAGATTGATAAAACGTACTAGACGAATCGCTTCCCAGAATTCCGTCGAATAATATATCAACTTGGTACGTGACATCTTTTTTAAACATTTCTTTGGTAGTTATTTGGAATTTGTGTATATCTTTTCGTCTTTCTAGATTAGTGATGGTTAGCGAGCTGAAAAATATTTTTAACAAAAATCATAGCTATGGTCATTTTTAAAACAAAACCAAAGTATAGTTTACTATAGTACTTACCGGTTTTCTGTGGACACCACTTCTGGCTCGTCCAGACTCGGTAAAGAAATGACTTTAACCTCACGTTCGACCAAGTTAAGTGAAGAATGCGCGTCCAGTGTAAAGGTATTGATCGGTCGACTATCATTATAAATGATGTCAATGCGAACTCTACCTTTAAAAACACCATCGCCGGGGTAAGGGTGCAAGTCCAATCGGTAACTTCGGGGTACAATAGCACTGTCCACAAAAATCGATAACAAAACGTAACCAGCAAATAACCAACGATCCATTGCTAAATAAAAGTCAGATACAAACGAACGACGAAAAATAAAATAAAATTCTATGTCCAAAAATACACGTGATTTTAAACTGTATCGGTGAGTGCCTGAAGTACAGATATGAAATTTGGTAAGCCTTACGGTCGGTATTTATATGGTTTTTAAAACGGCATCCCTACCGAGATTAATAGTTGTGTTTATTAACAAAGGTTAGAAAACCGGGAGAGGGAATACACAGCATTATTTTCTTATTAAACGCGTGAACACGAGCGTAATTTCCTACATCCTTATCAAGCCGTTCGCATATTTAAACAGGATGTTAATTTACTACCTAACTACATACGAGTAACATATAGCCGGTACATCAGGGGATATATTAAATAAAAATATACTTAATAAATGAAGCGCAAACCATTTCGAATAACGTGAAGGTAAAATATTAGCAACTAAAATAAAATACCCAACCGCCCTTGAAAAAAGAAAATAGTTCACTTCGCTCTCATAATATATTCATCAACTAAGAATTTTCTCAAAAATCATAAATGACAAATACTTACACTCATGTATGACGACGTTAACGACTTATATAATATCAATATAGGTAGATATGTAAAGTGGTACAAAACTACAAAATAATTACCACACTTTAGTATTCAGTAATTTTTAATAGTCCATATGTTAAAATACGACCAAAATGGGGGGCGCACCTACCGCTACTCTGGTTTCACGTCTGACCACGGTATCCCAGCAATCTAATCTTGTATTTATTTTTATAAATTGGTATCGACGTATCATATTATTATTAAAAAGCTGTCCTAGGATGATGAGGGCGGGTACAACTACTGTTGTAGACGGGAAGTTTAAATGTAGGATACAGAATGGAATTTAATGAACATTTGTAAGCAATGATAAACCATTGCTAACGAAAAACCGATTCTGAGCAGAGTTCAGATAATAGTAATGCTTTGTCAACAAAATATATTTGTCATATTATGGTAAAATAATTGAATAGGCATTATATGTTTTCTTTAATAATATTGTACTGATTTTCCCGTTTTTTCTACGTATTTCTAGGTTTTTCCGGGTTTTCACATTCTATGAGAAAATTCTTGAGAAAATCGAAAAATGGCCTTCTTAAAGTACCACCTCAAGAAAATTTCCTTTCAGAAAAAGGTCTACATCGTATACATCAGAGTAAGCTTTCTAGTAGAAAAAATGTTCACATAAAAAAAAATAAATAAAAATAAACATCTTTGTAAAACCAATACATTCTTCAATACACTAAGAATCTAAAATTTAAATAAACCCGTTAAGAAATTAGCACTGGTGTGGCGTATTGCGGTAGTTAATACCTTTATCTTTAATAATTATAACTACTGTAATATTATATTAATTGTTCTATTATTTGTATGCGGCAAAGAAATATAAAAGGTGAGGCTAGTAGTCTACTATTAATTAGGTTTAAGATAATAAAAGTAAACTACCTACATATTTATATTGATGTGTGGCGCTATATATTCTATGTAACGAAAGTGTTTTACCTCATTGTATCTACAAGAATATAATTTATTATTAAGTCTGAAAATGACCACTGGTCAAAATTACCTACCTACCCCATTACCGAATTAATAAATCTCCTTAGATTTGCACCTCTGGGTCTGAAACGTTCATATAAGAGATCAAGACTCAATTTTCAGAATACCATATAATTATACAACCAAATAATTTTCAAGTATATTTTTAAAAAAAATGTGTAACCATAATATAATTTAATTGTCAACAAAATATGAGGTAGGTACTCGTATATAAATAACACGTCTTGACTCTTACAATATTAAGGTCGTTAAGTAACGTGGCAATAACACATACGTACAAAGTTCCCGTACTATTTGTATTGTATCGAAACTTTTTTGGTGAGTTAAAAAAGATTTTCTTCTATTTTGATAATTACGTTTCAAAACGTTTTTATTGTCATTTACCATACCAAAAAGTTACCGACAAACCTGAACTTGGATTAGTTTTTTAATTAATTTATAACTACTTTTACATACCTATAATAAAATAAATTACAATTGTATGCAATTTTTCGTTTTAACCACATAAATTCCAAAAAGTGTTCAACGAAGAACTGGAGGATTGGTAGTTCCTTACTATAAGGCACAACCGGACGAAAATTTTGCGTCATCTGAGGTTTTGTGGATGAAAACCATTTTAACAGTTTTTTAAAAATAATAATAAAATGGTTTTATTTTTTGAAATTGGGAATTTTGAAAACAATTTCAAATATAAAGTTCTATCAGGTGAAACATTGTTATCTTTCAAGGTCCGTCATGAAAAAAAAAACGGAGTATTTTTATTTACCGAAAAGTGTTTTCTGAGAAAAAACCATCCCTTAGTAAAATATGTTGTTAGATGATACAGTTGACAGATACCTACTCTATTAATTAATTCGTTTATTCTTTAATTTCTTAATATTTCTGATCAAATTTGTACCCAATTTTATATTAATTTATATTATTTGAATACATTTTATCAATGGGAAAACAAATAATAACCTAACTAGAACTAACATTTTAATTCAACGAGCATGAAGATGTTATAGAAACTTTTTGAAAATGTTGAACTCTGTATTCGTTTCCCGCCTTCGGGTCCGATTATACAAATTATATATGCCCGTCTACCTACACGTTTTGGATATTTAACTGTGGTAGATTCAAAGGACAAATCACTTAAAAATATTACACTTGTTGTAATACAGTAGATGCCTTGGTGAATAATTCGATAGTATTAAAATATGAATACCGTTAATTGGACGTATAATAGATTATTCTGTTTACAAAGAACGAGTCCAATCTACATCATACTGTATATTAAATCGGTAGACACCAACTACATACCGCTGTTCAGACATTTTTCAAAATAAATAACTACATAAATTGAATAAACTTCTGTAAATGTATTACTCCAATAAAGAAGACTGTCGACGGGTCAATTAATTCAACTTAAAATGATTTAATTCTCAAGCCAATTATAGTATACAAATACAGCTCATACATATATATGTTAGACATTGAAAACGAGAATATAATAGACACGAATTCACTTCATCCGCCGGGAGAATTTTAATATTTTCGAGTACCACCGCCGAAAATCGTATGAAAACTAATAATATTTGTAGGTACGTTATTAAAGCGTTTAATAGTCTCGGTATGCACAACCATATGAGTCATGGTCTAATCATGGTGAATCATGATTGTTCATGTCTATACAACAATATGATGTGTAGAAATGTGAAATAGTTGTAGGCACATTTTATTCAAGTAAAACATACATATCTATTGGCTACCTAGGCGATATAGAAACACAATATAATACAGGGATTAGGTTGAAATTCTAGTTAAATTAGATAATTAGGACTTAAGTATGCACATGTACTCAGGGTTGGCTCGAAGGGGGTTTAAGCTGTGAACTCGCGCTTTTAGAGCCCCTGCGTCTAATCACAATCATAGCTAGCTAGCTAGATAACTAGGTAGTAATTAAAGATAATTCAATCTCTAATTGTAAAAAAGACGTCCTAGGATAATGGAGAAAGTTGTAGCCACTGTTATATGTAATTTAATGTACACCTGTAAGCAACGATAAACCATTACTAACGAAAAAAACGATTCTGAGCGCAGTTCAGTTGATAGTGATACTTCGTCAACAATAAATATGTCATATTATAGTAAAAAAATTAAATAAGCATTATATATTTGTTTAATATTTCATGAATTTTCCCCTTTTTCCTCCGTCCTTCACGATTTTTCCAATTCATTGAGAAAACTCCTGGAAAATTGAAAAATTACCTCCCTAAAGTACCTCCCCTGTCAAATTTCATTTCAAAAAAAGTACTACAATTTTAAATCCAAGCAAAATTTCTGGTAGAAAAAATTAAAAAAATAAAAAAAATTAAAAAAAAAGCCATAATATTGTTTTACTAATACTTAAATTTTGTACATATTCCGTTTTATCCCGATTTTTCCCAAAAATTATAAAAACATCAAAAAATTACCTCCCTAAATAACCATTGAAATAAAATTTCCTTTTAAAAAATAAGTTACACTTGATACATCAGAGCAAGATTTCTGGTAGAAAAGTTAGCACAATAAATCGATGGGTATTTTGCGATTAAAATAGTCCGAGCGAGCAAATGCTGAGTCTCTACTTCTCCTGGTTCATCCAAAATACATTTGTTTTTTTTTTTTTTTGTTAAAGTAAACAGAAAAAAATGTAAAAGATTTTGTTAAAAACGCGGGTTTGAACCCGAGGATGATAAAAGGTATGTATAATCATTTAATCACGACAAACATAGTTTGAAAAACACAATTTATATTATTTATTATCCCAATAATATCAGAACTTCAAAAAGATATAAATGATCTCCTAAAAATACCAACTGGACAACATTCCTTTTTAGACTTTGTGCCATGGTATATATCTGAGCTAGATTTATGGTAGAATTTGTGTACACAGTTTATACACAGTATAAAAAAAATAAACATCTTAGTAAAATCAATATATTCTTTGCTACACTCAGAATCTAAAATTAGGGTTAGGATAAGTACATTAAGTTAGTTAAGTTATTTTTTATTGTTTATTATTTTATTTTTAAGTAATATATATATATATAGCATAGTTAGGTACTTAAAATTACTGTCTGTGGCACCCACTCAGAATTTGAAATTCAAAACTACCACCCACCTAAAAAACTTTTGTAGCTAAATTTTACTACCTAAAAGCTAAAATGTAATTTGATAGTAAAAACTTTTATTATACTGACATACTCATAAACTACTTCAGCTATAAACCTAATAAATAATAAACCAAATGTTCACCATAAAAACAAAGAACGCTAGTTTTAGGTTTTTGATACCATAAATAAAAAGACGTCCTAGGATAAAGGAGAATGCAGCCACTGTTATAGGTAATGTAATGTATATATGTAAACAACAATAAACTATTGCTAACAAAAAAATGATTATTACCACAGTTCAGTTAGTGATGTTTTGTCAACAATTTATATGTCATATTATAGTAAAATAATCAAATAGACTTTATATATATATTTTTTAATATTTGTTTAATATTGTTACAAAAATATACAAGATTTAATATAAATAAAAGTACGCTAAAAGTTATAAAAAATCAGTTGAAGTACAGAATCCTTCCTCTTCAATTCGAGCACTGAGTATATTATTAGCAACTATACGATTAATACATTTACAACACATAATAAAATATACAATTGAAAAATAGAAATATTTAAGAATATATATAAAACATAATAATTCAACAATTATATAAATGTTTTACATGAAATATTATAACATAATATCATTTCATAATTGATATTTAAACATACATTAAAAATATCAAAATAATTATTTAGTCAGTATAATTAACATTGTAAACAACATAAATTTATAAAATTAGTAAGGCTCAGATTTCTATGAATTTGCATGTTTTCCTCCCTTCAGTCCAAATGTATTCCAGTGTATTCAAGTTGTATATAATTTTATTTTTAAAAAAAATGTACCTTTTATTATTCAAAAAGAAATAGAAACCTTAACCCTGCTAAAATGTATTAATTATAAACCTCAAAAATCAGTCTATTCGTTTAAATTGGCAATATATTGCAATAAGTAAAACCATTCCCTAGAATTCATCGTCGATAATGACATTTTCCTCAATTGTAATATGTGAACGTCTCGATGGTTTGGGCCATAATTTAATATCAGGCGTTACTTTGAAGTAGTCAGCTACATTAGGATATTTGCGGCCACCAAACGTGTCAATAAGTGTAATATGTTCAATAATAATTTTGGAAAATTGCCAATTATGTCCTAAAACAAAAATAAAAATTGTACAACAAAAAGTTTATTTTAACAATAACTATATAAAATATTATGTAAATTATAATATATCATAAATAACATTAATAATTTACCTGGAACAAGAATATGCCATTTACGCATAACAGGATGTCTTGTCCACAAAGCTACTTTGGCTGCTTCCCATTCAGGATCACCCTTTTCCAACTAGTGATAAACAAATATATATATATTAATGTTTAATTTAAGAGTATAGAGAATGTTCCAAATGTTTTTACCTTTATAAATTGTCCAGTTAAAGTTACTTGAGCACAACGTGGGTCTTCAGGATCATATGTTTTTTTCTGACAATAATCTGTCTCTGCAAGGGTCATCACAAGAGAGCAATGTTTTGTTTTCTGAAAGTATATAATATATAATATAATAAAAACCTTGTAAATAATTCAATATTTTACAAACTTTAATTGCCTAGACACTTCAAACACATCAACTATCTAAATCTTATTGTTTTATATATATATATATATATATATATGTATATAATAATTATGATTTGTTGTTTTTAAAAGTGTAAATAAATTAGATAAGTAATTTTAATATTTTTTAACATTTACCACGACATCTTGAAATGAAAGATCCATTGGTGAAGCCATAATATAGGGTATGCCAGTACTGTTACTGATTATTCCATCGCTAATCGAATACACTCTACCCATCGGAATACCATCCATAAACGATTGATTTCCAATATAAGACAACGTTGCCCAATCTATAAAAAAATAATACATAAATGAATATATTTTACGAAAAATATTAATATTATAAGTTATTCTATTTTAAAACTATTGACTTTAGTACATGTTGTGATTAATTATAGGAAGTACAAAACAAAAGGTCAAATAATAATTTATGCAAGTTCAAATTTGTTTAAAATAAATGTATGTAAATCTAAAGATATCCAAAAACTAAGTAACTACATAATGTTGAAATTCCATTGTTTTAATTATAATTTGAAGTAGAATACTAGTCTCAACTTTTATACTTTTTTGCTCAGTTTAATATTTTGTTTTGATTGGTGTTTTTTTATAGAAATATTTGACCTGATGATTGGTTTGATTAAATAACAATATTAATGGGATCTTGATATTAATTTAATCTATTTTCAAAATATAGATAAACTTATAAGAATAGTTTTTGCAAGTTTTTACATTTGGTTGATATTAAAAGAATGTATATATTTCTTGTTCCAATACCTATGCTATTTTTACAATAATCATATTTATTAATTTGACATTCCTTAAAATGTAACAACAATAAAACTGTTTAATAATACCTGCATGATGAACAATATATCTGGACATTAATGCAATATCTTTGACAGGCGGTGGATCCAATGAGAAGTGAAAGAACGAAACGCATTCAGCTCGATCATATAATTGATAAACAAACAAAACTAAACAAATAAATCTAAAGAAAATCATTTTCGAAATCTTCTGTATGGATATTGTTCGAAACCGATTTTATAATTATATTACACCAGTTGTAAAACAATTAGATTATCATTAAAAAGTGGTATATATAATTGTGTAGTGCTTTGTGACGTAGAAATTTAAGTGGCAAACCTTGAGAAATTAACACAAAAGAAGGGCATTCGAGTTCAAATAAATGCGCACTGTTAGTTGTTTTTTTAATGTTGTTTAATGCGAAGTCAGTAAATTGTTGACAACATTACAATTATGAAATCATTACATCGCAATTTAAATAACATTTCTAATAATTTGTTTTTTGTCTTTGTTATCATTTTGTCAATATTATTTTGATTGTAGTAAAATGATTAGATTGATCTAATCTGTAATTGTTACTCTTTGTTGTAACCTTGTTGTATGTTCCGTTTCTACAGATAATATTATCTATCGTGTTCCTTGAAATCATTTTTACCTTAGATAATATATTATCTATGATTATTACAAATTTAAAAATTTAAAACAGCTGATTTATTATCTGACACGGCTTGTTATCACTCCAAGAAAAACCATCCGGGATCCGGCATCTAAATCAAATTCCAAGTCTATTATATATTATTATCCCATATCTTCAGATCCAAAGATCGAATCCAATTCAAGTCTATTTTTCTGTTTTCAATATATTTTGATCATGTAGTTGTTCACCACATAAATTTTAATTTACGATCGTATCTATACCCTATTGTTATTTTTCTCCACTCCAGAAATAATTAAATCAATTTAATCATGTTTAGACGAGCCTTTGGATCGGTTATTTCAGGTTAGTTACTATATTTAAAATAAATTTATTTTTCCTGTAAAAAAATAAAACATATTTTGTAAAGATGATTTCTTACTATGTATTGTGTACCTATCAGTTTAATAAATTATGCTCTGCTACCTACCATATTGATTTTAACAATTTTAATCTTTGATAAACTGGTTGTAATTACATTATTTTGTATCATTATTTTTATCTATTTATTATATTATACTTAATTATAATATGTCTTGATATATTTCAATTTTTGTCAAAATTATTTTTTTATTTCAACATTTTATTTAATTTTAGTTATACAGGGTGATTTTTTTTATCATGAACCAACAATTATCTCAGAGGATTTAAAATGAATTTGATTTCTGTTTTTTCTAATCTTTGTGGAATCGTTTAAGCTTTATTTTAAAATCATTTTTAATTTTTTACCCCTAATCCATATACCTTAAATAAGTACATACTTTTTATTTTCAAATAAGAACCCCCCCCTCATTTTTGAACACAGACTATATAGATAATATTTTTCTAAAAATTTTGATATGCATAACACTAATATCAGATTTACCGTTTATGACTTATTATGACAGTTTAAAGTTATGACCTGAGGAGTAGAGAAGGGTCATAGATAGGCAATTTATTACCTTATTTGAAAATCACAAGTATGCACTTATCTAAGGTATATAGAGTATGGATAAAAAATTAAAAATCGTTTAAAATAAAGCTTAAACGATTCCGTAAAGATTAGAAAAAACAGAAGTCAAATTCACTTAAAATCCTCTGAGATAATTGTTGTTTCATGGTAAAAAAATCACTCTGTATAATAACTCATAAACATTGTTATAGATGCTATAACAATGCCAATGAATTCATTATTGGAATCCGTCTTTACACTCTACATTAATTTATCATGTGCTTATTTTGTAATTACATAATCATCAGTTGACTAATATTAATAATATTAATTAAAATATTGCCCTTCAAACTATTAATATTTTATATTTTCAGGGGGTGTTCGCCTTATTCGATCACAAACAGAAAATGCACCAATCAAAGCTTCTCAAGTACACTCGTTGAGTTTTTTATTAAATAACAACTTTAACCGATTTGAAACAAGTAGATTCTATTCGACAGTTTTGTCCTCCAACTGGAGATCAACCAAAAACATTTTTAATAAGAATACCTCTATTGCTCCTTCTAATATAATGTAAGTATTTATGTTATATTTATTTATCATAGTTAAAACTAAATTATTAAATTGATTTAGATACGAAAAAAATAAAACACTGAAAAATATTTATTTTTATATTTTTCATACTACATTGTTATTATGTTATTGCATTGATAACTGTTCTTTAAATATGTCAAAAGTGTCAATAATAATCTGTTTGTATATTATTGTATTTGAATTGTAACACAGAAGCTATGACATTATCAATAAGTATTTAAAATATTAATAATTTATGTACCTTATTACAGATGTAACGTTCAACCAAACAGGAACCTAACAAAATTTTCCTTAAAGAAGGGAAAAAGAAAAACTGTAAAAACAGTTGTTGATAGATTTTTCCGTTTGGGGTGGTAATTATTTTTATTGATCGACTTTATTTAATTTGAACTATTATAATTTTAGTGATTTTTAATCAATTGGATTTATTATTATCATATTTAATTAATAATAAAAACTTCACTAAAATAATACAAAATATTTCAGTTTTCTTTTTGTATAAGTCAAATAAATGGTTAAAAATAAATTTTGACTTATATAAATTATTTGGTCATAGCATTCATTGTTTATAATTTCTAGATTAAATTATGTTTCTATATTTTATTAGGGGTATTTGGATTCGTACAAAATGTGGACGTAACAAGAAAATGTGGAAAAAACCTGCTGCTAGAAAACGTAGACTGAGGCAACACGTGTTTTGTAATGCCAAACAATGTTCGCTCTTAGATAAAATGACTACTAAATATTGGAAGAAAAGGAGGTATTATCCAGATGACCCCTATGAACCCTATCACAGTCGTGAAGAATTTCCATACACCAGAAAAACACCATTACCTTAGAGTAAAAAGTATATATTATAATAAAAGTGTTTGTATAAATATAGAATAAAAAAATATAAAAATATAATATTGGATGTTTGACAACTATAATATTCTAAATCCTAAAAATAACAAAGGAACAACAATGTTTTGTGATATCAATAATAATTGACTTTTAAAAATCTACATGAGATGATAAATTATTTGACATCTTGATAAGTATATCTGGTATTGTCAAAAAAACCAATAAACCAATGAGTGCAAGTGATCCGCTGCTAAATGACAAAACGTCTCTGTAATAGTGTGAACACAGTTCTAAATTTGTGCATTTCCTATAAAAAAAAAAAAAACTTACATAAATAATATGATATGCATTTTCTGTTTCATTATGAAATACAATATTTTAAATAAATTACATGAATTCTATTCCTATGATTGCTAATCCATTGATTAATTTGTCAGAAAATGTTACTGAACTGTAAATAAAAGCTCCACAATCTGTATCGTTTCCAATTAGATTTGCAGTTACACTCAAACTCAACACTGAAGTTATCGCACTTCCTGAACCTAAAAAACATAAATAGTTTGATTTCTTTAGTCCATAAAAATATTATGGAATCTTTATTTTTTATTTCGAACTTTAAATAATTTGTAGCAACCATTTTAATTTAATTTCTTTTATTATGAAAACCACCAATGATTTGCTTACTTACAAATAAAAAATTTAGGATGGTAGGATACATAGAACTTTTTTTTTCTATACACAAGTAAAATAAATTATTAGTAAAATATAATTCTGAGCGAAATCAGGTTAAACATATTTTGAAATGTTGTAATAAATATAACTAATAATTAAAATTTGAACTTTAGACTTTTATAAGAAAAAAAACACTACATTATGCTCAATTTTTAGATTCTAAACAGCAAGGAATGTATTGGTTTTACTTTGTATGTACTTTTTCTCTGTGTGTAAATAACTTAAAAATCATAACAATGTTAGATTAGGTCAGTCACAAAAAAAAAAAATACAATATAATAAACTAATACATCCCTTGCTATGCTCAGAATCTAAAAAAAAAATTATAGATATTTTTATCTAAAATATTTAAAATATTTATTTCATTGTTGATCAATCAATTATTATATTTAATTTTTACAATAATTTCTTAACTTTATAATCTATTTCATCATCTATTTATTCCTATTATACCTAGTGCTGAATTCCTTTAAATTAAATTATCTATTTATTTATTACCAAAGCATACAGCGGCCAAATATAAATAGTGATATGTCAGTTCGTTGTCTGGGTTGAAAAATACAAGAAGCGATCCACTAATTGATACTATGCTACCCAATGCAAATAACATCTAAAAACAAACAAATAGTTTCCAACATCATTAGTTTTGTATTTTGTAGTACCTAAGCTGTTGTTCATTATTTAAGTATAGTGACATGGTCAAATTAAATTTAAATAATATTATTTTATCGTCAGTAAAAATAACACCTATAATAGATACTTCAGTAGCTTAATTTAGTTAAAATAATAGCAAACATCCAACCGCCTCTGGTTAATAATATCAATTACAATATTAACGTTTTGTCATTTTAAAGTGATTTCTAATTAGTTTTTAATGTTTTCATTACACAATATTTCAAACAATGTTATTATTGTTTTATTTGATAAATTTATCAAAAATGTACATAGGTAAGTGGTAACCTACCTATTTTTCGTATACTTAAGATTGCAGACCTTATAACAGGGCCTAAAATACTGTGTCCCCTAAATTACAAATGTGTGTCCGAAATTTTATTACGTGTTTCTAGTTTTAATTGTAAAAATAGCAAACATAATGGAATTTTAACACAAATGTATTGTAATATTTAATTCCAATTTATAACAATTTACACATTATTTATTTTATACAAATATCATAAACTTTAACCACGATCACATTTATATAGGTAGATATCATATATCCACGTACTTTTAGTTGTATTTATTTTGTGACATAAATGCAGTTTAGGTTCCAAGCAATTTTTTATAATTTTTTTTTTCAAAAATGTGTGTTTTTGTATGCTTAATTTAATGGTACTTTCAAAAAAAGTCGCTCAAACTTCATTTAAAAGTTATGGTCTAAAAACTTCAAAATGTTTGATTTTTTTGTTTAGAAATAGTAATAATTATATGTATAATATTTTTATGAAATCAGAATTCACTTATCGTACTTGCTTTTTATGTTATTGTTAATAAACCACGTACAACCTAATTATAATGTTATTTAAATCATTTGCATATTAAAGTAAATCAAAATTAATTTGTTGGACTTTTTTTCATTTGATGTGTAATAATGAAGTTTTTGGTGAAATCAGAATTAATTAATATTTTTTCGATATTTATGAGTAATATGTGCGAAAACGCCAAGGGGCTATTTCTTTGGCAATAATTAAAAAATCGAAGTCTAGGACGCTTATTGCCAAATGTAACATATTTAAAAAACGTTTATAGACATCCTCTCAAAGTCTTAAGTTATAATTTAAAGTTAATTGCATTGACGGATATGTATGGAGATGTCGGAACTATTCTAAGAATTCACATAGAAAAAAAAATTTTAAAACTTCCTATAATATTTGGTCATAAATAACAATTATTTGATGTTATAATCGTCGTATTAATTTCACCATGCCCTTCAGCTCTCTCTACCGGAGATTTTTTTTTAAAATTATTTTGACCTCAGTAAGTAATAAAAATAAAATAGTATTAAATTAATTATTTCCAAAGGTAAAATGTGATGTTTATGTATTCATAAAGATAAAGAAAAGATACATTATTCCACTATTTCTTCCAAACCAAAAAATATTAGTTAGTTCTGATTCAATTAAAAAACTATTTATGTTATTATACACTCTATTAAAAAAAATCCAAAAAATATTGATTTACTTTAATATGCAAATGATTGAAATAATATTATAATTAGATTTTACGTGGTTTACTAACAATAATATAAAAATTAAGTACAATAGGTGAATTCTGATTTCACCAAAATGTTGAGCCTATGATTACTATCATTTCTAAAAAAAATTCCAAAAAAATAAATTTTAGATTCTGAGTGGAGCTAAGAAGCTTATGGTTTTACAAAGATGTTTATTTTTTTTTTTTATCTGTTAACAACCTTCCTACTAGAAAACTTACTCGGATTTCTAAATGTAGCACCTTTTCTGAAAGAAAATTAGTGTGGGAGGGTACTTAAGGGAAGTCATTTTTCGATTTTCTCTGGAGTTTTCTCATCAAATTTGAAAAACCGGTATAAAACATGGGAAAACGTAGAAAAACTGAGAAAATTGGTAAAATATTAAACAAATATTATTAAAGAAAATATATAGAACCTATTTAATTATTTTATAATATGGCATAAATATTGTTGACAAAGCATCACTATTAATGAACACCACTCAGAATCGTTATTTTGTAATCAATGGTTTATCGTTGCTTACAGATATAAATTAAATATCCGTCTGTATCTTACCTTTCCAACTTCCAACCTACACCAGTTGCTGCACCCGTCCCCTTTACCATATCTTTCTCTTTTGATATTTAAACCTCAAAAACACGATTTTTAGAAAAATCAAGCATTTTGAAATTTGTTGACCAAAACTTCCAAATGAGGTCTGAACGACTTCTTTTGAAAGTACCATCAAATTCAGTATGTAAAAACACACATTTAAGATAAAAAATTCCGAAAAATCGCTTGGGAGTTGAACTGCAATCGTTCCAAAATTTTAGACGCTACAACTTTCACAGGGTTTTTTTGGTATGGAAATCTGTTAAAGATAACAATTAAATTAAAAAGTGTGTCCCCTGAAATTAGATGTATTTTAGGCCCTGCCTTATAGGTTAAAACTGCTACAGGCAAATTCAGCAAAAATCAGCATTTTTGGAAATAAATGAAGGTCGTCTCATCGACTCTGCTCATTATCGGACTTACTTTACCGGATTTAAAGTACGGTTTGATGTACTCGACGGTCACCGAAGTGACCAGAGATGACACGTACACCATCAACGGTACGCTGGCAATGGTGCCCGACTCGCCAATTGCCGATTCGTTAATAAACAGTGGTATGTAAACTAGGGCTATGTTTATGAGCAGTTTACAAGCCGTAAAAACAACGGCAACCTGATATAAATGGACGCTCTTGCAGAATTTGCGTATTTTATCGAAACTCGCAGCTTGATTCTGCAGGTACGTCAGTTTCCTGTTGCAAGTAGCAGTGACGGTGTTCCGCCGCGGACGTTTCAGTAGCGCGTGAAAAACCAAAGTGGAAAACATTCCCACCGCCGCGGATATCAACGCCAGTATCTGCAGCGATACATCACATAATGTTATAAAATTAAAGTGGAAGTAATTAGATACCAGCTATAGCAGCAATAAAAATGGTAGGCATAATTGGCATTAAAAGGCAGAGATAGAATGAATCGATCGCTCGAGCCGTTGATGGTTAAGGATGAAGTAGAGTGCCAATGGAAGAGATGGAGGTTGGGCAGAGGTAGGCCAACCTTCCAAGGAAAAAAAATTTATTCGTAAGATATAATATGACTATATCCCTATGTAGAAAATTTGAAGTAGGTGACGGATGTTGAATTGATACGAAATACTCAAGAGCGTTCAGGACAAAGAAGATAAAACACGAGTGTAGAATTTGGGAATATATTAAACGAAGAATATTACTATGGATCTTGCATCTAAGGATGTTTTTTTTTTTTTTTAATTAAACCAAAAACACTGACTTGAAATTTGCCTGCATCGTTGGGACCGATGAGACTACCGGCGCCGTTCTTCCGTACGCCCCTGAACACGAACCAAGCAATAATGAACATTAAAATATTCGTGGACACTGTGAACGCATATCTATAAAATATATATACGCATTCAAATTGCATGTACTTGTAAGTGTAATATTATTAGACGATAATTATTATGCGCACAGACGGAGATTTGATAAGTTTTGGAGGAGCTTTACACCAGGCACGTACGCAATGGAGGTTAGGTTAGGTTGTTTTGGGTGTTCTGCAAACGCTTCCAGGAATGTTTGGTTTTTGTATGGTTATTTCCTTATTCCATTATAATGTTATATTGTTGATCCGATTTTCAAAAACGCCCCAAAAACTTTTTTCTGCGTACGTCCCTGCTAAACCCCCATAATCCATAGCTCTCCCTCAATCGCCTCTGAATTTGTATACATGATAAAAATAACACACAACATTAACGAACTAACCTTATGGACGTTAGCTTTCCCCTCTCCCACGAAAGACCAGACAGTTCAGGTATCAACGACAGGTGGGAGATTTGAACAAGGGCCCACCCTAATTGGAATATCAATATGGATCCGATATAAATCATGGCCGTCACAGCCGCCGATTGGTTCCAGACGTTGTAAATTAACGGAAAACTCACGGCTTCCATAGCGGTACCTGTGTGGTAAAATGTCGCCAAACCGATTAGTTAACGATTTGATAATGAATTCCGCAAGACTTTGTTAGGATATTATTTTTATTGTGCACATACCTAATAGCATCCAGGTTTTCTTTTGTCCGAATTTGTCGACAAGAACTCCTACGAAAGGTGTCGATATCGCGTCTACGGTTTGTCCTGTATATTACAAAACACACAATATTAATCATTATTTGAGTTTCTAAAGCTAATACATAAGTAGTTAAATATGCTGCGTTTAGGTGAATACCTAGGCAATGGAATTTTTTCTCAATTTTAGTTGGTTTACCTACCTATGTAATAGGTATTATTATTCATTTCAGACCTCGGAAATCAGACAAATTAGTGCATTCGTTTTAAGTTCGAAATGTATAAACGAAAACAGATTGCATTGTTAAGTTCGTATTTTATTTGAACCAAGTTCATATTTTTAATGAACTTGAACTTGCTGTTTTGCAATTGTGTCGTTCATTTTAATTTAGATTTAGGAGAACAATATAAACAATTTTGTTAAAAATACAGAAATGGAAAATAATTTTACTGTGCCGTCCTCTTAAAATTATATACTTAACATTCAACTCTAACATGATATTTAATAAAATCGCTGAAACTTACGTTAATTTAGTAAAAATCAATATAATAAAACTAACTTTTAATGCAGGTGCCTGTATTTAAGTTTTGAATTAAAAATGAACTTAGGTAAACTAATCAAGTTCATTCCAAAAATATAATAAGCACTAGTTCAATTTTATGTTAATGAATTAGTTCATGAACAAGTTCAAATTTTAAATTAACGTTCCAAAATATTTGATTAAAAAGAAATATTAGAAACCGGTCAGCTATACAAAGAGACTAGCATATAGAAGCAATAATGCGATACAGAAATACCTATGTTATGACATGGTCAGTGGTCACGTATGGAGATCCAACAGTTTAATGAAAACGATCCTTAATTAAAACCTAATTGGAAAAGGCCAATCTGCAGAACCAAGTAAAGATCGATCGATAAAATCGTAAAACACTTAACGGAAATTGGAGTAAAGGACGGAGACATTAACTCAGAATAGGGATAGATTAAAGCAAATATGTGTTACGATATGGGTCTCAATGGCCTTTAATAAGTCGAAAAAGACGAAATAGATTTAGAAATAGTATTTTAAAGTACCTACCTATACAATATTTTTAAAGCTACCCTTATCCTTAGGATATTTTTTTAGTAAATATACATTTCTCCCTTCCTTAAAAAGAACTCCAAGAGCATATAGACCAAATCTAAACTTCCCTTTAAGAGGACGCCACACCGACATTTACCGTCTCCGTCTTATAAACGCGACACATATCAAATTTGAGTTTATTAGGACACATTTTGTGCTGTTAGTTTTAATATTAAAGCAAATTAACTTATTACCAAGTTTAAAAGTAAGAAGATTATATATGCCCCAGCGTTGATGATTTTTCGATATTTTTACTTTTAAATGAGATATGAGTATATCACAATTTAAAAATAATTATATCTCGCTTAAACATTATTATTATTTTATTCCAATAACAGTATCTGGAATTATTCGATAGTCGTAATTCGGCAGTACACAACACTAAAAATTGCATATCATATCAAAATATCCAGTCAAATAATGCGATAATAGTGTAACATAGAGTAGACTATAACAGCAGACTACATCTACAGGGCGGGTGATTCAAAATGTCTGTTACAGCCGTCTTATCATAAACATATTCAAAATAAACAAAAACGTTTAATACAAAAGTCAAATTCATTTTTTAAAATTTGTTTTTGGATATTTTTAAAACAATATAGTCAACTTACTCAAATCCTTTAACCCTCAATGGATTAAAGGACAGCTATAATTGATCTTATCACTTTAGATAATATTACCTATGTATGTTTTCTACCAGAAATATTGCTCGAATAAAAAAAAAAAGACAATAGATCATAATATTGTTGTACTTTTAGTATAGTTGGTAAGTCATTTTTTTTGATTTTCCGAAAAACCGAAAACAAAAAACGTAGAGAGAACCAGAAAATTTACAAAAATACGTAATGTTTTTATTATTTTAAATTTTGTTGTAATTCAATTAAAAATTCGTAGAAACGAGAAAATTTGATAGATAACTAATTGATGTAATAGTAATTTCGGACGTGGTAAAATGTTAAAATTATCGGTTTTTTTTCTTTTACTTTTTGAAAAAATATTAAGGTACCTCTGAATACCGGTATCGGAACCGAAACCAGTATCGGCATTTTTTTTTTTTTTTGAATAACCGCATTGGAACCGAAACCGAAAATATCATAAAGGTTCCAAGCCCCGAGTCCGTGTTACCTATTTGTTTTTGATTGTGCATTTGTCTTTGAGTTATATTTGCATCTTTTGATATTTTTGGTATTTCATCAACGCAATTGATTTTTACACGAATATCAGTTTGCACACGATTTCGCACAACATATAACCAACTTAATATTCGTCGTAAGCCGCACACTCGCTGAATAATGAATTGCATGTCCATAAACTCGGGAGTAAATGTACTATATTCAGAAATATAATTATTGATTAAACAATCCCAAAACTTAAGAATTCTACCGTCGGTTGGGCATTCCGGCATCAGATCTTCAACAAAACAATCCGACACTTCATGGCGTTCAAAATATAATAATCCAAAAAAAGGCGTATTTAATCCATTTACCAATGTCTGTTTTTTTTTTTTTTTTTTTTTTATATTCTGTAGCTAAACCATACTTCTGAACATTTCGAAACCCCGACTGTGTTAAGTGAAAACGACATCCACACTTGTTTGACGAAGGCCAAATTTCATTAACAGCCGTGTGCATGACCAAAGTTCAAAGTCAACATTTATAATATAATTATGTGAGAAATTCAAGTTGATTTCTTTAAATTTGTCTATAAATGCACTAAGCGTGTACAACACACGTATCCTGCATACTTTCTATCGGGTAGTAGTAGACTAAAAAATTAACGGTATGTAATGGGCATATCATTGTCTCTAGCACTTTTTAAAAACACATCCGTATTATTAATAAATATCATAATATACTATTTCGCGTCGTAAAATAGATATGCGATATAACCAGTGACCACGTTCAAACTTTCAAACATAACCTTTATAGTTACCGTTACTTAATCGAGTACTCAATCTATTTTTATACCGGATAAGATAACAGCTTTGGTTGACAGTAGTCATTAAGGTATCATTAATCTTGGCGTTCGCTAAATGACGTTGGAATATTACAGATAATGTACAATATTCGCCGACTTAATTTTGAACCGATCTGAACCAGTCTGGGCGAAACGAGAATTTTAATATAACAAAATTTGGGCGATGCGGCACCCGCTCGAAAGAAAATCCCGGCGCCGCTGTTCTCCGAAGACGAGAGTCGATGGGAACGGGTACAAAATATAGGTCCTTCCCGAAACGGACCATTCTTCCGCTGTTTCTCGCGTTTCCTGCGAACCGTGAACCTAACCGGCCTGACCTAATCCACAGTGACCTTTACTTTAATACTCTGTATAGAAAATACGATTTTATAGTACTAGCCGAAAAACAACAAGAATCCCGCGACGGTCGGCGCCACGCCGACCACGTCCTGCATAAAGACCATCGTGTACGAGAACCATATGGACGCGGTGAAGTCGTTGAACACGTGCCCGAGCCCGTAAACGACCGTCTGCCGGGTGCCGACCGGCCGCCGCGACCTCTTCTCGCGACACTCGACGTCGTCGTCACCGTCGGCGTCGTACCCGTCGATGGCCGACGATCGGCCGTCGTCTTCGTCGCTCGGCAACCGTTCGTATTCGCCTTCGACGTTTGCGGGACGCCAGCGGTGGTGGTCCGCCGTCGCCGGGATCATTTTTTATTTCCCCGGAATAAACGCAAACGTCCGTTTGTTTATCGGCCAAAGGTCATGTCGGCGTTACGCGCGCGGAGCGTTTTTCACTCGAAATTCACCGACCGAATTTCCGATATTTTCGTCCAAACACGGTGCGTGAACCGAACGGATTTCAAAACGAAAACAAAACCCACGCGTCGAGCAAAATTAACGCGTAATCGTTCGGAAAGCGCGCACCGCTCGACCGACACAGTATACACTGAGACATCGGCGCTCGGACGGGTTTCTTCTCGGACGGGAAGCCCGTACAATTCTGGGCGGCAGAAACGTTGTGTAATCGCGCGCCGTTCGCCAACGAGAGTTGGTAATAATATTATTGGAAACGTAACGTCGTCGTAGCGGTTCGAGCAGTTGTCGTGATGCCACAGCGATGGTGTTCCTAAAATTACGTTATTATATCGTGTTCCCGTATAGGTATACCCGCGGGTATAATAGGAGGTAGGTAGGTGCCTACATAGGTATACCCACTACACTGGTGGGGCGTACGTCACGACGCGTTTATTAAAATATAATAGCGGTCACCCGGCCGCGTGTGTATGTACGATAAAATAATTATCGTGAAAGATATACGTATGTATTATTATGTAGAATGTTATATTTATTTGTGCCTTACATACTTACGACTGCGCATTAAGCGCCCACATAATGAGTCCGGTAACGGCCACGTCCCGCACACATGTTAAGGGGCGCGGCGTCCGCCGTACCGATTTCACCCCGTTTTAAAGGAAACTCACGTTTTCCGGCGGTTTTTTGGCTCGTGGTCTTGGCCGTGAATACAATATATTCGCAACGTGGGCGGGCCGATTGTTGTGGATGGCCAGTTTGGAAGATAGGATGTTATGTAGGGCAATTTATTTTTTAGTGTGCAACGATAAATCATTGAAAACGAAAAACGCCCATGAGCATTGTAATATGTTGACAATTGACAATTTCATAATGTCGTTTCAAATAAAATACTTTCCAGTAGAAGCTCTATCGATAACATGGAAAACACGATGGAAAGACTCAGGTGTGCGAGGAGTTACCTTGATTGAAAATCCAGAAACAAGAACCCCGGGTTTTGATCTTCCACGGAAGCTATGGTAAACCTTAAATAGAATAATAACTGAGCAAGGAAGAAGCAAAAGTTTACTACATAAATGGGAAATGGAACAATCTCCTCTTTGCTCTTGTGGAACCGAAGAAACTATCAAGCATATTGTGGAAGAATGTCCAATTACTAAATTTGAAGAAGGAATAGCAAAATTACATGAAGCTAATTCAGAGGCAATTAATTGGCTAAACAATCTAGAAATACCACTCTAATAAGAAACAAAGTTCTTGGTCTAGTTACCTTTAAATTTAGGATAGTTTTGTCACATTTTAAGTTTAAATTTATCTAATACCTATTTACTGTTATAATTTCTTACTCATTTATCATGGTTTAACGTATCTCTGTCTAATCTATTGTATTTAACCAACATTTTATATCTTATAAATTAACTGATATGTCATATTCCAAAAAAATAAAAAATACAACTTGCTGGAAATTTTGAATTTCTTAAGGGTAGCATTGTGTGAAAAAATGGAGAATTTTTACTACCTTACAAAAGTTTCCAAAAAAAACATATCATTGTAAAACTAATATTTTCTTCGTTATACCTCAGAATCTAAAAAATAATTATCCGTAAATTTAAACATAAACTATACACTAATAAAAAATATTACACAATTAGTTCTAACTCATTGACTGAAGTTTTATTACCACCTATGAGTATTCAATAAATTGGTATTCCATTGTCTATAATATTAATGATTATGTTATAATTGTCAATAATAATAATAATATTATTATTAATTAAGTTTAAATTGTATACACCTAAAATATTTTATTCCTCTCAGGTATCATGTATAAAACATGGTTGAAAGACACTTATTATTCCAGAAAATATAAACTTTTTCAGAATTTTTTTTATACAATTATGAAATAAGCAGCTCTAAAATTTCACATTAACAATATTTTTTGTCATGCTTATTTTTGAAGGTGTACCACTACCCACTTAGGGTTTTCAAACAGCAATTTATAGTAAAAATTCCATATATAGGTAAACTTTTAGTTTAAATAAATTTTGATGTTAAAAAGTTTAATTTCCGTTAGCCCATTAATGAGATATTACACTTTTAAATTTGGGTAGAAGGAAAATAGTGTTGGTAAGCCTTGCTTGGGTACCTAGTGCTCCACTACTCTCTCCTATCCACAAAACAACAAACTTTAAAGCTCTATAGAAATCTATTATTATTATTATTTATAATTATATATTTTAAAACCTGCTTTATATCAGCACCTTTTATCTATTCATAGTACAAACAAATTAATCAAAATACATAAATTTCATAATTTTGTTATTTCTATATCTAGTAAATAAAAATGCAATGTATGAAGTTTAAATTGTCTTGTCCAATGTGGAAATAAATTATTTTCAATAAACGTGACTATAGCGTAAGAAATTAAACTTGTCCACGAATGACCTAAAAACATTTTTTCATGTTTATAAAAATTTGTATTAAGTTCACATTCAAGTGCATTGTTTTAAAATTTAATATGTTTATGTCTAATTCATATAAAATGAATATGTTTTTGCCCATTACTGATAATTATCATACTATTGAACAAAACAATAAGTTTCTTTTAAATTTAAAATTAAAAAAAAAAAACAAGCTCACTAATAAACACAGAAGAATATATTTATAAACTCTTATTAGTTTTATCAACCTTTAAAACATGAAAAATAATATAAATTTTAGTAACACAAAAATCTATTGAACAAAAAAAATTGGTTTTCAAATTATAGAGGTGTTACTTTGTGAAAAAATGTAATTTATATTATGATGAGTAACAGAATATACGTTTTGCATTAAAAATAATATGTGGCAACCCCATACCAGTAGATAACATTTGGATGCATGGTCTTTCCCATACTCATGTAAAATTGTTTAAAATACTTTTTATCATATTAAGATAATATTTTCCCTCAAGAATTCAACTATAATTTTGATTAGTTGAATTTTCCATAATAATAGATAAATATAAATTTGAAATACCAAAAATTATAATTAAAAATTCAAATTGATGCTTAAATTTAATTATTGTTTAATATTTACATTATTTTTGTAAAGTTTAATCAATATACATGTTTATAGTATGTCTATAATTTGTAAATGATATAACAATTAAACTCAAGTTCTATTTTTAACTGTCTTCATTCAAACCATATTTCATTTTAACTTTTTCCAATTCCGATTTCTTCTTGTCAGTATCCAATTTTTTAAATGCTTTTGTTGACTAAACAATAAATGTAAAATATTGTATTAAAAAAATGAGTTTGATAATTTTAATAAGTAGGTAATAAAAATAAGTGTAATTGATACCTGATAGTATAAAACAACTAAGTATCGATTGCACACATTGAATCCAGACAAGTGATCGCAAGCATTCTTTGCATCGAAAATATCTTCATAAATAACAAATGCTGTTCCTCTTGTATCAGGTGTGTTTCCTCTATAAAAATAAAATGATATTCAATATTATGTTGTTTTAAATAAAATGACAGCATTATTCAATACAAAAACATTAAAACAAAGAATTCTACTTTTAAATTCTATAGACTATAAATCATTAATTTTATTAAATACACTTCTTAAGAAAAGAAGTTTTAAAGAATAAATTGTTTGATAACACAAACTACTACCATATCTTGTTTTGAACAAAATTGAAGATAGTGATTTTCTAAAATATTATAACACAATATACAAAATAAACAGTTAGGTTAATAAAAATAAATAAGTACATACTTACACTCTAATTTGACGAATGGCACCGTATTTTCCAAAAATATCATACATTTCCTCCGCTGTTATTTTATATGGTAGGTTTCTAATATAAAGAACTCTATTTATTTCTGGAGGCAATCGTACCTGATAAAAAATTAATAAAATCAAAATTTTCTTACAGAAAATTAAAAACTAAGATTAACAGAACATTTTTACTCACGTTGGTTTTCCTTTGCATACTAGCAAGAGCCATATTGTATATTTGTTTTTTATAATAGTTAACAAAAAAAATTACCTTTCAAAATGTAAAAACAGAAATCAAAATAATATATCGTTATGCGATAAACTTACAAAAGTTAAAACTTACCGTGTTTCTATAAACACATTAGTTTACAGTTTTAAAGTAAACAAAAATAAATACAGAATGTTGAAAAATGATAATGTACATCTTGATATCATCTGCAGTGCAGCCAATAAAATAAAAACAAAGTGTACATTTAGCCAACGGTAATTGATTATTTAAAAATGACCGCCAACGACGTTGACGTTACTTCCTTAGCACGGCCTACCTAAACTAATTAAACATTTGAGTAATATATTTTTTTTCCATAATCAACTTGATAAATTGATAATTGTTTGTAATTAAGCTTTTTTTTTTTTCTAAATCCTTGGTAAGAATGCAAGTAATCACAATTTTTTCGATACCTATATAAATACAAATATATTATAATTATTGTTTTATATAATGTAATAATACATTAATTAATTAGTATAAAATGTTTTGAAGATATAGTACACGCATGTGCTACCTCTGTCTTATAAAACATACAATAATTTAAGTTCAGCAAGAACTTCCTTACCCTGTTAGTTTTAATCACGGACTATATGTATTCTACATTTACTTATAAAATGTTTTTGTTATTATTTACAACTACACGAATAATATTTTTACACTACATTATAATGTATCTTTTTTACATCTTTTATTTTGATATGTATCATTAACTATAAAAATATAGTTATTGAGAGTACTAATAAAATTAACATACATACTTAGAACTATAATTAAAGTACCCTTATAAATTATAATAATTTAAAGTTTAAACATTAAAATTAAAGAGTCAGTGAGACCATCAATAAGGGACTAGATTCTTTAAATTTATCGATTACAAAATTATATTTAATATTATTAATATCTATGTCATTTTCGCACGATATAATCATTAACGGTTCTAATCTTTTATTAATTATATTGGTTTTAAAAAACTCATCATCTTCGACTTTAAAAATAACATTTTAGTTTGAACACTTTCTACTGGCAATATGTGTGAACTTTTTAAAACCATAAATAAATTTGGAAACATTTTTTTTTCTATCATTGGACCTAAATATTCTAAAAAATCTAAAACTAGTCATTAAATTATGTACCTATGATTTAAAAAAATTAATTTAACGTAATTTCCCTGAAAATTGGATGTAATAATACATAATTTTAGATTCTGTGAAGAGAAGAATGTACCTATCAGTTTTACAATGATGTTTATTTGTTTAATTTTTTTTTTCTACTGTAAATAATTTTTACCAGAAATTTTGCTCCGATTTTCAAGAAATTTCCCAAAAGAGGTTGCGATTGCGACCTCGTATTACATGGGATATGCGCCACTGGAAATGCTGTCAGAGAAGAACAAACGCCGAAATCCGAGAAATTACGCAAAGCCTTAATTTAACTAGTTGCATGAAAGCACAACAATATAATTTGGACATCTGTTGAACCCGAATTTACTATGTCGTTCGTTTGTAAGACGGAGACAACATAATATGTGGATAGGTATCACGCAATCACGGAAAATGCACCAATGCAGATTAAATATTTATTTTTTCATTTATTAATATTATTTAATTGTTTGAATGCACTAGGTATTTTTACAATATTAAGTTTAAATTTACAAATATTTTTGCTGATAAGTTTAAAAATAATTTTAGTTGGGTTAAGGAGTCCAAGTGGTCTTCTTCCAATTCCTGAGGTTACTATTTGTGGTTTTAGTCTTTGATTGGCAAATCTTTTACCAATTTTATAACGGAATGCTCTTTCGGTTTTGTTTTCGTTGAAAGTTTTGAACTATTTTATTATCCATGTTGATAAGTACAGGAGGCCCGTATCATTAAGTAGACGTTTATTTCTCATGAACCACGGGGCTTTTAAGATTATTCTTAAAAATGTATTTAAAAGAGTAGTTTGCAGTTTTTGATTTTTGTCAGGCAGCTACCCAGACTGGGCATGTGTAGGAAATTAACGGTCTAATTAATGCCGTGTAAAGAAGCAGAGAGCATTTCATCTGTAGAGTTGAATAGATTAAATATAGATAGTATTGTTGAGGCTTTAGTTGATTATTATTATTTATTACAGTAAAATAATAAAACATTATAACTAATCATTACCTATTGTGTGAATAGTTACATTTATACTATTCCATTTACTGAAAACTAAAATGTCGCTGAAAAGCACTGTTGTAAATATCTATATACCTATATAAAAGCAAATATTGAAATCTTTGTCACGGGTTATGGTTCCAAAACTACTTGACCAATTTGTAAGCGGTTTTTCGCACATTTACTGGAAAAGGTTTTAAACAATTAAACTATTGAAATCTTCGATCTGACCAGTAGTAGATCTAACTTGCAGTAGTTTGGGCTGGATCCTGGATACAAAATAATAAAATGAAAATTAAAGAAAAGGTATTTTTAAAAATTTAAGGGCAATAACGATTAACTGATAACATTGAGTACCTACTCTATGAGTGATAATGATGGGGATTGAAACTAATGAGTCATTCCTCAATGATTGAAACAGGGAATCCAAGGAGAAAACGTTTTTATTACATAGATATTGAATAAGTAGGTACATAAATAGATACGTATCCATGAAATCTATTGTTATTTTTTAGAAATATTATCGACCAATAAAATCGACTTTCTATTCAACATTGTATTGATTTTCATAGCCTAATTATAGATCCATTAAAAAATAATTATTCTGGGCTACTTTAGTGTGCCAGCCCAACACTGGATGTATATATGAAATATGAAGATGTTGTGTAATAAGAAGTAATAAGCATTTTAGAAATAATATTAAAAATATGAATAAAATGATTTAATAGAATTGGAATCATTTCAGTAATTCATCTATCCGGTATGGTCTAGTGGCTAGGATACCTGGCTCTCACCCAGGAGGCTCGGGTTCGATTCCCGGTACCGGAAAAAATTTTTTGTACGAATTGACGTACAAAATTTTTTTTTATCATTATTCAATTTTAAAGAAAAACGTATGTCTTAAATTTATTTTGCAACTGTTATGGTGGTTCGATGAGTACGTAGGTACCTTATTCATGCTATTATTATTACCTTACATAAATAGTGATCAATGTAATTTCTTACAGATATTAGGGCAATGTTTTTTTATCGCTAATCTACTTTTTGTCGGTGTGTATAGTGCGACGAAAAATCACTTGAGCCAACTCGCGTTAGCTACTTTTACATTTTGTTTACAAAAGAAAAAACTATAAAGCTATTAATTTAAACTTTATAAGTAAATAGGTACCTAAATTTAGATGCCTTAGAGTAAAATATCACAGTTCACAAGGTACAGAGGACCAAGAAGTTACTTATGCTTTTTCTCATATGTATTGATTATAACAAATAAGCTAATACCAAAAGTAACATAATTTTTTTTTTTCCAAAGATGTGTAATAATTGTGTACTTGTTATCATCATCGTCCGGTTACTCGTATAGATAATATATAATCTATGGTTACTTTTCGGTCGTCACTCGTCTCTAACTTCAACCAATGAGTTTTATTCAACAAAATAATTACGATTTTGTGTACTTACTATATAGTTACTACAATAACATCAGTTATTACTACTGAATGATTATCCATTTATTGTTATGATTCTGCCGGGTTTCGACAGTCATTTAATCGTATAAAATTATTTAAAATTTAGTTTAAGTAGGTTTATGTAATCGATTAAAATTGCTTACAATCATTACAACTTCGTTCATTCGTACCTCGTGCCGCCGTTTCCTTTTTGGCGTTCTCAATTAAATTATTAACCGTTGCAATGTCGGATAACGCAGGATGGTGTTTAATTGAAAGCGATCCCGGTGTTTTCACCGGACTGATTCGAGAACTTGGTAAATATAATTATGTTTTTCACTTATTGTAAGCCGTTGAACGCGTTATTGGTTCTCATCCCCTGTACGGTTGGATATTTTTGTCTGTTTCAGGCGTGTCAGGGGCTCAAGTTGAAGAACTTTGGTCATTGGATACCACTATGTTCAACTCGATCAAGTAAGTTTACGCTTCACTAGTAATATGTTTTTTGTTTGATTTACCCAGTGGCGTATATTCAGTTTTTTTCATGAAAGAAGGGGATTTAAATCAATAACAAAGTCCAAAAGCCAGTTGATAGGTCAAAATTGTAAATTTCTTAATGTTCACTATAAAACGACAATTTTGTGGTTATGTGTAAAATAATTTATTGTATTATTTAATATTAAATTGTACACTAAAATCAGTTATAGCCCCATAAGTAATGTTATAAAATACCTATGTACAATATATACATGTATTGACTGTATTTTATTCCACCCAATACTGAAAATATCTGTTATTTAGAGCTAACAGTGTAACCTACCTACTATGTATTTTAAAATGTGCTTAAGCACCGCTTTTATAATAGAAGTAGGTGGGTTGTAGTTGTTGGATCCCAGACCACCACATCAACTCGCAAGACTTGATTTTTTAACAAACTAGAATTTAAAGTTAAGTTTTTACAATGCCATGTTTACTACATAATATAATTTATAATTGGTACTAATCTAGTTGACAGCCGTTAATAAAGTATTCTTCCATCACTTATATCTTGTATTTTTGATGTTTTAATCATTTGTTAAAACATTTATACTATATTTATTTATAAAATAAAAATAATAAATACAAAATGTTGGTAGCCAAAATAAAAATAGACATGAATGATGAAGATAAACAGGTATCCCATAATATTATATACTGCACCCGCTGTTATACCTATCATAAATCATTAATTTTACTATACAGATTTTATCAATCATTAGTCTTAAAATATCCAATAAGTGAATTTTACACGTCCCTATGCTTTTTTTATTTGCAGTCTATTATTTTAATTTTATAATCTATAATCTATAAATACGGTTTATAACAAATGATTAAAACATTTAAAAACCCAATATTATAGTTACTCATTGCTGTATTGATAGGTTAGGTTATAGGATATAGTGGATCAGCTCACATAAAGCTTTATTTTAATAATTCAGCATTGATGCAATGGTTCTAGGAATGGATTTATTCCTAAAATACCCCTCATATGTACGCCACTAAATTTCTTTTATTTACCAAATATTATTCAAATATAATTATTCATAGGCCTGTACACGGTTTAATATTTCTCTTCCGATGGATGGGACAAGAGCAAGTAGAAGAACCAATTGTCAATGATTCAAGAATTGAAAAAATATTTTTCGCTCAACAAGTTAGTTGTATTTTTACTTCAGAATTTTATTTATTTATTTTAATAATTTACATACTGAGCTCTTTGAATACAATTAATACATGTAAGTTAGATTTAATAGTAATAAATAATATTACTGTAACAAATACTACTGCAAGCAGAAAAAAACTGCTATATTCGTTTATTTTAATAGTACTTAAACTACATATTTTTTTTTTAGTGACTTGTACATTGTTATTATAACCTAACTTTATCTTGTTAGTGCTAAATATCCCTTATTAAGGTTATTTATTTTTTTTATTAAAATATAGGGTAAAACACCAGATAATATCACAAGTATACATATATAAGTGTGAACCACAAATAAGTTTTGTAGCTAATAACTTTGTCAATATTGATTTCCTCTTGATCAATTATATAACCTTATTTGTTCAGTGATGATTTAGACTATAAAAAAAAAAAAAAAACTAATTGCATTATACACCTGAAAACGGTGTTTATGAAATTTTTTTTTTCTACTCAAAATAAAATTTGGTGATATTTTTACACCTATACAAATAAAATATAGATAAGCCCAGAAAAAAAATTCCCTTTTAGTCCACCCTAATGAATTTAAATAATAGTTTAAAGAAATCTAACATTATAAGACTTGTCATTACTAGACCTAACTATTTAAGAAACAGTGACATGATTCAAACATCAAATTTCTGACAATTTGTTTGTATTATGTACATAAACATATTTGTGACATACAATAGTAGATTTTTTTCTATCAGCTATAATATAATGTCATTATGAAAAATTAAAAATGTTTTAATTTAATAATCATTAGGTACAGAAGAAAATAATCTTTTATTTAAGACGGATATAAGACTGCAGTTGTATTTTTAATATTAAGAGTATTTTTTTATATTGTTTAAACTGGCATACACTGGTATCTTTATCCTTTGTATTTAAAAATTAAAATAAATATAAAGTAATGTATTCTTTGTTTTTTATATTTAGGTAATTAATAATGCTTGTGCAACACAGGCTATTTTAAGTGTATTATTCAACACTTGTCATCCAGATATTGATCTTGGTAGTACATTAACTGAATTTAAAGAGTTTTCTCAAAAGTTTGATGCTAATATGAAAGGTTTGGCTTTAAGTAATTCACAGAAGATACGCGCTGTGCACAATTCATTTGGAAGGTAATTGTTGTTAGTATTATTTTTTTTAAATATATTTTAATCAGCCCTTTAATCAGAAGTAATTCGATCTTTGAATTTGATGACGGAGGTAAATCAAAATCGAGATCAGATGAAGCTTTTCATTTTGTCGCAATTGTGCCTATTGATGGACACCTTTACGAATTAGATGGTTTGAAAGAAGGTCCTATTGATTTAGGTGTAATATCACCTAATACTGATTGGGTTGATTCAGCAAAACCATTTATTGAAAAAAGAATACTCCAGTAAGCCAACAATTAAGAAGTTAATTAATACTTTCTATTAATTAATTTTATTATTATATGCAGGTATAAAGAAGGAGAAGTTCATTTTAATTTAATGGCTGTAGTTTCAGACAGAAAACAAATCTTACAAAAACAACTATTAGATTTATTGGCAAATGAAAATTTAGTACGGTTATTAATGAATTAATATAATTGATTTTTACAATTTTATTATTTTTCTTTTTTTAGAGTGAAGAAATTAAATCGTCTGAAGAAGAAAAACTCCGTGCAAAAATTGTTAATGAAGAAGACAAAATGAGAAGATATAGAATTGAGAATGCTCGACGTAAGCATAACTATTTGCCTCTGATTGTGGAAATATTGAAGTTATTGGCCAAAGATGGCAAGTTGGTACCATTGTACGAAAGAGCCAAAGCAAAATCTTTAGAAAAGGAAAAACAAAAACTTATGAATTAATTACTTTCCCAAATTATTCTTAATAGAATAAAAAGTTTTAATTTGTTTCTTTATAATAATTAAGACCAATTTTTAAAATTAAATGGTGACACATGTAATTTGTTTTTTTTTATATTTATTTAATACCCGTTTGTTTAAATGTAAATGTCAATTTTAACATAAAAAAATTACATAAAACCAATAGTTGTTAAAAGAAATAAAACTTATTAAACATCTTTATCATTTGGTTCTCAAATTTAATTCATTTTTCGTACAAATCTTATGATTAATAAAAACTATAATATGTAGACCATTTAAATTAAATTGTTTAATTACAAAAATTTTGTTTATTTTTTAAATTTTTTATTATTTCTACCATTCTGTTTCATATTTCTTTTGTATCCTTCCTTTTCATGTTTTGCTTGATCCTGTAGTCTGTTAAAGAAATCTTTAGATGTTTTCATACTTTTGTCATCCACAGACTTTAACTGAAACCATGCACATAATATAAGTAGAATAAAATTATTATTTTTAACTGGCAATTAATTATACCTCTTTAATTTGATGACCACTACTTGTTAATCTTTTTAGTTCAATAAGAGCATTTTCTTTATTATGCTTAGGTTTTATTCCTTGTTTTTCCATTTTCTTGATGTTAGATTCTTTTGCTACACGTTTTTTATGTTGCAAATGTTTCTTCTTACGACGTTCACGTCTTTTGTCTGTGCTAGTACGTTCTTCTTTGCCCAGAATTGGTGCTTTGAATTTCCCTAAATATTTAAGTATAATATTACAACAACAAATAACATTTTAGTTAATTTGATAACAATAAGATACAAACTTTGTATTTCTTCAGGTGCTAATAATGATGCATCAGTAGTAGCAGTTGGGGCTACTTCTTCCATTGATATAGCCGGTAAATTGTTAATAATTTTTAAATCAGGAATTGCCTTAAAAAAAATAATTCCTTAATTAAGCCATTAAAAAAATATCAAATATATATATATATATATATTCATATATATATAAAGGCTATCCTAGGATAATGGGGACAGGAGCAACCATTGTTATAGTTAATTTAATATATATCTGTAAACAATAAACCATTACTAACAAAAAAAATTGATTCTGAGCAGAATTCAGTTGATAATATTACTTTGTTAACAATAAGTTATATTATGGTAAAATAATTACATATGCATCATATATTTTTTTTATTAATAATTGTTTATTATACTCATCTGATTTTAAAGATTTGGAATCTTTTAAATTACTTTAAGAAATGTTAATTAGATTATTCCAAGAATATGACTCAACTATTTGGTGTCCTTACACTAAATTTGACATTAATTGTATCGAAAGAGTTCAAAATCGTTTTTTAAAGTTTATAGCTTTCAAATTCATTATATCTATCAACTAACATGACCTTACATCAGTAAGATCTCTTCTTAACCTCCCTACTCTAGCTACTAGACGTGAACTAGCAGAAATTTCCTTTATTTATAAATTAATCAATAACAAAATTGATACTCCTTATCTATTACAATGTGTCCCTTTCAAAATTCCAGCTTACAATACCCGTTCCACTTCTATATTCTAATTACTATCACATAACACAAAATATTTTAATATGCAATATTTGTTATATTAAATTTTATTTTTGTTTATATTCTTATTTATGTTTATTAAGATATATTCTTTAACATTTAACATTAAAGAATCTAATTACCTGTACTATTAGGCAATTGCCCGTTTCATTCGTTTTGAATATATTATTATTATTATTATACCTATTTTTCCCATTTATTGGAAAAATCAAAAATTGAACTCCCCAAAGTATTTTCCTAGTCAGATTTCTTTTTAGAAAAAATGCTATCAATGAAAATCTGAGCAAAGAAGAATCTAAAAAAAATGATTTTTATTGCCTCACAAAAATTATCTAATGTAATGGAATTAACATAATCATATATTTAATAAAATCACACTAATAAATACCTGTTTTGGAGTATAATGGTAGTTGGTGAGTGCATCTAATTTTCTAAATAAATCTTTCATCATGAAATCAATTTCTTTATGCTCTTTTGGTATTTCTTCAGGTTTATTCGTGTTTTCCGGATTAGCTGCTTCTCTTTGCTTGACAAATTCCTATATACAGTTTATAATTTATTTAGTAAACAGGTATTGAACAATTTTATTTTATAATATACTTTTTCATAAATTTGAGATAAGCTTTCTTTGCTCTTTTCTTGGTTTAACACTAACTGTTTTTTAAACTCTTGAGGTGTATTAGATAACTTAATTTTTCGCTCTACGTCATCCCATGCTTTATCCTTAATCCTTTGTAGAATAATGTCTTCTAATTTGACTGTTGTTTCTTCAGTTATTATTGGCGCTAAATAATAAATTAATAAGTTAAAAATATATTTACAGTCAATCAATTCTAACAACATTCCAAAAATGAACTGGAAAAAATATCATTAAATATAAAAAATTGGAAACGTATTTATTGGACGATTTTAAGGCTCATAAACATAAAAGAAGAAGATTTATATTTCAACTATCGTTCTTGGATAAATATAGTTTACCTGGACGAGTACAAACATCAAATTCTACGGCTTCCTCTAATAAAGAATTTTGAGGCCGTTCTTTAGCCGTAACTTCACCCTTTAAAGGCCAAGGTTTATTCTCAGACACTGCTTCTCCTTCTAACTTTGCAATACGTTGACTAAGTCTTTCTGATCTTTTTTCTAGAGTTGACATACAATCATTTTTCTTTTCATTAGGTTCATTTGTATTATCTTCATCTTCTTCCATTTCAAATCTCACACTTTTCTTTAAATTTTTGGGTTTTTTTCCAGTTACTTGTGTGTTATTCTCAAAGAATTCTTGATACATAGGACCAAAATTATCTCCTTCCTATTAATTCAGGAAATGAGTTTATATTAATCACTACTAATATATTTGACTATATTACACAAGAAATATTATTTATAGTTGCAAATACAATTTTTTTTTTTAAAAAAAATGTTTTTATGCATAGGTTTTAAAAATATCCATAATTTTTTACTTTACTTCATTATCAGATTGTTGATTTTGAAACATATCAATGTCATCCTCTGGAAGTATTGGTTTATCTTTGGTATATTCTTGTTTTTCTTCTGATAAAAGGAAATTTTCCATTTCAGATAATTTGAAAAATTCATCATCAACTATGGACTTTTTAAATGCTAAACAAAATAAAACAAAATAAGAATTGTTGGCTAGTAAAGTTGAAAACAATATTATTAGTAGGCAAGAGATTTCATTATCTTTTAGTACATTTGTATACATATATATTTATTGGTAATGTACTGATGTACAACTTTTTATGCTTATAAATATCAGATAATGAAACAATACAATAGTCAACAAATTAAAAAAACAAATATATTAATAAAACCAAAAAAAAGAAGAAAAGCACTTAAAATGATATCAATAGAGAAATTAATAATAAAAAGGTTATAGAATAAGACTACATAAATTTAATATTTACTTTTTTTTGAAGTTTCTGACTTTTTGTTCCCAAGTATTTCTTCTTCATCATCTGTTTCAATTTCTTCTTCACCATCCATTTCATCCGCATCAACTACATCATCTTCATGATCTACTGCTTCATCATTATCATTATCATTAACATCATCGTTATCATCTTCATCTTCATCATTATCATTATCATCATCTTCATAATCATCATCACTAGGTTTCAGATTTAAATGTCCTAAAAATATCAAAACATTGCCCTTTTAAAAGATGTATTTATGATCTAAAAACTATAAAAAATAAGACTTTTTAAAAAATGAAACAGACGAAAAGCATCTGAAAATTGGCCACACATACCACCAATATAATATTATCACTCATAAGAAAATGTTTTAATGAAATAAATTTGTAGTCATAATACGAGAAATGCATCAAAAATGTTTTATAGTTACAACGTGGAATACTTGAAATATATTTGTAGCTTGGAAAGCATTGTGTAAGATAATCCAAAAAATAAATATAAATACATTAAAATCCGAGCCCAAATCATCACCTATCTCCAAATCTACAATTTAATAATAAACAAAATAATTAATTGTTGATACCAGAATAGTAATAAAACATTTAAAAGAATTAAATGTATACAATTTTATTTGATTAACTCTATAATGAATAATAAACTGAAATTAATAATTTATGTTTTTATTATTACTTTTAGATTCATCCAACTCCCTTAGAGCTTCATATTTATTTAACACTAAAACAATCACTAAATAGTAAATATAATACAAATCTATTGGTTTCAGTAAATTAAGAGAAAATCAGAAAAAAGTTTAGGTATATTTTATTTTTATCAAAGAATAAAATCATTTTATAAATGTTTTAAGTTATATATTTTACATAATCTATTTTATTACATAAACAATACATAAACTTGTTATTCTTTACTAATACCATTAATAATATTAATACATTTGGTAAGGAGGTAGGTAGATAATTTTGGCCGGTGGTCATTTACAGACTTAATAATAAATTATATTTATATTGTAGATACGAGGAAGTAAAGACTTTTGATTATATAGCGCTATAATGACATACAAATAATAAAACAATTAATATAATATTGTAGTAGTTTTAATTATAGGTAAATAAGACATAAACTACCATAATATGTCACACCAGTGCTAATTTCTGAATGTGTTTATTTAAATTTTTCAATAATAACATGATACGACAATACAAATTTATAAAAATAAATACAAGATTAGAATGCTGGGATACCGGCCAGATGTGAATCCAGACTATCAGTAGGTGTGTCCCCCCCTCTTGGTCATACTATAAACTATTAAAAATTACTAAACATTAAAGTGGAATGATTTTAATTTTGTATACATTTTTAAAACAATATTATTTTGTAGTTTTATACCAACATTAATATTATTTGTAATGTAAATCGTTATTGTCATTATATATTCATGTACCCATGAAGGTATTTGTTTATGGTTTTTGAAGAAACTCCTAGTTAACAAGTATATAAAAGGGAAGTGAGCAAATTTCTTTTTCCAATGGCAGGTGGGTAATTTGGTAACTAATATTTTGCTCTCGTGTTATTCGAAATGGTCTGCACCTCTGCAGTAATAATGAAATACCATAATTGTAAGAATTGAAGAATACAAAAATATATGTTGTTTAGTATTACGCAAATTTCAAATAGTTCAAGTTAAAATATATCTATTGAATTTTTTTTTTAACTGATTGAACTACTGTAAAATATGAACAGTTTAGTAGATTTAAATGAGATTTCATTAAAAAATATTGACATAAATTACCAGAAGACTTCTTGAGTAAAACCAAATCACTTTTTGAACATTTCTGAATAGCATTTGACAATTGTTTTAATCGTGTTGAATTTTGTAGTTCTAATTCTTGCCATATTTGTTCCTCGTCAAAATCGTTGACGATTAATTCTGGAAGAGCATTATCCTCAGTGGCGTTTGTTTTGTTTTCAACACTCTTTGTAGTATCGTACAGTTGTTTCAAAAAATTGACTACTTCTTTAGCAACATCAGTTTGTACACTATAATAAAATACACATGATACTTAATACAAATAATATAAAATTAAATTTTGTGTCAAACTTACTTTAAATAGTCCAATGGCTTCACAGTTAGCTTTTCAAAAGTCTTAATGAAATCAATATTGGTCATTTTGAGATAATTGTTAATTTGTAGTTAAATGTATACACTATTGTGTATACATAAAATACTATGTATACATTAAACTAAAAGTCTAATATTTTATTGTATATAATAATAACCAGTATTTTCTTAATACTTTATTTTGTTAAGAGCAATTCGAAATTAAAAACTTATCATAAGGTTATTTATAATGGTATAAGTTATAGCTAATAAATAAGAATACTCGTCAGTCGTCACTCATAATCTATTCAAGAACTCAACCACGTGATTTTAATCTACGATAACGCAGCTATCTTTTATCACGTATACAACAAAATATTTTGTTTAATTAATAATTATCAAAAAATCAACTTTAAAAAACAACAGGGTGTAGTTCTACATCTATACTATATACTTAATAATTAAATTAAGGAATAAATTATAGTATAAAATAATAAAAAAAAAAGGAATATATTAGTAAAAATCATAACAAATATAGACCACGAAGACCAGAATGAGGAAACCAAACTCGTACGGCCACCTGCATGAAGAAACGTCGCAGGATTTAACAACAAGTTGCGCTGTGTAGGTACTTTAAAGTTGCTACTTTAACCCGCGTAGTGTGGGTATTATTCATGTTTTTTGCGTTTTTTTGGAAAATATATGCTTCATTATACATATCTAGAATTTTTGTCGCGACGGGAACTTCCTTCCTTATCTCCAGCTCGCTCTATAGTCCATCCGTTCGATGTTATCACAAATCCCGAAATCTTTACATTTTCAATTTTTTTTACATGAAAAGTAATTGGATGGTGTTTGTGTTTAAGGGCTCAAGTCCAAAAACGTTATACTGAGAATATTGACTTGATTCTTTTTGCACAAACTAAATTTAATTAGGTATCACGACTCGACTGTGACAAAACGCATATATGAAGAACTTGATAACGATCCTACATTTATTCAAACTAATAACAATAAAAAAATAGTGGTACCAGCGCATACAATTATTAAGTTATATCTTGTTTGATTTTGATACTGAAATTATGTATAATTTAAAATAGATTCACATTTTATTAATTGTATTTTTAATAGATTGAAAATTTAATGTTTGATATGTATTGAATTTGTTTTCAGCATTATTGAAAATTAAGGAAAATAAATTAGTAACTTGTGGTTGAAAACAATGCTGATTTTTAAGTTATAATTTTTATGTATTTTGTCCTACTAAAATATGAATATATTTTATCATTAACCCTACACCATTTTTCATGTGTAGTATTTTTTGTTGGATGTGATTTTTAAAGTGTGAAATCTGTAAGTGGTTTAAATTTTTAGAGGAAATTGTTTTTTAAATTATAATCTCTTATACTATTACGTTATTTTTATTGAATACAATTTTTATTTCAGAGTTCATCCATATTGTCTGCTTCTTTCTTGGTTTCGAATGCAGCTTTAGATGTATAGTTAATATGTATATTAATGTATTTTGGAATGATATTCAATTTTTTGTAAGTTTTATTGAAGAGTAGATATTTATATTGTTATTCATTAATTTCATCCACACTTAAATCCATTCATAAAATTACATAAATAAGATAATCCGATTCGACCATTAATTAACTTTAAAACTGCTCCAGCTTATAACATTGATAAATATTTAGACTATCTCATAAAATAAAAATTCAACATGAATGCTGATACTTCTATAAAAAACACATATGATTTTATTGATAAAATTAATATTAAGCAAGGTTAAATTATTTCTCTTGAAGTTAAAAATGTATATATATCCATTCCTAAATACGAAAAAGTAATTTTTTAAAAAATAAACATATTTAGTAATAAATTACTAAAATACAATACAAACGAAATACAAGAAATTATTTCAATCAATAAATGTAATTATTAATCAAAACTGTTTCCAATAAATAAAAAGTAGGGTTAGTTATGTGTGATCCTTAAAGTGCTTTTTATTTGAAATTTACATGCAAAATTATGAAACCAATATTATTAACAAAATATTCAGTTCATATATAAAATCATGTTATAGATATGTTGATGACATGTTCAATTTATTTAGATTCAAATAGGCAAGCAGACAATTTAGTGAACTACTTAAACAAAATAAATAAATTCATTAATTTACATTAATATATTTATTTACCATGATATAATTTCAATGCAACTATGTATAATGAAATACAATTATAAAAATAATGCATTCAATTATGGTCATAAAGTACTATGCATAATATTGTAGTTATTTCACAAGATTATTTCGTAACAATCATTTAGTTTTAAAATATCAAATTAAACTTATTTTAAACTCGTGGTTTTTTAAAGGTGAAATTTGTAGGTTTATCGTCAGTACATTGTTATAATAGGTAATCAATAGTTGGACATTTTAAGGAAAATAAAAAAATGAAAAACACTATAATTGGATACATGGATGCAACCGATACATTAGTGAGGAAAAGTGACAAAAACATTAAGAGGATTTTATATTATGCCAGTTTTAAATGTACTAGTACCTAGAAATTCAAGTGCTACTTGTCCGGTTCTTGAATTGATCAGTTTAGCGAAGGACAGCAACAAACACCAGACTACTTGAACTGGTGTTATAAAGTATTGGTTGAAAGCATTTATTGGTCAAATGTTAAAGTGATAAATGTTTGTCATTATACAAAAATAATAATGCATTGTGTTTATAAATATTATCATCTAGAATCCAACAGTGGCAAGGCTGGGAAATTATAAAAAAACTATATTATCGATTACTATATATGTATACTGTTTAACGAAGTAACTTTAGAAGATATATAAAAATGGTTCATACAAATTTGCCTTCATACTGTTGTCTCCCAATGAAACTGAAGAAATTAAATGTCAGATTATTACTATGAAAACCTACTCTAATTTTGATTATCAGTCACCTGACAAATCAGCTCATGAAGATAATTTGGGTGAACTGTATAAGTTCCTATGCGTATCCGAATTTGATATTTCTATGATGTATTACAAATTTTAGTCATTAAAAGAATGAAAGTGATGACAAAAGGTCAAGAAAAGCAAAAACAAACCAATTGAGCAAATAAATGTATACTCTTCTTTTCACTTTGGACACCTTTTGTGAATAACAATGTTAAAACAGAGTTTAAAATCGCCAGAGTAATATTATGTTCGAATCTTGGTTCAAAACTGTTAAAAGCAACATGTTACATGGTGATCGCAGACTAAATGTAGCAGATTTTTGAGATTGACTAGAGAACGTATACTCAATATTCAAAAACAAATAACTTAGAAAATGTGGAAACTAGGTGTATGCAAGTGCTCAATTCTGATAATGAATGAAAGATCCAGAACCTAGATAATTCAAAAGTTGTTGAAAAAATTACAAAAGGAAATACTGAGTTTATATAATTTTAACGCAACAGAAAATTGAGGAAAAAAGAAAAATCACATAAACCCCTATCTAAGCATAAGCCATTTAAATTACAAAAATCTATTGGCAATGAGAAGAATCAAAAAACATTTTGCAGGAATGTACGAATATGTTAAATTTTAACAAAAAAAGTTTTATTATGAAAATTAAATTTAACTAAAGTGTGTGGGCATGAACAATTTGACTTCAACAACTGGTTATTTTAAATCTATTCAATCGAACTGCCAGGTTAGAAAATTACTATAAAAATAGTCTTCCTAAGGATTTAACATACTACACACTTAGAAAGTGGTCTGGTAAAAATAGTAATAAGTATTATTTAGTTGGAACATACAATTAAATAAAGAATGACTTAAATTCAGATATCCTAGTACTTAGACATTGCAGCCTTTGACAAATTAACAGAAAACCTTTGACTGTGTTAACTTTATCAATAACTTTGTTACCAATATCTGTTTGGCAACGTATGCTAAACAATTTGGTATAATATATATATATAAAGCTGACAAATTATCATTACTTAGTTAAGCAGAAATTATGCATATTACTTGTATTTTGCTTAAGAGTTAAAACCTGTTTAATATACATTTATATACATGTTCATTGTGTGGTACTGAATTAAATTCCTAAAGAACAGAATTGAAGATGATGAAAACACCGATTACTTCTGTTTTTATGACATAAGTAAAAGTAATAATCATGATTCAGTAGATCATGATTGAATGGAAATTCTTGAGATATGCCAACTTTAAATTGTATATCTCTTGTTAACCTATTGCATCATAACTTGGTTTGGTTTCTTTGGCGGAGCGAATATGTATTTCAGGTATTAAGCTCTTGAATGGATTATTACGAGATAATATTAACTCACCTGATTCACTTTCCTTATTATGTTTTAAAGTAGGTACTTCAACAATCTTTTGCTCTGGACACCTATTATCATAGGAACATCTAGATGATTCCGTATTATATTGAACAAACCATGGCAAAAAATATTGTCTTCGATGAAGTAGTCGAAGAATTTAAAAAAAAATAAATAGTTTGTATGATCACTGTCTAGTTTTATAAATAGTCTACTGTAATCTTTTTATAATATTCTCTTAATTTAAATCAATTATATCAAAAATATATATTTTTTTGTTTGAATTTTATTAATGATTGCTTAAGATATAACAGAATGCTATGCAAATAAAAGAGATATGTTAAAATGAAAGAAATTTAATGGAATTTTAGATATTCCGATTTATACATTTATTATAATTTATATTACTTTAATTTTTAAATACAAAATACAAACATATAAAAATGTATACAAATACACAAATTAAATAAAACAAAAAATGATATCAATGAATTTTCCACACCATTTAAATATATATATGAATTGATTGAGAAAAGATAATTAGTCTAATGAAAATATCTAATTCCACCTATGGTACCTTTGGTCATTTTCTGTTTTTAGGATCATTTTTGCGTAATTCTGATGAATTAAAAAAAAAACCTCAAATTCAATAATATATTATGTTGATAAATGCTTATTTACTTATCCTCGCAGGTGTAAACCCGTTTGTAGTGGAGTTACAATAAGAGGTGATATTTTTTACTATAATATTATTATAGAACACAAACTTAAAATTTATAATGAGATAAAAACAAAGTTAATACAGATATTTTTATTTTTGAATACAATTAAAAAAAAAAAAAATTATAATTTTGTTGACTAGCATAAATTTAATGGTCTTCATAGCACCCAAATAATCGGGTACCTATGAGTATTACAGTTATTAACAAATTTAAATTATAAAATAAAAGATGTATAAAAAAATTATTTCAGATATAAATTAAATTTAAAAGTAAGCAAAAGAGATCAAAATGTTCACACTTAATTTTTAATAAAAATATTCTTTGTAAAACAATAAAAAAACTGTAGTATGAATAATACTACAATAAAACTACCTATACTACTTTCAAAAAACAAAAAAAAAATAAAGCAATTGAAAGTTAAAACTACTAAGACATTCTTGATACTAATGCAATACATAAACAAAATTTAACCTCTAGTGCTTTATTTGGGGTGTCTATAAAAGGGTGTAAAAATGTTTAAAAAAATATATCCTCCCATTACAAAATGCTACCATTCATATTGAAATTTAACCTAACATTTATTATTTCAATCTATTAATAAAACAACTCTAATTCTAGATTTTGAGATCATAGTTGATAAGAAGCCGCTTGGAATATCTACTGATACAATTTATATTAGACACAATAAAGTGCAAGTCTATTTTATTTACAAAATTTAATTGATAATAATCTGACCTAATTAAAAAAAATTAAAATTAATTTAATCTAAGATCTATCTATGACTGATACTATGTATTACTTATTGAACAACAATATAGATGTCTTTCATTAAGTAATTATATATTATTAGTTCATATTAAATTCAATTGCATAGATAATAAAGTTAATACTTCTAAAATTCTAAGTCAAAAATAATATAAATTATTAAACTAATTACTGTTAGATGCGGAGTGTGGACTTGGTATTTTAATGGTATATGGGCATGTAGTTAGCATTGAGTAAGCATTAGAGTTATTTAGTTTATGTTTGCTATGGGCCTTTAACATTTCTTCTTTAAGTTTATTTAATATGGCCAAATTTGGTTGATTTGCAGCTGCTTTACTTTGGAGCTGAGTAATTTCTTGCTCTTCTTGTTTTTTTTCTTTAGCATTTTTTATGCTTCGGTTACCGTACAACCGCAACAATGAACCCCAATTGTCAATGTGTGGATGTAATTGGCCCAATATTACTTGAGAAGCTTTTTGTTTACCGTCTCTTTTATTTTTACAAGCAACAGAAGCAGTATGTTTACCAACCGTCATTGTGCATTGATTTAACATCCTTCGACGATTGTTCAATTTATAATCAATTTTTACCTCACATTCTCCAAAATTCCTTTGCAAACACACTAATAACATGGCATATGGACTAGGTTCTGTGGTTTTAGCACAAAATTCAGTAACTCTAGGATCAGTGACTTTAATTTGATCAAATATCACTGGATCACGTTGGTTTTTTTGATCTGAATCTATTTGGTTTTTCATTTCTGGTATGAGAATATCTAATGTAGCGCGGGCAGCATTCAGTTTTGCTTGTTTTTTACTATTACCGAAACCAACACCATATTTAACATCGTTAAGGATAACAGTAGCAGAATAAGGAGTTTCTGAATTTTCTGATTCTTTAAAATCATACCATGGTTGGGTTTTCAATGCCTGTTGTAAATATTCATGTAAAATACTTACATAACTTTTACCATTTGGATTCATTATCCATTCTCGACGGCGGCTACATCGTTTATCATGGTCCTCGCTTTGAACAGGAAATGATATTAATTTAGTACTATCCGGAAGTGAAGGTCTTTCTTTTGTATTGTTTTGTGCAGGTGAATTTTCTGAACTTGTAGGTTGTGGTTGAGCATTTTGTTCTAAAGGAGCTTTTACTTTTTTAAACCTAAAGTTGAAATATTTAATTTAAATTAATCATAAAAATAAATAAAATTGTATAAATACTCACTTAAATAATAATTGGCAATATTCTCGAAATTCTTCATGTGTTAAAGATTCTTTAATAATATTTTCCTGAGCAGTTTCAACTTTAGCATTTGGAATAATCATATTGCCTTGTTTACTTATCTGAAAATCAGGTTCATTTTTTATGCTTTCTTTATTTTCAAGACCTTTTTTGTATTGTAAACAAGTTATTGCAGACAATGGTGCTAAGTGTAATGCAGGATCCCCAGGTCCCAAAAAATATGGCCTTGCTAAGGTCACAACTCTAGTTTTCTTGTGTAAATATATAGGCATACCACTCTTATGAGTTGCTTCAATCCAATTTTCAGGCAAAATATCAAAATGATTTATACATACTTCTTCTAACACGGTTTTTTCATATTCTTTAAAATCATCTTTAGAGACAGTTTTTTTTGTAGTTTTATTTTCATTTTTTTTCTCTTGATATGCTTTATCCAATAAGTCATCAATTTCTTCATCATCTATAAATATATTACCACGAATTTCATTAATATCGGTGTTGGCTTTGGGAGAATCTTCAAAAATATTTTCATTTGAATTTGAAATATCATTTATTTCATGACTATTTTTTTCTAATTCAAAATCACTATCTGAAAATTCTATGTAATTGTCACTATCATCATCATCATAATCATCATCATCATCATTTTGTTCAACATTAGAATCATGATCTGAAATTGTCAATTCTGGATCCACAAACTGATTTGTATTTGAATGTTCTTTATTGAAATTTAAGGATTGGTTAGTTTTGTTAATATTATCATTATTTATACAACTTTTGTCAATTGAATCACAACTTTTTTCTTTTTCAACTAGTTTCTCTTTTAATAACTCACTATTTTCATGTGAAGGTTCTTCTTTAGATAACTGAAAACTCTTACTTATAGGTTTTTCCTCTCCAAATAAACTATCTACATTTGTATGTAATACTTTTAATTTCTTTCGAGGATTACTTGTTTTGCCTTTGTTAATATCAAACTTGTCTTCTGACATTTTTATAATCTAAATCTGAAACAATACTTTAATTAATAAAACATATGAACTATTTACTGAGGAGTAAATAAAATTTTAAACTTTAAAAATATTTATTCTTTAATCCTGTATCTATCCTTTACTATCTGTGAAAACAAAACACTACCCAATAGGTATTTAATTTTTTGTTTTTTCAATTTAGATAGAAAATTGTAAAAATAATTTTAAAATGTAAAAATAAATAACAATTATATAAAAATATTTATACAGTTTCTTGACTAATATTAAGATGATAAATAGGTAAATGTTTGTAGATTATAATACAGGACTTTTTTTTATTATGAACCAGCAATTATCTCAGAGGATTTTAAGTGAATTTGATTTCTGTTTTTTTTTTCTAATCCTTATGGAATCATTTAAGCTTTATTTTAAAACTATTTTTAATATTTTACCCCTACTTCATATATATACCTTAAAGAAGTGCATACTTTTGATTTTCAAATAAAAACACCTCCTTTTAAACACAGATTATATAGAGAATATTTGTCTAGAAATTTTGATATGCATAACACTAATATCAGATTTATCATTTATGAGTTACAATAGTTTAAAGACCGGAGGAGTAGAAAAGAGTCATAGATGGGCAATTTATTACCCTTCCCTGCTCCTCCGGTCTTTAAACTATTGTAACTCATAAATGGTAAATCTGATATTAGTGTTATGCATATCAAAATTTCTAGACAAATATTCTCTATATAATCTGTTTAAAAGGAGGGGTTCTTATTTGAAAAATATACTATGTACCTATTTAAAGTGTGATTCTATTAGGAACCCAAATAAAAGATTGAAAAAATAATGTACGAAAAACCATATACATATTCATTTTTTTTTTTGTATTACTATAATATCACAATCTATAACATAATACATCTACTACTGTATTTCATTGATAATATGTAGGGTTAAGTTAATTAATTGGAAATAAAATTTGAAAGTTTTCTTAATTGTTGACTACTGTACATTTTATATAATTTTATTTTTGCTATCACCTATCTATTGTAAATTTTCAATTTAAACATTTATATACTATCTAATTTATATGGTAAAAAGCCAATTTCAATGGCACCACCAAATAAATTATAATATTAACTATTGGAGCAAATAAAAATATTAATATGTTTTTATAGATTTGTGATAAATGGTAAATAAATTACAAACACAAAATAATAATAGTGGTATTTTCAAATATCAATTTTTTGAACATAGGTAATCTCAAAATATCAAATTGCTTATCAAAATAAATTGTACTGTATCAGTGGTTTAGTAGAGCCTCAATAGTCTGGATACCTAATAATTCAGTAAAAGCGGTAATCCGTACATAGGTAATTCTTTCCAGAATTCACAGAACCAAGGATGAAAACGTTATACATTAAGTCGAAAAAAAAAAACAGTAAAACAAAAACAAGAAAAAATTATACCACAATAGATATAATTATACAAAATAGTTTTTGCCTAAATAATAAATAATAATAATTCTATTATTGAAAAAGTGATAATCCAAATAACTGATGGTTGACAGTTTTAATAACCAAGCTGTCCAAGAAAGCTATGATTATTATTAAGTTGAATTATTGATATTATAGATAATACTCAAAGTAGATATGTGTCCACATTGTTTCAGTTGGAGAGTATAGATAATATTATTATTATAGATAATTATTATTTACACTCTCTAGTTTTAGTTAAGGTGGATTAATCCACCTTGGTTTTAGCGACTCAAACTTGATAATGACATAAATAAAACAAAATTTTTATTTTTATATAATGTATTATATTATAATAATATGTACATTAAGTGATTATTAATTTTTAATTAAAAATTAATAATTTAAAAATATCACGGTATAAATCTAGTTTATACACATGTGTAAAACACCGAAAACGTTTTTAACAAGTTGACTGCCATGAGTACCATAATTGGTACTCACGTGATTTGTATTATAGCTCTATAAAAATACCATGGCAGTCAACTTGTTAAACACATAAACCAAAAACGATATTTTAGGTTGTTAAATAAAAACGAAAAAATTAAAAAAACTTTCCTTCTTAGGACCCCTAATTAATCTATGAAATATTTATATAGATAATATTATTATTGTCATTTGTATTACCTACGTTCAATAATAATAATTGTATAACTTTCTGTACTGGTAGCAATAAATTAAAATCTTGCTCAAATCAATTACATTCAAATTTTTACTCTCAATAATCAGATATAAGAAATATGTTCGAATTAAATGTTTGATTCTCAAGCAAGTGACACAGACAAAGATTTAGCGAATTATGAACTCATTACTGATAATCAAATCATATAAATCGCAGCAAGATGACATTTACGACGAGGACGAAAGTGTTTATCAGCAAAAGTAAAATTTTCCCTTCAAAAAAGGTGAATGCACTGAATACTGTTTTGCAATAGGCAAAAGATCAGTAGGTACTTCGAATAAGATAACGCGCTTTTAAATGGAAAATTAAAAGTATTATTCAGACAAAAAAATGACACGACTACTATACGTTAATTCTGTTATCATTCATTTGTTTGCAATTTATTATGTTTGTAATTTAAAGTGCAATAATTAAAGGTGGCGGAAAAATAAACATCCGTTTCATTTAAATACGTAAGTTTTTCTTGTAAAACAACTCCTGGTCTATCAAGGCTCAAATGTATATTATAATCAAACGTGGTTCAATAAGCATTATTGACATGTCTTGATTTTAAATTAACCACACTAGATCCTATTATGCTTATTATAAACCTATTTATATTATAAAATTAGGTAGTTAGACTACTAATAAATTTTAATACTCACTAGTCGCTGGGCTTATACAATAGAAGTCATCTTATCAACGAGTGTGTTGTACTGTTGTGTACTTGTTTAATGTGTTTAGTTAGAAAACTAAACGAGATCGGAGATCGAGACGCGCCATAGAAATCAATGAGAAATTAAGATGAGGTCAAACGGCAAATCAGTCACCGCAGAATTGGGCGTAGACATACGAATTACGGATAGAGGAATATTTCTTATATATGGTTGATAGTAGAAGGTAGAAACGTGATGGCCGCTTCCGAATTTCAGCCACAGTTGTAGATATATATAACCATGATTTCAACCATAAAAACGTTTCAAACCATAGACATTTAAATATATGGACTACGCTTAGAGAGAGAAATTCTAAATCATCGTGTAGTGAGAGAAAAAAAATACACATATCATGAAGTAAACAATGCAATATTAATGAGCATTTATTATTTAGTTAGTAGTTGGTAGTTTTTTTTATTTTCATTTTTATTTATCTATGTTTCAAACGTTAAATACAAAATTATCAAGAGTTTGCCGCTGGCAAATTTGCTTTACGTAGTGGTGTGCAGGCAAGTTTATAGTTCTATGGTAATAACCCAAACTAACCTAAAAATTAGCCCATTGGTAAGTGGTAACAAAGAACAATTCATATTGTTGTGTAAACAAGTTTTAGATTATTGTTTACCATTTATCTTAGATCATATGGTATATTACATATGATTTTGTTTACGGTCTCCGCCATTTTTGCGGCTTTTTGTTATTCTGCTCTCCTGCCTGTGCACGTGCTTCGCCCTCGAATGTCGATGCTTAGTCATTTCAATGTCTGAAAAATTTGTTGTTTTTTTCAATAAAACATTGTGTGAAAAGTAAAAATTAATTCAACTAGTGAAATTTGAACGTGTTTACTATCTATTGTTGAGTAAACGGACGTTTCGTCCCCGTCATTAGCAGACGTTTCATCCTACAATATTGTTTGGTTGACATTTATCTCAGGTATTATTTTAAACAATAATTCAAATTTAAATAATTAAACAATATGAAGTTCATTTTTCTATTCAATATAAGCCATTGTTATAGTTAAACTTGAAGCAATTTTTTTTTAAATTTCAAAAAATATCCTTATAATGAAACCTATGATATTATGATAGTAGTTTTCTTCCCATTATTCTAACCTGATTGATTGAAGTTTGGTCTTGGGGTGGAAAATTTTTTTTTTGAAAAACGTCATATACATATATTTACCATTTGCCTGACGAATATCCTGTGGTTAAATTTTCAATTTTCTCTTTTTCCGTCAAGCTACGATCAGAGGTCGTTAAGAGGTGTAGGTTTGCAATCTTAAATAGTTGTATTATTTACAAATGCTGTCAGGGGTTAAAATTAAACCTAAAATATTGGTAAAGCTATTAGTGCCTTACTAAAACGCCAGAGTCAGAATTTTGTTCTTTAAATTTTTTAATCCTTTTCAATGACTTGGCTTTTGGGTAGGTAACAAATAAAAGTGTTACTCTCGTATATTTTTCAAGGAAATTGAAAAATGGAAATTCTAACTGAAGAATGTTAATAAGATAAGGAAGAGAAATGGAAAATATTTAGATGATTTTTCAATACTTTGATTTTTTTTTTTGACTCCAAGAGACAGATTTTCAGAGAGATTAAAATTTTTCTTAGACTGCAAACTCTCACTTCATAATTTGTCATATCTCTGTGACAAACGGGAAAAGTTTTAAGTATTAAGAGTTTGACAATAAACTTTAGAACTAATCATTTTCTTGAAATGTGCCTTGATCCAATCAATTTTATTAAAAATTTGAAAACTCATTCAAATTATAGTTTTGGATAGTAAATGGAGACAAATTGACCAACTTATATGATAGATAAGTTTTGTATAGCAATTTGGAATGTATTTTATGAGAACTTTTTTTTTATTAGATATCCTCAACTGCTTGTTCCACTAACCTATGTTAAATTCTTTGATTTATCAACTGTCATTAATATATTAGAAGAAACGATTCTAGATACTCGTAAGTATCCAAAATCATCAGCAAGACCTCAATTGATAGAAGATAGAAGATTTATCTTTGTAAAATGGATAATGAGGATTTGTCGAAAGAAGTATTTATAATGTTTATATACAATTTCTTAATTATAATATATTTATTCAAAGAATCCTTTGTATTATAGATTGAATTTTCTGAATCTTGTATGAACACTAAAAAAAATTATGACCGAGCTGCTAAAGTTGAAGAAGTAAATATATATAATTTAGTATTTATTATAATTAATAAGTACTTTTAAAATATATACATGTATACTTGATATCAAACCTTTCCCTTATTAATATTATTTGTTTTATCTATAATATTCACTTATTTATTAATTATGTATATAGTTCAAAATTATGGATGTATTATGTTTATAGGCAAGGTGTCAGAATTTATTATACAATTGTGAAAATTGTCTCAAAACAGATTTCCTCTGTGCTGAAGTATGTTGCTGTCCAAAGGCTCATTCATTCTGTTTGATATGCATTAAAAAGTAATTTTTTAAATATTTATTTAATGAAGTATCTACATAAATAAAATGTTTAATTTATTAAATTTTTTTATTTCATCAAATACCAAAATTGTTTTAGGCTTGTAGAAAAAAAGGTTAGATTAAGAAAACTAGAATTTAAATGCATGGCTGATTGTCCTGAAGATTTGAATTTTGACATGCTACTGGTGAGTTTCTTTTATCACTTATGTTTTATATATATTTAAAATTTAAATTATTATTTTTTTTTAGGATGTTATTGATGATGATTATTTATATGACCAAATGATAAGATTGAAGCAAGCAGAAGATATGCGCAATTACTAAAGTAACTCAATTTTCCAATGCTTCAGAGGAAGCAAAATAAACTTTGAATTGTGATTCTTATTTTTATATTTCTTTGATTTTATTGAAACTTGAACACAATTTTATTTGTGTAGAACTAATTATGGCTTGATATCAATTTCCCTATAATTTGGGTTTTCTTAAATTTTCCGCAAGTTACTTCCATTTAGAAAAGGTGGTAACTCAAATTATCACCATTTTTGTAGATAAAATATGACCAATATAAAGCAGTAACTCATCCTTTATAATAAAAACAAAACAAATAATATCTTTTTCAACTTGAAAAGTCTAAAATACAATATAATATATATATTATAGTAATTAATAACATTAGAAACTCTATATTGTAAACAAAAACAATTAAAATCTTTCTAACATTAATTTAAAATATAAAATGTAATAGGAATCAAGCATTTATCATGTTGCCCTCTGTCTTTTTTTCATAAGATTAATTTGTATGGAATCTATTGAACTTAAATTGTATTCTATCTCAAGTAAATAAGGATATTCAAAATTAACAAATATTTCTTTTACCTTATTATAATTCAATGTTTTTTTTTTATCAGATTCAGTTTTTCAGTTGAATAATGTATTTTTTACTAGTGGTTTTAAATCTAAGAAATCATTATAAGACATTTTGAAAACAGTATATGGTTCACCTTTTACTTTGGCACATTTAATTAATGTAACCCATTGATCAGACGTGTAAATTATTTTGTCTTAACATTGAATCACCCCTCATTTTAGGTGTGTCCTCTTTCTAAAAATCTGTGTTTGATTTTTAGTTTTAAAGCATATGCGACATACTCCCCATAGAATAAACGAAACAGTTTTGATTCTGCCCACACACAATTTTCTGAATATAATACAACACACCTTGAAGATAGTTTTCAAAAACTTGAATAAACAAGTTAAAATCTCATTTGAACCTTTATTACCTTCTGACTGATGCCACATAAAGTAGTATCCATGTTAAGATCTAATGTCAAAAATAGTAAAATTGTAAGTTGAAAATTAACGTTTGTAATAAAAACTTCTAACTTAACTGAGGGTGTGTTAAGAACTTTTTCAAGATCAAATACGACCACACAAAATTCTTTGTCCTTAACACTTCTTTCTTAATCAGCATTATTTTTTTCCCTAGCAATATTTTATTCTGAATATGTTTACTATTCAAATCTTTTTCCTTATCTTTAATTTTTAGGATCTTGTACCTCTCAAAAACATCACATAATTCTTTTAACTCCTGAAAATTATAATTATATAATAAAATAATAAAGCAAAAACAAAATTATTAAAATGGTTTATACTCATAAATAAATATATAGATAAAAAATAAATCAATGAAGTTTATTATACGACCAGTTTCAAATTAAAAATTCATCATCAGGTATATCACATTCAAAATGTAAAACACGAATCACGTCACAATTTTTTTAATAATTTTTAATTAATTTATATATTTTTTCAATATTTTAGGAAATCAAATGGTTACTTCCGAGCATCATACAATTTTAGAAGACAGTATTGTCCAAAATCCATATTCCAAACTACAACTCAATATACAAACTGATGAAAAACATTGTGCTTTTATAGATTTAATCATGTATGCTAGCTGTAATCACTAATAGGTAGTTATTGCGTATTATTTTGTAAATAAATAGTGTTTCTTTAAATTTCTCTAGTTTAGTATCAGTGTGATAATAAATAAAACGATAAAACAATAAATCTTACAATTCTACATTCCGTAAAAATACATTTTTATTCTGGAATTATACATTCCAAGATTCCAAGATTTTACAGCTTCCCATAGAACTGATGAAAGAAAACTTCTAAATTATCTTTCATATTTCAATCATTTCCAAATACTGCGAGTTTAATAAACACAACTATTTTAAATTTATTAATAATGTACTCACTTTGCATTATAATAATTAATTGTTCCCCTGATTCCCTGTATATCATACAATAATAATCATTCAATTTTGTTTTAAGATAAAAATTTGTTAAATAATGTACAATGTATAACAACTAAATTATTTATACATTTAAAATATATATTAAGAAAAACTAACTTTAAAATTTACTTTATTTGTATTTTTTTAATGTAGTATGTTTTATCAAAATCAAATTAACTAATATTAATAATTTATAATGTCTCGCAATATCATGTGTTTGATTTGATAACACATTCAGCATTGAAATTATGATATAATTTTGTTTACTAAGTTAAAAAAATTGTGTTTAGTTTGCTTAATACTTTTTTTTTTATTACTAGTGGTTTTAGTTGCTATTTACTTTATTTAAAACTTTTTAATTAATTAATTTTCAGATATTAAAACAGTTGTATTAAATATCAATTTCATTACATTATTATTATCATACAATAATAATCATTCAATTTTGTTTTAAGATAAAAATTTGTATTTGTATAGTTTACATTAATGTCAAAATTTGTTAAGTAATGTACAATGTATAACAATTAAATTATTTAAACATTTAAAATATATATTAAGAAAAACTAACTTTAAAATTTACTTTATTTGTATATTTTTAATGTTTTATGTGTTTTCAAAATCAAATTAACAAATATTAATAATAATTTATAATGTCTCACAATATCATGTGTTTGATTTGATAACACATTCAACATTGAAATTATGATATAATTTTGTTTACTAAGTTAAAAAAATTGTGTTTAGTTTGCTTAATACTTTTTTTATTACTAGTGGTTTTAGTTGCTATTTACTTTATTTATAACTTTAATTAATTAATTTTCAGATAATAAAACAGTTGTATTAAATATCAATTTCATTACATTATTATTATCTTACAATAATAATCATAGGTATAAAACAAAACTTAATGTATAATAGAAATACAATTATCAAGTCTAAGGTATTTAAAATTGTTTAAAAAAATATAAATATATTACACTAAACAAAAATGAAATCAAATTATTTAAATGGGGTAAAGATTACTTTCAAATAATTAATGCATTAGTATAATAATTCCTAATATTTGACTAATATAATTTCTTATAAATATCTTATACACCTATACAATTAGACAGCTTTCAAACTGAAAGATGTTTCTAAAGAAATATGAGCACATTAAGTACATTATTCATATACATAAATTTAACAAAAGTAAAATGTACCTCACACAAATGTGGTAATTCTGTTAATGCCCTTTAGTCACCAATTCGCGCATATTTTGCTCTTATTTAAATAATTTCCAGCATTTTTCTGACTTATTATTCCAGTTTTCTGCAGTAAGTAAGGCATGTCTGTATTGAGTTAAAAATCACAAATTGGAGCATGGTCCATCATCAATATATTATTATTAATCATTATTTAAATTCTATAATGTCAGTTGCTTGATATGATTAGTAAATGAAAAGTTGCTGTTTTTAATTCAATATTTCAATGTTCTAAATAAATTGAAAGACATTATTGAAGGAAAATTGTTTCGTAAAAAATATTTTTATTGAATATCCTTGTGCATTTAATAACTTACACCTAATCTCTGTATATATTATATAATTTGAATTTTGGTCAACTTCCTTTTCTTGAGGCGTTTGTATTAATTATTTTGAACTTCTTATTACAGACATTTCTTTTTATATACTTACTTTTTATTCTCATGGCTGAGTAGGTATTGAACAATTTTAAAAATTGTATAGAAAAATTAGGGAAATTCAATGATTAGGTACCTAATGTTTTTAATAATTTCAAAACTTTAATGAGTTACTCTCAAATACCACTATTACTGAAATTTCGGAAGGAAGGCTTTCTTTTTGAAAACTTCTTATTTCAGGTTATTAATATTTAATTAATAAAAATGATTACGAACTATTCATAATTATTTTGCTGAATTACTAATTTAATAAATGGGTATTCATCAAACAATTCAATAGTTATTGTTTATAGTGTAAAAAAAGAGAATAATTAATGTGTAGCGGTACTTTTACAAAATATGTATAGATTTGTATTAGGTTTTAGAAATAATACAAAATAATCATGATACCTATATATTTGACCCATACAACCAGTGGGGGTTTTAGGAATTTTTTTTAGAGTGGGCCTATTATATTACCTATATATTTAACATAAACAAATATTTTTCCATTGAACATGCATTAGTTTAATTTAAATTGCCCAACTTTATATAGTTTCTTTAATATTGTACCTATTTTCTCAGGAGCTCCTGGGAAAATCAAAAGTTGATCTCGTTAAAGTGATTTAAAAGTTATGGTTATAATTAAAATTATGGGGATACCTCCCCAGTACGATTTCTTTTTAGAAAAAGTGTTATTATTGTAAATTGAAGCCAAATTGCTGTTAGAAAAATTGTTTACAGAATTAAAAAATGACGTAATATATTTTTAGTTATGCCTATTTCGTACATTTTCCTCTTTTTTCCCATTTGTTGAGAAAACTCCTGGGAAAATCAAAAAATGACTTCTTAAATTACGGTCCTAGTTATATTTACTTTCAGAAAACGTGCTATCATTCAATCGCTGTAAATCGGAGCACAATTGATAGTAGTAAAGTTGTCCACAGAAATAAAAGGCTGACTTAACTATAGATTAAAAGATTACTTGAATTTTCTAGTTTTTTTCCCAGTTTATCTAACTTGATAAAAATATATTATTGTATATTATGCATTATTTAATATTTTTCATGTAATGTGTATGGGACGTTCATAAAAAAAGATTAATTTGCCAATTATTTTCGTTTTTTTTTTTTCAAGTGTTCAATGACAAACTAATTCAAAATCTAAACTCAGATTCTTGAGGGGAACAGTCCAGACCGATTTTTACCTGTAGAAATATTTTTTTAAATATCTGCAGCAATAGAATTTCGAAAGTTAAATGGGCAATAAACAGATAAGTTAAACGATTTTAGGAGCTGAGTAGGTAACATATGTACAAAATTGGACGTTAGCAATAAAATTTCAAAAAAAAGAGCTTATACCGGGGATGGGAGCGGCTAATGTTGTATGTGAGAAGTTGAGAAGGTAGGATTCATAAGAATATTTCATTTATATCTGTAAGCAACGATGAACCATTGCTTGACGAAAGACGATTCCGAGCGCAGTTCGGTAATATATTATTTGAAAAAAAAAAAGTCGACCGATGATTTTGGAAACTTTACCATGTTTAGGTAAGTATAAATATTATTACCATGTTTCAAGTTTCTACATGTATTTACAGCAAAAAAACTCCCAAAAATTAAAATTCCTTAAAAGCTCAAAAGTTTTGGCGATGATACTGTAAGAAAGTAAATCAAAAAAGGTATCTCGTGATATTTTGATTAAATCATTTTTCTGGTAGAAAGCGTCGTCTGTGTTATTATGAAATAATGAAATCATGAAATTGTACGTTTCCTATTTTTTTTCCCCCCATTTAAGTGCTTTTATTGAAAAAATGGCGTTGAAAATCAAAAAATGATCTCTCTGAGGTACAATCTAGACAATTTGGGCTTTCAGAAAAAGTACTAAATACATACATCGGAACAAGTTTACTAAGAAAAAAACGTGTCCACAGACTAGAACGAAGAAAGAAAAAAATAATAGTAAACAGCATTGCTAAACCAATAGCTCCCTCGCTACGCTCGGAATCATAAATTAATTAAAAAATTAATTTGTTTGTGTTATATAAGTAGATATACCCCATACATAGGAGGTATGAAATCCCTAGAGCATTTAAGCACTAAAAATCGGTAGTTTTTCAACGTACCCTTGTGGGATCTTCACATATATACATATATATAGGTACGTTAGGTGCACTTCATATTAAAAGTATCCCCCATTTCTGATTTTTAGATTAGGAATATCTCAGCGGGATTTAGTGATAAGATAATGGTTTCAACGCCAAATGATTTGACTTGTCACCCCACACAAGTCCTCTCCATAATTTGAATCCCTTCCAAGGGACTTGGTCTGTAATTTATTCGGTCACAATCAAATTTTGGAAACGGTCTCTAAGTCACCTCAAGACCATTCTCACCAAATTTGGTAACCATCAGAAAGGAAACGTTCCAACATGATCGGCGAGACATCTATACATTAAGTATACCACCGCAGGATTTGTTGATATAAAAGAGTAGTTAAAATTCCAAAAAATTAGGCTTGGACCCCCGTACAAGTCCCTTTTATAAGAGTGTATTAGTGAGTCATCCCTTTTTTTATCTCTTCCGGTCTGTTTCAGATGTAGGTATATAGGTGCATAACTCATTTTTCGACTTCGAGAAAACCAAAAAAAAAGTCGCTGTAAATAAGTTACCGATATAAATGTGATATTTTAATATTGGTCCTCATTTCTAATTTTTATCTATCTATCTGGTTTAAATGAAAAAAATTAATAATAATAAAAATTTGAAGGGAATTTTTTAACAAAAAAATGTGGAACGCTTCACGATTTTGCGTGTCATCCTTGCGCAGGGGCCATGCTAATCTTCTCTGTATCGTTCCAATTTTAGTATATGTACTGCCGAAGCATGTACAAAGTACTCTTATGAACATTTGGTATATATACTATGCAACGTGTTCAAAGTGAACACAAGCGAGAATTTTGCGCGACGTGTTCGCTGTTTAACGGTGAGCAGTAAACTACTTATCCGAAATACGAAAACGCCACTAGATGGCTCTTGCAATAACGCTTATGAGTATTATGTGACTTCTCTACATATTTTTATCAGACTGTACCAATAATTTTATTATACATAAAAATTAACACAATTNAAAAAATCGAAATGTTGTTATACGAGAATTGTTCTTATTTTCCGACTTAAAAGAAAACCTAAAAAAAAAAAAGAGCCCATGTAAATACGTCATTGTTATAAATGTGATATTCAGTGTTAATTTTCTGTCAAATGTATTTTGAATTCTTACGCGTGTATGTACTTAGTTTAAATAAAAAAAAATATTAGTAATTATAAAATGAAATGAAATTTTTACAAAAAAATGTGGAACGCTTCACGATTTTGCGTGTCATCCTTGCGCAGGGGCCATGCTAATCTTCTCTGTATCGTTCCAATTTTAGTATATGTACTGCCGAAGCATGTACAAAGTACTCTTATGAACATTTGGTATATATACTATGCAACGTGTTCAAAGTGAACACAAGCGAGAATTTTGCGCGACGTGTTCGCTGTTTAACGGTGAGCAGTAAACTACTTATCCGAAATACGAAAACGCCACTAGATGGCACTTGCAATAACGCCTATGAGTATTATGTGACTTCTCTACATATTTTTATCAGACTGTACCAATAATTTTATTATACATAAAAATTAACACAATTTGTATTTATACCGGAATTATACTCGGTGACGTGAGTGCGACCCATTGTGACCCTCCCCAATTACGTCACTGACAATAATAGTGCAATGGAATGCATTCCAGAAGATTATTTATTTACCGACAGCTTATCGGATTAACACTCATGCATGAAAAATAATTCCCAGAAGAGTACAAAATACAGTACACATGTCACATAGAGGTACCTATATTATGTTTTTGTTGTCTGGTAGCCGCGTATGCCGCCAATGATTAGTGGATAAAGGCCTGTATCAGAGCGGTACATTAGTTACCACGGCTAGAACATATTTTAGAAAACGGACATACTTAAGAGTAATATCATATTGAGAAATACAGAAAATGAGAAAACTTAACTATAGAGAAAAAAAAAAAAGGTCGAAGGTGGGATATATCCACCAAATCCCCCATCCACCGGTAAATACGCCACTGCATGTATTGAGAAACAGTTTTAATTTGTGACTTTAGATAATTAGATCATGATCTAAGTCTTTATACGTATACAAATTACCATTTATATGCAGTATGTACAGAATTTTACACGTCACAGCAACTTTCTCTTAGAAATATACCAATTTAGATAATAATGTACAAAGACACAATTTTTTATTTTTGTGTTGAATAATTCAATAAAAAATCATAAGTGGGTTTGGAATTTTTATACGTCCTTTTTAGTGGTCATCTAAGCGCTTGTGTGGTAGCACCGCACGGCACACGGTATTAGAATAATGCTCCACTACTCACCCCCTGCCAAAACTAAAAAGTGAAACATCTCGTCAACGAGTAGACGGAAATCAAAAGTTTCAACGCCAAACTTTATTTGAACGAATACCTATTTTATCCGTCTATGGAATTTTGAATTTAGATTGATATTTGAATTTCAAAAGTTGACATCCAAATCCCTCACCAAAAAGACGTTGTAAACATTTCAAAATGTGATATTACCTACACTATTGATTAATAAAAATGTTTCGTTATACATTAATCTCTATTTTGTATATTTATAGGACAAAAATACTGTAGTATACAACCTGTAAATAATTTTTTTTTTTTCACATTACCTAACCTAAATATGACATAACTTAAAAATGACATATAGGTATTTACGTAGGCCGTAGACGTTATGAAAACTACCACGCACAATGGAGTAAAAAGTATTATTTATGTGTCCATTGATATTTTAAATTCTGAGCGTAGTTAGCAAGGAATGTATTGATTTTACTAAGATGTGTGTTTTTTTCTTGTCTGCCTGTAAATGTTTTTACCAGAAATCTCACTCCAATCAAAAAATGCTAAGAGATCTTTGTTTGCCGCATTTTGGATCTTGTTGGTTGTCTAAGTAAACACAATAATAATTTCCAGAATATTGGAAAAAAATAAAGGAAATATAGGAAATTTTCGGCATTAATTTGGTTTCGCTATTTTCAGTTTTGGTTTTTTGTATTTAAATCGGTTAAAAATTATTCAAGTGAGTATATTTATCATAATCTACGTTTTTTTTGTTTATTAGTTATTGTACATGTGAAAATACACGTTAGAAAAGAAAAAAAAATCGAAATGTTGTTATACGAGAATTGTTCTTATTTTCCGACTTAAAAGAAAACCTAAAAAAAAAAAAGAGCCCATGTAAATACGTCATTGTTATAAATGTGATATTCAGTGTTAATTTTCTGTCAAATGTATTTTGAATTCTTACGCGTGTATGTACTTAGTTTAAATAAAAAAAAATATTAGTAATTATAAAATGAAATGAAATTTTTACAAAAAAATGTGGAACGCTTCACGATTTTGCGTGTCATCCTTGCGCAGGGGCCATGCTAATCTTCTCTGTATCGTTCCAATTTTAGTATATGTACTGCCGAAGCATGTACAAAGTACTCTTATGAACATTTGGTATATATACTATGCAACGTGTTCAAAGTGAACACAAGCGAGAATTTTGCGCGACGTGTTCGCTGTTTAACGGTGAGCAGTAAACTACTTATCCGAAATACGAAAACGCCACTAGATGGCACTTGCAATAACGCCTATGAGTATTATGTGACTTCTCTACATATTTTTATCAGATTGTACCAATAATTTTATTATACATTTATTATACATAAAAATTAACACAATTTGTATTTATACCGGAATTATACTCGGTGACGTGAGTGCGACCCATTGTGACCCTCCCCAATTACGTCACTGACAATAATAGTGCAATGGAATGCATTCCAGAANCCCTTTTTTTATCTCTTCCGGTCTGTTTCAGATGTAGGTATATAGGTGCATAACTCATTTTTCGACTTCGAGAAAACCAAAAAAAAAGTCGCTGTAAATAAGTTACCGATATAAATGTGATATTTTAATATTGGTCCTCATTTCTAATTTTTATCTATCTATCTGGTTTAAATGAAAAAAATTAATAATAATAAAAATTTGAAGGGAATTTTTTAACAAAAAAATGTGGAACGCTTCACGATTTTGCGTGTCATCCTTGCGCAGGGGCCATGCTAATCTTCTCTGTATCGTTCCAATTTTAGTATATGTACTGCCGAAGCATGTACAAAGTACTCTTATGAACATTTGGTATATATACTATGCAACGTGTTCAAAGTGAACACAAGCGAGAATTTTGCGCGACGTGTTCGCTGTTTAACGGTGAGCAGTAAACTACTTATCCGAAATACGAAAACGCCACTAGATGGCACTTGCAATAACGCCTAGGAATGCAACGAGTGACGATTTCATAGTCTCGCTTTTACTATGCTTTTATACTGCAACCTACTTATGTTATATATATTTTTGAACAATAATAATAATAATAAAAAAATTGATACCGGGGACGGATGTGGCTACTGTCGTAGGTGGGTGCGGGACAGTGCATAGTCGGGATGGTTGTATACTTAGTCATTCAATTTATATCTATTTGAAATGTGTACCTACTTAACGAAATTCGAAACAGCAAATAATTTAATTTTGCAATGTTTTTTTTTTTTTTCAAATCGCATTTTCGATTATTTTCCACGTAAGATCAAACAATCATCTAGTTAGTTACCACTACTAGTTATTATTTAATACGCTTTACGTTGTTTGATATTTTAAGTATTTGGAACATTTGGTAGGTAAAATGGTCGTTTGGTGTTTCATCAAGGCCCCCGTAAACGATCGAATTTGTTTGTAAAAAACTCCGTGTTTTCGTCAAACAAATTTGTCAAACCATCCCGTGGTTTCAGGTTTCTCCTTGCCGCTAAGTGTCGTTACATAATATCTATTCACATAATCACAATTACAGCGTAGCAATTATCTATAAACACAGGATTCTTGTTCTCACGAATGTTATCGAATTATCACAAGACCGTGTTCTAGAATATTCTTGATCTCGAAGTCGGTGATATCAGACTGATAACATTTGTACCTATATAAATGTTTACCGTTGTTGATTTGCTACGAAATAGAAGTTGCTACGAAATCGTTATTTTGAATTATTTAAAAGGTTCACGTTTAATGAGTATTTCAAGATGCCCCAAGGTCGTCGAAAATTACCTTTCAGTGGTAAACAAAAAAAATTACAAATACAAGAAAAGAGAAAAAGGAAACAATTAAACGCTACATCAGGTATACTGGTGTTCTAAACACCTTTTATTTTATATGTTCGAATGAAAACTTAAATCTTAATTGGATATTTTTCAACAGGATCTGAATATGGTTATGAAAGAACAGAAAAAAATAATGTTAAACTGCCCAGAGAACGTTTGCCAAACTTTGACATTCAGAGTATTAACCAACAGCCTTTACATTGTGGTGGTCGATCAAATCCCAACCAGTGTGTATTACAAACTACCATATTCATTAATTTATATAGCTGAATATTATTTTGAAATTTCATTAAATACAATCCTAATTGAGTACTATGGTACTTGTTGGTTTTAATGAAATTGAAAAAAAATAGAAATTTCTAAATCCATACCTATCTACCTATTTTAAATTTATTTTTAAACATTTTATGGGTAAATTGTTTTTGCGCGAGTTATTGGACCATCTTACTCTACATCATACATCTAATACTCCAATTCTCCTTAGCTGTTATTGAGGGCGTTGTTCAAAACCGCACATTTTACATCGTTCAATACCACACACATTTTGTCTATTGTTAAAAATGGAAATTTGGAATGTTGATAATTCAAAACCGCACACATTTGATTGGTAGAGAAAAGCATTATAGGAGGAATTAGAGACCCCATGTGGTCATTCGCTCCCTGCACTCGAACAATTTTAATCGAAAATAACCTTCAATTTGTTGGGTAACACCACGTTCGATAGAACAAAAAGTAAAATGTGTGCGGTATCATTTTGTGAAAACTTTATAAATTCAGTTTTTAATGACTACCTTTTTTTGAAAGTGTGCGGTCATGATGATAGCCCGTTCTTAATTTTCAGTCTGACCTTCCATTTAGAGATTCTACACCACTCATGGGTGTCTATATTAATATCAAACATTTTCTCTTATATATATATATATATTTCTGATTACATTGAGTACCATTATATATATTTAAAATATTGATCTACATTTGTAAGCGAAATTTGTTAGGTGTTTTTTATTTGAAATAAATAAAACAAGTACGTGTATAATACACCCATGTATATCGGCATTGGATAGTTGCTTACATTGTTAATAATTAGCTATTCTTGAACTTACATTATAGTATACAAAAACAGGTACAACTTATAAAATAACAATATTACAAGTTAACAAGAACTTCAAAATAAATGGAGTTTTATTACCAATTTATATTTAATTTTATTGTGTTTTTAAATTTGTATAATTTGTTTGGCTTAGGTATGTGCTACAATTTCGCCGAGAAACTGAAGATGAGATGAAAAAAAGAAAGGAAGATGCAAGGAAAGAAATTATACCAGTCTCTGAACAGGAACTTGAATTTGATCCCTCTCCTTTTTTTTGTGGTGATGAGCTTCGGTTTCCAATAAGACCTAAATGGAGTTCAGCCATGACTAGAGAACAGTTAGACAGTCGAGAATATGGCTATTTTAAGGATTATTTATTGACACTTAAGAAACGAAATGATTTTGATGAATTAAGTTATTTTGAGTTAAATTTGGAAACCTGGCGGCAAATGTGGCGTGTCATGGAAATGTCTGACATTCTTGTTTGGATAGCTGACGCTCGTTATCCAGTTAGTTAATTAAAGTTTCTGTACTGGTCTAGTAGATCCCCGCCCAGAAAGTATTCCGCCGCCACTCAAGTTGACATTTTCATCTCCTATGTTCTCTATGTTTTAATAGTAATGTGCATTAACTCATATTTAAAAATGTATAAAAATGATACCAAAACTATTTAAAGCATTTATTATCATAAATATGTATTTATGTATTGTACATTTAAACTAAAAATTCAAGTAGTCAAAATAAAAGTAGATAAATTATACATGAATAAATAAATTTGTTGGTTTAAGGATACCCGCTGTTATACCTCTTATATTTTAATTTTACTATATGGATTTTACCAAACATTATTTTTAAAATATTTAATAAGTATAAATTTTGTACCTTTTTTTATCGGCATTTTATACATTTTATAACAAATGATTAGAACATTGAAATATGGGAGATGTAAATGATGGGCGTCAACTAAACCTGTGTGACAGGGGAAATACTTTCTGGGCGGGGTCAACTAGACCAGTACCAAAATGTTTCTATTAATTCTTTTTTAACTTTGTAATTTTAATCACTTATTTATTTTAGGCTGTTCCAACATACTTGTTTACATATGTATTAAAAACATTGAAGAAGAGTTTGATAATTATTTTAAATAAAGTGGATCTTGTACCATCAGCTATTGCTTTGGCATGGAAGGACAAAATAATACAGACACATAATTTAGATGATGGCGATAAAGCTAAGGTTCACGTGTTATTCTTTACTTCTTATACAAATAGTTCAGAATTTAAAGAAGGTAATGATAATTGATAATAATAATGAAAATTATTATTAAAAATGTATAATGTTAATGGAGATCAGTTTTAGCTTACATTGCAATCAAAATATTTATAGACATAATTAATAATAATAATGGTATTACTTTTGTATGTAATCTATAGATGTAATTTGATATATTTACAACTAATAAAGATAATTGGCAGAGCAAACTGCATTTTGGTAGATTGCATAGAACACTAATACTGTACTGTCTGTACTAAAAATTGATATATTTATTAGGCATACAGAAAAAAAAACCAAGAGGTAAATTAAAGATGGCTGCAGAAGCTGCTGAAAGTTTGTTAATAGAATGTAAAAGTATAATTGAAAAATATCAAGCAAAAAGTAAGTTTAAAAAAATAAATTTCAAATTATAATAGAAATATCATATTTTTTTTTTTTTTTTTTTAATTGTAGTTGATTTACAGAGCTGGGAAAAAAAAATTTCTGAAGAAAAAGAACTAGTATATGATAATGAAGAAGATGTAGAAATTGAAGAAAAAATTATTGTGAGTTATTACTTACTTTAAATAAAGTTTATGGATGATTTAACAGATATATTTTATAATAATCATTAATAAATGTTAACATTTGTTAGGTTTAAAAATGTATTATCTTTTTATACATTAGTAAATATGTTAGCTAATACATTGATTTTAAATGATTTTTGATCTTGAAAGTATACTTAAAGAAAAATCCAATATTAATTTAATATATTTGAAAAAATTAAAAAAAAAAATTATTTTTTTTCTAGGCTGTTCCAGATACAAGTTATGAGCATTCTGATTTATTTCAAAATAATTATCTTACAATTGGATTACTAGGACAACCTAATGCAGGGAAATCATCAGTTTTAAATGCTTTAATGGGCAAAAAGGTGATAAATTTATATTATAATTTATTGATTCATTTTTTTCTAATTATTATTATTTTTAAGGTTGTGAGTGTTTCTCGAACTCCTGGACATACAAAACATTTTCAAACAATTTTTTTAACTCCCAATGTTCGTTTGTGTGACTGTCCTGGGCTTGTTTTTCCATCGAAATTACCGAAACCATTACAAGTATAAAACATTTAAAAGGATACAAATGAAGTAACATTACTCAAGTTATTTTATGTTTAATATTAGGTTTTAATGGGTTGTTACCCTATTGCACAACTCCGTGAGCCTTATTCATCCATTAAATTTTTGGCTGAACGGTTGAATCTGGTTAAATTACTGAACTTACAACATCCAGAACCTGGTGAAAATGAATGGTCTGCTATAGACATTTGCGACAGTATGTAAATTAAATACCTATGTACATAAAAATAAAAAAATAAAAAATGATTTATCCAATGCTTTGTTATTTATATTATGATGTAGGTTGGGCAATTAAACGTGGTTTTATTACTGCTAGAGCAGGACGACCTGATACATATCGTGCTGCTAATAATTTACTTCGTATGGCACTTGATGGGAAAATTTGCTTAGTATTGAGGCCTTATGGATTTACAGTCAATAAAAGTATGAAATCTTTAAAAAAAAATTTGAATTTATGTTTTTAAATTCCTATCTTATTTATTTATTTTTAGAAAATTGGTCTTCTTCTGTACTTTTAAAAGACATATGGAAAGTTAAAGGCATTGTAGATGAACCTGAGACATATGAGCATAACTATGTAGAATTATCATCAGATGATGAACCGGAACAAATAAAACAAATTTCATCTTACAGTAGCAGTAGTGAAAAAGAGGACAGTGATGATCAATCAAGTGATAGTGATAATGCAGAAGTGTGTGGAGCCATTGTCTCTAATAAGTTTTCCGCGTTGGATGTGTCCGAATAAAATATACCTTAGTTTACAGTGTAAATTTTTCAATATGAGTAGGAATTAACTTAAATTTATTTAGTTCTAAAAATTTTGTTTTATTTTATAATTATAAAGTGAAAGTAAGATATCTTATTCCTTTAATTTGAAAAAAATATTGATGTTAATGATAATGTGATACTAAATTAAGTTTTAAAAACGAATTGTATTTTATTAATTTATTAACTTAGTGTCAGCACAGGAAATATTCTAAAAATGTACTAATTTGATGCTATTTTAGAATTTCATCATCAATTTTGTTTTTAAATATAAATAAGTAAAAAAAAACTTACACCATAATTGTAATTCTAACTTTCGGTTTTCCAAATTGAATGTACCCATTAGGGTGGTCCTTATTTATAAAAGAACAAAAAGTATTGATACTTTTAATATAGGACCCTCTCATTTTTTTCATTGTTATAGTAAAGTAAATTTTGTTAAATTTGGTCATAACTTCTTACCCTGTTTATGTGCTTCTGGGGTGTTGAAAAATAGTGAAAGATATAATTGAGCAAAAGTTAATGATAATTTTATTGCAGTTTTTATAAATTGTGAAATTAAAAAACTATATTAAGTGAAACTAACAAATTTTTTTAATAGATTCAATTTTGATATTAGTTTTTTTCTGCGTGGGTTTTATTTCAATTTTTTTCAGGTGTGAGGTTTCAAGTAGGTCTAACTTAACCTTTCGCTAAGCCATATAGAAATGTATACATTTATTATACCCGTGTATATTATCCTGCTTTTAATTGTCTCAATAAATTATGAATTGAAATAAACATAAATAGTAAAAAACTATTTAATATCTAAAAAATATTAAATACTTTATACTTTACCCGTAAAAACCTGTGAATAATTAATGCATACAAATATTAAATATGGTAAGTGTAGAAAAATAAAGAAAAGAAAAGCACCTAATATTCACATTATTATTGTTATCTGTAACTTGCACAAGCAAAACGCTCTAGAAAACCAAATTAATTATATTAATATAAAAGAATACTAGTAATTTTTAAGTTCAGCAAATATATCTATAGCTTTTTCTAAAATCGATAATATTTATTTCTTCTTTTTCAACATTTAGCACCATAAGATTATTTAGCCTTTAATCATCGCCCATTAAATATGACCTTTCATTTGATGCCACTGTAATAGGTAAAGTTTTTATTGATGAAATAATTTTCAATGTTTCCTTAATAGCAACCGTTTACTGTATAACCGTGAAGTTATCCAACTTTTGATCTTGAAGTTCTTTATCTATATCTGAGTTCTGTAAGTATCAGGTATGTCTGGTAAATTATAATAATCATAAACAATACATTCATTGTTTACTCAACTACTTGATAGCATATCAGTTTATTAACAGTAAAATGCTAATAATGTTAACATAAAAAAATAATTTAATTTTAATTATATAAAAACTCCATTATTTCAGCAGGCTAATTGAGATTATTTTAAAAGTTTTTACCTCAGAAAGAGGTATAAAATTGATTGAAGACTACGATTTACTATTAAATAATGAGCAATAACAACAATTAGTACTGCAAGTAGTCAGTGATTATCGTAGCCATTATTTAAAATTACATAAATAATTAATGATAATATGTTTTATATATAATTATTATTCATGTATAAAGTGTGTAAATTAGTATTAAAAAAATGTTTTAATTTAGTTGTAGTTATAAGCATATTTTTCCCTCGCATCTTATTTAAATGATATGTTGCTCTATTGACGAATTACTATTCATTTTGGCTTTATATTAAATTAAATAAATAAAGAAATAGTGATATCAATATTGTATGTTTTATTGAATATTGTACGTTCTAAAAATAAAGTAGTACAGTGAAACCTCTTTTAACGCAAGCCAGACAAATTTTTTGGTTTGGGAATAATCTCATTCATTTATTTCTTAATAGTGGACAATTCTGATAGTCTAGTGAGTTTAGGGATTCACATTATACATATTTTGTTCAGTGTTTTATTCCTTTAGTTAGGTCTAAAAAACACAAAACTACCCTTTTTGGCTATTTTTCAACACACCAGGGGTATGGAAAGGAAGTGAGTAGTCATAATTAAATTTAAATAAAATTTTTTTTTTATAATGATAAAAACTGAGGGAGGTCCTATATCAAAAATTTAAAAGTTCAAAAATAAGAACCACTTTAGAACTCATATTAGTCATATCCCTATCTACACAACTTTTATATTGGTTTTTTGAAAACTATGAAGATGAAAAAGATAAGTTTTGTTTTGCATCTTTTATTTGATCTTTATTGATATTTTTTTTTCTAACTTTGTCTAGATTTTTAAATTGTTTATTGTCGGAGGTAAGTAGATAGGTATTAACTGTTTATTAAATTGAATTTCAATAGTTGACTGATAAAGATATTACAATTTATTTTATTCATTATAAATAAAAAAAAAAACATTGTTTTTTGCTACTTACCTATTATAATAAAGTTTTTTGTAAGTTTACAGTCGTCATTCTACATATCAAGAGAAATCTACCATAGTTATGTGAAGACAAAAAATAAAAAAAAAGTACATTTGAATATTAATTTTGAAACCAGTTTTACTTTTAATTATTTAAAGTTAGACATGCATACACTTTGGGTAAATACAGGTACATCACCACATTGAATTTGAAAACTATTATGGTATTTACATAATATTAATATTTTTATTGTAAGATGATATTCTCTAACTTTTTGATTAGTAGATTAATATGACAATAATATACCATTAACACTACAAACATCTAGTCATTAAACATCATTATAAATAGATTTAGCATGATTTTGATTACTGCACAGTGAGGTATTGAATATTGACATTTATGTTGTGTTTTTCAATTTTGATGTGAATTAATATATAATATTATATGACACATTTTTAACAAAACAAAATATATTTTCAAATTAATAATATAATTCAACATTTTAAATAAATTTAATCAATAGTATTAATAACTAAGGGTATTAGCTATAAGGTTTTTAAGATGTACTATTTAGTATTGTGATCTGATTATTGACAGTCCTAATACATTCTATTTTTATAAAGTGTACAATTTTCGTACATAATACTAATGATTAATAGTATTTTAAAAATTGTGACAATCGGTATTATAACAGAGTTTGTGGAACATTTTTTAAACAATGAGTAAACGAGTAGAAAAATATTTTTGTGTGTACCGGTTTAGGTAAGTACCTATATGTTCGATTTCACATCTTATAATATAATTAGTAATGTAATTATTACAATAAGTGTTACAATTTAAAATCGTGATTTCAAGTTTTTTGTTCCAATAATAATAAAATCAAATAAAAAATTATGATATATTTTAATAATATGTAGATACCTATTTAATTTACATAATTCTACTAATACAAGTCATAGTTTAAGAACATATAGTTTTAAACTGTATATATATATATATAGGTACTTATTAGTCCTTTGATTTTTTTTGTTTTTTATGTTTCTTGTGTTTTTTATTCTTCTTTTTTTTACGTTCCTTGTCCTCGCTATCTGAAGAATCATTATCAGATGACTTGTGTTTACGTTTCTTTGACTTTTTCTTCTTCTTTTTTTTGGTGGCTGCTTGCTTCAATTTTAAAGCCAATTCGGTTTCACGGAGCTGTACTAGCGGTGTTACGTACTCCTCTTCCGATTCACTACTTGTGCTACTCACATCCAATACAATGTCTTTATTGGGGTCAATTTTGATGAAATTGCGACACTGGAACGTCAAGTGACCGGAGTAGCCACATTTCTTACACGCCGGTCTAGTCGTGGTCTCCTTGGCGAAACCCGAAAATTTGGTTTCCATTTTCTGACTTCTAAATTTGTTAACCCATACAATGGCACAAGTGTTACACAGATGTCAAGACGTAATACTGACCGTGTAATAGGTATATTGTTAATTTCACAACTAAAACGGCGAAAATTAAAGTATTAGCAGAGATTTTAAATAATAAATCATCGTTTAAGTAAATTGTAAAGCAATAAGCACTACGTCTACGATTGAATACGTTTATAAATCATAAAAAACGCATAGTTTTTATCACAATACAATATGTATTATGTAAACAATTTGTACCTTTATCGCCTTGTTTATCAGTCATATGTTTTTCCATTTCTATAATCATATTAAGTAAATCAACTATCAAGTTTGTCTTTGAGTCCGCAAATTGTGTCCTTATAATTTTGTTTCATGGCGTTAACTATGCTAAAGTTAAAGACTTCTGTCGGATTAGCGAAACGTGCTATTCCGACCGTTATACAAGCGGCCAAACATTCGTGGGAACCAAAAGAAGTGGAAACGCACACTGGTCAGGTGAGTTGTTTGTCAACGGCATTGGCAATGAATTATATCATATTTCTATAGTATATTGTATTAATATTATACCGGGTCATAGAAATGGGAAGAAAATGATTATCGTTTAGCTCGTTATATTGACAAGGAGAAACAAGTGAACCCATCATTCGCCATCAATTTGATTAACGAAGTACCGCCAGCTGCTTGTACATCACGAGTTGTATACTGTGACGGTGGTGGCGGACCACTAGGTCACCCAAAAGTCTACATAAACTTGGTAACTAGTCTTGGTAGATTTTTATAATGTTTGTTATGCATAGTTTTATTATTGACACAATGTGTAACATATTTTCTCTATTATTTCAAAATGTTTTACTTAAGAACTTTGTCACTCAAGGTTTATAGATAGTCTATAAATTATCTAAAAACCTTGCTTGTCACTAACACTAGTTTTTTCTACCTGACTCCCTTCGTAATATAAAAACAAATGAATTGCAAATTTTCATAATTTGCTACCCTCGTTAGGCTTAGAGCAAAGGGATCTATTGTACGATTTATGAATATGAGCAATTTAGGGTGACTATAATAAAAAAAAATTAAAAAACAGCACAAAATAATTTCAGTAATTTTTCGTAATTACAACTATATTATTAATTATTTTAAATATACTGGTAAATATACTTTATGTATATTATCACCGGTATCAATTCTTGTGATTATTATTTTACATGAATACAATTGCAATCATTGTCATAATCTATAATGAGTATTTGTGTCAACAAATTTATATTATTTAAAAATAAAATACAATTTTAATTTGTGTGTTAAAACTATAAAATATTCATTTCTAATAAAATAAAATAAGAATTAATACAAAATAATTTGCATTGACATAAAAAAAAACAGAACAAAAAATGCCTTGAAAGATCAGGACATCAGGACACAAAGCTGAACAAAATGGACATTCCTGCATAAAACAGAACATATGGTCACCCTAAAGTATTTATTACTATATGGATTCTACAAATTATTTGTTTAATATTTTAATATCTCTGCAACTTATTAATTGTTAAAATTAAATAAAATAAAAATGCAAATATCTTGATAAAAAATATATATATATTAAAAAAATAAATAATTTGTAGGATCCATATTAGATATTATTTTTTTAATTTTTTTTTTTTATATAAAAAGGATAATAGGTCACTTTTCGTTATACACTACCGGAAAAAAACAAACATGGAGATATAAAATGTCTTTGTTGCTATAATACGTGCGAGACAGACAGAGAAAATGTTAGGATTTTTGTCCATCAACATTTTTATGACCAATTAATCACATATTTGTTGGTCAAAGTTATCATTTAGTAAAAACCTCTTGTTTTTAAAATTATATTCAGATGTAATATTTAAATGAAAAAAATGTACTCAAATTGCCAAATTATCAATCAAAGTGTTTTAAATTTTAGTTCAATATAATACTTTCAAAATATTATTTTAGTTTTGTATTATAACAAAACAATTTTGTTGTAATTTAGATATGGACCGTTAATTTTAGAAATACATTTGCTATCTAACTACTGACAAAATATTCAAACATGTTTAACTAGCTAAAATTTCAATAAGTTATTTTGATGAAATTTTAACTTTTATTTTGTTTATTAAAGTATTTAAATAGGTATTTAACAATGTTCAATGAATTAATAAAAATTGCATATTTTTATTATAAATTAAAATTTTTAAATGTAGTATATTTAATGGTTTTGTTTTTCTTTTTATTTAGGACAAACCAGGCAATCACTCCTGTGGTTATTGTGGCTTAAGATTTTTCAAGAAAGATGGTCATCACTGATCACCATGAATAGATAAAAAGTTTTATTTGAAGGCCGTGTTGATATTAGAAATAAATTAAATTTGTTTAAAAGAATCTAGAATGTATTGATTAAAATATGATTTATACCTAATCAATATTTTTATATAATTATTAATATTAATAAATGTTAACTTAAAAGACAAGCCAAGAGATTTATAATTCTTAAAAGATGTATTAGTACCTGATTGTAATACCACATTGAAATTTCATAGTATGGTTAATAACGTTGGCGTTTAAATACCTTATAAAACACCCTGACTGTTATGTATTAAATTTATATTCACAATTAAAATTAAAATATATTTAAAGAAAAAAACAAACACACTGGAAAACATTATTAAATCAGCCAGTTCAAATTAGAATAATATTTACTTTTAGTAATTCATTTTGTAAAATAATATACAAGTATAGTAGTGTATCAAATGTATTAGATAAAATATAAAATTACTGTAAACATATGGACACTGGTAAAGTTTTTGAATTTCAATCGATTTCAGTAAATTTTAGGATAATATACATACAAATAGTTTGGCAAAACCATAAATCTTTATTATAAATCAGGATTTTATACAGGGTATTAGGTAAATCTTATTACAAATCTCCATGGTAAACATTCTGATAGTTTCTAATTTGTTTCAAAGAGATAATTTTGCATTGTAATTCAGTAAAAAATAATTTTAGAAACATTGTGGTTCTTGCTTCACAAGCAAATTCACATATTATTTAATATGTCCTTACCCAAATCATCTCTTATGAATATAAATCTATTAACTTCAATGCACATCATAGTTGAATTTTTATCAAATACCGCAGAAAGTAAAAAAAAAAAGACAGGCATACTTCACACTTGGGTGCAGCCAATTGTAGGTGGGAAATTGGGATAGTAGGCTACAGACGGGAATTTAATGTATATCTGTAATCAAAAATGAATCATTGCTATCGAAAAAACAATTCTGAGCTAAGTTCAGTTGATAATGTTGCTTTTTCAGCAATATAATACATGTTATTATGTCATATTATGGTAAAATGATTAAAACAATGTGCATTTTCACGACAACAATAATTGTTTAAAAAAGATCAAAATGATAAAAACGTAATAATAACGAAAAATAAATCAAAACGGTTGTCAACCTTATTTTTAATCTTTCAATCTTATTTATTTTAAAGACCTAGGTTTTCCTCATTATCTTGAATATTAATGAGAATTTCAAAAAATGACCTCTAAGTACCACCCAAAGAAAATTTCCGTTCAGAAAAGGTGCTAAGTATACATAAATAATCTGAGTATACTTTCTGGTAAAAGAAGTGTTCACATAAAAAAAAAAATGAATATTGTAAAACCAATACATTCCTCATTATACTCAGAATTTAAAAAAAGTATACACAGTAATAAATTGGACTTGAAATTTTATGCAAGTACATAATTTTATTGAATGCAGATATCTAATTTCTGATTAAAATTATTTGTTTCATTACACCCTGAAAAAAATAAGATTTTTATTTTAAATATTTTCACATATTTAATGTTAATATTTATTTTTAAATATTTTATCAAAAAGTACATATTTTGTATATTCATATGTACATAGGTAATAAATTTAACAGAAATATTGACAGTAACAATTGAGTATTTATTATATTGGACATTTTATCCGGAGGAATAATACAAATATATTTGATTATATACCCATTAAAAACGGCGGTTCACAAAATAAAAAAGCTACTAGAAATATTCTGAATAAAACTGAAAACACATAATGGCAATTGAATTTAAGTATGCCATCTGATAATGTATCAAGTATGAAATATGTTCCATTATCCTTGGTGGGCGTTAAACGTTCTTTCAGCCTTTACATATCAATTTTGAGACCTAACTGCTGTATATTTAAATTTGAAAAACTCCAAATGTATATTATTTCCAAGAAGACAACCACGAACATGAATAAATAAAAAGACGGACAAACTTCGCACAATGGGTGGGCAACTGTTTGTCAGAAGTTGAGAAGGTAGAGGGGAATAATTAACTTTCAGAAAAAAACGTGCTAAATTTGATAAATCAGAACAAGACTTTCGGTAAAAATCTCGTGGATAGCATAAATTATAATAAATATTATTTAGTTTTATATAGAAACTAGATATTTATTACATTAATTTATATGATACTTGTCACGAAAAAAAAAAATTATATTCAATATAATTCAACATCAACACTATTATTATTATTTTTATTTACTCAACAGATTGTTATTTTCCATACACATGTTCCGCAGGTAGTTATCTATGTTTAAAAATTCCCCTTAAACGTCTAAAGCTAATTGGGGGAGGTATAATGGTTATACTATTTGTAAACAGTACTTTGCATTATATATTATGAGTAAGGATAACAAGTGAGGGTTAAAAACATGTACACACTAAAGTTCACATATGGCGTATATTATATTATATATGGTGTCCGAATATTGCCATCACAATAGGATTAAAACTGCGTAATGCGCTTCTGGCCATTAATATATTATGCGCAAGTGTAATAATTTATCAGGCTATTCGAATTACGGATTGCCGACAGCAAATGCAGCCCATATGTATTATTTTTTTTAAATTTTTGAACCGCCCGGTTCAGAAAAAAGAAGCCACGGGGGAGGGGGGAAGGTCAGTGGGTTATAAGGTACGCGTCCATAGGTACGCATCGTATGAAACGGATTTGAGAATTATTAGTATAGTAAGTTATACATGTGCGTCCGCTGACCGGCAACGGACGGACCGCACGCATCGGTCCGTCGGTAATGCCGACGAAATTGATCAAAGGGGTAACTTTTCCGACTGGTGCGGATGACGTCATACGGATTGCCGATAAGTGGACGCGTGCCACAACCGGTCGTCAGTGATCGCCTCACTGACCATTTGAATTTTGTTGTATTTCGACAATCGGTACACACGTGTTTTAATTATAATATATTTATTATTTTAACTATAATTATTATTACGCATATCATGGACATCGCAAGGCTAATAACAATTGTACAAGAGTACGAACAGTTGTACAATTCAAAACACCATCATTATTCAAATCAACAAAGACGAGATAATATTTGGGAAGAAATTAGAAAAAGATTAAATCAAACTGGTAAGTTTATTCATATTTAAATATAATTAGTTGGTAAAATAAAGCTATTTAGGTACAAAATGTTTAGTTAACCACTGTATCATAAGAGTCACGTGAACCTCCTCCCAGCTCGAACACTCCTTAATTGCCATTCTACTGACCCCGCTGCTGAATTGAAATAACTTTTGAAACCATCCCTAACTGCTAGAGCATCTGTTTTCGAATTTCCACCTATATTTCTTGAGTCTTGCAGTCCTCTCATGTTGGAAATAAAAATATTCAAATCATTTTCTGTCCAGTGACACGTGTCATTTCTTAGAAAGTTGTGCAAGCAGCATGTAGCCATTACCACACTCATAATGTGTTCTTGAGACATAGGACAATTTACGTTCGAAAATTCTAAATTTCCGTGCCAATATTCCAAACGTATTTTCCACAGTATTTCTAGCACGACTCAACCGATAGTCAAACACTTTTTTTTCTTCGTTTCTTTGTGCATCGTCGCGTGAGTATGGTCGCATTAAATTCGTGCATAATGGGAACGCTTCATCACCAATTATGACGTGAGGTAATACGTCGTTGCCCCCTGGTAGTATTTTTGGTGAAGGTATATTTAGTGTTCCGTTCTGTAAGCCTTTACCCAAATTAGAATTTCGCAAAATGCTAGCATCAGAGTTTTTACCAAAAGCCCCAATATCTACGAGTATGAATTTATAATTTGCATCCACTAAGGCTAATAGCACCGTACTAAAGTGTTTTTTATAACAAAAATAATTTGATCCACTGTGAGGTGGTGCCTGTATCAACACGTATTTTCCATCAATGGCAGTAATCGCGTTAGGAAAATTCCATTTTTCACGAAAACCTTCTTCCGATTCTCTCCATACTTCTTCACAGGCCTGGGCAAGTTAATGAATTTTTTAACTAATTTAAGTTAAGTTACCAATTAAGTTAATATGGTAATCACACCAATTAAGTTAAAGATTAAGTTAACAAATTTGGTTAACTTAACTTAATTTTAATTAATAAGTTAAGTTAATTACAAGAAAAAAATAAAAATTCGTAAGGTGTCAAAGTAAGAGATTTCTATTCATAATTTACAAAACTTAATAAACATTACAATGAAAACAAATAAATTAACCTCAGCCATGCATGTTTTCTAATTTTTTACCCTACATTAATGTAGAAAAAAGTATTTAGATAAAATTTCGTTGTTAAGATGGTTTTAAAATACTCAAATGTCAGATTTATGATAATTTTTGTAGTTTTATTCATTTGTCACTCATAATGATAATATCACATAATAATAATTCACTGTGGAACAATGACCAAATGTTAAATAATTATTTTATTGAATAGTCTTTTAAATTTGCAATTATTCATTCCAATACCTATAAAAAAGTCTTAATGTAATATTTATTATTAAAAATTATGTGGCCATTTGAGTTTATTTGATCTGTTCTCTTCTTGGTGTTCTTGATTTGTACTAAAAACTTAAATCACAAATTTCTTTACATAAAAAATGTTAATACTTAATATCAACAATGAATCAGGTAGTCTCCGTTTATTACACAATTGCTTAATGGTTTGTATTAATTAAATATTGTTTTCTAATCATCATTGTACAAGAAAAGATGAGGATACTTTAACATAGCACCTACAAAACAATTACTAATTTAGTAATTCAGGTATTTGAATACAAATTAAGAAAATTTAAATTGTAATAACAATAACATAATATGAAGTAGACTATAAAACTATCAAGAAAAGTATTAACACGTTCCTAAAATTAAGGAATAGTAAAATATCCTGAATATCTACTGTTTGGTTCAAGTATTACAGAATATATTTTTGAATATAAACCATATAGCTGGGTTCTAAAAACGTATATGGCATATGGACAATATACGTATGTNACATTCTCTAGACAAAGCACTAGATGTAGATTGTAGATTATATTCTTGAGAATTTATTTCTGTTGTTGAATAATCAACTACAGCTTCTATAAAAGTATTCTTAATGCCGTTCCGTTCTTCTTGTGTAACCCAATTTAATTTAAATTTTGGAACTAAACAGGCTGCAATTTGGCACATCTTGGACTGCATGTATATCATGAATCTAAAAATTAAAATATAAATGATTTTATGAAGTTATTTCAATACAATTTTTATATTTACTTATTTTAAATATATATTAATCAAATTATGTATAAAACAAATTAAAATAATGACTATCTAACAATTAATTTAATTTATCTTTTTGAGGCAATATTAGAATACAGCATTTAACTTTTCCACTATTTTGACAAAAATATTGATACTAAGAACCATAAATTATTAAAAGTTTTAAAACAAAATGCATGGTATTTACATTTATTAAAATATAGTTAATAAAAAATAAAATTAAAATTCTGGTTCTAGTGTTGGTATATTAATTATTATGTAATACGAATACCTAATTTAATTAACACAAAATTATGTTTTTAACATTTTCTTAAGCATTTCAAGCATTTAGTTACTTAGTTAAGTACTATTTTAAACAGAAATATTACCTTTTATTTAATCCTCGTTGAAGAGCATTCACAAGTGGTTTGTAAAAAAATAATATTGTTCATTTCACTTAAAGATTTTTGAAAAGCATTAATCGCGGGAAGCAAATATCCTAATGATACATTACTAAAAACTTAAATCACAAATTTCTTTATATAAAAAATGTTAATACTTAATATTAACAATGAATCAGGTAGTCTTCGTTTATTACACAATTACTTTATAGTTTGTATTAATTAAATATTGTTTTCTAATCATCAATTGTACAAGAAAAGATAAAGATACTTTAATATAGCACCTACAAAACAATTACTAATTTAGTAATTTAGGTATTTGAATATAAATTGAAAATTTCAATTGTAATAACAATAACATAATATGAAGTAGACTATTAAACTATCAAGAAAAGTATTAAAACATTCCTAAAATTAAGGAATAGTAAAATATCCTGAATATCTACTTGTTTAGTTCAAGTATTACAGAATATATTTTTGAATATAAACCATATAGCTGGGTTCTAAAAACGTATATGGTATATGGACAATATACGTACGTATATTGTATAGGTACATATAGGTACATATAGGTACTATAATATACCAACCTAATTAATTCATTTGTTCAATAGGTATTATTTTATATAACTATATTGATAATAATATTATAATATTTCTGTAATCAATATAACTTACTTGGATAATTATCGTCCATATTTAATAATCAATAATGGTGATTTGTGTGACAAAACAAAAATGTCGATCCTTTGCGCTTTGTATCCTTTGTAGTTAAATAATAATGCGAAAAGTAAAATAATACACAATACTGCAAAAACAACTATCAACACTAACAGCTAACACAGTAGTGTCGTTTCCATGGAAGTAAGCCGTAGGGATATAAGAAAAATGTATAATACTATTAACACTAATACATAACATATTTATTTATATATATTAGATAAAGTAGACGGCTACTATTCACAACAATAACAATATAATTCATGGACTCATTGCTATTAATATACTTACTGCCTATTGGCTATTATAGACTTATAGTCATTTATACGATCCGAATATTGTTTCCCGGTACCCCTATTATTGTGCTCAAAATGTTCTTATCTTTTAATAAAAATATATNTCCACGAACTTGTAATCGAACTTTGGATTGAACAAAAATGTTTTTCTGGTTTTGAAATTCAAAATTAACTTAATTGATAAAAGTGAAAAAAAATACGTTAATTTTAAGTTAACCTTGGAGAAAATGAGTTAAGTTAATTTTATCTGAAGGAATTAAGTTAAGTTAATAAGTTAACATAACTTAAATTTTAAAATAATAAAGTAAACAATAATAAATATTTTATGTTTATTAATAATAAACACAAAAAAATTGGAAACTTAAAATGCCTGTAAACAGTTCAAAACAAATCAAAATATTTTAATCGTGTATAGAAAATGCTAATATAAAAATTCAGTCGAAATGTCATATATCTACATTCTACGGTCATTTCTTTTAAAGATACACCAAAAACCAAAATCGGTTTTGTATTTGTAAAATTAGGCAATCCGATCGCTACGTATACAGTGGACGCACTACCATAAATTGATCCGTTTCATACGATCCGTCCGATGCGTACCTATGGACGCGTATCTATAATCTCTACCACCTCCCACTCGATTGTTGTCGACCACCAAATTGTTGATCCCAAATCGATTGTTGACTCGTTTGAGTCAATTATAGGTGCGTGTTTAAGAACCAAGAAAATTGCAAACTTAAAAGTTAAAACCCTCCACAAAATTTGTTTGGCTAGGTAGGTACCGGGGTTGCCAACCGTCCCGATTTTAGCGGGACATTCGCGATTTGCGTGTTTTTTTTTCCCGCGTCCCGATCGATGTTGCGGGATACAGTTTCCCCGGGACATTGGGAATATAATAATTTGTATACAAATATCTTTTCCACATTTGTACAAACGATTGAACTGTTGATAAAATGTATCAATCTGACCGATCGTTGTTAAGTAGTGCGTGTCTAAATTATCATTATTACTCAATCTGTATTTTTTCACAACATGTAATTGTCATTTCGTTGACACGGGCACAAATATTTTATTTTGGAATGAGCCGTCAGTACCTGCGCTATGCGTTTTCATATTGTACATGTGTTCGATTGATGGGTACCTATCTATATTATAATCATATATGAAATTAATGATACTGGAGAATAAAGTACTCCATCGAAAAAAGGTAAAACGTCTTTGAACTTTTCGTGGAACGTGGTTAAGTCCTAATGCCTGCAGGCTTTAAAAAAACGAAAATTACAATTGTTGTGGTCATTGTAAATTATGTAGGAAAGACATTTTAATATCTCATGGAGATAAATCGGATGTGCAACCTCACGCAAACAGCTTATTTCACATAAGCGAATAGAAAGTATGATATTATATGGTATTCCCAAAATTATCAAACTAAATAAGAATGCAATTTTCTCGTATTGGAAAAAATAACCAATTTTTTAAATTGAATAGTTGGCAACCCCGTTAGGTTACTACGTTACTAATGGTAGGAACACATACCTAACTGTATACAAAAAAATAATTAAATGTTTTAAGGGTGGTAAACTTGAAGATGGGAGGGAGTAATCTAAAATTTGGGTATTCGTTTAATATGTCATTTAACGGATTCGCTGATCTCAGTATAAGTCGGTACCTGTATTTTAAATAGCTGTGTCTTAGCCATTAACCTTATTATATTCGTTATTACACATGTTTATATATTTTGGTTAATGGTTTGCGAAAACGACATGTCTATGTCTATGCACTATTATCGTCTCAGTTATCTGTATTACACTAGATACCGTACTCCCGTTATCAAGTGAAATACGCCGCTGTAGTGGCCGCCATTTTCTCGGATGACAAGACTTGTGAAGGTTGTGTACAGAAACACGCGGCAACATATATAATAATATTATTAAATACTCTATTTTATTTTATACATTAGACACCTATATTAGAATATTATGCCAATTTCATGTATTGCATACGGTTGTTAAAATGGGTCTAAACCAGGACAATTTATACATTTTTTTCGGTAAGTGCCTACCTATTTTAAATACATATAGCAACACAAGTTAAAACCGTATTATGTATATAGTATTAATTTATTATTTATTATAATATAAGATTTCCATATTCTAATGAGAAATTGATGAAAAAATGACTTTTAGCAATAAAGCGAAAAAAAAATAATGTGCATTTTATATTTATAGGATTTGCAATAGCTGTAAAATCAACATTAAATTTAGCGAAAGAACTATTTAATGTTACCAAATATAAAGATGTTTTAACAATTAAACTTACACAAGACCACTTAGAAATATTTTTTTTTTTTAAATTATACAAAGGTTTGGGCACAATAATAATCCTAATGTTTTGGAATTTCGAACAGCTATTAGACAATTGCTTTTAAGAAATTTGGTAACTCCATCTTATGCTGCCAATTGTATTGCATTAGATAATATTAGTTATGATAGTTATGACAGTATATTTGAAATGCGATGGAAATAAAAGAAAATTGAATGAAAATGTTGATGATGTCTGAAAAAATGTCAGACTTGAATTCCTGAGAAAATGATAATGTTAACGTTTTGAAAGACAATATTTTATACTGTATCAATGGATTTGTAGTAAGAAGCGTTTTAAAAAAAATAAATTGTCCTATACTTATGTACTGAGAATTTACTAGAAACCACCACTGATCATAATTATTATCAAAAACATTCTTACTCCACTCTAGTTGACGTTAAAAATAGGGGAGGGTCGGTAAAAAGTTCACCCAATGTAATGCAAATTATTAAATTTATTGAAAGTTCTCATTCATTTCACTAGTAATTTTAAATCTTTAAAATCAGGTTTAAATTCTTAAATTGTTATTTATGCTTAAAACTATGTTTATAATAATACAATTTTTAAACATTTAAATTGTTTACATGATAGTTTTCTAGAAAAACCATAAATTAAATTTAGTATCTATAATTTGAATGCAATATCTAAAAAATACGTTTATACTATATTGCCAAATCAACAGACAAATCTGTTAGCTAACGTCGGGTCCTCATTAAATTAATATTATTTAATAATCAATAGGTAATTATAATTAGTGTTTCTGAACCTTCACATTTTCTAAATTGTCTAAAAACCATTATTTGTAAGAACTTAAAATATAATAATTTTATAATAAATGAAAAATGAATATTAACATTTCATGTTTGCAACATATTTCTATGTTAACTAATTGCGTACTCATGTAATACTTTTAATTAAAATAAAACTTCCATGCGATGTGAGAACGTCTACTTAACAATGTAACAAAAATATTTTAGAAAAAATAATTGTTTTCGTCGTATAAATGTTGAATATATTTTTTTCAATAAAGCGAAAAAGTTTAATTTTGTACGTATTTCGTAAGCATAGATTATTGTTTTACCATCCGAGAAAATGGCGGCCGTGTGATAAGTACGCGCCGCCGTGATTCACTAATCATAATGTAAAGTGTCGTAAGTACCTTATCTAGCATAGTGTAGATAACTGTGCTATGCGTTAATGCTTCTCGTTTAGGTATCTAGGTCATATATAATTATTATATAAACTCCGGTAATACAGGTAGGTCACATCATACGTCCTACCAAATGCTCGGTATGTCACAATGTACCTAATATCAATTAAACGAATATCCGATTTGGCCGATTTCATAGCGTCACGATAACATTTATGTGACAGTATAATAATTATTATAGTAAACTGACGTTCGTTTCAAATAATAACACGCGTGATCATAATATTTTACCTAGGTAGGTGTCTATATTAAATCATAGGTAAGTGTAGATATTCACACGTGAACACTACCTTAATATAATCACGGATGTAAGTAGAGTCTGAAAATACACAAAGCTTGTGTCCGATACGTTTACAACCTAAAATCAGAGACTAATTTAATTTAAATATTATAATTAAGGCATGAGATGGCTGTAGACAGTGCCGACGACCCAAAGCATAGTCACAATTTAATAAATCAGTATGCCCGTCAATGACTGCACTAGTATAATATATTTGTAATCGTCCATTTGACTTTGTAGGCATGGATTGATAAATCGGCCTTTTAAATGTACAATAATAATATGTATAATAGTTTATCCAGGAGTCAGAACGCGAAAGTGCGTGTAGTAATAATATATTATCGGGTATTAAACGCGCATATTTATAGCCGTTATATTGGCGGCTTTCCAATGACCTGAGGTCATTTTGAATATTTATCCCATTGCATTCCCATAGATATAGGTATTATAATATTATAGCTAGGTAGTTGGTACCTACCGAATGTTTTCGGGTCGGTAGGTATACCTACATATATATAGGTATAGCCGAACGGCTTTTGAATAATGTATATTTTGATCGCAAACGCTAAACAGGACCGTCTCGTCGATAATAATAATAATAATAATAATTGTAATTGCACTTATTAGTAAGTATACTCATCTCGGGGGTGGACCCAGGATGAGATAACGGGGGTGTGGGCTATTTCGTAAAGTCATAGTATAATGAGGCACACATATATGATGGTGAGTTTAATGACGAATAAAGCTAAGAGTTTATTGGAGAGAGTGAACAGGGGGGGGGTAGACGATCATCCACACCCACTAGATCTGTCATTGACTCATTTTGACCTAGTTATAATTTCTAATTACTTACTTACCTGTTTCCTGTATTGTATTTTTACGACCCACAGCGGGATCATATTCAATTCTTCTTGACAGAGAGACAAAAATCTATCATCACTCAACTACCTTACCATTGTTTTTCGAGAGAAATTTCAGCCTTTATTATATTATGATAATGTAATAACAATAGTAGTGTAAAAAATATTTGTCTAGATTAGTACATAGGATAGGGATGGTATGGGTTACATATTTACATCCAGGGGGGGAATATAGCCAATAGAGGGGGGGGGGTATCGGCTTAAAAATATAAAACTAAATGTTTATTTTGTAATTTTATCTTGAAATTATATATTTTAGCTAAGTCACAAGAAAAAAAATATGATTTATTGAATATGAATTGCCAAATTGGTTTTTTGGATCCGGCTTATATGTTTCCGTTGTCGGGTTAGGTATAACAAAAGAAGATTCTACTATTTATTCATAAATCATGATTGTTATTTACTAAATCGGATATCCTCTCCCATTGAAAATTCCAGGGCAAACCACTGTACTTGTCCTAATAATATTAAGTATACCACCTATCGTTCTTTTTTTTATTTTAGAAATTATTAAGATAGATAGAATTTTCGTTACATTTTTATTAACTGAAAATGTTTTCCGAGAAAAAAACACATTTTAGTAAAATTAATAGCTTTTTCACTACCTACACTCAGAATCTAAAATATTAATTTTAATATAACAGGTAATTCAATCCTGAATTTAATTAAGAGTTAAGATAATATTTGTTTTATTGTAACATTTTCAACGGTTTCATAATATTGGTAATTCACGATTTCGTATTTGCCAAGATTCCGTACACAATTTCTATGCGTCGTTGCCGTAGTGAGTGTCGTAACAATTTTTCGCTTTACCCTTTTTTGAAAGTAATGAAGTAAATGAGGCATTCACAGAACTAATAAGTGTTTGCTTTAATGGTGCAACTTCAACTTTGATTAATTTGTTTTACCTATGGGTTACGATGCAATTTTAAAATTATTATTTCTTATTATACCAACAATTATTATTAATATTAATTTGTATATTTTATAAACGTTTTTTATGGCAACGTCGCATTATATATTTATGCGGAATTGCTTTATTGTAAGGTAAAACAAAAAGATTTGTGTACATAACGAAAATGTGCGGAATCGTATAGGTAAAAAAGTATATTGTGCGGAATCGTGTGTCGCCCGCGGCGATAGGTAGAATAATTGAATATTACCTACCTATTTATATATTTTACAAAGGTGTTTTTGACATTTCACTTGTGCACTTGGTAATAGTATCTACATTATACAGCTGTGGTAATTAAAATTAAGTATTTTAAGCTGTCTGTATATATACCTATACGTATTATTTTGTTCTTAATGAATTAATTTTCGAATTTCGAATACATTTTCTGCGCATACAATTGTAACGTCCACAACAATATTACATATTTGGCGATTTTGGTTTTCTGTCCAACAGTATTAGGTCAGTATAATTATACTAAACTAATCGATTGATCAGTATAGCGTATACCTGCTCTATAAAACCACAATAGTATATGTCTCCTAAGCGAAAAAAAAGATAATCATATCGCGGCGATTCGAGTTTTTTTTATTGCGTTTTAGACGTTTCGGTATAACAGATACTTATATCTTATTTTTGTAGGTACATTAAATCAAGCCAATTGACTTGCTTTTTAATACTGTAATTTTTGGGCATTTTGTAAATTATTTTTTTATTTTACTTTTATTAGTAAAAAGGTATAAAAGTATAAAGGTTATAACTTAAGTGTTATAAGTTATAAGTTATAATTTTTTAAATGCATAGGTTATTAAATTTCAATATCATTATGAAATGCACATACTATCACGTATTTTAAGGCGTTTAACTACATTCTGTAATACAAATTATAATATTATTATTTGCCGATTTAAATTCACAAAGTACACCGAGGGACATTCATATAATAATCGTACCTAATAAATAAAATACGAATTTTATGTATAAATATGCTAAGACACACAAAACTGCGATTTTTATCTATAATGTTTGTTAGATAGAAGTTTGTGTTTTAGAAAAAAGTTTAGACGAATTTCGTTTTCACATACCTAGCTGAATATTTATTTAACCCTCCCCCTTACTTCCCTATTACGCTCTATTAGAGTCTGTATAAAAAAATTGTCGAGTCAGCTAATCAGTTATTGGTTGTCCTAGTTTAACAAAAACTGAAATGACGTCATTGAGTGAAAATACGTGTAAAATAACGTGAAATATTTGAACGGATTTTTTAAATTACTTATATGGTTTTATAGATTCTTTTTTTCCTTCACCATCATTCCAACTATTTATAGGGTTGGTCACCCTCGCTCTAAACTTCCACTTGACTCGATCTCCCATCTCACATACACTGACTGACCTCAATCGCATTTAACCATCTCTTTTTCGATCTTCCTGTTCACTTCTTTCTCCCTACATTTATTTTCATTGTAATTCTTACTGCTTCAGATTTCTCTCTCAGTGACATGCCCAAATTATTTCAGTCTATTTTTCTCATTCTATCTATTATTGAAGCCATGCCTAAGATACCTCTTAAGTATTACTCATCCCTTATCTAATCTTCTTTCGTCACATCACTCATCCACCAAAACATTTTCATCTCTGCTACATTTATTTTTTGTTTTATTTTTCTGCAATCGTCCAATATTCTGAAACATATAACATATCCAGTCTAACCATACTTTTATAGAACGCAGCTTAAAGTTTGATTGGAATTCCTTTATCACATAAAATACCTGACATGAATTTATCCCCACATGAATTCGAGATAAGTCAATCCGCTAAAGTCTTGTTTAGAACTCCACACTGATAGAATTTTACGCTGGCTGTTTATCTTACGAAAGGTACCGTAGGAGTATTCTGATCCCTATTCCCACAAGGAGAATGGTATTATATCAATTATAAAGTTAATTCTTCTATTATACAGAAAAGAATAACATGATTTTATAGATTCGAATGTTAATTTTACGTGACTACGTAAAGCGTATATACTGTACAGCTCTATATTTGTACCTATGGATATTGTGATTTGTGATGGTATGAGTATGGTATCAGTATAGTATGGTAATTTTCTGTAATCGATAGTGCTTGCGGTTATAAAATGTTATATTATAAATGATTATCTATCAATATGATATTATTATGATTTATATTGAATCTCGAAATATTTTTTTGTTGAATTAGGTACTTTGTTGTTTTAAACATTTGTTAACATAATAATGAATATTCAATCAATGTTATTATTTATGTTTTGTATTATAATATGACTCGTTTGTATTAACGAATATATTATTATATAACCAATAGCCATATAGGGTAGGTATATGTACCTATTATATATTATGTATAATATAATTTACAAATGAAAGTTGAGACTGTTGAGTGTAAGGTTAAATCGTAAAAATAAAAATATATCGGTTGAATAAATTCATGAATTATTATTATTATTGTTATTGAAAAAATATACATTTTTTTTTTAAAAATTATTTTAAACTTTACGTCAGTATCAATTACCTTTCGCAGTGTTTACATAGGTACCTATATGTAATATTATTTAGGTATAGGTACTCACTATATTATGTAGACACATTTTAAAATGTGGTAGTGTATCCATCGAGTTTATGAGTATAGGTATACTCAATTTGATTAGTTTTGTGCAGAGTTTTTTGTTCGTCTCGAGGGGTCACATTTCAATATTTCATAATATTATACTCTGGGTCGTATTATTAATTTTAATAACACGATATTATTACAATTTGTGCTCATAGTTTATGATCATCGCCGCAGCCGTCAGAGTATACATTAGGATATTAAAAAAAAAAGAGATAAAATGTCTACCGGTAGACAATATTATGTGTGTAGTATATTATTCTTGAAATGTCACTAATTTTCTATAAAGTTTAATCCGAAGACGCCTAGGTAATATTACGATGGGGTTTCTTTTTCGGGGTAATAAAATTGGATAAACACTTTTCTGGTGATTACTCGAGAGACTCGTATAAGTACATTTCGGTATCAGTTATATGTATTGTATATATTTTTACGATATTGACTCTGACGTATTTATGTACATTTATATTTGCATTATAAATAGAAATATAACGGTGAAAGATATGATAATACATAAACTTTGAATAAAAAAAAGAAAGGATAAAGTTTTTCGTTAAGGGATTGAATATCTCCAATTCATTCTTATTTATATTTCTTTATCAAACATAAAAGCATAACAGTTTAGATCAATTATAAATATAAAACTAAACGGTTTTCTAAACAAAATAAAATAAATAATACCATAATGAAAAAAAATAAATAGCTATAGATATTCCTACATAAAAATGCTATATATTGTAAAAATTATTTGATTTCTAGATATCCTCAGTGGCGTAGTCAGGATTTAGTTGTGAGGGGGAATAAGAACGTTTTTGTTTGAATCATGGGCGTAGGTAATAGGGTTTTTTTGGGGGGAAGGGTGGCTGGGTGGGTTTAATTTTTAAACAAATTTAGAAAACGGCTTTTCATCAACGTGCATTTCAAAGTAATAATTTTAATCAAAAATTGGTAAAAAAATTTATATGATGTAATAATGAAAATATTATATATCTTAGAATATTTTGCGGTAACTATACTATATATATATATATATATATTATAATCTTCAACAGCTGCATCTTTCTAGAATAATTTTGAGTAAAAGCAGAAATTATATCATTTTAAATTATATTAGGTAGTCACGAATAATGAATTGAGTCTATTTTTTGACATAGCATAGGTACTTTTTGAATATTACGTTTTTGGGCGGTAGAGTCTAGAAAATGTTATTTCAGAAGTAGAAGAAATGATTGAAAACGTAGTTAACACTTAAATTGTAACATAGTTTGCATACACAAAATAAAGTTGATGAGGCTGGCTATATCTCTTTTGAGCCCCCTCCCTACTACTGGGGGGAGTAGGCTACACAACTGATTGTCCCGGAGGAAATTGTCCTACATTCCCTGTATACATTATCGGTAGAAATGTTCTAATCCATCTTATTTGATATTAAAACGGTATTATAGGTAATACTAAATTTCTAGAACACACAACTTATTTATTAGGTACATCATGAATTACAAAATACGTAGGCACGTACTAATAAATTCAATGTTTAAGTGTTCGTCATTCATGCAGGCGAAATTAAATATTTACGTTTCGTTCGGATGACTATAAAGGACTATATAATATAATACAGAATAACGACGACTTTATCGCTGCCACCGTCGAGGCCTTTCTAAATATTATATGTATCGGGTACGTATAGATATACCTACCATTTTCGTCTTTCGTCCTCCTGTTATGCGGTTACCGGTGATAAACATTAATGTTTCTATAATGCGCCGTGTAAGTGTACTACCCGTCACCGCAATCGTGTTTCTGTTTTGCCGGGTATTCTCGTATATATTATTATCTCGTGAACACGAATTTGAGGTAATAATTACTGTATTCTTGACTACTATTACTTACTCGTATAGGTGCTTATATAAAACTTTGATCAACTTATCACCGCCTCGGGACGTTCTAAACACTCGCGGAAACTTCTCAACTCATTGTTGGCTCATCCATTCATTCATATTATATATATACTAATAATTAACTTTTGCGTCTTCACCCCCGTTCACCAGATTCCGCAGTTAGTTTTGATATTATATTATATTTGTACTACGCACTTCGAAGATATATAATATAAATAATTCATTATTTAATTGTCGGCATTTTCGCGTCGGGTAAATAACTATCTTATATAATGTATATCGGAATATTATATCTATTTAGTGTCACACCCGCGTGTGCTGTCTCTAAATGGGACATTTAAATCTAAACGTTTAAATGGAAACATAGTATAAATATGATTGCTTGGCCTGAGTACAGAGGGAGGGGGGGAATAAGCCCCAAGTAATATGTTTTTTTTTTCATACCAAATTTTGATTCCATAATATACATAATGTTTTTTGTGATTTTATAATAATACTTATACGAAATTACATACAGAAGAAGATAAAAAACGCTAAAGAAGAGTGCCTAGATAAACTGAGTAGAAAAGCAGAAGAATGTTTTAAAAATTAAGAAGAACTGACTTGGTGTACTTGGAAATTAAAAAGATTTTTAATGAACGCAATGTAGGCATCCTAATAAGTACAAATGGCGAAGTACTACTATAAAAGGTGATAAAAAAGCTAAAAGATTGACAGAATATCTGGAAGAATTATATGAGGATAACTTAAATATGGCATTTGAGACAGAGGATAATATAGAGGAGTAGAATAAATGAGATTGTGTCCTATATACAAAATTTGATCAAGTGATAAGTTGATACCTCTCTTTAAGTCAGAAAGTGTTCATAAAAAATTTTTTTTCTTTTTCAATTTCTTAAAATATAGATAGGTATATATGATTTTAGAAAATACATTTTAGGTCAAACAAAGTTAAGGCACCTTATGCCCTATAGAGTGTTTAAAATAATAAAGCTTATGGTGTTGCTGAATTTCCAGATGATTTATTAGTAGTTATTAGATATGAATTGTACGAAATGTGTAATGAACCATATCTAAAGGGAAAAACTATTAGTAGTTTTTAGAAAGGTATTGTAGTACTGATTACGAAAAAGAAAGGACCATGAAAATTCGAAAAGTATAGAACATTAAATTTCACCACACATATCTCTAAAATCATCACCAAAATAATTAAAAACAGGACACATAAAACAATAGACGAAAATCTGGGTAAAGATTAATTTGGATTCAGAAAAAACATAGAAACCAAACAGGCAATCATAACGCTAATAGATAATATTACTAATAGAAAATCAAATCAGAAGGAGCAAAGATATATTTATTGCCTTCGTTGATTTTGAAATTATTCGATATTCTAAAAACAGTTGGAATTAAGTTTTATGGCAAGATTTATTTATAATTTATACAAAAATCAAAGTGGATTGTACGCATAGATGGATAAGAAGATAAGAAGCAAAAAGTAAATTGGTGTATGATGAGCATAGGCACAATTTCAGTTTTTGACTTGGAGATGCTTTACATATTTAAAAGAAACAGATTCACACTTCTTGTTTGAAACCTTTAAAAATATATTACTCTGTGTAATATAATATAACCTACATATATATATATATGTTTACTTGTTTTACTATTGGGAGCTTTCAAAAATAATAGAGATTAAACATTAAAATATTAGATATTTCTAGCTAATCAATTTGAATTTAAATGCGAAATTATTAATAGTTTAACTCTTTTAAAAATTTATCAAATACACCCATAAATATTGATGTTTACTTATAAAATAAGTGTTGGAAA